GATCCGGCTGTATCACCCTTCCCCCTTTGTGCAGTGCTTTTTTATTTCTTTTTCTTTTTCTTTTCTTTTATCGATCTATTGTACCCAGGCTCGGGGGTTTACCGTTGCCACCCCTCCACACCCTCTATCTTTTGATGTAGTAGTCGACTTATTTAATAAATATATTTGTAGCCCGGTAAGCCTCATCGATTCCCACCGATCGACGGGCTGCATGACCGATGTTGTAATATATCAAATGAGAGATGCAGGAGAGCGCCGCTTGAGTTCATAAAGTCTCCATCCCCTCCCCTCGTCTGCGAAACCTGCAAGTGCTTTCACCTCTTCTCGCGTGTTTGATGAGTTGTCATTGCATATTCTCCATCCCTCACCTTATGATTCGTGAGTCTTGGACTATACCTTACTCAAGCTTAGCTTTGATGTTACTGCACTCCTATACGGTATGTCTTCCTCTGTTCCTGCATCTTATGGCAGCCTGGGGGCTCCACATGTGATGGGGCTCTGCTATGACGTGTCCATAGTTCTTCCATTTGTTGAAGATATTTATATCCATGGATGTTAGCTAACGTGGACTTAGTCTCGATCTATACCTATCTATATTTATAGGTAACGACTTATACTTTACAACGTAAGTGACAACTTCATATTGCTTTTTTGTGTCTTGTGTCAAGGATCAAAGCGGCCTCGTATCGCTGAGAGCCTGAAGCGAGCAAGCCAAGAGGGTCAAGGCAACACAGCTGAGAGACGTGGAGTTCTTCGAGAACAAATCTCCAGATCGCCACTCCTCACCGCCCGGCGCCCACCGCTTCTTCCCCCACTCTCCAATGCATCTTGACATTTCCATCTCTCTTGCTGGCTTTGCTTTTGGCTTGACTGTGCTCGGCATTCAGCCTCAGGTCTCAGCCCTTACTTTGTTTCTCCGATCCTGTTTCCTCGTGTTGCAGGACCATCTTAGTACTGTTGGTTGCTGGCTTACACAGATCTTCAAAGGTCGTCCCTTGCGATTACGGTCTTCCCCCGATCTGCACGGACGGTTGTTCTCCGCAGTCGACTCATCCCGGCTTTCGACGGAATTTCTCTTCCTCCATTCCTCTGATTTTCAAGGGTAATTATCCTGCATTCCTTCTCTTTTCGCGTTGCCTTGTGCTTGGTTGCCTGCTTGACTTAGCGCACGGCTCCTTTACGGGCGGGGTTGAATTGACCAACGTTTCATACGCAGATCTCTTCCATCACTTTCAGGCGTCTCATTCGTCTGATTTCCACTTCTGCCACGGAGAGTCAGTAGTACAGGGACTACGACTCCTCCCTTTAACCACTCGCCGATTTACATCGCAAACCCCAACCCAACATTCTCGCACCAGGCTATGGCGGAAGCGAGTCTTTTCATTAAACACGAATCCGACGACCACAACCCTTTCATGATGTCGCACTCCGGTTACTCGATGGGTAACCAATTTGGCAACCCCAACGATGGGGTGGACCCTTCCGACTTGACCATGCAGCAACAGAATGGCTTCATGCCTTACTCTTACGGCTCGCAGCAGAACATGTCATCCAGCTTCAACTTCGGAAACTCCGGCATCGACACAGATGAGTTGCTGGATTTGGAGATCAGCGGGCAGAATGGTGTCCAGCGTGATAGCAGCATGAACTATCTCCAGGACCAGTCTGGCGGCATCGCCATGAGTCATCAGAGCCAGATGTCACACATGTACTCAAACACCCCCGACAACGCGCCGATGGCTAGCCCGTTCGTCCACAACAGCTTCAACTATGATCAATACCGGATGAACCAGCAAAACCCTCACATCCAGAATGCCAGTTCTTTTGACCAGAACTATCTCAGCACCAAGTCCCGCCCGAGCATTCAGGGAATGGATCGCACCTCATCGGACGGTCGCAGCCCAATGACCCCCAAGACTCCAGCACTTGGTTCCTTGACCCTCGGTACCCCGGAGTCTGGCAGCTTCCCATCTCAGCCAATTCGGACCGGATTGCAGGCTCGCCACCAGAAGACGTTCTCCAACCAGTGGGATGGAACTTCTGGTAGCGCGCAGTCCTACGTTGAGTCCTCTCCCATCTCCTCCCCTCCTCAACAATCGCACCACACTGGCATGTCGGAAATCCTCAAGTCTGGCAAGCATGCCTCGCTGCCCGCCAAGGTTGACAGTCACCTTCCGGGCGGTGGAGACCTCGAGTCTCAGGAAGCCAAGCGCCGACGCCGCCGTGCCTCGCACAACTTGGTTGAACGCCGCCGCCGCGATAATATCAACGAACGAATCCAAGATCTGTCACACCTCGTTCCTCAGCACCGTCTGGAAGACGACAAAGTCCGTAAGCAGCTTGTCAACAGCAGCGCCCTCTCCATGGCCAGCGCAGGCGGAAGCGCCGCTACCTCTCTCCTTGCGGGTGGCAACGGTCGTCGCGCGACCCCGGGCAACATCACCATGGGTCTCCCCATCGAAGAAAAGGAGAAGGGTCCCAACAAAGGTGACATCCTCAACGGTGCCGTCAGCTGGACCCGCGATCTGATGTGGGCTTTGCACGTCAAATACCAACAAGAGGCGGAGCTCGCTGAATTGATCACTAGCCTGGGCGGAACCTGGCCATTCGAGCAAACCGAGGAAGAGAAGCGCATGCGCAGCGAGATTCTTGACGCATTGGAGAAGAACGATCCGACCTCTTTCAGCTACACCCGTGGACCTGGCAGTGGCCTCCGTGTTCCCAAGCACACCAACATTGCCGGCGACGCCGTGCAGGGTGGTGACAGCTCTGGTCTTACTCCCCCCAGTCTTAGCCCTTCGTTCCACAGTGGCGCCAGCAGTGCCAACGGTGGTGGCCAGGCACAGTACTGGAATAGTGCTGGTCATGCCGCTATGAGCTTCAAGGAGGAGGACGAGTATGGCATGGAGATGAACTAATTGTCTTGCCTTTTGCCTTTCATATCTGGTCATTGTGGCTTGTTGCATACACGGCGTCTAATGGGGACCCGATCAGTCGGCGTACCGGGAGTGAAAGACGGCTCATTATTCCTTTCTCTACTTCTTGGTTTATGTTTGGTTTAATTTGCATCCATCTATCATCAATTGTGGTCTCTCTGCTTGTATCCATGTCTGATCTTGTTTTATTCTGGGTTCTGTGTTTTTATTTTCGGTTACTGGCTTATTTCTATTCATTATCGATACCCTGTCTCTTTTCTTTCTTTGCCATATCTTACCTTCTTTGTTCCGACCTACATCGTCGATCTACACGTCTTCAGATGCGGATTTGGATCTGGACCCACATGTCGATGATCTTGATGTTTGGTCTGTGTATGTCTGTCATTTTTGTGAACACGAACTGGACCTGAACTTTGAACGCTGGTTCTGACTTTGATCGTTTTCAATTCTCTTCTTGATGACTTGATTACCTCATTGCAAGGTCAATCCTTACTTTTGTGTCTTGCCCATTCTTTGCACAATAAACGATGCATGCATTTTTCCCTAATACCCCTTTTGCTTTACTGTTGTCTATGAATCAAGCTCCATTTTCTTTTATACATATATATGGCAACCGTGATCTCGGTAGTACTTATAGTCTGTGAGTAGTGTAGGCGTTGACTGGTTTACACTGTCCTTGAGAGTTAAATTACAGGATGGATCGAAATCAGTTTCACCGCTTGCACACAGAGATTCTTTCTCGAACTCTATTTCGAAACACGCTATACCTATTAAATTTACTATGCCACTGACCCATTTCTTTGGCGGTATTACGGTACAACTGTAAATAACAATGTATGTAGTTTCAGTATAAGTTAGAACTTGTAATTATGTTGTCATATCGCTTTACTAATATGTAAGACCATCTTCTTTGTGCCACGCATTGATTCATAGTTCGCTGCAACACTCCCATCCCGCACACCTGCGATCCGGAGCTCTCCACAGCTTAAGCGCAGGATGCCCCAAGACAGTCTTCCTTTGAGCCATATTTCTATTGGGGTTCGCAATTTTGAGATATCAAAGAAATTTTATTCCGCCACACTCTCTCCTCTCGGTCTAGGTCTTGTGTATGAGAGGCGCACTTCGCTATCAAGATCCGAACCCCGCACCCTAGGATATGGCCCCGACGAAGATAACGAGATTGTTAACATCTTTGAGCATGGTGACGAAGCACATGCACCCGGGCGAGGATGTCACATTGCTTTTAATGCTTCAAGTCACAATATAGTTGTGGCCTTCTATACGGCGGCTATAGCGAATGGGGGAATTTGCAACGGCAAGCCTGGATTGCGGGAACATTACGGTCAAACCTATTTTGCTGCCTTTGTTATTGACCCTGATGGATGGAGGTTAGAGGCGGTGTGTAAATCTGCACCTACTAAATGTTAACTTAAAATCTATACTATACTACCTACGCAAACTGTACCTTGCCGACGCTCTCGATTTAGTACGAGCTTGCTCAGCGAAATAGGAAAACTCCTTGGGGCTTAACTATCCGGATACTTTGGCGAATCCCGAAATTTCGATAAAATTGGCGGCTGAGGGGCTGGGTATTAATGCATATGATAGGACGAGCTCTTGATAAAGTCTTTTGAAATAGCGAGTTCTCCTTCGTACTATGATTGCTGGAATACACTACGATAGTTGACTTGATATAGATCACGCAAAAGCACTTTCTTTTAGCATTTGTCTTTCACTGAAATTGACCTCATGCGACCGTTGCTCATAAGAGAGTAACGATGGTAATGACGGAACTGGTCAAGGAAATGAGCTATGAGGGGTAACGAGGTGTGAGTATTGATGGTAAGGGTATTTCAAGTAATTCGTCGAATCCACTACAATATTTTGTGAAGTTTTATTACAATACAATTCCATCATCCGAATTGAGCTAAAGCAAACACACATTAGGTTTTTATAGAATCACCCGGACCACGACGAATACCATGACATGACCTTTCCGCAGCAACTGTACGATACTCCGTAGAGGTCTATGCATGTGACTTTACTGACTTGTAGATTGATTGGCTATCGATGGCGCGTTTGTTTGGCATCCAGCCTCGCTTCTCTAGATAGTTGGGAGATAACAAGCCAGGGTCCACAGATCATTTCTAAGCTCATATCCTCAACCCCAAGAGCCTCATCCGGCATCGCCAAGTCCTCAAACCCAGTAACATGAGCCCGACATAACTTTTCGATCTCTTTGATCTCACTCTCGGTACGTCCTTTGTGTCGCAGTGTGAAGAGCAGGTGAATGTGGCTTTGTTCGAGGACGGTTAGGAGGGTGTAGATCGCCTTCAGTGGCCACTCTTTGCTTTGGAGGGTTTGAAAGATCTCCTTGTAGGGTGGTGTCAGGGATGAGAGGTAGGTTTGAATAATCTGGTATGGACTGTATTCATCGTTGGCGTCACAGTTGATATCAGTGTTGGCGTCACTGTTGGCATAAGTGTCGGCATCAGTGTTGTGATGACTATGATGATCTTTGTCATCGGCATCGGCATTGGCATGACCATTATCCTGCAAAGCAGGAATCCGATCCCGAGCATCCATATCCCGAGCCATGCGGGAAATATACTCAAGAGTTCTGATCTGACGCTGTTGATACACGGGAGCGACGGGAAGTACAGTCGGGGGAGAAGACTCAAAATACTCGTCGTCGTCCCAAATTCCGGAGCCAGGCTGGATGGGCATAGCGTAGATAGAAGAAGGCCCTGGGGGAAGGAATGGCGGTAGGCGGAGTTCTGGTTCGGATTGCGAGGAGTTCAATGTTTGCTGTAGGACATCTTCGCGCGCGATTTGGCGTTCATTGAAATCATCTAGCTCTTCTTAGGCTTGCCAGTCTACGGTACGACTGCCCGCTGCGGTTGTCTCAATCATGGCGAGATACATGATTGAGGGTAGGTTATGAATGTAGTGGATGAGGGATGAAGAAGTTTGAAAGAGGAGAGAAGAGATGAATCATCATGAAGTGAGCTTTACGGTTGTTTTGGTTACATGGGATATCGCCATGGCGATGAGGCTGTCTTGCAATATGTGATATCGCAATATATGGAATTTGGGATACGATATGCATATTTTTTTGGAGGCTAAAGCTTAGACATGTATGTATGAGTCTGGATTAACCTTGCTAGTGGTTTCGTGAAGTGTTACAATATCCAGCATCTCTATACATGTATTCGATGCTGACTATACTTCCAACCTTCATTGAGTAGCGTTAAGCCTCTAGCACTGACAAGCAGGGCGTTGTAGAACGTATTATAGCTCTTTGTGCTTGTCGAAGGCATCGCGATTATCTGGTAATAAACAACTGAAACAGACTATTAATTGGAGGTCAAATAATAATATTGAGCGCGTATGTCACGCATGATTGAATTCGTTGATCATGTAACTTTTTGTTATCGAAAGAGCTAGATAGATACTTGAAGATAGCTTCTGAAGTATCGCAGCACAGAACCAGCAGAGATGCTCCGTGACAAGCCAACCACAACCCCTTACTCGTTATCGCGAGCATCAATAATGGTACTCTTGAACTTCCTAGCAGGAACCTTGCGGTTGAACAAGATATCACTCTCACGGTAAGAGCGATGCTTAAGCTCAGGCAAGAAGAAGTAAGCCATCATCCAACAGACACAGGCAGTACCTCCCCAAACATAACCACACTTTCCGGCCAAATTCCAGCCTGTGGTGTTAAGCATCTGCGAAGCCAGGTAGATCATTGGAATCTCAGCAACGTAGTACGCAGCACGACCAACGGCCGTGCTGAGCGCGCGCAGACGCACGGACGATGTCTCGGAAATAATGGTGTAGGAAATTGGTCCGAGGGTACCAGCGAAGACGAAGGAGATGAGGATTCCTAGGACGGCTTGGGCGTAGCTAGTCGCGGTGGTCTGGGGGACGGAGGCGCAGATACCCAGGATGATTAGGAGGGTTATATTAGTTGCTGTGCCCCATAGGTAGATTGTCCGGCGGCCGAACCAGGCGGTGAAGAACCACGAGATGGCGTTGGCGACAAATTGGAGGCATGAGTTGATTAGATTTAGTTGGAAAGAGCGGTCGTGGGAGATTCCGGCTTCTATATGGGGGTTAGTTATGTTTGGATTCATCGGATGTTGGTGAGTGGATGCTTACGTTCGAAGAAGAAGGTCGCTTGGTTGGCAATTAGGTTACCGGCGAAGTTCTGCGATGCGTACATCAAGCAGGTAATGGTGGTTCGGCGCAGGTCGGTTCCCTTGAGGAGGTCGAGGAGGGTTGGGGTACCGCCAATCTGGGCTTCGATCTCCACTGTTCGCTCGATCATGGCCAGGGATTGTTGGGCGTGCTCGGTCGAATCAGCGCCGAGACGCTCGATGGAACGGAGGGCTTCCTTCTTGCGTCCTCGGCGGATGAGCCACCAGGGAGATTCAGGTGCGAGGAAAATAAGGATCAAAAGAGGTGTCTATATGGGTTAGATATTGCTGTAGGATATTGATCCAAAAGGAACTTACAGGGAAGATCCACTGCAGAGCAAGAGGCACACGCCACGCCCATTGGTCATCTCGCTTGTTGTAGCTATAGGTGGCAGCAGCGACAATAATTGAACCAATGGACCAACTCATTTGCAGAGTAGCTGTGCAGGCACCACGGAGGGACAGGGGGACAATCTCACTAGCATAGGCTGGTGAGTTTGCAATGAAGAATCCCCATGGCACGCCTTCCAAAGCTTGTCCAACCACCAGGAGGGTAAGGGAGTTGGCCTAAATTGACTGGTCAGATATGTCCTACAAGCCCCTAGACAGGGACACTCACGAAGAAGGAAACGAAAATGGTGGCGTTCATAAGAATCAGCGCAAAAATGGTAGTCCAACGGTAACCCCAACGGTTGGTGATGGGACCGGCCATAAAGACACCCACGAAAGCACCGCATTGACCGGCTTGGAAGAGGGCACTCTGCCATTTAGTGGGGATAACCCAGGCTTCTCCAACCTTGACGCCGTACTCCACTTGGAAAGCTTTAAGAGCGACGAAGTTACCGTTGAGGAACATGTCGAAAGATTCCATGACCTGATAGAGTCAGCTGTGGTCATTTTGAAGTGCGAAGAGTAAGCTCACGATGGTGAAACACATAGTGAAGGCCCAGAAGCAAGCCCAGGGGTGCTTCTTGACGGCGTCCCAAACGCCCATCTGATGCTCGCGGTTCTCACCATCGAGCGCATCATTCATGAGGTCCTTGTTGACCAGAACCTCGGAGTGCTTAACGTCGACATGAGCGACATGCTCATCCTTTTCCTTGATGGACGTCATCTTGAACTGGTATGTCGATCAATGGGGAAAGAAAAAACGAAGTCAGGTGAAAAGGACAGGGAGTTGAGCTTTTATATTCTAGACTATTCATGTGGGCTAATGGGGCTAATGCTCAATTCCAGGGTGCGCGTGATACGTGGATTAATTTAATGGTAAAATAAAAGTGCATGGATTTTAATCAGCGATCTGATGAGCAGGGGTACCACCTTGCCTTGTGCCGCCGGGCTTTTTCTTTTTCCCCTGGGAAAGGCGATCACGTCGGTTATGTGGCGTTTTTCTCAAACTACCCTATTGGACTGAGTGTTCAGCTGCGGCCAGACAAGGCTAGCCAACGGCGCCGAGGGATTGTGGCGCTCAAGCAAGCCGTTCTTGTAGCGCCAGAGAGGCTTATATTACAGGGGCTTAGGCTTCGGGGGGCACAAGATTTCAAGGCTTTGCGTTACCTCCCGGGTTTCTGCATCTTTGGGGGTAAATTTGGGGATGCGGGGCCCCCGGACAAGATCTCGGAAGGGTGTCCCTATTGCTTATCTCTCGGCCTTGCCTTTTTTTTTTTTAAAAAAAAAAAAAAAGTTTAGCATAGGCTCGAAATTCTCGTGGATAACTGTAGAGTGGCGGTAAGTCAACTGAGTCCAGTCTAGTCTAGAATGAAGATGCATGTCTGTAGGCGAGGCACATTTTGCAGCTAGATTTTAACTCAACCAAGGTTAGACTAGCCGTGCCGGATCTACGGTTGATTAGCTCGGCGGCGCGAAGCGAGATCACATGATTCGATGGATGTTCTAGAGATCGTGTCCAGCAGGACCTTCTTTTCGACACGCGTTTGACATGTACATGATCTTGCATCTTTTCCTAACCCAATTGATAGGGGTGGTATGATCCCACATGGCGAAAAAAGAAGGGAAACGGCCTCATCTCGCGCTGTCCTGCAGTTGGTGGAAAGGAGGGGGAAGCTATCTCCTTCTGGGACTAGTGCCAGCTCCTCGGGTGAAACCCGGGGCAACACCTCAAAGCGGCCTAGTGACTTACCCTTCTCCGTCCATGGTTGCATATGCTTTGTCTCATTTCACACTGATCTTGATGCATATCCTAGCTGGAAACCCGGGGCCCAGGTGGCCAAAAGGTGGTTCACAGATAAACCACGTGGGGCGGGTCTCATTTGGGTAGGATCGGAGCGTGGATTGATTGACAGTTCTCTTCGTATCTCGGTAAATAACGAGCCAATGGACACTCACTGATTTTATTCCCGGACTAAGACCAATTTAACCGCTCTGATCCTCATAAAAGCGGCAGTGGAGATGTGGCGTCTGATTTATATCTTTAACCTAACAGAACAGAATAACCTGAGACACAATGACGGACGGCTCGGTGTAAGATCTATCTGAGATTATTAGGAAAGTGAATGAGCAGATTCGCAATTCTGGCAAAGATTTCGGTAAACAGTTATAGATCCGGGGATGAGAGTTACATAACTCCCACAATTGTTGGCCACATAAATTAGAACTTTATAACGATAGCTCGGTCCTAGAATGAAGTCTATCTAAATCAGCAACTGAGTTGGTAAAATATGATCTACATCATTCTCATACTAACCCTGAGATCTGATGATATTTTTGCTCAGCTCAATGGTTGTATCTGAATGTTTGCTTGTTGGATGATTCTCGACATACATATCTCGTTTGAATAAAAACGAGGAGTTCCTCTTTCTCTTCTCTCTCTTCGTCCCACGCCTCTCCATCACACCATCAACGCTTACCCGCGCGTCGAAGAACCACATTCAAATATTTCTCGATCAGTACAGGTCCCACTGGGACATGAAATGGCAACCTAAGCGCTCAACCCACGTTGTGAGCATCCTTGGCAAGATCTGCATAAAAAAACACTAACCGGTTTGATCCGCAGCAGTGCCTACCATAATCATGAAGAAATACCGGGGGTGGAACCTACCTGCCAAGGACACCGTTCAGCTTTTGTTCCAGGATCCATCCGCTCCTCTCGACAAGGATACAGGATTTAAGGAGTGGTGGAATAGCGTGATCTGGATGCTGAAGGATACCGACTGGATCGTTTGGTTGATTCTTTGATACCGAGGTCCGTTGAACCAACAAGGCTTACTAGAACTGGTTTAAACTTCAATCCTGGTCTCAGCTTGGCTCGAGCAAAACCTGGATAGGCTCCAAAAATGGGAAATGATCAGTCTGGCCGGGATACCACCTTCGTGGATGATTTGATGAAACGAACCCGTTATGGCTCTACTACAGCGATTCTGGACATACTGTGATTTGGGAGGTATGCAGCCACCCGTGAGTGCTATGCTCATTATGTTGCGCGAACTGCAGTACACACCTAAACTCGACAAATTATCCGGATGAGATACGAACGCACTTTCGTAGATCGAGAATCCCGCTATGGCTGTCACCTTCTAAGACTATATCGCCATGCCCGAATGATCTGTCTTTTTGAGACAGAGGTCCTGGGATATGCCAGCTTTGACCGGGTTTACGTGCCTTCCTGAGGATAATTCGTTGACAGATCTCTACCGGTTCGATTGCCCTCTCCATTTTCCAATTGAATACGAAAGCTTCCGGGTATGGTATCAGCTGGTCCATTAAATCCTCAAGCTACACAATCTACATTATTGCCCTAAGCTTCCATGGTGACCAATAGTGTGACGGAGAATTGGAGTTATAAGCTAAGAACAGTAACTGGATATCGTTTTCATAGCTTCAAATAAACGATCGAAACAGAGGAAAAACGGACTTCTGTGTAGAGCAAGTCTAGGGAAAGTATCATGCATACAGTAGCCCACTCAGGTCTGTTAATGACCATCAATTCCTTCTTTCCTTGGCTGTTGCCTGCTATTGTGCGCCATGATGGACTTTAGATAGATTAAAGGGGTTCAGTTCCCTTCTACCGAGGCGTTTATTAACGAATTGAGGAGGCGGTTTAGACGGTATTCGGATCTAGGGGTTCTGCCGACGTACAGTGCACTGGCGATTATTTTAAGGGAGTTGGATCATATTCCTAAACTTGATCTGTTTATTCTCAGGAAGGAGGAGGAGATTTCTAGGGTTGTGAGTCCGGCGGAGGTGGGTACTGTTTGGGATTTTTACGGGTGTTGTGAGGAGATTATTGGGTTTGTTAATGGTAATGATGCTGATTTGCCTGTTCCAGCGAGATTGGGTTCGGGATCGGTATCGGCTGCGGCGCCGGTTCCTCAGATTCAAAGTTGGAATCGGAATTCGGGTGGGGGTGAGGTTGTGAGGGGAAAGTGGCTGCCTCGTGGGATGTTGAATGAGGATTATGCGAGGTGGAAGGTGCATCGGCCTCGATTTATTGATCCTGGCTGTGTTTACTGTGGGCGGTGAGGACATGGGGCTGCTAAATGTTGGTATCTTAATCCTGAATTGCGGCCTGAAGGGCGGAAGCCGGAGGGTGGGCCTTGGGTGTTTGAGCCGAGGACGTGATGTGAACGGGTTAATCTTGGCGATAGTTGGGCTTTGAATTGAGAAAATTTCGTGGAATCTTTGGGAGAGGTTGGGAGTGGCGATTTGATGTGACAAGGCTGCCATACTGGGCATGCGTTGGTGGAGATTGGCCCATCATGACGATCCAGTGGGTCGGAGGTTGGGGATCAGCAGAGATACCGGCATTAGGCTGACTAGCAGCGAATGGAAACTGTTACTTAATAAACGAGAACAGGCTATTTTTAAAGAACAGGGGTGTTGACGCGTACCCCAGGGAAAGGTGGGTTTTATTGAATCAAGGCTAAACGGAAACACGGGGAATATATTCAATGGGAGCTCAAACACAAATCCAATCTATAAGCATGCAGCCCTCTTTACATGCAGTCCAAAATGAAACAAATCGTAAATCCGTACCTAGGTATATAATCGATACTGTATAGCAGGCAGGTGATATATGAGTAAATGTCCAAAAGAAGCGGGAAGCTTTATATGATGGAGGTCGATGTGGACATCAAAGAAGTGCAGTCCCAGTGAAAAAAAGGAAGAAAAATATAGACAGTGGGCTGGATTACTTCGACATGGCATGAGGCTCAGTCGAGTAGGCGTGGTGTTCAGATGAGAAAGTGGTTCCGTTTGTGTGATTTTCGTTCGAGAATGCGTGGTCGTGCCTTGGCTCGATCGGGCTGACATCATGCTCGTTCGAGTAGCCGTGTGTTTGTGCCTGCTGTCCGCCCGAGCGGGCATCGATGCCAGAAGAGACGGCGCGGTGCTCCGCGGCTGTAGCGTCAGATGCGCTGGTATGTGTTGATCCCTTCTCGTGCCAGTTCACACCTTGCGACTTGAGCTGCTTGCGAGCCTTGCGGCCGCGGCAGCAGGCAGCACAGCAAGATCCGATCTGGAGGATGAATGCCAGCAAACTGAAGGCAGAGGCGATCCACATAAAGACTAGCATCTGGGTCCCGACGTGCGCCTGGATGTTGATGCTCGGGTCGGCGTTGGAGAAGACATTCGCGAAGATGACGAACATGACTGTCGCAACGGCCGAACCGACAATTGTGGCCAGCGCAGTGAAGAAGGTCAGGATCAGCAGGGGCAGGGCGCGCAGCCATATAAAAGTGCGGCGGCGGTGCGGCGGCTTGCCGGCGGGCGCGTATTCACCGTTGCCGTTCGCTGGGTTGTAGGCATCGGCCCAGTACTTGACTGTCTGGGGGTGGCGCGAGGATACGGCCAATGGGCCGACAAAGATCATCACAAAGTTGAGGACCGCGGCGGCTAGGAGGAGGCCGAACATCCAGTGTGAGGCGGTACGCGCGAGGGCCAGCGGCTCTTGGATGTCGGATGGCAGGGCGACTGGGAGGATTGTTAGTATCCAAGAGGGAGGGGGTCGATCCTTGGGAATTGCACGTACTACTTGCGCCAGACAGCAGCTCATTCAGGATGATGTCAACCGGGTTGAAAGCATAGAGGGTCTCCGGCTTGGAGCAGTGGGTGATTCCCTGCCCGAGGTATCCTTCACAGAAGTTCCATAGTCCCACAGTATAGAAATCGTGCAGTCCAATGGACTGGGCGATGGAGTTGATCAGGACGGCATTGGGCACGGAGACCGGGATGATGTCGGAGAGATCGAGGTAGAGGAAGTAAGTGCTGCGGATAACGGGCTTATTAGAAATATTGCCAATAACCACCAACACCAAGAAGATCCAGGCGACAAGGTATAAGAAGGCCCGAATGGTACGGTGTGTGTGGACGGTGGATTTACGCCGGCGAGCAATTGGGCGGGTGGAGGTGGAGCGGAAAAAGGGGAGCTTTCGCTTGCCAGTTCCCTCAGTCATGATGAGGGAGAGAACGAAGGTGAAATCCCAATATCCTCGAGAAAGAGGATATGAAGAAGGAAGAATAATTAGGGTTTGCGGTGACGTCCCAACACCTGATCCGGATCTTTGCTTTTTCTCACAGTTTTCCGATCGTCAGCTCTCCCGTGGGATCGTCAGTGGCTGAACACTAGTGCTGGGCCCCCTGGTCTCCGGTGGCGATCAGGCTTATCTTGGGAAACAGCCAGGCTGGATATAGAGAATAGATCAAGAATGAAGATATAATTAGTGTTGGACACAAAGTTGAGACATGTTCACGGGTGAATGTACAGCCTACTACTGAAGTAATACTAGTATTAACCCTAAATTAGCAGTTTTTAGGCAACAGTCGAGACTTCATCTCTGACGGCAGTTTTACCGAAATGAAGCTATTATTGGCCCATCGACCCCCTGCCCAGGTGGGCTGCGTCATCTCCAGACCCAGTTTGCTTAGCTAATCGCTGGAGTTTGACCCTAAATGCGACTCTCGGATCTTCTCTCTCCCCAAGGCTTTGTACAGTTTCAAGATGCGGTGGTCGCTACTCATCGCGTGCCTGGCGGGCTTAACCGTGGCCCAGGACAGTTCCTCAACCACAGACATTAATACCATCACCGATGTATCCACGGTTGAGACAGTCACCACCCCTGTTTCTATGCCCTCTGGTACCTACGTGGATGTGAGCACAACAATTACACTGGGTGATTCGACAGTTATCACCACCACCCGCTCCAATGCTACCATGACTAGCGGAAACCAGACCGTGCTCTCGACGACTACCGACTCCATCACTCTGTTGACTGGCGGGGGAGGTACAACTACTCTCGGCAACAACAGCATGAATGCTACAGCTACCACGGCCACAAACACGGCTACCAAGAGCCCCGTGGTCAACACCCGGCCTTGCAACGGCTACCCGGAGTTCTGCACCAAGAAGTACTCGAACATCACCATGGTGACTGCCCACAACAGCCCGTTCGTGCGCCAGAACAACGTCGCTGCCAACCAGGCGTTGGATGTGACGTCGCAATTGAATGATGGTATTCGCATGTGTAAGTGACCGTGATACTCCGAGTACAAAACATGGTATACTGACATGCCGCAGTGCAATTCCAAACCCACTACGAGAACGGCACCATTTACCTCTGCCACACTACCTGCCAATTGCTTAATTCGGGCACCCTTGAGGCCTACCTCACCGAGGTCAACAGCTGGATGCGCAAGAACCCCTACGATGTGGTGACCTTCATGATCGGTAACTATGACTACGTCTCCCCTGAGAACTTCACCACTCCGATCTACAATGCCGGTCTGGAGGACCTCATCTACACTCCCACCAAGGTGCCCATGGCTCTGAATGACTGGCCCACTCTCTCGGACATGATCCTTAGGGGCAAGCGCGCCGTCTTCTTCATGGACTACCAGGCCAACCAGACCGCACTTCCCTGGTTGATGGATGAGTTCTCCCAGATGTGGGAGACGCCTTTCTCGCCCACGGACAAGAACTTCCCTGCACAGCGCAGCGCCCTCCCGGTCTGTCCGAGCAGGACGCTAAGAACCGTTTGTATATGGCCAACCACAACCTCAACTTGCAGTTGAACCTTGGTTCGCTGAGTATGTTGATTCCCAACACTGCCGAGCTCAATGTCACCAACGGTGTCTCTGGCGAAGGCAGTCTTGGCTGGATGGCGGAGAACTGTACCAGTAAGTTATTTACCTTTTTCACACCTTTATGCCCTTGACAACGCTAACCCGAAACAGAGAAATGGGACCGCCCCCCAACTTCCTCTTGGTAGACTACTACAACTACGGTACACCCAACGGCACAGTCTTCGAAGTCGCTGCCGATATGAACAACGTCACCTGGGACGGTAAATGCTGCGGCAAGGCATCTGTTGCGCCCCGCGGAGTCTCCGTCGCCAGTGTGTCGTCGTTGCTTCTGGTGGCAGTCGGGGTGCAGATGATCATGTCTGTGTTCTAATTTCCACGATGCCTATGATTATTTTCATTTTTTCTTTTTGGCATGACCGCATTGGTCTTCGGCGCTAGGCTTTTCTTTTCTGGACCATACATATTATATTATATTGTACTGGATATGACCTTGACAAAAGATTTATACATATTTCAAATTTGAGAATAGACGATTCTATCAACATGGGGTATGAGCGTAGATGTCTTAGTAAAAAGCAATTGATCATAGTAATTGATTAGAAGACTCTACTGCTATAAAAAGAAATTACCATACAGCCTTCAATTAAGGAATAAAATCAATACGTCCATGATCAATCCCTACAACTGAACCTCAACCTCGGGAGACATCTACATCACATGACCTCCCCCACCGCAAACCAACCCTCACAGCAAACTAACCTTACCACTGAACTCCAATCAACCCTCACGCCCCCCGAAAAAGGGACCCAAACCAGAAACCCGAACAACAAACCCCCACAATCGCACTCCCACGCACACAGCCGCCAAAATGGTCGACATAGTCCCACTCTCAAGCTACCCCTCCTACATCGACCTCCTCCCCTCAATCCAAACCTGCAACATAACAAACCTCCCCGAAAACTACTTCCTAAAGTACTACCTCTACCACGCCCTGACATGGCCCCAGCTAAGCTTCGTCGCCGTGGTCCGCCCCCGCTCGGGCTACAAGTCATCTACTGCTCCCGGCGGCGCCGGGGCCGCTGGTGATGTGTCCGGCGAGTACCCTAAGGTTGTGGGTTACGTGCTTGCCAAGATGGAGGAGGAGCCTGCGGATGGGAAGCAGCATGGGCATATTACTTCTCTTAGTGTTATGCGCACGCATCGCCGGTTGGGGATTGCCGAGAGGTTGATGAGGATGAGTCGTGAGTTTTTCTTTTCTTTTTCTTTTTCCTTTCTTGTATTCCTTGCTTCCATGTGTGATAGACAGGCAATTGGCCGTTTTATACATGTCAACGATCTGAACAGAACTAACAACCCCCTTCTTCCTCGTAACAGAAAGAGCAATGGCCGAATCCCACCGCGCCCACTTCGTCTCTCTACACGTACGAGTCTCCAATGTCGCCGCTTTGCGACTGTACCGTGACACGCTTGGCTTTGAAGTTGAAAAGGTTGAGAGCGGATACTACGCTGATGGTGAGGATGCGTATGCGATGCATCTGAATCTGCAGAACATGTGGCTTGACTGGAAGGCGATTGAGAAGCGGGACCGGGAGAATAATAAGGAGAATGGGGTTGAGGGGGATGATGAGAATGTTGATGAGGGGGAGGAGGTTGGGGAGCTTGGGAAGAAGGATGCTGAGAAGATGATTCGTGTGAAGGTTGGGAGGGGGCTTGGGGTTGGGGATTTGGTTGAGAAGAATGAGAGTCAGTGATTTGTGGTGGTTGAGATCACTTGAATTGAGCGGAGTGGATGATAGATGGGGTTTGTGATTGGTGTGGATTGTTGTATGTATAGAGTTTGCATAAAAGTTTCATGATTGTCTTGCGTTTTCCGTCCGAGGATGTACAGTAGATATTGACACTTGAGTTGCGAGGGGATCACTTGGGAATGTTCTGTCATAGGGTGGGTCACTTGTACTGATGGTAGCAGTCATTGGAGCATGGGGCTATTGATACAGTGCTGGAAGAAATATAAACATGGTATCATAACGTCGTCGGCCATATATGGCCACTATTTCAGATGATAGCTTTACACTCGAATGTTGAAACTCACAATACCGTCCTGCTGTCCAAGTAACCTATAAACTCCCAGCTTAAAGCACCACCAATATAAACAATTCAATAAAAGCACCGGAGTTACTTTGGAGCAATTACTTGCTCTCCCCCTCAGCATCCTCATTCTGTTGCTTCTTTTTCGCCTTGCGTGACCTGAGCATATCCTTGATCCGGGTCGAGGTATCAGTGGGCTTCTGTTTCTTCGAAGTACCAGCTGGCGCAAAGTCCTGCGTACTCGCCCTTGAGATAGACGGCGGGTTCGACCCTGACTCAATGCTGGCAATTGACGCATTTGAAGCTGTAATTCGATTTTGCTGAGCTGGCGTAGTTGCTGGGCGGGGGACCACAGGCGTACCATCCAATCGCAAAGTCCCGAGCTGCTGCTCTAGTGGCTGGTCATATTTTGCCGTGTCGCCCTCACTAGCTCTTGCTTGCCGAACCTGTCGGCGACGGACTCGACGCCGTTCACGCTGTTCTTCTCTAGCCCGGCGAAGCACGTCTTTGAATACTTTTTTAGTGGCGCGCATTTCATCCTTCATGGCGCGTCTGTCCACAGAATTCCGCTCTTGCTGTTCAGGGGAATCCCAGCGGCCCCAGTCGTTATTTGACTGTTGGTTTTGTTTTCTCCAATCTTTCCGACCTGATATTTTATCTTCTCGGCGGGATGCTTGCAGAGCTGTGAGCTGCCGGCGAAGCTCGACGGCGGCATCGTACAGCGTTCGGTCGTGCCGATCATCCAGAAGCTCTAATTGGGTGCGAACCGTTGCCAAGTCCGAAACACTCAGATTTGACGATGTGGAAATGGAATCAATCGAGCTGAAGGATGACTCGGACGAGACAGAACTAACAGACACTCGCCTGGAGCGCTCAGTCGGTGGTTTGGGTTTGTCAATAACCTGATCGGTTAAAACGGGATGACTGGTTGTATTGATGCTTGTCACAGGGCTCGGAGTTGTGTTTTGAACCGGGTTCATTGGGACATTGACAGCATGCTGGGGTGAATTATCCCAGGCAGGTCGGCCGTAATGTCCACTGGGAGCGGTCATAGGTGCCTTCCGTCCATGAAGTCTTGCTTGTTCTTCCAGCCACCGGCCATGTGCAAGTGCCTGCTCCTCAACCTGACGCCCATAATGCTGTGCCTGCGCGGTGATTTGATCTCCGTATTGTTGAGCTTGTTCGCTGAATCGCTCTCCATACTTCTGAGCCTGTGATGCGAGTTGTGATATCCAGCCAAATGAGCCGCCCTTGGAGATGCCATTGTTGGGATACTGCTGCTGTTGCTGCGCGTAATTCCAATTGTTCCATTGCCATGGCGCGACACCCTGTGGCGGTGGATGATGTGGAACGGGATAATATTGAGGTGGTTGGTGATTGGGAGACATGGGGGAGGGATATGTGGGAGCACCATATGGTGTTCCATATGGGGATGTATGTATAGGAGGAGTGTGATAAGGGGCAGGCGGCATCTGCCAATGGGTCGGGGAAGGGGTTTGTTGGCCAGAGACAGGCGACGGAGCGTTCGGATTCCGCGACGGCTGACCTTCTATAGACCCTGTTGCAGCTGGGTAACATCGAGGGCATAGACCGGAGGCAGGCGCATTATCTGGGTCGCCTACATAGACGGGAACAATCTGGGTAGAGCGATATCCAAAAAAGCACTCGTTCCATTCAGCAACCACAGCAGCAATCCGAGCTTTCCGCTGTTCGTCAGTCTCTTGTGGACGGTCCTTGCGATCGCGTCTAATTTCCGCTCGCAACTGGCGTGGAAGATGCTGCGACGAAGCGGCAAGTCCTAATTGAGGTGGGAACAGATACCGGAGAAAAGTATCCCAGTCCTGCTGAGTGACCTCATCAAACCGTGTAGCCCAACAGCGCGGCCTTCGCGGGAAATCTTTGGCCTGACTTCGTGGGTAAATAGTGATATGATGCTGCAGAATATCCCGGGTCTCATCCAGGACCCACGGAGGCCGTTCCTCAAAGTACGCAGCGGCGGATGTGAAATGTGTCGGCATTATCGTCGGCCGTGGGGGAGTCCGCGAGCTGCTGGCATCCTGCGATTCCGATACCCCTCCACGAGGAGGAATCGGTGCTGGGTTGCCATTCCGGGTTGGTGCAATCAATGGATCGACGGCGGAGTACGGGGGTGGGGGAGCCTCCTCCTGATCCATTGTGGGAGGGACTGGAGGCGATGAAGGGCAAGAATGCAGTGGCCTAGAGAAGTCTGCAAGTACTGTCAAACCTGAATGCGCATGCTGTGATAAGATAACGATGGTTCGAGGGCGAAAGGCAGCAGGATTACTGTGGGGAGAGATGTCAGCGTAGGCTTGGCATGTCGTCGTTGGGGTATATGCCTGACCTGTGCAAGATGAGTCTATTGTCAATCACAACACAACCCCTGAGTGTCTGACAACTGGTGATGGGGGAAGAAGTGGAGGAGGAAAGAAATGGGAGGTTGAGCGGAGACGATAAGAGATAAGCCCTATGGACCCTGGCCGTGGACTACATCTACATCCCTTCACATCAGTCTAAAATAGGCAAAAAAAGAGGTGAAAGCAGAGAGGCCAGAGTAGGGTGAAAACACTGCATGAAATGGTATACTGACTTCGAAGCTTTTGTGTAGACTATTCAATACTTCACTAGTGGCACTGTATCCACACTTATGACCTGTTGTATATTTTTGTCGCTCTTCGTCTTTCCCATTGATGTAATTTCAATCATTATAGGTCGCCTCGATGTTTGAAGGCTGTGAAAATATATTTCTTTGGCCGTGACAATCAACTTTGTATAATCAACGGTCTACTAAATTTCCTGTCAGCCACAGCCTCAACGTTCATTCGAGTTCTGTCGATCCAGTCTCCCAGGATTTGCTCTCAGGAAGTTTATTTATTACCATGCTATATTGCATTTCATGTGAATCTTTCTCGCGATGACCAATGGGCAGATTTACTTGGCATCTAAAGTACATTGCCTTTAACAAATCTCACCGTAGTAAGTGATATTTAGTAGGCTACAGCAATCAGCTACTTTGTTAATTTTCTTCTCACTAAGCACAAAAATTTTATTTCTAACCACTATTCAATGGATGTTGACTGCATATATTGTCACTTGAGATTTTGGGTAAACCTTGAGCCTTTGGTAGAACCTTAAGAGGTTTTGGGTTAACCTTGAGTTTTTGTAGAATCAGTCAAGAGGTAGAAAGAGATGCAGGCCTAGGACATAGTGAGTCGGCACCATCGAGTACATGTAATGGATGGAGGACTCGGGGAGTGATAAATCATAAGGAGGAGAACGAGAAGGATGATGCTTCTATCTGGAGAAGCAGCAGACCAAATAGTCCTATGGATTAGGGCTAACACACAAAAGAGGCATGATCTCATGAGACAAACTTGTCAGGTTCTAACAGAAGTTTTGAGAAAGTGGTCTAGAGATATGACTGCCTGGGGAGGTATCCAGCCCGCAAGATGGTTGATAGAATGACAATAGATTATTGTAGTGTACTCGTATAGAGATTTACTGTTTGGACTCGATAGCACCGGTCGCATCCATTTTGCGGGGATAGCGCCCCCGGGAAAGTCCTGGTCAGCTTTGCCAGGCTCCGGGTGACGGTGCCCGAGCTCGCCCCGAAGCTGTTTTGCTCGCTTTCTTCTTCTTCCCTTTCCTCTTCCTTCCTCTTCTTTCCTTACCTCTTCTTTCTTCTTTCATCACATTTTCTACACCCATTCGTCGAAAGCTTGTCTCCTTCGCAGATAGACAAGGACTAGCATCCTTCGTCTAGTGTGACGGGATACACATCCACAACCGGCTACCACAGAGTCCTTTGACTAACTGGTCAAGGCTTCAAATAGGTAAGAGAACAATACCTGAATACTATGTTGGATAACACTTATGCTAATGGGGCTATTTGCAGACCTCAAACGGATTCTCCGACCAACATTTCACAGCCACCAATATTTCAACATGGCTATGTCCAACGAACACACCCGGGACTGGTCTGTTCTCTTCGAGACAGAGGTCCTTGGATATTCCAACTTTGACCAGGCTTGTGGCCTTCCAGCGGTCAGTTCGTTGCCCAATCTCTACAGATTTGATGCTCGCCTCCACTTTCCAATTGAATACGACGGCTTCCAGGAATGGTATGGGCTGGTGCATCAAATCCTCAAGCACCACAATCTGCATAATTTAATTGACAGCAGCGTTCTTCGTCCCTTCCGTGACGATGAAGATGCCCCGAAATGGCAGGCCTTGTCTTTGGGTGTCACCAGGTGGCTTGCCTGGAACATGGGTCCAGAGGAGGTTGCAGAAATTGTCGATGGAAGGATCGATGAACAGAATACCCGCTTGGCTCTTGAATTGACGCTGGCCGATGATTTCATGGACGGTATCAAGAAGTTGATGTTCGATGAAGAAAGCCCTGACTTGGAGACGTGCACCAATCTCCTCTTCAGAATCATGAACACAGAGCGATCTGACGTGGAGACTCTTCCACAGTTCGTTCACCTGGTTTGGAGATTGTATTGCAAGGCTCATCGTTACAGCCTGAACGTTCATCCCTTCATCCTGCTGTCGATCCTTCTCAATGGAATGAAGTCTGAAGTGCCTGAATTCGTTGCAAATCAGCTTGAGATCATGGACCGGATGATCAACCCTACCTATGGGGTGACCGACAAGCATTTCCAAGATGCTCTTACTGCCTATCGCGCATACAGGCAGGCCCAGGACACATCTGGTGATGATTCGGATAATTCATCGGATAATTCCTCGGATCAGGAAATGGACGTATCCAGCGAGGAAGATGTCGACCCCGACAACGAGGACGATGTTGACGCAGACAATGAGGAAGTCACCCACCCCGAGACATCAATTGCTGAGGTGGTGGAGATTGACTAAGGAAGTAACGGCATGAGCCGAGAAGGACGGAGGACATCCTGACATGGGGCCCTTCGAGTACCAGGGTCGGATATTCTCTCCGCTGAGCAGAACTGTCACTATCAGGGCCCATGATTCCCATAGGCAAGTTAAGAAGAAGAAAGGAGCGCTATCTCGTGTCAGCGCTACTCCGGAAATGATGGACAGATCCTTCGTCAGGTGCCAATTGTTGTCATGATCTCCAACGGCCAATAATGAATTGGGAAGAACGGGGGACATGGCCACAGGCAATGCTTGCTTTACCGTCAATGCTTGCTTTACCGTCAAGGCAACTAATGTGAGTTGGATCGTCTCCTTTCTATGGTCTTCTTTCCAGGATCCTTCTTGCTAACAAAATTGAAAGGAAACGACGGCTCGCTATCCGAAATGGTCGTTCGTATGGTATGTATGGACTATGAAGTCCATGTCCCTCCGAAGATACTTCATCATCTTTCATCACTCTTTACTACACCTTCTTCTTCTCGTCTAATACATGGAAAACAACCCGTTGGATCATTTAATCCATGAGTTCTTGCTCCTGATCAAGACAAGAGAATTGGAAGATATCTGAATATTGGAACCAACATAACACAAGAAACAATGAAAAAAATGTTCCATTTTATTATGTACAGTGAAGGTCTATACATTGCTCGTAGAGGCTCAAAAGCGTGCTCCACCATCTCTATGACTAGATAATTTTCCCCGGTGTGATTCCCCCTTAATCCGCTTTTAAACAGATCAAGTCTTCTTCCCATCAAGATTGACCGGCCACCTCTCTCGGATATTCTTCCCATACTTGGTAAAGATGATAGGCACAGGAACAAACGCCAAAGCGACAAATCCAAGTAAAGAATTTCCCCATCCCAGCCCAAGAGCATCAAACATCGCAGGACCAGCGAGCGGCAACAGAGCCCCAAGAAGCGATCTTGTTGCAGTGAGTGTAGCATTAGCTGACGCCGCATAGGCCGGATAACAATCAATAACATATGTCTGGATCGGCATATAAACACCCATCATGCCGAACCCGAATGGAAACATGCCAATAATAGGCACGATCCAAAAGACCTGTTTATCAGCAGTCCAGCCATACCAGAAGAAGCTGATTGGCAAGACGCAGGCGAAGAATGTCATCATTGGCAGACGCATCTCTGGCTCGAATTTGCCGCCGTTTCGTGCAGTGAGTTTTATCATAACCTTGTCATTTGTCAGGGCAATAACCATTAAGCCAGACATGAATCCAATTCCGATACCGAGGTATGCGAGTCCAGAGAGTCCGACAGAGAAGCCGTATTGACTGGTGAAGACTTCGGAGATGGTTGTGAAGAATAGGTACAGAAGACCATAAATGAGAGACTGAGGAGATCGTCAGCGTGTCATTACCGATACCTCCGATATTTCCAAACTCACCATGTATGTTGACAAAAGGAACACAATGGGCGACTTGCAAAACAACAGAACAGGTCTCTTGAAGCTCCGCACCAGGACCTCCGTCACAGGAGCAGGTTCCTCATCCAGGTCATAGGCGCTGCGCAAGTCCGTACGCCCAAGCTCCTTTGCGAGTTTGTCTTTTTTCCACCGAATCAAAACGGAAGGATATGTCTCCTTATTCAAGACTTCCACACCGAAGGCCAGGACACCTCCGGCGATGAGCAATAGCCAGAAGACCCACCGCCAGCCAACCTCCTCACCAAGGAATCCACCTGCAATTGGGCCAACCACAGGGCCAATCAGAGGTCCCATGGCCCAGATTGAGGTTGCCATTCCGCGCTTCTCACGTGGGAATAGATCTGCAATCACTCCAGCTCCGAGGGTGAGGCAGCCCGAACCGCCGATTCCAGCGAAGAGGCGACAGACGATTAGGGTTTCGATGTTCTGGGCGAGGGCACAGCCAATTTGCCAGACGACGAAGAACCAGTTTGCGCCGCTGAGGACGATGCGGCGGCCGTAGACTTCACTCAGGGGAGCTAAGAGGAGGGGGCCAAACTGTAGAACGGGTAAATTTGTTAGATATTTCTGGTAGCTGATGACCGGGATTGCTAGATTTGGACTCACTGTATACCCGAGAAGGTAGATGCTGACACTGAACGAAAGAATTGTCTCATCGGTCTCTTTGAATTCCGCGGCCATGTATGTGATGGCCGGTGAGAACATGCTCGAGGCCAGGGGCGAGATCAGAGTCATAGCACTGATAAGTGCGAGCAAGGCCCACTTCTTGCCTGTGGAAAAGTTCTGCGGGTTGTTGGGGTCATCTTGTCCGTCCCATCCTACTATACCGCGGCTCAAGTCGGTCTCGGGGTATTGCTCTGTGGCAGGGGATGTTGTCTCGGTATTGCTTGGTTGCTTTTCGATATCAGGGGTTTGGTGTGTGACACTGTCTTCGTCGTTTGCAGTCGAGTAGATTGAGTCTGACTCTTTTTGTGGCGTTTCCATGATGGAATAGTAAGGTATTAGAGAATATATATGTGTATAGACGTCTTGGCGTGTTTGAAATGATATAAGAAAGGGAATGGATGAACACGCCAAGGAAGAGGAAGATTAAATAGTTTAAAAAAAGAAGAAGACGGGAAAAGGAAAAGCGATCAGTTATAAAAGTTAGGGAGATTAAGTCTGATCAGCCCGGAGGGAACATCCGATTATTTAAATTATGCCCGAATAGCGCTGCAGGGCTCGCCTCAAGAGATCTATCCATAAGCGACCGCGCGGACTATGGATTGATCCTTGTGTTCATAAGATTGGTTCATAATATGTAATATCTGGATGTGGGTCTCTCTTTACAAGACTCTTTCAGCCTGCATTCAGTCACACAGGGGTGGTCGCATTCATGGAGTCGCAATCAAGTATGGCCGGTACTATTGTTTTCGTTTGGCTGGCAACGTGGTTTCTGCCGTACAAACATCAATACTTTGTAATAGAAAAAGTCGAGGAACTTGTGCAAGCTTACAAATCTGACCCCCTCGGGACAAAAGAGATGGACTTCGATCCTGTATCCGGGAGTTGTTCAATGTCCCCAGGCAATGAATCAGTGGTCCATTTATATCTATTATGCACCAATCAAAGGGGCCATATATCTGCGCTGAATCAGTGGTGGCCCGAGTTCCATGGGTGGGGCTTGTTCATACCGGAACCTTATGTTTATTTTAATACCTGGCATAACTTGGACGTCTTCATGAAGTATCGATCATTGGCGGTTTTCGACGAGGCAAGACAGACCGAATAATCTATAATAGGTTATATCCTTCTGGATAACGTAAATTACATCCACGGTATTTGCTACTTTCCAGAATAATGACAAAATTTAGGATTCTCTATCTAGCTTGCTCTATTATTTACAGAATTTATTTCATGTCTTGCTTGGAGCCCAAGCCTGCAGTCCGTAACATGCTTGTAAAATCTCCATCCTTTGTTTCCACAATTGCGACTGTTCTGAATCCGAACGTAGAGTATAGCCGAACACCATCGGCCAAGGACAGAACAATAATGTCAAGTGCATACCCGTCCACACTATCGCAGAGCATCTTCAAAAGCGTACAGCCAATACCTGGGTCATTAATGATCTGAATTCACAGCCATGAACGTGATCCCTAGGGAAGACAGGTCAATAAAGCCTGAAAAGTTTGGATTACTGGCTTAGTACATATTCCATTGCCTTGTCAGTTTTGGAAAACTCTCTGTCTCTCTGTTCTGAGCCTTTTTGAGATGCCAAGCCATGAGTACATATCCAAAGAAGGGGATTCCGCCTGTTATGATGTTTCTCGGGCCTAATTACCAGGCAATTTGGAATAGACTTCTCGCCGTTCATCACTCCATTTGGAAAAGAACGTGAGCTAATGGTCCAACGTATAAGTCCGACAGGTAGTCCATTTGCTCCACACGCCTTATATATAATGTTGTTCTCTCGATCTTTTATTTCGTCTTCGCTATGATCCCACTGCTGCCCTGTCGGGTATAGGAACATCAAGCGACGGAGTGAGTCGTCACTAGCGCATTCAAATCCTCAATTCCGGCAGGCGATAAGAAAATTGTGAGCTTTTGCTGATTTGAAAGAAAGAGAAATTGGTCCTCGTTAGTGCGTCAACGAACAAAGGAAGAGAGCAAGGAGCGTGCGATTCTCCAAGAGGAAGCCACATGAATCTGACTCAGCTGACACTGTATTGGGAAACCGTTGGTCTATTACTGCGGCTAATACGGCCCAATGGTGAGATAAATAACCTATTAGCAGCATACTTTCAAGCGTTATAGTGCCACCTCGGCTTTTTCTCGGGCTACTGATTCTCTCGTTTTGTTTCTGCTGCCGTTCCATTTCTATTCATGGGGCTGAAACTTTGTTGGTAGCTATTGGTTGAGGCTGAGAGCGGTCACTAGGTTGTCAACGAAGCTAGCCTCCAAGTGACGTGAGGTGAGTTTTTTCATGAATTTCCAAACGTACTCCGGATTTGAATGTTGGAGGCGGCTTAGGCGGAGCAGAACACTCTCATTCAAAAAAACTTGATCTCTTCACCCCCTCCTCTCCATTTGTCTGACATGTTCTGTGACATGTTTGCTGACATCGGCATTCCTTGCGCCTGGGGATTTGACTTAGAATCGCGTTCCTATGGTGGAGCTTGACAGCAAGGAGTTCTTTGGGTTACTGTCCAGAAAAAATCTACCTGAGGGCAATCTCAAATTAAATTCCTATTCTTACACAAGCTCGAATACTATAGAATTAATATCAATTCCAACAAAAAGATCCGGATATCTCGCAATAAACTCCGGAGTAAGACCCCAACCACTCGCACGCATGAAAGTATCATAAAACCTCGGCTTAATGATCAATTCATTTTCATTATTCCGCTCAAGGATATCCTCACCCCACGGCCAACGGATTTTAATACAACACGCAAACATGCCAAACAGATCGTCACGATCTTTGACATACAAATGCCACCTATGCATCAAGTTCAATCGAAGCTTTGGCCACGGCATAAAATCCAATACGGCAGGATGTGCGATTTGCATCTGCTCCTGTGTCGGTCTCAGGAACGCAGGCAGTCGTTCAAAAGTTGCTGGACTGGGTGATATAATCCATCGTGTCATGTGGTAGGAAAGCCAACCAATCGCTAATCGCTCTGGATCTCGGATTGGGCGTCTCTGAAGGGCCGTATGAATCATGTCGGCTAGTGGGTTGGCTTTGGTGCCATAGAGGATGTCCAGGGCGGACGACGGGATATCCGGACAAGGCGTTATCTTTTCTGGGTAGCCAAGCCAGGGACACGAAATAATTGTCCGTACGTTGGTGAAGTCATCGCTATGCAGTGGGATCTGATTCCATGGAGGCAGTTTATTTGCTGGAAGGGATTCCGTGGGTGACTCTGTGCGCGGGGATGTTGTTGGTGTAGCCGACAAAGGATTGGTTGGTCCATTTGATCCTCTTGATGGAGCAAGCTCATTGCTATCCCGCTGAATTTGCGGGCACTGAAGCTCTTGGCTTCTCATCTCCTTGTAGAGGTACACCCCATTCTGGTTAGAGCGATCTGCGCTTGGCAAAGCCTCCCAATCTCTGTCCCATGAGGCGATAAATGATTTCAAGCTTCTTTGGCGGTTAATAAGGGCCTCGTTTTGTTCGCGAAGTCCGCTGATCACCTGAAGAAGCCGTTGCACGCCTTGGTCATTGTGGTATTGCTGACAATGGATCACTTGTTCTTTGAGTTCCGCTGTGTGCCGCAACTTTTTGTCGCGAAGAGTCTGTTGCGACCGGCGATCTCGAAGGCGCTTCTTTTCCACTGATGACATTGGTAGTCAAGGGTTGAGAAAAGGAAGATTTCATGAGGTGCGGTCTTGATGTCGCGTCGTGATTGGCACAAATTCTCGGCATAAATTAATGATCTGCATAACTGCATAAATAATCCACTTCTCCCGTTGACGGCATCCTATTGATGCACTCTTTGTCTCCAATTTCTGGCTGATATTAATTATATCTCAGTAAATAGCCTTGAGAGCTTAGTATAGGGGATCCGCTGACAGAGCCGCAAGTCTTCATCAAGTCTGCTTGTCTTTTGCATAGGACAAACAGGCAACTGTCTCCATATTCCTTCAATAGTAGTCTTGCTAGACATGGGGTGATAAGGATTTTACCAAGATGACCTTCTCTAATTTTATTCTGATCGCTATTTGACTGTGCTAAAAGCCAGATAGAATACCATCTCGTAAACGTTCCGAGGTGGCCCACCAAGGCCGATCCCCCGCCCTTTCACTGCAGGCTCACAGACAGCGATGCACCACTGACCCGACTCTGAACTGCCGAAGAGACTGCCGACAGCCCTAGGCGCTTGAGATGGCAAATTTTAACCACGCTTTTTTCTCCAAAGCCTATAAGAGCCTATCGGCTGTACCCCTGATGGGTCCTTTGTTCCCTAGTGGCGCCTTGATGGGCAAACTTTCAGCCACAGGTCTTCGAACCACGAGTTTCCTTCACCCAAAGGGGAAACGCAGGCAACAGATCGTGAGGAGGTTGATCAACGGAACAACTTCCGCATAGATTCACTCTGTAAAGACTGAGCCCTTCATGCAGCCGTCGGATACCTCCGCCGATACGCCAACTTGCATCGGCAATTTCTGGAAAATCCGGGGCATCGCACCCACAATTCTTCTCCACAGTGACCCCGACGAGATTATCAACGTTTCTCAGCTCAAGATCTGTTACCAGAAGTTTTAAAGTTCGTGTCGTCGTCTGGGTGCAGCGGAATTTGGCGACATACGAAGATACCCAGGGGATTAATTCCGTTCTATGAACTCACTCTTCCCCGTTTGAAGGCAGCTTGTCTGCTAATATCAGGCTCGCGTTTTACCATGCCCAATGGGATAGCAAGTTCTTCATTTATATATTAGGCCTCTCACTAATACGGGACTACATCCGGATTCCTTTCGCATTCAAAGGATGTGGACTCGGATATGCCGTTAGATTGAGGTGCAGGTATTTATTACCGAGGTAGTTGACCTTCAATTCTCTTGCCGATGGCGGGGATTCGAGGTTCCACAACAGGTCTTTGCGCAAACCTCGCGAAGGAGTCATATAAATTGACAGATTGCCACGTTCAAACGATCTGAGCTACCCAGCGGTACAGCGACAAAACTACGAAGGGAAAGTGCTTGATTCCTGCGTTACGATGGGCTCTTCTTTCATAAGTCGGCTTCCTCAGGCACTCGTCCTCATTGCAAGTTTGATCAATGTGATTACTGCACAGACTTCCAATGAAGCATTATGGCCACTGCAAACATACAAAAGCTCATCAATTCAAACTCCATATATGAACGTCACGAAGATGGGCCAAACAGAGCCAGGACACCTGTTCTTCACGCCGCACGATATATTGCGAGAAACTGGCCACCCAACCATTTACGCAGACGACGGCCAACTAGTATGGCAAGGTGCCAGCGGAAACTATTCTGGACTCCAGCCCCAAATGCTAAACGGTGAACCAGTAATCGCCTATTGGAGCGGATATGCCGGTGAAGGATTTGGATTTGGTCACATCAGTATCTTGAACGGTTCATACGACGAGATCCACCGCGTCACACTGTCCTGCCAGGAGCAGAACTTTGTCACAGTGTACAACCCAATGACTTTCAACTCGTGTATTGATATTCATGAAAGTCAGATTACCGAGAATGGCACAATTCTCGTCACTGCTGTGAATGTTACTCGGGCTGATTTGAGCTCCATTGGTGGAGAAAAGGATGGCTGGATTCAGGATGGTCTTATTTATGAGATTGATATTGCGACCAATGAGATTGTTTTCCGATGGAGTGCACATAATCATATTGGCCAGGTCCCTTTAGCTGATGTTCGTGCTCCACTTGAGGGCTCAGGGGGTTCCGGTGTTAATTCGACTTATCCTTACGGATACCCTCATTTGAACGCTATCTACAAATATGGCGATGATTATTTGGTGTCATCGCGGTATATGTGTAGTGTGTTCTTCATCGCACAGAACGGAACGGTTATCTGGCATTTACATGTAAGTCGGAATTATTTAATGTATCGGATTCACAAAATTTCTAACCCAGAACGCAGGGCCGAACCGGCGGTGACTTTAATCTAGGTCTGGGCACAAGTTTCTGTTACCAGCATGATGTGCGGATTCAGTCGCAAAGTCCCGAGCGTGTAACATTGACCATGCACAACAACGACAACACCGAATTCACAGGCCACACATCACTGACCACGGGCCTTGTACTGAACGTTGAGCTACAAGGCTCAAAAGAGGTTACACTCGTTGGTCGAACGTGGGATGCTGCTGAACCGGTATACGCCGAGTCCCAGGGCAGCTACCAGAGCCTTGGAAACGGACACGTCTTACAGGATCATGGTGCGACGCCTAAAATCGAGGAGTATGATGAGAATGGGACTATTGTCATGCGGGCTCGATTTGGATATGACAATACCATGCAGACTTATCGCACGTACCGCTACCCCTGGGTCGGACGTCCATCTACGAAGCCTGATGTTGTTGCGTGTCTGACGAAAGGTGGAAAGACAGCTGTTTATGTGAGCTGGAATGGAGCCACCGATGTGGGTTCTTGGAAGGTCACTTCTGGATCCAAGATCAACCACACGGCTTTGCGGAATGGCTTCGAGACTACTATCTTAGTGGCTGGGCTATCAGATGGTGATTCCGTAGCTGCGGAGGCTGTGGGTGGTGTGGGTGATGGGACAAGGTCTCAGTCGGTCACTGTTGGCCAGGGCTGCTAATCGTGTTGGATGGATGGGAATCAACTCAAGTAATGTGGAGTAAAGCTTCAGCAAGCCAGCTTGCAGCCTAAATAGGGTAATGAAGAATTGGTGTAACGTTATACGCTCAATTTGACGGAGGCTCTGCTTCACTACATTCATCCGGCGGATTCCATCCTACCCGCTCCATTTGCCATCTGATGGAAGCACGTTGCTCCACATTTAAATATTGATAAACGCCACTCACAATATGCTCAGGCCATCCGCGCACAAACCAGTAGGCTTCCAGCTCCTTCAACAAAACCACGAAAGGTGAAAAGAGCAGCAAGGCGAGGGGCTCGCGCTGTTGGAGATCTGATGCGAATATCTCAGGAAGTGTATATAGCCAGCGGAAAATTAGTGCCCAATTTTCCCCTTTGCTGGTAACTGTGCCGCTATAGACCTTATCAAAGGACCAGGCAAGGCCGTCTAGGGCACGATGATAAATGGGATAGCGAAAATCGTCTGTGGAGATTCCAAGACAAAGTATCGTCTGGAGGTGCTCGTAGCAGCTTCGCCATCCTGTGTGAATATCATTCTGGTCTTCGAAACTCTCGAAGAGGGGCCGAGTCGAGCTTGAATTGGAGGCATGGGACGAAATCAAATCGACTGATAGTACGTCCCTTGAATGCTCGACAATTGATCGAACACCTCCTAGTAGGCTCAGCCATTCTGCATTGCCTTTGTCATAATTGAAGACAAGAAATTCCCCAGCACTTGGTCCCTTTGCAAACGAGCAAAAGCAAATGAAGACCGCACTGGCATAGACGGCATGGCAGCTTGTTTCACTCAGGCTAGGAATCGAGTTGCTGACTTCACGTACGGCAGTTGTGTAATGATGATCACCCTGAGTCATGATTGTGCTTTCCGCTGAGGCTTTGCTTGGTAATACCTCCCGCCTCTGCTGCTGTCGTTTCAGATAGGCATTATGATACGCCGAAAACGCCAGAAGAAGGCGGAGAACATAGTTAAACTTGAATCCTAGTTGAGGAAGTGTTGTTTGCATTAATTGTCGACCTGGCTCATCCTCTGCTAATGTCATGGAAGTGAATATCATGTAGTGATGAAACAATTCCATATCGGCCCCACTGAATTGAAAAGGCGTTTCGGGAATAGGGGTATATGATGGCTCGGGGGGAGCTCTATTTAGATTGACGGCACCTTTAGACTGGCCTGCCTTTTCGTGCCTTCTCTTGGGAGGCCGAAAATTGGTCGCCGAGGATGATATAAAGGAGTATGGATTTTGTGGCTCCGACTGCCGCGACTGCAATTGAAACTCCTTCTGAGAGTCGGTACTTGAGGCATCTGATTGAACTTGCAAAAGCAATTCATCTTGCATAGTGTAGTCGCATGTGATTGAATGGCGAACGCAATGTGTACACTCCGGTTTGACTTCATCGCACTAGAATGCTGTCAGTGTCATCGGTCACATGGCCTTAGCATTGGCATGCAGATCCAACAAAATTGATTATATAGGGGGTCAACCATACCTTTATTTTGCGACGTTTACAGTTAGCACAGCCCAGGCGGGATTTCTTATGAGTCTTTCGAGAACTCTTGGTGAGATAACAGTCCGCTTTTCGAGACATCGTAGTCAAAGGGGAAATTGAGTCGTTGGATCGGAATAGGATATTCGTAGTCGTATAAGATGATCGCTCAAGAAATCATGCTTGATCAGCAAATATTGGTAGAAACTTTTTAGAGCCAAAACTTTAAATGGTCGTGGCTACTGAAGCCATGAGCAACGAATACGAAAGATTTACCGAAGAAGGTTAGCGGTGGTGAATTCTGGTGGGCCTTGTGGGACCATGTCGGACTGTGCCAGGAGCCTCACTTTAAACCTAAGAATGACACAAAGCCTGATCTAACCATAAACGGAGAATAGAAAGACATGCACTTAGAGATCACGTCAAGTCGTAGATAGTTAAGACTTGTGAGAAATTTTCGAGTTTATTTAGCTTCCTAATGCTCTTTTGTTTCGATAGACCACCTGCGTGGGTCTGATCAACGAATCAGCTCCTTCTATCTATCCGAATGCGAACTTCTCTTTTGATCAAACGCTATTTTTGAAATTGAATGGAGAAAGATGATAAGAGAAAGAGCTTCCCTCCGCGCAAACTACATATTTTCTTCACCAACTTTACCAGCAAGTTAGAGATCTTGTGTCTACTCCCCGAAGGGACCCAACTGCCTCTTGTTCATCACTTTGCGTATCCTGGACTATAAACTTCTTGTTCACATCAAGAACTTTCTTCCTCATGGCGGACAAAAAGGGATATCAGGCCTGGCCAGCTGGGCCTCCCGCTTACCCTCAAGCACAATGCCAATCAGGACAAGATCTTACTCAAAATACTGATTGGAATTACTCCCTTTTTGAATGTTTCACCCCCGGATCAGTTTGTGAGTAACCTTCATGTGTCCTGCATTTTTTTCTCTTATATGAGTACTGAAAGACTGACCGTTAGGATTTTCGATTATAGGTTTGATGAGTTGCTGTCTTCCTTGCTTGACCTTTGGAAAGACTCAGGCCCGAGTCAAAAATCCGACCCTTTCCAATTTCAGCTACTGCAACTCGGATGTATGTATTCGTTAAGGGTCTTTTTCAATTCCAGTTCCATCGAAATCCGTTATTTCTCATGCTAATCAAAGCTACCACAGTGCGGCCTGTTTACTTGCCTCGGTTTCGTTTGGTCACACTGGATCCTGCAGACGATTCGTCGTAGCGAACTGCGTCAACAGTTTGGAATCAAGGGTAATTGTTGCGGGGATTGTTGTGCTGTTTTCTGGTGTTCTTGTTGTGCAATTATCCAAGAAGAAAAGGAAGCCGAGCTCCGGACGCGCCCTGCTGCCCAGGCGGCGTACCAGCCGACATCTGGGATGGTCTACCCACAGTAGCTGGATCGATATGGTGGTCATCATGAATCCAGTGGGTAGAGGCAAAGCTGTGATCCTAATGAGGGGTGATAAAATTTTCGTCTATCTCGTTTCTCTTTTTCCTTTCCTTGGCTCTTCTTCTTCTTCTTCTTCTTCTTCTTCTTCTTCTTCTTCTTCTTCTTCTTCTTCTCTAACTGGAGGTGGATGTACTTTGTATACTAATTTTCGAATCCATTCTAATTTTTGTCACGTATTTCGGGGTTCATAATACGTGCTGCATATCAAAATAAGCCAAATGTAGAAATGTAGTTAATTAAGCCACCTATGAGAGCTCGAAACTTTGAAGAGACACAGGTAAATGAGGGGTAAACGGGTTGTACGGCATAATAAGGCTCCTTATGACTGAAGTTGAGGTGGAGCGTACTTACACAAACAAGAAGTCATTGTGCATGGAGTATGCAAGTTTGCCGACTTGGAAACCCATATTTGGTCGGCCCACAAGAACTCAAAAGTGAATTATGTGGCTGTATCTAGCGCGCTGTAGGATGTGTATAAATTCAACTCCCGGTCGAGTTGTTGTGGAACCTTCGCTACGCAAGTTGGAATCCCACATTTTCAGCTTCGCCACAGTGGTGCATGTTCTTCAATGCGATCACAGTAAAGGCATTAATAGACCCACACTTCTGTAAGGATGTCCTAAAGTGGCAGCTAGGGGTAGCTCATTTTCTCAGAGTGCACAAGCCCTTGATCCACCACTTCCTCGGCTATTCATTCAGGCATGTAGCACAGTGGTGAGATAGCACATATTCGCATACCGCACATTATGAGGGAAGCGGTGCTTTGATTTTATGACGTACTACTCTTAAATCAAGTAAACTTCAACTAACATAAAAAGTAGATCATATAGGTTTTAACTGAATATAAATGGCCAATGGAGTTCAAAATAATCTTGTCCCCTCCAACTATTTACCTTTTAAAAGAATCGTCCTAGTCCCTTTTCCGCCGCATCGCTAGCAAATATGATCGACCCTTACAACAGTGCTATTGAATATCTTTTGAGAGAGACGACGACACGGGTCGAAAAATATGCATCCTCAGGAAACGAGTCAGCTCGGGTTGATGCCCTTGACCAGTGTCTTAAGTTGAGTCGGGCTCTCGAAAAGCCAAAGGATGCAGTTTTAAAGCTCTCTCTCTCAGTATGCTATGTGCTCTTCTTTCAGTGTTATATGCTAACAAGTTAGCCTGTTCTATTCATGGCCGTCAAAGTAGGCCATGATTTGGAAATCTTCTCCAGGCTAGTGAAGTCCGGCCCGGCTACGGCGAAGGAACTCGCCGTCACACAAAATGCAGATCCTGCCCTACTTGGTATGTGTGGCCTTCTATGTGGTCTCAATCTTGGTGTCACTAAGATCTCTCAGAGCGTATCCTACGGACTTTGGCGTCCATCGGATACGTGGAGGAGCGTGGCACCGAACTATATGCACCAAGTCCACTATCTTACGAAATGACACAGAGAACTACCATTGGAATGATGGACTCACTGTAAGCTCCCTTTTTCACTCGCTTCGTTTGAAATGCTCAACTAATCTTCAAAGGTTCCGCGAATGGCAGCGAGCTATTACTCGGGCTCCAGAATTTCTCCAAATTGCGGGCTATCGGAACCCTGAAGATACACGGGACGGTCCTTTCCAGCACACTTGTGACACAGAGGATGCTTTCTGGGAATGTCTTGAAAAAGTTCGGAGAAATTGGCCCGCTTCAACACGTTTATAGAGGGTGTCCGAGGGAATCGTCAACATTGGGTAGATTGGTTCCCTTTACAAGAACAGGTGTTAACTGATGCATCAGAGTCAAAAGACCAGCTTCTACTGGTTGATTTGGGCGGAGGTCGTGGTCACGGTATAGCGTACTTCGCTTCGCGATTTCCAGATGCGCCAGGGCGACTCATCCTGGAAGATCTTCCTCCTGTTATCGATTGCATAAAGTTTGGATCCAAAGATAGAACGAGTCAAGCATGATCTCTCCACGCCTCAGCCAATCAGTCGTAAGAAACCCTTGTCGCTAACTTGCCGATGCATGTAGCTAATTTGCTAGGTGCCCGTGTCTACTACATGAAATGGGTTTTACATGACTGGTCGGACGAGAAGTGTGGGGTCATCCTGAATCATATATTGCTGCTACAATGAGAAAAGGATACTCTAAGCTTCTGACTGAAGAGTTTATACTCCCTAAATCCGATGCGCAGCTTCTTCCTATCTTGTTTGATATGATGGTATTGGTAGCCAGTCCCGGTATGGAACGAACTCGTTCGCAGTGGACGACATTGTTGAAAGCCTCTGGCTTGGAAGTCAAGAAGTTCTGAATTCCTAATGGAGGTGCATTAGGTATCATCGAGGCAGAACTGGCATAGTAGAGATACATATATATCCGATCGCTATCGATAGTTTCTTTTTTTGCTCTTTTTTTCACTCCTTTTGATAACAAAAACAAAATCCTAGCCATGCAGTAAGAAATAAAGGGACATGATAAGTCGTTTTACAGTGGCATATAAAATTTAATAATAACTGTGTGATAATTTTAACAAAAATAAACTCGATGATTATAAAAAAACCAAAAGCAAAAAAAGAAACGCTCACTCGTGGACGGTGTTTAGGAATAGCCGAACGCGGGGGTCGAACCCGCAGCCTTAAGATTAAGAGTCTTACGCTCTACCGATTGAGCTAGCCCGGCCGGGCTGTTGGAGGGTCCTGCATTTGTGACTACACAAGCCAAAGAAACAAGACGTCCATATTTTCTTCAAGCCTAGTTTGTTGAGGCGTTGTTTGCGACCTTGTATAGTAGCGGTAAGTTATTACGATCCATTTATGTTACATTTTTGCTACACATTCGGACCAGTTAGCCATTTTGTCATTTATTAACGATGTGTTTTGATATTGCTAGGATCACGCTAATTGCCTTGGAGTCATTTCCTGGCTACCTAGATCGACGGGCTTGAGCGAGTAATAAATTTGAGTATCGGATCCTTGAGATAGTTCAAAAACAAATGGGGCTATTCATGTAAATGATGAAGCCACTGGGCCTGCTCATTCTCACTGGACAAATGGTATGGTCGACTAATAATGTGATCGTGAAGGCTTGAGTGGATCACGACGAACGCTCAACAAAGCAGCAGCTTGGGAATAACCACCATCAGGTGTTGCTTAAAACAGCATTAGACGTTCAGCGTACGCCGGTTTGCGGGAGCAACACAAACGACTTTGTGATCCGGCCAATGCTGTCGCTGGCAATCCTACAACGGATCAAAACGTAAACGTGAGCATATTGAAGACCAATGATTTTTGAACAGGATCACCTTGTTGCAGTACCAAGCATTCTTGCACCGCTTGCAAAACATTGGAACTTTGCCAATATCACGCTCGACCTTGCCACACTGGAAGCAACTGTAACACAACTGTGAGAACTGCATACGACGATGTACACGGGAGAACATCTTACCTTGGTTCCTGGAAGTCACTCGGGACACCAGGCTGGTAGCGATCCAACGCAGCAAGGAATTGGGCGCGACCCGGGGTGCGGAAATCGTCATCACCAAGAATCCAATTGGGGCGGCAGTTCACCTGAGGAACCAAGGCACGCAAGTGCTGCAGATCCTCAGCCTTGATCTTGGCACCAGCTCGTAGCATCAGAGCACCGAAGATGATTGTAATGTAGCGAGGATTACCATTCATACCAGGTGGCTTGGTCTCTTCGGCACGGTAGGCGGCAAAGAGCTGGTCACCAAGGCCATTTGTGTCGAGCTTCCAACGCACATAGGGGACGATCTCATCGGCAAGCTCATTTTTGTACTCCTCTGTGCGATAGCGTGCACGCGCCTGAGCAGGTGCGAGCATATCGGTTTGGAAAACCGTCGAAGCGAGGGTGTGCTCCCAGTTTCCTGTCTGGATGCAAAGGCCGTCGGGCATGACACATGCAATGTCAATATCACTGTCGCCTTCAAAAAGGCCTAGAGGGAGGATGTCAGGCATAAAGCTGTCATGGAAAGAGGGAGGTCTAGTCAACTTACGGAATCCCCAGCGACCCATATTGTCAGACGCGAATCGTGGAGATGGAGAGAGAAGCGTGGTTGATGTCTTGGATGATGAAGCAGAAGTGAAGCCGGCTAGGTGGTGCCTGAGACAGAAGCCACAGGTCTCAGGAAGTTGAGATCACAATTCGGAATCACAGAAGGAGTGGAAGTGAAGAGAAGAGTAGGATGTATGCTTCACACGGAGCACACTTGGCAGGGACTCACACTGCCAACAACAAATTTCTTTCTACTCGCAACTTCACTTTTGGCCAAGGGAATACACTATAATACAAAGTAAACATCTGGCTCAGCCCTCCTTATATCCTCGTCCGAATCCGCACGGTAACATTGTCAAAGCCACTCTCCAACGCACTACACGAAACACTTGAGTTCATGAATCCATAAACAACTTTCAGCATCATGGGAAATCAGAGTGCTACCTAGCTGCCTAGTGAACACCGCGAGGATTAGACCACAGGTCTTTCTGGGCATGAAGGCTTTGGCCTTGCTCGATTCGTGTCTCCAATTTGCGGTCGTTTGAGAAGGAATTGTGGTTCCTTTAGTGCAAGAAGACCATAATACACATCCTTTTTGACCTCAAGACCACTCGTTGGTAAATGCCACAATTCCCTAACGAGGCTGGCACCGTCATTCACCACTCACGAGGGGGGTGTACTCTCTTCACGATATATATTTTGGCTTCTACAAGAAGCAGCCGGTATAGACTACACTGCATCGAATACTACACTAAGCCTTTGACAAAGTGGTACTCTGACTCGAGAGTCCTGGAGTTGCCTTGGATACGCTCAATTCTTCTGCTTGGAAAGAAAACAAGTCGCCGCTATGATGGATATAAATGTATTAAAAACTAGTCGAATTGAGGGCCGTGATGCGAAACGTCACGTTTGACAATATGAAGCTACCTTGCCTGGACGACAGAAGGAGCCGAAACAGCGCGAATCCTCAATACGACAAAACAATGTGACATATCTCGCATGGAAAGACTTGGTCTCATCATTTGCTACAATGGGCTGATGCCAAGAATTCATTGCTTCTAGGCCCCGCACTCGAGTAGGTACATTGGCCGTGTTTCTTTGTTGTTGGGTAGTAATGAGCCGAGCAACATAAATTCACCGGTGCGATATGTTTTATCCTCTTCCTATATGTCCCCGGGCAGAGAGGAACGCATATTTGTCTCTTTGGCTCAATTACTCAACGCGCTTACAGAATAGACAAAAATAAAGTAAGTATGCTCCTGTGTTGTGGAGTCTACTCTCCTCCCACTCTTAGGTCAAACAGATTCTCAGCTAAATCGCCCTGAATTCCAGAGTCTATTAAGATGCATAAATATCTCATGGCAGTTATTGCATTCCATGCATTCTATGCATACTCGGCTACCACCAAAGTCGACGTCGCCATCATCGGCGGAGGGCTGTCTGGTCTTTCTACAGCCAAATATTTAGCAGCAGCGGGCAAATCCTTTGCGATATTGGAAGCACGAGATCGGGTCGGTGGCCGCGTATTGAACGCTAATCTTCCCGGTGGACATGCAGAAGAACTTGGCGCCGAGTACGTCGGCCCAACACAAGACCGCGTACTAGCTCTCGCAAAAGAGCTTTCTCTGTCAACCTACAAGGCATATACAGCTGGGAACTCAACATTCTACCGAAACGGGAGCTTGATCCACTATCAAGATTCTCTTGGTGGTATCCCTCCCGTGGATATTGCATCACTCATTGAACTTGCAACCTTCATGAATGATATAAATGACATGGCAAGCAAAATAGATCTCAGCGCCCCGTGGAATACCCCAGACGCCGAATCTTTGGATTCAGTAACCCTCGAAACATGGGTCAATGCTCGACTTTCTACGGCGGATGCACGGATTCTAATCAACAATGCCATTCCAGCGATTCTGTCAACCGAGATGAAAGAGCCCTCTCTGCTATTTGCACTTTGGTACATAGCCGCCGCAGGAAATGAAACTGGGCCCGGCACTATCAACAGACTCATCGGCGTCGCTGACGCTGCACAAGATAGTCGAATTGATGGAGGTTCCCAGTTACTCGCAATACGACTGGCTGCAAAACTTGGATGGAAGAATATCTACCTGAAAGCGCCCGTACGAAAGGTAAAACTGGAGAATGGCCGATACACAGTTACATCAGACTCAGTGACAGTCTCCGCAAAACACGTCGTCGTCGCCATGTCTCCACCCTTGGCTGGCCGTATCTCCTTCGATCCTCTACTCCCAGCGGGACGAGACCAACTTCAGCAACGCATGCCCATGGGATCAATCGGGAAAGCAATTGCGCTTTTTAAACGACCATGGTGGCGCAGCGAAGGTCTGAACGGAGCAGGCTTGAGCGACAAAGGTGCGATCCGTGTGGCATACGACAATTCCCCAGCTGATGGGTCTTTCGGCGCGCTCATGGGATTCATCGAGGCAGATGAAATGCGCAGGTTGGATAGCGTCAGTCTGGATGAAGTAAAGCAAGCGGTAGTGCAGAGCTTTACGGATATCTATGGGCCTCGTGTCGAAGAGGCGACCGAAATTCTTGTCCAACGCTGGGATCTGGAGGAGTTCTCTCGGGGTGGTCCTGTTGCTTATGGGCCACCTGGTCTTTTAACTCAGTATGGGCCTTACTTGCGTGCTCCAGTTGGTAAGATTCATTTTGCTGGGACGGAGACGGCACTTCGTTGGCCTGGGTATATGGACGGGGCTATTAGTTCGGGTGAAAGGGCTGCTGCTGAGATCTTGAAAGACTTCTAGCTTCATAGTATCAACTGTGGTGGGAGGAGTAGAATACTCTTACTGCAAGAGAGAGAAAATGCAATTCAGCCTCATCTCCGCTGTCATCTCGTATTGACTGGGATTAGTTTGGTGGTCTAAGAGTTGCTTATTTCAATGGACCCCTGTCAACTGTTCAGTGGCTGCAGGCAGGCAGATCGTAGTCCGAGCCGAATTAGGCATATGCAACAGCTACTGAGATAGCAGAGCAGTATGATTAGCCCTAATATCCGAGTACCGACAGGAAGCGCGCCACGGGCCAGTTCATCATGTTTAGATCTGCATCAACCCCAAGAACAGTCGAAGTGAAGCTGCCAATTACATGAAATCTTTCTATTGTATTCCACTGGCGAATGTGAAGATTACAAGTTTATTCATCAATCTATTAGGGACTACCCAATGTGTACACCCTTGCAGTAATCACAAACACAAATTCGAGCAAAATAGACACCAGGCCCACAAAGTGTTCGAATATTGACAGGTCAGATATGGATCAAACATGGTATAGACATAAGCACCAGAAGCAAAGCATCTCGGCTTAGTCCCACGCATCACCCCAGTCATCATCAACCACTTCGTTTTTGGGCTTAGTGTCAATCTTCTTAGGCGCAACCACAGTGCGCGGCTTTGTCGTGCTCGCAGCCGATGATCTTGTAGCAACAGTAGTGGTAGACGCAGCCTTGGTCAAACCCTTCGGGAGGGGGTTCTTGGCCTTTGTTTGGTTCTTTGCTGCTAACCAGCCGGCGAAGTCTGGCTCGCCTCCGTCGTCGTATGGGACCTTCGGGGCTGCTGTTGATGATGGAGCGGGTGATGTGGGTTTGGGGGAGCTGACGGCTGCAGTGAATGGGTCTTCGTCGCCTTCGTCGTCGTCCATTGCTCCCCATGCGTCAAAGACGTCGTCGCCGTCCTCTTCTGGTTCGGGTGAGTGGACTGGTGGGGCGGGGCGGTCGGACATTGATCTGTTCAAAGGCTGAGCTGTAGGACGAAGAACTTGTTTTGGCAGATCGAGCTGGGTCGAGGGTGAGGATTTGGCAGGGCGAGGCACGGATGCGGAGCGAGCTGTTTCTGGGTCGGAAGGTTTGCTGCCGTTGGCTGTTGACTCGATCTCGCCGTTAGCAGCTGCAACTTTGTTTGTGAAGGATGAGATGGCCCAGCCGGCCCAGGAGCTTTCGTTAGGGGTGGCGACACGGACGTCCGGTTTCGCTTCTGCTGGTGCGGTGGGTGGAATGACGATGTCGGTCATTGTGTTGGCGTGTTTTCGGACTCGCTGGACGTATAGGTCTAGGGTCTTGTTTGCTTGGTCTCGAATCAACCTGTTCATATGTTAGGGCAAAGAACCCGCACGGGAAATGTAGGTGTATTGCTCACTTTTCCTTATCCAGAAGTGAAGGGCAAATGGCGGGGAGAATCTTTGCAGCACAGTCATCTTCGGTGAACACATCGATTGTCGCGGATAAAGCCAGCAGTCCTGCAACACGAGCGTGGGCAAAAGGATCCCTGAGAGATCTTGTGAATGCTGCGATAAGAACCTTGGAGCGAGTCTATCGAGATATGAGCCATGCATCTTAATACAGAGAGAGGCATACATACACTTTGTCCTAAGTTTTTAGCAATCCGCCCAAGACAAATGGTTGTATTTGTGCGGATGCCAGGTTGCTCATCATTGGCTGTGCGTGCGAGGAACTTCAACAGTTCTCCATTTACAATACGATCATTGAGCTTGTTGATAATGGTAAGAACAGCCTTGACAGTCTGTTCACGAACCACTGGGGCGACATCGGTGAAACCCGAAGTCTGGAGAATGTTAGTTGTACTCAAGCTAAGCGGATGAATTGGCCTACCATTTGGGGAAAGATCTTGTCATTGACAACCTTCTGAGGGAGGTTGTCAATCATTGAAGGCAAGTTGTCTAGAAGACAGACTCGCAGAGCTCGGTCAGGGTTTCCGAAAAGGCGCACAACAACAGGAGTCAATTTAGCATTGAACTCGTCTGCCGACAACTTAGATCCGATCTTTAAAGTGGCACTCAGGACCTTGGGCCCGCCACCCCCAAACTCGACGGATTTGAGAAGTTCTGGGAGCACCTTCATTTTAAAGAAGTCTTCAGGGAAGTCTTCCGACAGCTCATCAAGCTCACTGTATTTGAAGATTCATGTTAGTCGCCGCAAAGTTATGCGGATGATCTTTGGGGAATGCGTACTTGATAAACTCTTCACGTTCAGCATCAGTCTTCAGCCCTAAACTGTCGATATCTTCGGTCATGCGGATTAATGGTGTCTGGAAGAAACCACCGTGCTTCTTTCCCTGTTCAACAAAATGACCCGGGCTCAGTCGTAGCTTGGGGTTAGCAGTACAAAGCCGCTTATAGCTTTGCTGCATGCTTGGAGGAATATTTGTCGTCTTGCCAACTTGGTCGGGGCCAGCAAAGTTTCCATTGAAAACCTCGAATATTAAAATTCCCAGGCCATAGGCGTCAACTGCTGCGAGCGGATGGCGCTTAATAGTATCCCAACCCCCTTTAACAACCTCTGGAGGAGTGAAGCGTGCAGCATCGGGCATAATGCTTCCGTATGTCTGTAAGCACGGTTAGTATGGGGTTCCAACCGGGCCGCTGAATAGCACGCTATACTGACATATATAATAGCATCATCCTCCTTCATGGAGCTCAAGATCTCAAATCCTCCGAGCTTCCATTCGCCGCTCTCGCTTGTGAAAACCGATGATGCGCGCACGGCGCCGTGAACAGAAGAAGCGTCCTCGTTGATAAACTTGAGTGTAGACTATCCAACCCAATCCCCGTCAGCGAGATCACAGCACTAGATCTATAATCATCTTACCGCGACAGTATACAATCCCCACTTGGCTGTCTCCTCGTTCAAACTCCTCCGTTTCACTGGCCAGGAGAGTGGCACGACTCGTTCGGTGACAATATACAGGTTCGTTTCCGTCTGCCAAAACGTAAGCCTCTATTATCGCCAAAGATCGCAGTCCCAAGCTCGGGGTATAGGCAATTCATCCTCGTACCTCAATGGTATCTAAGACCTTGATCACACCAGGATGGCGTAGCGTCCTAAACTTGCGGACAGCATTTTTCGCGAGGGGGAGGCGCGACTTGTTCGCGTTGATATCAAAAGAGAACACACTGCAGGCGGAACCGTCATCCTATAGTATACGTAGGTCGAAATGGTCAGCCATTGAACCATCCCGCATGAGCCAAGCGAATCGCCGTACCCGTTTCGTGCCGTTGTGCAGCGCCCAGACTGAATCGCCAATGTCGACCCTGTCACCGAGGGAGAAAGGTTGCCCGGTGCCTTTTGCGATGGCGGACGCGACGGCGGATTTGAGGAAATCCATCGCTATAGGGTAAGTGTTGGCAGTTCGGGGATCGGGGATTGTTTGGGGTCGCCCGGAGTGCGCGAGAGGCTTGGCCAATTGCCAGGTGCCTCTATGACCGGTATGGAGGTCGAGGATCGAAAAAGAACAGATAGCTCGAGACAGGCCAGGGTTATCACACTCTGTATTCTGCACTCAGCACTCAGTCGTGAAGACAAACTGGCTCCTTCAGCCCCGCCTTATCGCGATAATAGTTTCTGCCTCAGGCCGCAATCCGAAATAAATACACTTTTGTCTGACAGCTTCAGTTTTCTCTCCAGTTCACCTTTTCCGCGCGTCAAATGTTGACTGCACATCTCTCAAACCCGATACTAACCATTCCATACTCACTACTTCCAGCACTTACACCTCCACCATCCCGCGACCGACCAACTTACAAGCTACAACAGGCAAGTCACCTTTCCCTCTTCCACACGTGTCTACCACACAAAGTCTACTCCGCGATATCTGTCGCCCTCTCCTATGATGAAAACTTCTGGTAAAAGGTCAGACCTCGCCACAACAACTGCAAGGACTCATCCCAGCTCCCGATGGTACTCTCCACAAGCTCCAACCCAAAACGCCACAACCAAGTTCTAAGCTCGACTACCAAGAGCCATAACCAGGCACGCTTAACCCATCATCTCTTTCCAGCAGGAGGCATCTCCCCCTGCTGGAGCAGCTATCCCTACAGATCGGCTGTGCTCATTCTGCAATCCGCGCTTTCTCCCGGGGACCTGCATTCACTTCACACCAAACCTGATAGCTTCCTCCACTCTTCAACGCAGAACACATATATCTCTATGAGGGCGGTCCTGGCCACAGATCAATGGCTTAACCCCACGTTGAGACAAAGCAACGTGTGGGCGTGGACCCTTTTGAGACCTTGTGTATATATACACTGAAGTCCGTCTTAGTGCGTCTTGCAAAATGGCTTGGCTTGGCTTGGTTGATACTCGGCTCGGCCTTAACCCCCGAGCTGCTATCAACATCAAGTTTCTTATTGTCTTGTCATCAGGACCTGAGAAACGGTTCGGTGTCCGCCGCAATTTGGGGCTCCTGTGTCCACTTCGCTTCCGTGAGGACGGTAGGAGCCAATGGCTGCGGCGGATAGGATCGAGGGAATACTGCCATTGAAAGTATGGGACGAGGGTGCTCCCCTTTTCCGTACTTTTTTTGACTGAGATCTGCTGCGAAGAGGGGTGCGGGAATTGAGGGGGCGGTTGGGTGGATACTGGAAGACGCGGGTGTTGCTGGTTGTGGCGTGGCTGGGGGTGCGTGGGTTCTTGATCCCTGGTTTCTTGGGATTTGGTCTGGGACTTGATTACGGCTGGAGGGCTGATCACGGTTTGTGAGAGGTAAAGCACCGCGGTGAATGGGATGTGGTCTGGTTGTTGTTGCTTGGATGATGATCATTTGCAAAGTTATACTGAGGAAAACTCATGCCCCTGCGTCTTAGTTTATGGAACATTCGAAGAACTGGCAGCTAACATTTCTTAGGTTGCAGGGTGAGTTTTGATGAAGGTCGGGGTTGATTTTTCATGTTGGGACTTCATTTTGTGTCTTTGGCAGCAACAACTATTGTATTTCCATTCGACTACAGACAATGGTATTTCGTTGCGGGCCTCAATATTTTCCTTCCACTGCTATTTATGAAGGAGGTTCTCTCGGTGTCCCTGGCAGTTAGATAGCTTTCTCTCTCTTCCTCTTCTTCTCTCTCTTCCTCTTCTTCTCTCTCTTCCTCTTCTTCTCTCTCTTCCTCTTCTTCTCTCTCTTCCTCTTCTTCTCTCTCTTCCTCTTCTTCTCTCTCTTCCTCTTCTTCTCTCTCTCCGCGTCTCCCTCAGCCCCCTTTCTTCCATAGACCATGCTTGGTTGTTTTGGTTGTTTTGGTCCGTGTCTGTCGATAGATTTGCCCCAATCGCACCTTCCGCTTCGTCTTTGACTCAGTTCTCACCTTCTCCGGCCCCATCAGCACCATAAATCTGCGTTGAGGAGCCCTCGGAGGATAGCTTGTATTCGGTCTCCAGCCGGGTGCTTGCAGTGGGTCTCCTGGACGGAAGTGGCTATATCATGACATTGCAATGTTGTAAGGATCATAAGGGTCGTCAGGGTCATAATACCGGTAATATGGGTCTTCATCAGAGGGCATGGAATATGCATCCCAGGCATCATTGTCTGCAGCAGTGGGATTGCTTACTGGGGTTTCACTTGGGAGTTTGTATATAATGTGACAGTAGGATGGATCTGAGGAATGGTGGCCTTCTCCATGAATTCGATGTAACAGGTGAAGGATTGCTCACTTCTCATGATGAGGCTCTTCAGGCTCTTTATGTATGGCCGGCGGATCCTCGGCTTATCTTAGCGTCTGACATACATGGGGTGAAGCGGTAGGTTTATGATGGTTCTGGTTATAAGCCACCACAAACGGGATTTTGGTAAAGATTTAAGACTCATTTATGATCATACAGCTACCTAGTGTCTATTTTTCCATGGAGTGATAGTTAGAGTTCCTATATCGCGATATCATGGTTTGTCTTTTTTAGTTTAGTTCACTTGACATCCCAGTGACTGAATCGGACAGGAGACAAGACCAATGCCTCTCTTTGCCCAACAGTCTTTGGCCGCCACCATCGCTAGGCAGTTCCTAATTCACCAAAACAGTCGTATCTAGTTGGCTTGACAGATAAACATGTACAATGCAAGCATTGAAATAGGGTTTCCCAGGTTCAGTCGCCCGAATCCTATTTCCACACCATCCCTATTATGGTTAGGTCTAAATTGTAACATTGGTGTATCGTGACTACCCGTGGACATCTTGTCTACGCAGAATGATTTATAATATAGCCATTTCATTGCACCTCATGAAGCTAGAGGCGTCGTCAAGACCACCCCGTCTCTGACCATCCCCTCCGACTGCTCTGCTCCTCTCCGCCACCTAGTCCCCAGATAACCATCATCCATCTCCACCCACTCTCCACTGTCTCCGACCCGAGACACCACCCACCAGACCTCACTTCCGTTCCTAGAGACTTAGGGCCAGCAGCTGGCATGAACCCACAACAACCCCCCGTCTCCATTGAAGAGAAAGCAAACCAGAACTAAAAGGGAAAAAGGAACTTGCTAAGAAAAACCGGAAAACGGGATATCTCCATACTGAATGAAGATCCTCAAGACTTGAGACTACCCACAGTAGGGGAGAAGTTGCGGACCATGGGGAAAGGGGCATAAGGCGATGTACTGAACTGGGTGTCATATGTCACCTGGGGAATTGGCATCTATGTACATCGCCATATTGCTATCTATAGGGCAGATAGGCGCAACGGGTAGATTGATATTCTCGAGTCTGTAAAGCATTGGCCTAGGTACCACAAGCCGGAGAATAATTCAACATACCTGGAAAGTCTTGAGATAACGTGAACTTCGGCGCAGGCTTCACGCGTTCAGAGGGGGACGCCATGACGGCAGATGACAGATGAAAATGCGCTCTGGAATAGGAACCGGGTATTTGAGATGATGGTCACCAGCAATGCACAGCGCTGGCAGGTCACAGCTGAGGGGGATGATAAGATGGAGCATCATCCAAAGGGGAACGGCCCACGGGGTTCATGATTCGTGTAATTCATTTGCCTTCGTCCGTAGCCTCAGCGGAATGAGAAGCTCCAGAGTTTGGTGTGTTGCTAGACAACTGAGGGGGCATTGGGGGGATTTGGTTGAATCCGTTACTGGTTGTACGGTGCTGGTTGGGGTGGAAATGATGTGACTGATGCGGACTGGAGGAGAAATGAGGCTGCTGCGGGTAATTGCCACGGTTGGGGGGCACTGATTTGGTGTTAAAAACGGGAGCGGCTTGACCGGGAACCGTGGGCTGACTCACTGTGGTGTCCGGGCATATACATCATCGGCTGCGGGGGTTGTCCTGACTGAGAGTTCTGGTGCATCATCATGGGCGCACCACGGCTCGGACTGGGGTACCCGCTATGAGGCTGAGGCGCAGGTGCATGCTGAGGGTATGCGTGGGCAGGAGAGGGAGAGTACATAGGCATCTGTTGGTTGTATGGACCCATGCCCTGTGGAACTCCCATGAAAGGTCCATTGGACGGCTGCTGCACCATCATCGGAGCTTGTGGGTTTACAAACTGGGGACCACCCTGGTAGGGTCTCATTTGGCCACCTTGAGGGGTGCCATAAAATGGGGGCATCGGCTGCCCGAAGGCCACTTGAGCTGGGGGTGCCATGGGAGAAGGGTATCCAGGTTGCATTCGAGGGGACGGGAAGACTCCAGAGTTCGAGCCAGACATGTGCATGCGATGGTCATCGACGTGAGGGGGGGCCGTGATGACCCTGAGGATGGAGGTGTCCGCCATTGGGACCACCAGAAGCAGGGAGACCGGGGTTTCCTTGCTGGAAGTGGAAAGGCATCTGGTGCTGCTGGGGGATATTGGGATTGTTGGATACGGAGCGTCCCTGAGACGAAGCTGTCACGATGGGTTGCTTGAACATTTGATCATATGTCTTTTCCTCGTTACCCTCCATGGTATCCCAGGTGGGCAAAGTCTTGTACGGAGGAGGAATTCCATCATTGAAGCTGTATGGCTTCTCGGCCTGTGCTGAACTCTCCTTCTTCATGCGCTTGATTGGATTGAACTGGTCATTGAGAGAAGGTCGCTCCGAGATTGGCTGAAGCTTCCGTGGACCAAAGAAGGCGGTGGGAGTGGAGGTGCGAGACACGGAACGGCTACGAGAGAAAGGCCGCGGGCTCGCAGTAGCGGTAGAGGGAGCACCGCCGGGGGTGAAAGTGCTCGCCGCAGGGTTCGGCTTGAACTCCATAGCCCGAACGTTGAACTTGCTGGATGCAGAAGATCCAGGTCCCTGCGGCTTGACAGGGCTGGCGATCTTGTGCTGGTCGCTAGCAGGACCGGTGGGAGGCCCACGGGCATCCTGGATTGGAAGCGGAGCAGGAACAGGAGCCATTCCAGCGCCCTTCCGCTGCTGCAGGTTGTCTGCTAGACGGTGACCAAGCATACCAACACCTGGACGCCCTGGTTGAATAGGTTGCTGGGGAAACGACCGTTAGGTCCAGCAAGCGGGCCAGTGGGAGGGTAGCCCTGTCGAGAGCGTTGGTAGTTCTGGCGATCAGCCGGAGCAACAGGAGGGACAGCACCAGTAGGCCCAGTACCACGAGCAGGAGGCTTCGGTTCGGTGGGAGGGGAAGTAGTTTTAGGCATACCCTTGTCATCAACCCCCTGTTGCTGAGCTTGCTGGGCCCGTTGAATGATTTCCTCTTGCTTCATGCGGTCCTTAGCCAGAATTGGTACAAGGTCCTTTGGCACAGGAGTGGAAAGCTTAAAGCTCTTCGAGAATTTCATCAGCTCGTTGAGTTTGACGGTGCGATCGTACGAGGCCTGGTTGCGACGGCGCTCTTGCATCTTGAGCTTCTCGCTGTTGGCAAACTGGCGGAAATGATCCAGCACCTCTGCCTCCACATTCGCAGTGGCATTTTCGGCAGAAGGTCGCTTGGCTGCGGGAGGCGCAGGCGAGAGAGCCTTAGCTGAGGCGCTCCCACCCTCGATTTCGGCAGAGGGTTGCAACGTGGTCGGCTCAGGCTGCTGGTCTGTGGATGCATCCTCCTTCATAACGGGAGCAGCAGATGTAGTGGCAGCGGCCTGCTTGGGAGGTGCGTTGGGGAGTGTAGGAGGCTGGGGAGCAGCTTGGCGGCGTCCAGGGGGGTATATTTGTTTGGCTGACCGGAAAGCAGAGGAGGGAAAGCCTTCTCCTCGCGGCGAACACCACTGTACTTGTCCTCTTCGTCTTGATCGCCAGTGGCGGGTGCCACTAGGCCGCGCTCCTCACGCATATGAGAGTTGTCCGAAGCGGTGCCCTCAATCTCAGCCGCGATACGAGATGCCCTCTCCAGCTCTGCTGTGTATGTAGGAGTGCTGCGGTCGAGACGAGTGGTATAGACGTTCTCATCGTAGTTGGTCTTAGTGCCGAAGAGCCGTTCGTTTGCCTCGAACTGATCCCATCCGGCGGTGCTGTTACTAGTTTCAATGGACATATGAACATCGCTCTCGGCGGGTTCCCAGCGCTGTAATGTACGCTCGCGCATGGCGAGGTTTCCAGAGATATCGCTATCGGTCCTGAATCCCTGAGAAGCACCTGCAGGCGAGGTTAGTATATAAAGCACGCGAATCATGATAATCAACGCATACCATTGGGCTCCTTGGCCGAGATTTCGGCAGTAGTAACATTCGGGACAGAGATGTCCACAATCTCCCGGATGTCAAACTGCAAGTTGTGGTCGGGGCCGGTACCCAGATACGGGGTCGCGACGTCACTCACGCCATTTGTTTGGAGTTGGTCCTCTTGGTCAGCGCGCTGGACCATCTTGAGCGTGAAGGACGAGTCATTCGATTCCAGGGTTGAGTTAGAAAAGATACCGCTGAACTTCTCTCCGGCCTTGGTAGTAATGGTGGTTTGGAGACCCTAGACAGGTTAGAAAAGGCATTGTGCATGGCAATGCGACAGATGCTTACAATGAAGCTGGCAAACAAGAACACCAGGCGATCATGGGCATGGCTGTCAGGAGTGTTCGACTCCTTCTGGTTTGGCCGTGGAGAGCCAGACTGTCCCCGGTGGGCCATGTTTCCGTTGGATGTGGAGTGGGAGGATCGTTGGGTGATAGGGTTGGTGCCTTGGGTCCAGGCCTTGTGGGAGTTGGAGCGTCTATGTCACAGAGCAGGCATATGTTAGCAGATGATCATCCAACACGACTAATAATGACGGTGGCACTGTGAACGAATCCAATGCTTTCAATTGGCGCCCTGAGGCACATGATGTGAAGCAACCCTAGTTGTAGGGCACCAACAGCGTGGGCAAGAGCAAGCAAGAGCAAGGCCACCGTGAAGCATGATCCATCAAGAGCAGTATCTCATCTCCAGACAAGAGACAGTGGCAGATGTATAGCTAAAGCGAGCTGTGGGGAGAAGGGTTAAACATACCGTGCACCACCATCGACAGGGCTACCAGACTGGCGGCGGTTGTCAGACCCCTTAGTACTGTTGGAAGGTCTCAAGGTAGATCGGCCAGAGTGAGAGCCAGAGTTGGCATTGCCAGAGGCATTCGCCGTTGGCGCAGAGTTCAGAGCAGACGCCATGGATTCACTTGGGTTAAGGTGTGCAACGGGAAGCCGCGAAGATGAGGCACGAAGCCACACCGCCTGCACAAACAGGGAAAGAGGGGGAAATAAGCAGCACCAGCGCGTGGTTGTATCAAAAGTGAAAAGGTGAGCAGAAAAATGGAATGAAGGAAGAGCAGAAGGAGTGATAGATTGTTTGGGGGGGGAGTCACAAGTCACGCGTATGGTATGGTACCGTGTTACCACTTCAATTGCTGGAGTACATGAACGTCATTCGTAGACAACTGTAGACAACTTCACATTTTGTATGTGCCACCCGCAATTAAGTAAAGAATATGCATTGTATTCGTATACAATTTCATATTTACTATGTGCCCCCCGCTATTAAGTGAAGAACATACACGTTGGTCGTAGACAATTTCATAATGTTGTATGTATCACCTGCAATTAAGTAAAGACGATATAATATAACTCCATATCCTACACTTCTATGATAGTAATTGTCTTACATATTCTACTTATTGTGTGATCCAGTGTGCGTTCCTCCAACCCCGTACAGTTTCTCTAAATACCAATACCAATAGAAAGGGACCAACCCGCATGTCGGTAATACATGACGTGACCATTTGTCCTGCAATTCGCTACATGTACATGTATATGTGAGCTGAAGTTGATTCTCTGTAAGTTAACTTTTGTCGTTTGTAGCTTTTCGTATCTTCATATTACTCGTGTTCCTGCTAATATATATATGCGTTACCATATATTCACACCAGAGTCTAACCTAGCCGTAGACACAATATGCCTACCCCACAAAGCTGTAGCCTACCTTATATAACTTCGTGTAGGGTATAATAGACTGTACCCTGGCTATTCCACAGTGGATAAACGCGGGTCTTGCCGAATGCCAGACTAGTCCGCCTTCAGACTTTCTAAGCCTTTGTATGGCCGTAATTCGTTACAATAGATGCATTTCGGGAATATAGGGGAACTAGATGCACATGTGATGCCCTTGCAATTATCCTAAGTACCATCTACTTCGTGTCAAATACTAAAGCAACGCGGTGACCTGGTCCCTGATACATTACATTGTACGGTAATCTATACAGTGATAACGCTAATCACCTGCAGACGCGGTAAAGTGGAGGCTGGGCATCATCTTCACTCTTTCCTCCCTCTTTCCACCTTCTGCGTCTATGCAGTCTTCATCGAGTCTCCCCTATCCTGGAGAGCCGGATCAACAGACTTCTCCCCACCGACCCTCGGTGTCTGGATCCGCATCCATGTCTTCGCAACAATCTGGTCGCAGTTCCTCCGCCTCGTCTCGGTCTCAGTCAAGCAAGAACCCGGTATGTACTTTTGACACCCACTCAATTACTTGCACTCTGGCTAACGAGCGATTTATCCCACACAGCCCGATAAACAAATCTCTCAGATCGAAAAGAGCGTGACACACCTCTTAGTTGCGACAAAACAACTCCTTGAAACCCTGACACAATGGTCCCGCAAGCAGGCCTCGGAAAACGATGTGTCGGACGTGTATGTGCGATTGGGTTATGAGTTCAACCTGGCCTGTCGGGCCTTCAGTGCCATCGGCGTCGACACCTCCGACCTGGGCCCTGTTCCTGACCTCCTTCGGACCATTCTCGAAGACACTCTCAGCCAAGATGCCTCCGCACAAAGCCTCGATCGATATCTCCCCCGGATTCGTGATATCATAATCAACTTACTTCACGGACTGAAGAAGAAGCAGGCTAGGTTACGCTCACGGCAGCAACGCGATGATGGCAGGCCTTCGACAGGGCGGCAAGCCAGTGCGGGAAGCATCGCTAGCGGACAGGCCATCGGCCAGCTATATGATGAGGCCGCAGCCTCTATGATGCCATCGACCGCCCAGTCCCCTAAACGATCCAACCGACGGTTTGGCAGTGGTGGTTCTCTGGAGGACCAACCGGCCATCAATCGAACTTCTTCAGCACCTTCGGCAAGTGACACACGGAGCAGCAGCTACGCCGAGAGAGAGACCTCTCGGCGAGAGGCGCAGCAAATGCTCTCTCAACCCTCCCCTATGGAGGGTGACACAACCCCTCGGCCAGCCAATAATATCCCACCTACCTACACAACACCGACTGGATTCCCTGCGCCTCCACCCCCACCACCACCGAAAGAGGATGATGCACTGGGAGCATTACAGCGAAGCGGCGAGCTCGAAAGACGTGCATCTCGTCGATTTTCCGCTTACCAGATCCAGAAACACCTGGGCACCTCTACCAACGGTGTTCCCGTCCTCCCTACCCAAAATTCACCTATCCCCAACCGGGGCCGCGATGTCCGCGAGTCGCTAAATGCAGTCCGCCTGCGAGGCTCTTACACTCACACAAGACAACGGTCCAACAACCGTCTCCAGGAAACCGCCAAGGGCGCACAGGCTCAGACCCCCGCGAAAATCCCGGATGTGGTGAAGGAAGAACCAACACCGCCGTCTACGGAAAAGGCTACAGAGCCAGCCGTCGGTAGTGCGCCCCCCGAGGCACCTGAAAAGGATGATTCTGGGAGCAAGCACGACTCCGGAGAGTCCGCTATTGTTCCCCCTCCGATCGTTCCCCAGCCCCAAGAGAAGTCGCTCGAGGAAGCCTTTGAGCCAGCGAAGCCGGCACCGCAGACTCCCAAGGGTGACATCTTTGGACCGTCCCAGATTGCGACCCCTCCTTCGGCTGCTCAATTCTCCACCGAACAGCCTTCGCCCGGTAAAGAGCTGACATTGTTCCTGCAATACAAGAGCAAAATCAAGAAGTACGTCCTTCCGGATGGTATTGCAGAACTTACAATTGGACGCCTACAACTTGCGTTCATCGAGAAATTCGCCTGGAACACCCACGACAACGGTGTGGACCTCCCTGAAATCTACATTCAAGACCCAATTTCAGGTATTCGTCATGAATTGGAGGATCTCACTGATGTGAAGGACCGGTCGGTCTTGGTTCTGAATGTGGACAACCTAGATGAGGTGAAGAAGCACTTTGACGACGGCCTTGGAAGCGTTCGTCTTCTCGTGGAAGGTGTCAAAGAAGCGCTCTCTGGTCAAGGAAATGCCATCCAGCGAGTCTCGGAACGCCAGCTCGAGGCCGCCAAAGAAATGGCTCGCCTGGCCGCTGCGCCGCCGGCCACTTCCAAATCGACTGTCACAGGAACTAACTTGAACGCTGTGGTTGCTGGAAGCGGGAGTCAGCTCGCAGAACTACAAAGCCTGCGTCGTGACTTGGCTGTGTTGCGACAGACGTACTCTAACTTTACAGCAGATATCAACAGCTCAATGAGCGCTGTCCGTGCCAAGGCAGGCAAGGTCAAGACTGCTGCTGAAGTCGTCACCATCCCCTCATACGAAGGTGACGCGGGCCGCGCTCGCGTCAACACCGGCAAGAAGGAACTCGCAGGTGAATCCGAGCGATTGGTCGCTCGTGTCGATGATCTTCAAGACTTGGTCGAGGATCTCCGGAAGGACGTGGTTACCCGTGGTGTCCGTCCTCTTCCCAGACAATTGGAGGGTGTTAGCCGCGACATCAGCACAGTCATGAAGGAGATTAAGAAAATGCAAGACTTCCTGGGTCGCGAGAAGCCCATTTGGACCAAGATTTGGGAGAAGGAGTTGCAGTTGGTTTGCGAAGAACGAGACCAGCTTACCATGCAGGAAGATTTGGCTGCTGATTTGCAAGACGATCTCGAGAAGGCTACCCAGACCTTTGCATTGGTCGAGCAAGCTACTAAGGAGCAAGTCATGTCCAACGGCACTGGTGGCGGTGCTGCACGTGCTCCATCTCGGACTCTTGGGATTGATCCCACCGTCGACCCAATGAAGGCCAAGGATGGTGTTCTAGGTGAAGTCCGTGCCTTGCAGCCCAACCATGAAAGCCGACTTGAGGCAATTGAGCGAGCAGAGAAAGCTCGGGCGAAGGAGCTTGAGACGCGACGAATTGGTCTGTTCCAGAAGGAACTTGGGGCTTTTGTTGAAGAAGGAAAACTGAAGAAGAGTGGTGGTTTCGAAGAGACTGAGCGCCTCCGCACTGCCAAGGATGATCGCATCCGAAAGGAAGTTTGGGAGAGGCAGCAGGCACGTAATATCGAGATGGCGAGATTGGAGGCGGAAGCTATCGCTGCTCAGGCTGGGCAGAATACTGAGGCCACCGCCGAGGCTGAGAGTGAGGGTGGTGATGGTGATGCCCAGGAGTCGGGTGAACCCAAGAAGACAGTCGACGGCGAAGACGCCACAAAGGCAGCGAAGGAGGAGGACTCAGCGAACGATGGAAAGCCGCTGCCCGTCGAGCCCGAGGAAAAGAACGAAGGCTCGGATAGTCCCGTCTCTTCGCCTGCCTTGGTGTAGGCACACTCACTCATTCTCTCACTCATCTCCGATTGCCGACAGTCCTGCCTGTCATCCGTCGTCATTCCTTACCTTCAGCGATTTTATATTGTGCTCAGGTGAATCCACACCACACCGCAACGGTTTCCTTTATGTTTTTGTTTCTTTCTGCATCGGACATGGCATCGGGGCTCTCATTTCGCATGTCCTTTTAGCGATACCTTTTGGCGCGTTTCCTGTGCCGGTCCTCTGCAGTTTGGATTTCTCATGTCATTTACTGACGATACCCTGCCGCACTCTGTGGCTTCCTGCATTTAATCCATGATTTTGGAATGATATGAGACATGCTTTGTTATTGTATGTGTGGTGTAATGTAATATGTAGCTTAGTACTCCGTACTTGGGCTTGACCTGACTCAATCTACTTGTAACTTGTAACTTCATTCAGCCTTATTTTACACATAATCCATCTAATAATGAACCAATCAACACCCAATTAGCCAATGTAAACAAAAGCTGCACACGAGGCTCAAGCCCAAACTAGCGCCTGCAGAAATCCGAAACCCCAGCCATCGCAATTGACCAAGCAGCTTTCTTTGTAGATTAACCCAACCCTCCCACTGATTTTCAGACCTGCAGATTTGCCAACGTCCTCCATCTCAAATCCACATACATAAGTCACTCCACTTTAACGCTTTTGTGTTTTGTGTTTGTCGACAATCAACATCGGGTACCAAAACCAAAATATATCCAAACAAAACCTGCCCGACACAAGATTTCTTTCTCGACTAGATCATCCACTGTCGTGCTCAGCTTCATTTCGTACAACGCACGGTCATCCAACATCCAAGCTGATCACCGCTTTACAGCTCCGCAAATCTAGCTCCAGCTCCAGCTTTGGCCTCAACGCAGGTTAGATCACCACGGTCTAATTTAATCAGCTGGCTACCCAGCTAGCCATGCATCTACTCCCACTCCTAACATTATGGCTCTCAATATCAAACCCAGCACAAAGCGTAGAGCCGTCAGCGATCCCGGGAGCGGGATCTAGTGCAAATGGTACATCATCAACAACAACAACAACAACAACAACAACAACAACAACACCGTCCTCACCGGCAGATCTTAATCTGCATCAGGCTATCGCATCCAAGTTAGCTTCAGGGCCCGCTCACGGTGTTCGAAAGATGAGCGCAGACGAAGGCGAGAAATTCTTCTTTGAGGATTGGTATTTTGGGGATGACAGTCGAGACTCATCGGGTGAATTGTCTGAGCGGGATTTGTACCATCGGATTTGGAATGGTACTGGGAGTAGCAGTGGCAACTTTATTACGGAATCCAAACCCGAAGATAAAGATGAGGATGGAGATGGAGATGGATATGAATACGACTACTCGCCTGCCCAATTCATCGCCCAATCATTCCCATTCGAGCCCTCTTTCCCTCCACTTTCAGGCTCGACTTTGGTCTCAGCATCAGACTCAGCATTGGATTCAGCATCAGAAGCCCTCTCCCGTCTCGAAGCGCGGGATTTCAAATGCCCCACTGGTACATCGGCATGTACATCTATCGGTCGATCCGATCGCTGTTGCGGGTCTGGGGAGACGTGTGAGATAGTCACAGATACGGGACATGGGACTGTTGGGTGTTGTCCTAGTTGGAAGAAATGTTCGGGGACGATTGGGTCTTGTTCGGGTGGGTATTCGGCTTGTGCGTCAGATCTTGGGGGTGGGTGTTGTATTCCTGGGTATGATTGTGTGGCTGGGGGATGTAAGTTTATACCTGATTTCTTTTTCCCTACTCCATCGAGGGGGTGAATATATGATATATATATGGGTGAGAGATGCTAATTTGGTTCTGGGATAGGTGCATACATCACAGTTATCACCGTGACTGTCCATTCCACGGTTATGGTATCGACAGTGACATACTCGACAAGTCCAGAGCCGAGCACTGAAACATCCTCCACCTCTTCGTCAAAATCGTCTTCAACATCGACGTCGAAATCGAGCCAAACAACAGCAACCGAAACAACAGACAGTCTAGCTCCACCCGCTCGACCAACGAGCCTCTCGACAGCAACAAGCGCAGCTACCGGCGACGACATCTGCCCCACGGGATTTTACGCCTGTTCCGCCGTTTATCACGGAGGTTGCTGTCGGACAGGCCGCAACTGCGATACGACATCTTGCCCAACTACATCGTCTACAACTATGACATCGAACGGCGTGACGATCGTCGTACCAGTTGCAACTGCAATGGCGAACTCTGGGGGAAATGGGAGCGGAAACCGCTGTGCCAATGGCTGGTTTAGCTGTGCAGACACTGTAGGCGGGGGATGTTGTCCTACAGGCTTTGCCTGTGGTGCTAGCTGTACTGCGACTGAGACTGCATCTGCAACGACTGTTGCGAAGGAGCAGGCTACTAATGGGGCGGAGACTGGACGGGGGATGTCGAGGGTTCTGCTGGGAGTTAGTATACTAGGCAGTTTTTTTATTGTCGTGAACATGAACAGAGTAGATTAAGTTATGATACATGTACCTGAACATGCAACCGTAAACAGCAACAAATCCTGTGGAATGTTCCCCCATGGGGTCATTAGTAATCGGGATAAACGCAGCACCGGTTGCTGTTCTCGGATCACCGAATCTCGCCGACGTCGGCAACCTTCTCTTCTCCTCACTTCCTTTCTTCACATCATTATTTTAGGTCTCTGTGGTAAGTCGATTACTCTGTTTTATTGAAATTTTTCTGATTTCAATCTCCATTCGCTCGCAATCGTTAAATCGTCCCATACTAACTATCATGTCGGTTGACAGGTCTCCGAGCCTCCGCCCATCATGTCCGACGCTCCCCAGAAGCCCCTCCCCTTCGTCTACCAGTTTGCCGCCGGTGCGGTGGCTGGTGTATCCGAGGTATGTTTATTCCATGCTGCGAAGCAATTCCGACTCTCGATTGTTGTGTCGGAGTCCCACATGAGGTGAAATCCAGTGGCTAATGCGTCCCCGCACGACCAGATCTTGATCATGTATGCAACTTCCTCGCTCCCTTCCTTGGCTCTATAGGCCATTTTCTCGGAGATTCAGGTGATATGATATTGGAAAAGGACTCAATTGACAATGCGCGATGTGCAGGTACCCATTGGACGTGATCAAGACTCGAATGTAAGCAGCTACCGGTCGCATAAGCAGGTCTTCCGACGTTGGCTAATCTGATACTTTCCTCTACAGTCAACTCCAGACCAAGGCTGCTGTTGCCGGTGCTGAGCACTACAATGGCATGTTCGATTGCTTCCGCAAGATTGTCAAGCACGAGGGGTATGTCATACCCCAGCGACCAGCGTTGGATCTCTCTAACAAGTTATAACAGTGCCTCCCGTCTATACCGCGGTATCTCCGCCCCCATTCTGATGGAAGCCCCCAAGCGTGCGACCAAGTTCGCCGCCAACGACAGCTGGGGCAGCTTCTACCGCGGCCTGTTCGGTGTTGAGAAGCAGACCCAAGGCCTGGCCACCCTGACCGGAGCCACAGCCGGAGCCACCGAGGCCTTCGTCGTTGTTCCCTTCGAGCTGGTGAAGATCCGTCTGCAGGACAAGGCGCAGGCGCACAAATACAACGGCATGTTCGATGTCGTGAAGAAGATCATCGCCCAGGAAGGCCCCCTGGCCCTGTACAACGGTCTCGAGTCGACAATGTGGCGCCACATCCTCTGGAACGCCGGTTACTTCGGCTGTATCTTCCAGGTCCGCGCTCAGCTGCCTGCCATCGAGCCCGGCAACAAGAGCCAGCAGACCCGCAACGACCTCATCGCCGGTACCATCGGTGGTATCACCGGTACCGTCCTCAACACCCCCATGGATGTTGTGAAGTCTCGTATCCAGAACACCTCCAAGATTGCCGGCCAGACCCCCAAGTACAACTGGGCCTGGCCTGCCATCGGCACTGTCATGAAGGAGGAGGGCTTCTCCGCCCTGTACAAGGGCTTCACTCCTAAGGTTCTCCGTCTTGGTCCCGGTGGTGGTATCCTGCTCGTCGTCTTCACCGGTGTCATGGACTTCTTCCGTGGCATGCGTGGCGAGTAAATGCGCTCATTCCAGATGAATGTGATTGTGTTTGCGGTTGAACGTTGAAGGAGTTATCCAAAAGCAAAATTCAATTTGTTGCCTGCCTCATGGACCATCCCCTGTCCCCTCACCCTGACCCTGACCCCTCTGCCCCGATACCCTTTTCGAATAGTCTTTTCACCTTGGGTTCAGATTTGATATAACATGTGCATGTGAAGGAGGTTTTGATTCGTTTTCTTGTCTCTCTTTGCTCCTTGTCTTGATATTTAAACATGGTTGCTAGATAGACATAGAAAACAAAAGATTTCGTATTTTTTTTTTTTTTTTTTTTTTTTTTTTTTTTTTTTTCTCTGATACCCAAAGATAGTGATTGAGTAGCAGTTCATCTGCTGTGAAAATATCACGTCAAGTACCACGATGTATCAAAATTACATTCGCCCCCGGTCGAAACGCTGCCTTGTAGATAATAAGAGCAAGATCTACAACGAAAAGGGAAATAAACCAAGAAAATGCAGATATAATTATACTGCCCGTTAAGCCAACAGAATAGAGTACAGTACACATAAGGCATACACCAAACATATCCAACCTCACATCCTAACCTAAACCATAACCCCCTCCTTATTCTCAGCAGATGGCCCATCCCCCTTCCCAGAATCATCAACCTCAACCTTCTCCTCAGGCTCCCACATAGCCTCACGCATAAATGTACTCCTCGCCCGAATCTGCGGGCCCTTCATAACAAGCACAGCAGGAACAACAGACAAAGCAACCCCAATAAAGCCCAGCAAAGTCCCAGCCCAGCCAAAACCAAGATTACTAAAAAGTTGCGGCGAAGCCAACGGCAAGAACGCACCAAACGAATTCCTGCCTAGCGAAGCAGCAGACAACGCACTCGCCGCGTACCGCTCATACGCATCCGTCAGGTAGTTCACCACAGCCATGTAGATCGAATAAATGCCAATTCCAGTTGCGGTGATACCGATCGTTGGGACGATCCAGTGGATATCAGGCTGGCTGGCCCATCCGTACCAGAATAATCCCGCTGCGAAGAGTAAACTTCCAGGGATAGCGGTATAAAGCCGAGCCTCTGGAATCGGGCGACCCGGTTTCTCGGTGTTTCGTCTAGATGAGCGGAAATAGAACCAATCCTGCAGCGGGTTGATGATTGTTCCGATGATTGCGCCGACTGAAATGGCTAGCTGGACGAGTCCTGTTGCTAGTGTGCTCCAGTTGTAGTTTGTGCTGTAAGTTTGCACTACGCTGCTGAAGAATAGGTAGAGGATTCCCCAGGCGAAACTGATCCACAGCGTAAAGAAGATTACCACGGGCTCTGTGGTGAGCATGCGGGTTGGGCGTTGGAAGGAGATTTGGAGGAGTTTGAATTTGCTCGGTGCGTCAATTTCAGCAGCGGCGTAGACGGGTTTGCCTGTTTCTTTGCGGATCTTGCGCGCGCGCTTTTTGAGGATTACGTCGGGTCGGGTTTCGCGGAGGATTAGCCAGAAGACGGGGATTAGGGCTGCGTTGTAGATGATTTGGATGTAGAAGATCCTGTATGTTGTTAGATCGTTGTTTCTTGTTTGGGGTTCGAGTGTCGGTCTTTTTCTATAGATAGACAGGCAGAGAAAAAGAGAAAAAACTCACCAACGCCACGGCTCTGCCCTCGGAATCTGCACAATAGCAGACCCGATGAAAGGACCCAACGCAATGCCGACAACACTAGTGAAACCGAAGATAGACATCGGCAGACTGCGTGCATGTTCACCCAGCCAGACATCACTGATACTTCCTCCGACAATGTTGATCGAGACGGAGGAAGCACCACCACCGAAGAACCGCGTCACGACCAGTGTCGCGAAGTTCTTAGCGAATGCAGATGGGAAGAGCGAGATGACTAGGATGATATATGCCACAAAGTATCCGGGCATACGACCAGAGGACTCAGTGAGAGGCACGAAGATCAAAGGCCAGAAGGCGGCGCCCATGTTCCAGGATGTGGTGGCCCAGTAGAGGTTCGGGAAGGGAGAGTTCTGGACGTTGAATTCCTTTTCCATCCAGTCATTTCCAGAGCCGTATGTTCCGGCTGGGAGACCGGTCAAGATAGAGCTGTGTGGCTATATTAGTTTTGGGTGCTTCTGCATTGGGAAGGGTGGGGTTGACGTACATGAAGCAGACGGTGATGGTCAACAGCCATTTGTACTTCATACCCCAATTGAACGGGTTCTCAGGGTCATCAGGGCCATCCCAGGTGTGAATGATGATATCCTTGTAGGCAGGCATCTCGGCGCGAACGTCTTGGTTTATCAGTCCCTTGAGTCTGGGGTATCGTTAGTCCATTATTGCCCACGGGGAAAGGGTAGCCTCAAAATTGGGATTACTGACTTGCCCATAAAGCCCGTGGGCTTGGGAACCTGCTCAGCAATGGGCTTTTCATCAGCAGGCTTGGATTCAACAGGGTGCTCAGTCTCATAGACTGAGTTGCCACGGATCTCATCTTGATCAGCCATGACGGAAATCGTGAAAGACTGTTGCAAGTGCCAGACCTGTCACAGGGAAAAGCAAAGAAGACAAAGAAAAAAAAAAGAAAATAAATACATGAAAACGCCCGGAACTGACCGGGGCAACAATTCTCAATTTTACAAATGCATTTTCTCCGAGAATGTTGGAACCTCACGGTGTTCAATCCCGATGTCTCCACTCGGCATGCCGAGAGCCAACAAGCGGTTGTCTCACCCATTCGGGAACTCGGTCGGGTGTGGCGGGCTGTTCTGGTAATCCACCGCCACTCCACTCTTCCTTGCTGGTGGAGCTTATTTCAAGGGGATTTCATCATTGCCTGCATAGTATTGGGTCTTTCGGCTGACTGGATCCTTCAATTTTTTTCTCAGACCGCGAACTACATTCAGTGCTCCCTGCCTTGATTCCACTGCCGAGGTTCCACCGCGCCTGGGATGCATCTGGTCCACTCTGCAGTGAGAATTTTATGTATGACGCAGATTGATGGCGTCATATGCGTCAACTTGGAGGTTGGCTTATTGAACAAAATGTTCCGTTGGGTGGCTGTTCTCTGAAGGGATGCAGAGTTTGCCCTTAGGGTTGGTAATCTCAAGAGACCAAGGCAGTTTGACATCGGATTTAAATGGAGTTGACAGGTTAGCAAATTTTTGAGTGAAACATAATTTCCTCAAAGTTTATATTGCATAAGTTATACTGTACTGTAGCAGGTACGAAACAAGGGATTATCATTGTACAGCACCATGTAAGATAGTCCGCAAGGGCATTCGAGACAAAATTGTGTCTCTAGTTCCAAGCTGATATTACAATGTTAACTACAGTATGCGGCAGTACGGATCCGAACTGTTTAGCTGCCTGAGATTCGTGGGGAGATATGACGTAGCTCCCGTACTAAATTAGCGCATATTAGCGTGCCTATTCTGGTTAGGCCAACTTTTACTTCGACCCTCTTGTCATTTGGGCCCATATATGTGATGATGGCTAAACACCGTATGTCCGTTGGTTTTGTTTGAAAAGGCTAACGTCTACGTGGTAATTTTGCAGTAGTAGGGGGCTGGTCTGATATAAGGTGTTCTACATATCTCCCCTTCTGCTCTGATTTTGATTTTTCTGATTCCTAATTTGATTGACGCTTTAATTCTTCGTTTTATCAATTAACCAGAACACCCCAGGACGACCTACATGGAGAGATGAACAGCCAAGTTGGGATTATGCGACAAAGGCAACTTGATTTCAGGCAGAAAGAGTCGATCCCAACCTGAAGCATTTACGCGGTTCCTCGATTATGAATCAACAATGGGAAAATTGTCTTTGATCCCGAGACAAGTGCAGGGACTTGACCTTTCGAATGTGGATGTGTCCCAACGATACCCCACCACCGTTGGCGGCTGCAATTTGTTCACAGAACCTGCGTCTAACGGCTTCATCGGCAATACAATTTTTGGCTATCACTGTACGGCTGGTGAAAAGAGAGGGGAAATTTGATTTCTCTCATGCAGTGTTTGACGCCCATCGAGGATCACACAGGACCAAGACTGCCCAGAATGTCGTGAAGACAATCGATCCCCACTCAGAGTTATTTGGTATCGTTTGCTTTTTTGTTATCTCCATGATGCACCCCAGAAAAGGAAAAGATATTTCCTTGGGCTCGACAACCGAACAAACTGCCATAAGTCTTTCAAGATTACCTGCGGCTATAACAGCCAGCACGCGGCTTCTCACATTATTTTCTTGTCTCATTTGTTGATTGCCCTCGCACAGCATCAAAACTGGCAGACAAAGATACTTCGCGACAAACGGCATGTGCGACCAGACAATGGAACGAGCGACCTCGAGGCTCTGAACCGTTTAGCCCTCATTCATTTTTTCCCTGGGGCAATCTCGACTTGTTTTAGAAGGCCAATCATTCTAGTTGATATCTGCGTGGCGGCAAGATGCCAGAATGACTCCGCAACATTCCTCAGTGTTTCTGGTTGATTTCATCTTCTGACTTTCTTTCGCCCACTCATTTTACGAGGATTCTAATTCTTCTTGTTATACAAGTTTGACGAGCTTGGCTAGGTGTGAAGGGCTCCACTGCTTCCTTCCCTTATCCTGTGTTGCTGCAGTCTGTTTCGGAATTGTGGTGAGGGTACTGACAATCCATAAATTGTTGTAGAGGGAGATTATCAAGCGAGTCCGATGATTGTGGGAGTAGCTTCTTTTACCGTGTACACCACAGAATCTTGTGATCCCATTCCTAGTCCACCTTTTTTTTTTTCATTCAGAGGACGTTTATCTGAACTATTTGTCAGTACTTCTGCGCTCTGAGACACGGCTACGAATTAGATACTATTAAGATTAAGATCGATGAGTGGATTGATTGGTGGACAAGGAGGGGTTCGTGAGTCCCAGATTTTATCGAATACTTTGTGATCCCCAAAAACTGCCGCCTCACGGATGCCGGAGTCCTATGGCAATTCAGCATGTTTTCAGACAAGTGCGGATCATGCTTCACTTTCGGCTTCCAGCTCCCATGGCGAAATGTGACGCAACCGCATCCGTACCGGACCAACAGCAAAGCAACAATCGTGATCATGAGGTCATGAGAGGGTCGAGTACCAATACACTTCGGGAGAGCGACATTGCATGAGACGAGAGAAACTTGCCTCCTTGTTCCGTGCTCATCAAGTCGACACCCATGAACGCGAGCGGGATGTCAGTTTCGCCAATGAGATTCAACACCCTTCGGAGTCAACAGTGATTCAGGTGGTCGATGTACTTGCCAGGTAGGTCATATGCCTTGAGCCCACTGCGTGACCTGGCATAGAAGGTATCGATGCGCAAACTTTCACTGGAGAGAAATTCACCCATACAACTGAGATACACATGCACAGCTTATCCCTGGGGCTGGGACTGGTGGGAACAGGTCGGCTTTTCCAACTTCTGCCACTTATGTCGATAGCCAAGATTGCTGCAAGAGTACAATAATACTTGAAACATGCACTTGAGTGTTGAAGGACCAGACAAATCCTAAAAAGTCGTTGTGTTCGTTCCGTCAAGTCGAGGCCTATTGCACATTACGAATGCTCACTTTTCGGCCTTCTGATGATGAAGAAGTGCTTCATTGCAACGACTTTCACCTCGTCAAGTTTGTACAGGATGAAATGGAACCAATTATCACCATGCCATGTAGAATTTGCTATAACAGTTCTTTGGGGCACTTTATGGGACCTTCAAAACCACTTTTATTTTTACATGCCATTTTTCATGGCTTTCAAAACTTCCATTCACCTTATAATCAGGTTTAACAAGTTTAAATGCAATTGCCAAGTAGCCTAAATCCTTGAAGCCTTATCTGTAACAGCCTGTTCCTCCTCTTCCTCTGACTCCAAGTCACGTTCCTCATCAGGAGGATTCTGATCCACAGGCAAGATGACAACCCAGTAGAGCTTGTTAATCTTCTTAGTTTCCTTCTCATTCCTCCTAGTCTCCTTTCTATGCACCCTGCTACTCTTGCGAGAAATATCATACTCCTTATCCTCCTCCAACTCCGCGAGCTTCCTCTCCAACCTCCTCAAATCCCTGCGTAACTCGCGCTCAGTCTTCTCACCTTTCCGCCGGCTCAAATCCAAGCCCTGAATTTGACATTGAAGATCATCGATCTCGTCCATGATATCGGCAATTTTGTCGTCAGCCCTCCGTCCCTTTCGTCCAGCCTTTCTTGCCGCCTTGTCGGATTTGCGACTCTGCTTTTCTTCTTTCTCTTTCAGATTTTGGAGTTGTTTCTGCTCTGCCCTTTGCGCAGAGTATGTACCCCATTTCTTTATCCAGTTGTTCGCTTCAGCCGGTGAAGCCACATTATCGAACGAAAGTCTCATAACGCGATCACCGAGCAGTGCCATTCTCTTTTCGAGGGGGCGTTGCATCTGAGTAACTGTCTGTTCAGGGCTATAGATCCTTGAACCAGACCCTCCAGTTGACGAACCCACATCGGAAGAGTGCCTCCCAACAAGAGCACTATACTGATCCGAGGAGAAGGATCCCCCAACCCCAATAAGTGAAAGCATCTTCTCCGTCTTAACGACCCTAGCACAAAACCCCCTCGGCCCGAAAGTAACCTGATTAACCTTCTTCAGATACTGTTTCGTCCGAACAGCAGAAACACCGGCACCCGCCAAACCAGCAGCAGCTTCCAAACTATTACCTATAATCTGCGTTGTAGCCAGCGGAACGAAGCCAACCATCATGCCAATCTGGCCCGTTGCTCGGAGGGCGGGGTTTGCCATGAATGCTTCGTTTAGACCGTCGATAAAGTTTAGTAGTTCTCTTTCGCTGAGACCTGTTTGGGGTTCGAGTTCTGGGACTCGGGGTCGGGCAAAGGGGCTCATGTTTGGGCCGTCGAAGACTGTTGTTATTTCTATTGTTTTTTGTTAGATGATATGAAGATTCGGAAACGAGGTTTTTTCTCTTACGGGGGATGACGCATGGCTTTTGAGACCGTGTTGGGCTGTAAGGCTGTGATTGGTGTTGTGATTGGTCTGTAGAGAAGAACGATGACTGGGTCGACGGTCCAGCTTGATATGAAGGTCCCCTTGGGTGTTGATATGTGCTATTGGTATGGTGATGATCGGAAAAATGCCACTGCCCAGCTTGTGGCTGTGGTTGATGGTTGTGGTAAGGCATGACTAGATTTGAATCGCGACTCATGAAGTCGTAATTATCCTGCTGTGTAGGATATGCATGATACAAATGGGTCTGCGAAGGCGTATATGGTGGAGGATTCTGATCCATAGCGAAAGTTTGCTTTTCCATGCCTTGAGATAATATCACGATCTAGAAAGTAGATATAGAGGTTCAGTATACACATGTGGGATAGAAACGGGTATGACTCCAAGGGACAGGGACATCCTTTTATAATCTTAGCCCTCAAACCTCTTCCCAGGCTTGGTACCAAACCAATTTCCAGTTAGGGCTAGCAGTGCGACATAAGCACAGCCGGCCCCACATTTCCGTGGGTGACTCGCGGATTCAACCCGATCGAGTTTAGCGCCGAGATCCACAACCCTCAGCATAGCCACATATTGTTGGCGAATCTCCTTTTATTCGGTGGTTCGCACTGCTCTACAAATGCAGAAACGAGAAAGTCTTTCTCGTGACTCTTTTACTTTTACTCGGACAAGTTTCGAGTTTATATCACTCATGGCGCAGGGAAATACAGTCTTGAAGAATAGTCTCCTCGGACTTCGTGCGGGATGTCATAGTGGCGATGATCATGCCTCATGCCAAAGTTCCCGCATAGTATGAATCCCATGAGAACCAATCAAACATATTACCCAACATCTGCCCTCGGTCGCTAGGGCGAGAAGAAACCGGTTCGTGCCTCTCAACTTCAGGCAAGGGCCATGTAGTGTCCATATCTGCGGGGAGCCATTCAACATAGTTCGCCACGTTCAAGTCACCCACATCGGGATCCATCAGATCTGCAAGGGTCTGACTGTGGCTGTGGTTTTGATTGCCTAATGTTTGCTTATAGGGTGCCGGCGGCGCAGCTGTCTTGGTCGATGCGCGATAGGAAACATGATTTTGTGCCAGTTTGAGAAAAATAGATGCGGTGTGCTCGAGCCTTGAGCAGACGGTGGCTAGCAACCGCATCTGGGATTGCATCGCCCTGAAGTAATTGACAGTTGCGGATAGAAGTCCGAGGTCTTGTTCGATTGTCGAAGTATGATAGTTTTGTGGGTGGATGATGTTGTCAAATACCACGAAAAATGGGGTGAAGGGGCAATATAGAAGTTGCCTTTGGAGTTTGAATTAGAGAGTATTTAATAGTAGTGGATTTTAATTTTGCTCTTACCAGACCACACCGTTGTATACAGAACTCCAATTTGAGACCATAGAGCTCAATGTCGAGATAGCTTCACGAGCAGAGAATAAGCGAAGGGCCGATGAAGACTCATCGCCTTTCAGCAAGAGGATAAGAGAATGTAGATACTGAAATCTGATGCTGCTGATGCCGAGATACATCTCCCGAGTCTGGCTGGCATCTGCTGACACGCTTTCAACTCTGAGAATCTCTGTCAACGCCTAGTTCCAAACTTAGCAAAGACTGAACCGAAATACTTTAGGACACAAGGGCAGGGAATTGATCACTAACCCGTTCTGTCTCCAGATGCCATTTCTCCAACTCTGATCGTATCTCAACCCTTGCATTCGATGAGTTGCCAGTTGATAGAAGATCCGAAAGCACTCCTGCAAGTTTAGCCCACTGGATAGATCGTATCAAGACCTCAGCACCAAATCTAGATCCCTTTGAAGCTCCTTGCTGGCCTCCAAATGCCGCTCGCTCATGCGGATTAAATTTCAATATGAAGTTCTGGTCTGGTAAAGGAACATTCTCATACAAGGCCGTGGGAAGGAAAGCCGGTCGACCGAACGCAAGAGAACATGACTTGTCAATAAGGAAAAGCAGCCAAAATAGACAGAGCCGTTGCTGTCGATGTTCAGGAGCTTGATGGGTAGGTGAATGCATTCCGAGAGCCTCGGCCTGTCGACATGCATGCCCCAGTAACATCCAAGAGAGATTAGGTGCCGCATAGTCCTCGCCATGCATTGCTAGGAAAGCCAGAGCTTGCACATTTGCATGACGTGGCTCGAGAAAGATGCTGCTGTCATTAAGGGCCAGTTGCATATTACGACGGAACCGGGTTGTCTCGTCACTTTCACCGTTCTCGTTTGAGATGACTGATAATATCATGTAGTTGAAGAACACGACCCATGCTTTCTCACGGACATTTTGCGGTTCAAAGACGACCTGTCTTAGAATATCTTCAGGTGGAAGAATGAAAAAGGGTTCACCCAGCTCAGCATAGCCAAATATTTCTGGCTGATTTTAGTGGTTGCGCTGGACTCTGAGTAGGGGTAAGACCTTACGGCTGATCAAGCGATATCCGGTGGCACTGGAGGGTATGAAGAAAGAAGCTGAGTCTTCTTTCTTTTGTTGCTCGACATGCGCCGTAGTGAGGCTACTAGAGAGATATTGGAGCTCTGAGTGGGCACTCTGGCGCGTATCATGGCCCACTGGCTGGGCGATTGAATCGATCTTAGCCGATGCTTCCGTCAGGAATGAAAATGAATTCGACGGGCCGATATATAGACTCGAGTCCGATATAGTATTCTGGGATATGGGACATTGCGTAGATGAGGGTCGCTTCCGGGTACCTTTCCCAGAAGAAACGGGTCGAATAGCCTGCAAGACTCGATCGACCGAGTCCGCCAACTGTTGTACCGTGTTTTCGAGGCGTTGAAGTCGTGCATCAAAGATACTCTGCGGCTCCAGCACTTGTGATCTAGATCTGTTAGTATTCCATAACATACAATTCATCTTTTGACATCACGTCAAGTCTCACATGGGATTAGGGGCTGGTGGGGTGGAAGAGGACTTGTCACGTAGATAGTTGCAACTACTGGGCCAAGGCTTGCAATTGCTGCACTTGGGTAATTGCCGAGAGCATCTTAAAAACAGTCAGACGCTTGTTCACTCTTCATATTGGGATGAATTACTTGAGTTTCTTGTGTCGGCAAAAGTCACACTATACTAGTCAGTCCCGATGAAGCATCCTACCAGTGTGTTATTACTTACTGCGAATCGGGCAAGTCGAGATTCCATTTTGGGAAGCTCCGTTGCTTTCCGGGAAATTTTATAGTTACAAAAATGTTCAGAAAGTGTTCAAGATGAAGAAGAGGCGAGAGGATGACCCGAGTGATGTCCGAGATGTTGATCGCTGACTGGGTGGTTCCGGAGCCCTCCGGCCCTGACCAATCAAAAGTATTCATTCCGGATATCCCTATAGTTGCAGCTCTGCCAGCTTTAATTCCGGTGTGAAGTTTCCGAAGGTGTCCGAATTTATCCAATGATGATCAATCTCGCCGGACGGCTCTTGCCGCAACATATTCCTAGACCATGGGCTAACCGGATGCCGCGGACGCATGCTTGGAAGTATAAAAAGGACCAAGTATATTCTTCAAGTTTCTATACCCAACATCACTGTCATTCCTTTCTCAATAACTTTTTGACTACCTCGCACTCAGCCAGGACTTCTACTATATATACTTCAGTTCCAACAATGGATCCCTCGCCCTCAATCGCCATCATCGGCGGCGGACCAAGCGGTTTAGTCTTCGCCCGACTCCTCGAAGTAAACGGCATAACCGACTATGTCGTCTTCGAGCGCGATGAATCCTCGACACCAGTTCCATGTCAACAAGGCGGCACACTCGATCTGCATTCCACCTCAGGCCAACTAGCCCTCAAGCGGGCAGGCTTGTTTGAAAAGTTTAGCAAAGACCTTGCCCGTTGGGACGCAGCCTGTTTACGTATCCTCAATTCAGCCGGAGAAACAGTCGCCAATTTTAGCGAGATTGGGGACCGACCTGAGATCGACCGTTTGCAGTTGCGTCAGCTGTTACTTGAATCCATTCCTCCTCAGAAGATTCGATGGGGACATGGTGTGAGCTCCATCGAGAAAAGCGCGGATGGAGAGAATTCCGCTCATGCTGAAGAATGTATCATCCGCTTCGTAAATGGTAACTCGGCCACTGGGTTCCGCCTTATTGTTGGTGCTGATGGTGCTTGGAGCAAAGTGCGCCCTTTGGTGAGTACACCCGTAATTAATATATTTGTGAAACCTTGCTGATAGTGCATTTATAGCTCACTTCCGCAAGTCCAGTGTACTCCGGAAAGATGTACATTGATTCTGCACTCTCACAAGACAACCCTAGCTATTCCTTAGCCACCGAGCTAGTCGGTAAGGGGAACACGCTGGTGTTGGGCGAGAGTAAGATGATCGCGGTGCAACAGCTCGCTGATGCTAGCTATCGAGTGTACATTGGATTAGTCGTGCCGGAAGACTTCTATCCACGATCTCACTACACCGACTCCGACGCCAATGCCAGGACCGAGGCCATGCGCTCTCGCCTGCTATCTTCCAATGAACTTTTCGCAAACTACGCGCTCCATCTGAAAGGTTTCATCGAGAAAGCAGAAGGTCCCTTCCGCCCGTGGCCACTTTATTTCATGAAGCCAGAGACAGTCGGCTGGGAGCGAAGTGCTGCCGCTGGTGTGACATTGCTTGGGGATGCAGCGCATGTCTCTACCCCTTTTGCTGGCGAAGGAGTCAATTGCAGTATGTATGATGCTGTTATGTTAGCGGACAGTATTATCGAGCACTGTGGAAAGAGCGCAAGACTTGCTAGGGTTGAGAGGTCGTCATTGGAAACAGCCTTGGCTGCTTATGAGAAGGAAATGTTTGTTCGTGGCCAGAAGCTCATTCGGGAGAGTTCCGAAAATGGATTGAAGCTCTTTGCAGAGGATACTACGCGGTTACTTGAGATGTTTAGAGGAGACGACGGGAAGGAAGCTGCTGGGGCTGGAGATGATCGGCGCAAGTGAGATGTTGCTGGGTCATCCTTGTTAAATAAGTCAACTTAGATACATCAAGATTGTATAATTTAGAGAGTACACAGAGTACACAAACACCGGGAGACGTCATTCATGGATGTTACATTGTATTATCCTTGTTCACGTTGTGCAGCTTGCCAAGTTCGCCAAAGCCCTCCATCCCACAGAGCAGCAATAATTCTTGCCTGGGCCGTTGAGGTTTCATTGAAAGATTCCACCCCAATACCCAGAAATCCAGGTTATTCCTTGCCAACAGGATCTTCTCAAGTTGTACCATAGAAGTCTGCTGTTGTTGGCATTTATTGTCAACAGCTGAATAGCTGACGGTCAGGGGAAGAAGGGAGAGGCAACAATTGGTGGTATTCACTATCCATTGGCGAAGGAAAGAGAGTCGAGGGGGAGGTGAGCCGATGTCCGAATAACCTCTGGCAGGCAGCACTAGAAGCTTCTGGAGTAGAATCCTACCTAACCTACACTCCAAAGATTATGAACGATAAATTTGTGCGGTAAAATAACATTTGTTCCCGCCATTATTAGTCTCAAACATTTGAAATGCATCCGTGGAGTTCGAGTTATGATGTCAAGCTTTTGAAGTATATATAATCATTGTTACATCCGACTTTTGAATGTTCAAATGTTCCAGGCAATCACAAAACTTGGTTCTAGGATCTATGTACGAGAGACCTATAGCTAAATACCTAGCTTAGTCTAGGTAGCTTAGTCTTCCTCCCTTCTTCATTTATCTCAACATCGATCATTTCTCTACCTTCTGTACACGGATAATGGCTTACTCTTACTACCGAGACCCGTAGCACAGGCTTGCCAGGTCCCTACTTCTGTTCAACCTCATCCGCTTCCGCATCAGTACTCTTTATCGTGTGGATTCTCGTCCACTTAACCCCGAAAGCAAAACAGAATGCCCCGGACGTCGTACCAACTGCAACAAACTATCGATGTCCATCTGTCAGCTAAGATCCCTCTACACCCTCGCCCAGGGAAGGGCCACTCACAAATTTGACCTTATCGGTTGTGGTCCAAGATCGTCTCTTCATTTGGCACGTATTCAAGGAGTAAGATAAGAACCGGAGGATATCCACTGGCTGAAAAGAGGAACCTGCTGATTGAGCAATGTTCCAACAGGCCGGGATCACACCATCATGATTTTCAAACTGAGATATTTCCAGTTTCGCAGGCCTCCTCAATCAGAATCCGTATTGCATCCAAACTGTGGCAATAGTATAAACAGGTGATGAGCCAGCTTTGAGGTTTGCGAGAGCGAGTTTATGTCACTGTGATATCCAAAAATTAGAAAATCTGGTAATTTATATCACAAGGAAGGTCAAGTAAATTCATCTTGACTAGAAAAGAAGCAAATCGTGACAGTTGAACTTGATCTGTCTGAAGCTGTTTATACATTTACACCGCCCGGCAAATTAAAGGCCACGCTAAACTGCTTTTAGGCAGGCGCCGATATGATGATGCCACCAAAACATCCAAACATTGCAGATTCAAGCAATCCTACACCTCTCTATCATACTCCTCTAGACAACCTGAACTTAGACAAGGTATGATGCTCCTAATATTCCCATAATCAGCAGGCGCGTTCGCCCCACGATGCCCCAGCAATGGCATCCTGTCTCCCCGCATTGCTCGCGCATCCCCCGTGGCATCTCAGACATGATGTCAGCTCCAATGGAGACTAAACGCGTTAAAGTTCCAATTATGCAAGGTTGAGGGCTAATTTGATCTGATATACAGTCATTCTGATTCCTCCACGCTCAGCGCATCCCTTTATCTACAATGTCTGCCGAGGCTGCTGCATCTGTACGTCAACCGCGCGTTATGGCGCAGAGATGATTCAAGCATGAATATCATTTTCATTCTTGTTGCCAGAGACTCGGCTAATGCCTCTACAGCCCATCCCCATCCCCGATCTTACCAAGATCACCACCGAGGTACGATTCTCCCAAAACACGAAAAGCTACCGGATCTAACAATACGTCCAGGCCTGCGCCGAAGCCCTGAAGAACAGCAAGGGCTACGAGCATGATGCCGTCGGCACCTGGAACTCCGAGATTATTGTAAGAGCCCACTCAGCAACACGCCCTACGCGAATTGCGACGCAATCTCTAACAAGAGTACAGAACACCGTCCTCAAAGCTTTGATCAGCGCTACCGCCCCCGAAGCCTCCAAGCCCCCTCCCTACCGCTTCACCGTGAACAGCACCATTGTGCAGCAGGGCGTGATTGACGAGACCGCTGCCGCCGAAGGCGCACTCAGCAACGCTGGCAAGCGGGGTATGCACTCTGCCTCCGGTGCTTTCTGGGATGTTAACAAGGATGGCATGTGGACTTTCAAGTACGAGGGTGCTGAGGACCGGGGTCTAGATGTTGTTGTTTGCGTTACTTGGTTCTCGGTGGTATAAGAGCATTCGCTTTTTCTTCTGGATGGCACCGTGCTGCTCTTGGTTACTTACCTTCTTGTTCCATTTATGACTGTCATAATCATCTATCACCAGCAACTTCGGCATTGGATTCCTGAATGCCTCCTTCCCCCTTCAATTCTGATTGTTCATATCTAATCGTCTGTACAAGATTTCCTTGAATGTTCCTTTTTAAAAGCTATAAAGTTGCGAAGATATCCGACGGCGTGGGATTGTAGTCATCGGCTTGACCTATCTCAGCGAGATGAAAGACGATTCCTTCGTTTTGTTCCAGGCAGTAGATAGGACCTCCAATGAGCTTTTACACTCTTTGTACTGACCTTTCTTAACTTCGTTTTGTCTACTCGCCACATCCTGCTTACATTCATTTCTTCTTATGTCCGATACTTCATCACAATGACCATCTCACCCATTTAGTTTCACACCTGGGAGCTACAGCTCCTCTAATCGACTTGCTATGTGTGCCACCAAGCACTTGCTCCCCAGTCCCTTCACGTTACGCACGCCTAGCAGCAACAATCCTGCTTCCTCCCAATAAATTCACTCAACCTACCATTAACATATCTGCCCGACACTGGTCAGCCACCAATGTCCCAGAAGGCTCGCAATACTGCTGCAGAGCTCTCGGCTCATGCTGATGTCCGTGACGTCTCCAGTGCCGTCGCTCGTGCTTGTGCCAGCGCCCTGACTAGTGCTGCCACCAATAGAATGTACGCCTTCTATAGCCTTACTGGAAGCATCCCCAGTACTGATCATCAAAATCTCATCCAGGCCCTCACCCTCGGCAACTACTGAATGATGTCAACGATAAATTGGAGGAGCTTAGGCGTGGGATTACGGGAGTGACTCTTCAACTCACCGATAGATCGCAACACCGAATAACCGAGCCGTGGTGGAATCTGTTACAGCAACTGAGGGTGCGACAGCCGCTCGGTCGTTGCTATGCTTGGAGTGATAATGACAATTTGTTTACGACGCCTAGATAACATGGTGTCTTGGAGCTTACATTTGTGTGGAGGGAGGGCGGGATTAACATGATTAATGTGGTATTAATAGATAGTTTAGAAACTACCTGAGCATGTTTGTCAGATTCATAGAACGGTCATTGGTATCAGAAAACATCAGAAGAATTCAGATCAAGAAACAAAGATACCCATATGCCTCAACGACGCCATGTGGATACCCATAAAACACCTATCCTTGCTTGCGCCATGCCATGTGTAGAATAAACCGAAGCAAAGAACACCACTGGAGACCGTCAGGTCGAAACCGCGGAACGCCGTTAAACAGAGAAGACGACTCAACTCGCGACTCGCCCCTAGCGAGGCTCAGAGTAGTCGTTCAGGGCAACACATACAGCGCCACGGTGGTGGCCACTGTACTGGCGGATGATGTTACCAGTGCTGAGCTCCCACAGGCGAGCGTAGTGGTCACTAGAGACGGTCACAAGGTAGGCAGAGTCCGCAGAGAAAGCACAGTCCCAGACCCAACGTTGGTGGTTGGCGAGAGTGGTCTCCAGGAACAGGGTGTGGTTGACTGGGTCCATGGGGGGGCCATCGGGAGACGAAGTGAATGTCTGCTGGGGAGTCTCCTGGCGGGGAGGGTTGTCGGTGATACGAAGAAGGTCACGGTCCTGGGCCGGGGTGTCGAAGATGCGCAGCAAATCGCGGGATTGGGTTGGAGTCTCAGTTGGGGGAGTTGGAACTTCGGCCTGGGTTTCCGCAGGAGGGTTCTGGGCTTCCTTCTCCTTCCATTGCTTGAGAACAGCCTTGGCAGGCAGATAATCAGCATCGAGATTCCAGACCTTCGCAGTGTGGTCGGCAGAGCAAGTCGCCAGGTGCTTCACGTCAGGAGAGAGCAGAACACGGGTGAGGTAGTCCTTGTGGGCCTGGAAGGTGCAGACGGGAATAATGCGAGTGGTCTCGTCGGTCTGGACCATGCGCCAGAGGTAGACGTTTCCCTGCCAGAAGTCAGTACGAATCATTGACCGTGGAATCAGCAACACATACCTTTTTGTTTCCAGCGCACAGCAGAGATCCATCACTGGCAACGCTGACACTAAGCACAGCAGTGTCATCCTCAGGAATCAGCTGGTGAGTGCAAACACTCTCGCCCAGATCCCAGACACGGACCATTCCGGCGTGGTCACCGCTGATGAGCTCGCCCTGGTTGGGGTGGATCACAACATCGTTGACGGGGGCACGGTGGACATAGTTGCGCTGGAGGCTACCGGTACGCGTATCCCAGACCTTCACGGTTCCATCCTCGGAGCTAGTGACCATCCATTTGCCCTCGCAGTGGAAGGCAACACCGGTGATGTTGTTCGTGTGACCCTCGAAAGTAATCACAGGGTTCGGGTTGGTCGACTTGATGTCGAACAGCTTGACATTGTTATGGCCCGCGGCCGCGAGGAATCGCTTGTCCGGAGTAATGCACAGGCGATTGACCTGGGAGTCCGGGTGCTGAATGGTACGCGAGCAAATACCGGAGAGCGCTTCCCAGAAGCTGTGAGACAATATCAGCGCAAGCCCTGCCACAGATTACGACCTTTGCAGTCGTCAAGAAAGCGTTTGCGCTGTCGCTGAGCTCCCACTTACCGGATGGTATGGTCATACCCCGCTATAACATGCCAACCCTCATTAGCACTATAAATGAAAAGAATGCGGGAAGGGTTTCCGGCTCACTTACCAGTGCAAAGGATAACACTCATGTCAAAAATCGGAGGCGTGTTGTCAAAGGCGGAATCAGGAGCGCATTCAGTTATGCTAAGTTCGTACAAGGAGGAGCTAACAGAGCGAAGAGGGGGGTTAGCTAACACTGGAGACCCCATCTCGGATGTCATCCAGCGAGTTGCCATTTCCGCACGTGATCAAAGATTCACGTGATGGAAGCGGTGTGAGGAGACAGGGAGTTTTGACGAATGAGCGTGGCGGTCCAGTGGGCGGTGAAGAGCAGCCGGCCAAGCATTCTTATCTAAAACTGATAGTGGTAGCCACTAGTCCTGATTGGGAGTGACTCATGGCGGGTGTCTGCGGCATTTTGGCCAATCAGGTACTTCACTGTTAGGCGGTCAATACCATTGAATATCTTCAGTTGCCGCATGGGTGGAATGCCTTGTTTAGATATCTAGCACCTCCTTTGTCTGTTTAATAGTTACTGTCTGGTCTGGTCTATATTTTATCCCATTCTCTGCGTAGATGTCATGTAGTAGCTCTCAACAGATGGTGGGTGGATAAGGGCGGTCACAATAGCGGTGGTACACTCATACTGTACATGACGTAGGTACTGCTGGCAGAACAATCGATTGGCCGGCAGAATAAACAAATCCAAGACATGATCACAGTGGCAGACAACGAGAGCCTCCGGCTCATTGGCTGGTTTATTCTATTCATTCCCAATCTGGGAGTGAACAATAGCAATGTATTATTCTATGCTTCCCATTGTTCCTTTTGAGAACACCACGCGCCTGGTTTATGTCTTCCCCGTTTCCTCCCTTCTTCTTCCCTCGACAATCCTCCTCAGTGCCAATTCTCGGCAGTCTCGGTCATTGTAACTCATTATGGCTGATCTCCCTTTCTGCTCTTACTCGGATCCCGTTGAATGCCCTTATGAAGGGTACTATGCCGCCTCCAATTGCCCCCCTGGGGATCCTACTCCTAGCCCTGACGATACCACGCTGCCCGAGGGCGTGAACGACCCCGACTACTTTGACTTCGACGGCGAACTTGCAAAGCTTCAGCAGCGTAACTCCCGTGCCCAGGAGAATAACACGGAGCTTGACACTCATGCCAACCCAGTTATCGCGGACTCCAAGCCCGGAGAATGGGAGGTGACCCCCCACACTTCCCGCAGCGGATCTGTGGAGGAGCGGGCCGCAGAGATCGGCAAAGTTATTGATTCTATGGGAGGAAAGCCTTGGGTCAATCCATGGACAGGATCGCCCTTTGAGCTTGACGACGATGCGCCTGATATTGTGACTGCTCTTTCTGCTTCTATCTCTGACGATGAAGACGATGTGCCTCCTCAGGAGTCTACATCCATTGTGCTCACTATGCCTCTGCCCGCCTCAAAGAAGAAGGCCACTGCCTTAGAGCAGGTTGGCACTACCTCAGAGAAGCTCAACCCTGCAAAGGTACAGTTTCCGCAAAGACCTTTCATCCAACTGCTTGACAATGCTAACTACCTTTAGAACTCTGTTACCAAGCCCCAGAAAATCCACGAACAAATAGCTCACCAGGCTGTTCCTCGGTCCATTAAGCAGGTTCCTCCTCAGGCTACTTCGCAGGCTCTTCCTCAGGCAATTCACCAGTCTTCTCAGGTTGTCCACCAGTCTGTTCCTCAGACTAACTTGCAGGCACCCCAGGCCATTCAGCAGTCTCCCACTCAGAGTATGTATCCTCTTCTCCCCCAGGCTGCTATTCAGGTACTCCCTCAAAGCATTCAGTATGCTCCTTTCCAAGGCGTCCGCCAGCCCCTTGCTCAAGGAGTTCAACAGTCTCCCCAGGTTATCCACAAGCTTGTTCCCCAGAATGATGTGCAGGCCCACTCCCAGGTTACTCAGCACGCTCCTTTCCAAGGTGTTTGCCAGTCTCCTCCTCAGGCCGTCCAGCTGTCTCCTACCCAGGGCATGCACCACGTTATTCCTCAGGCTGCGTTGCAGACTCAGCCTCAGTTAATCCACCATCCTGTTCCCATCAATATCCCCCGGGGCTTTCCCCAGGGCCTCATGCAAGCCAACCAGCAGTACATGTCGCCGTACGCCTCTGTCACCCCGCAGAAGCTGGTGCACAAGCCCGGTCCAATGAGAACTTCTCGTCCTGCCAAACGCCAGGCCCGAGGCCCATACACCAACTACAGCCCACCCGGTACCCAGCTGGAGAGCGCTCGGGGCCAAATCGCTAAGTTGATTGCCGACAAGAAGCGCATGGAAGAGAAGCTGGACAATCTCAATCCGACTAATCCCAATACTGGCAAGACCTACGTCGAGACCCTGCAGTCCAAGAATGCAGTCCTTAACTTTGAGACTTCGATGCTGGCACAGAAGAATGCAATCCGCAAGTCCCAGGTGCGGAGCTCCGAGGAGAAATATGAAGAACTTATTGAGAAGTACAATGCCCTTGCTTCGCTGTCCCGTGCTTTCCAGAATGAGGTAGATTTGTGGCAGCGACGATACTACGAGCTTTCGGCTGCTCTGTACCAGCCTATGCTACAGGACACCGAGATGAGCAGTGACTAGTTTACCTGTTGAATTATCATGAATTGAATGGGGATATGTAGTACCGCGATTCTGTTTTCTTGCTTTGATGTACTTGCGATGGACCGCGACGATACCAAGGGTTACGTAGCCAATGAACAATTATTATTGTTGAATGTCTGTCTCTAGTAAACTGTAACCTCTATGCATTCTTTAGAACTACAAGAGCCCAATCTTTAGAGCCGCTCGAGTATTCTTTGGTCTTTCGGCACAATATTCATTCAACAAATGTGCTCCCAGTTGAAAGGCTCGATAGACAATTTGCAGCCATGTACATGTAATTGATATGGAAAGTATTTCGCATTACATTTAGACGTAATACATTCCATCTAATCCGTCCACATCATTGTTGTATTGTTTTATTGCTTCCTTGATTATTTACTATACTATATTTCATGTACATATAGAACCAAACCACCAACACCGCGCAGTGCAAGAAGACAAACCAGACCGAACGAAAATGGTATCAGGTATCATGCAATATTCATAAGGAGTTTGAGCTGGTGAAGGGAAGTAGGTTTGATAAGGTATTTGTCGATGCCGACTGTACTTGCTTGTTGCTGGAAGCCGGTTGAGGAAACGCCGGTGACGGCCATGATGCAGGATGGTGTGAGATTATTTTCTTTTTCGTATTCGCGGATTTTACTACTTGAGACGAGACCGTCCATTACCGGCATTGAAATGTCTGTTTAGAGATTAATACGCTGTATGGGATGGATTATAGAAGGAAACGTACCCATTAGAATGAAGTCGTAGTGGTAGAGTGAGCTTTTGTATCTCTCCAGTGCAATCAGTCCGTTTGAGGCTGTGTCGAAACTACAGTTTATTTTTCGCATAAATGTGGCCAGGATCTGTGCGGTGTCAGCGTATGCAATGATGAGGTCATGCATATCGAATTTGCATGTAATTTGTATAAGGGGAGCAGTCATACCTTCACATTGATCTCATTATCATCCACAATGAGCACATGTGCAAGGCTCTTTCTGCTAGATGACTTCGGTGTTGAGGTTGCTGATCTAGGCGGGCTGGTCGCTTGGACTGTTTGCTGAGATAACCTCTTTTCGTCCGTAACAGACATTGGATTGGTGTCTTTCTCCCGTGCCGGGTCAGGAGAAAGGCTCACGGGGGTAGCACTAGGTGCAAAAACGGGAGAACTAGGTGGCTCTTGTACTTCTCGCCACTTCATAATCTTTTCAACGGCATTGCGAATTTTCTGTGGACCGAAACTGCAAAGACAATTAGTACGAACATTCTGTTCCAGCTAGAACAAGAGAGAACTTACGGCTGGGAAATTCGAATGACGTTGACCAATCTTTCATCAGGGATGAGCGGCACATTCCCACTGAGTAGTACAACGAAGAATTGTAATCTGTTCTTCGTGGATAGTTCTAAGGCCAGTTTCTCGTTCTCTTGCATTGCGCGCTGAAGTAATCCTTCCTCAATAACGATTACTTGGCCGCGTGCTTTCTCCATAGTATCAGCCAGGGAAATCTTCCAATTAAGATGTTTCATGAGGATGCTGGCGACGGTGCTTTGAATGGAGAGCTTTCGTTTGCCCTCAACGGTGAGTATCCCAGTTGGTGTTTCTCTCAGATCAGGATATTCATTGAACCCAACTAAACACGCATGGATTGAATCGGTCGAGTCTTGGGCTGTGGTCGATGATGCGGGTGTGATATCCCAGTCTGGGCGAGCTTCCAGATACTGCACGGGAATATAAACATCGGCTTGTGTACCGATTCCAATCTCACTCCTCACATTGATGTGGCCCCCCAGAGACGTAACCAATTGATGGACGGTGCTAAGTCCCAGCCCAACGCCTTCTGTTAGTGGGTCCTCTTGGGAAAAGGGAGTAAACAGCTTGTGTTTGATAAAGTCCGCCGCGATTCCACGGCCGGTATCAGTAATAGATAGGTGTATCAGCGGTAACTTGTCGCATCGACCCTTCACCTTTGATAGCGCCACCTCGATGAATCCAGCGGAGGTCCATTTCATGGCATTCCCGAGGAGGTTCATCACAATCCTTCTCCAGGCACCCGCCAGAGACCGAATCCTCCAGGCATCCGAGTGATCGATTCGAACAACAACTGACATCTGGTTCTGGTGGTCGAAATGAAGGTTGATTAGACGACTAGAATCCACGTTTGAAGACCTCCGCTCTCTAGTAGTTGCGACATGTTCGGAGGCCCTCTGTCCGGTATACAGAATGTTTGCAACTTCTTCGACCAAGTGACTGATGTCGAAATCAGAGACAAGAGTCACTGTTTCACCATCGGCGGCGGTCACATTGAGTCGATTTGTCTGTCTAAGATTGTTGATCTTGCAGAAATCCAACCTACAAAATGATTAGTGGGGACGTAAAAGAAACTGTGCGCGAACTGTGTACTCACATGTGATTCGTCGTGTCGAGTAAGGTCAACCCAGACCTTTCAATCATGCCCACCATCTCCTCTTGAGCTGAACCAAGAGAAGTTCCATGGAGTAATTCAGCACTTGCCAAAATGCCATGCAGTGGCGAACGAAGCTCGTGGCTGACAGAGGAGATAAAGTCGAATTTTGATTTCTCGGTGTTGGCCCAGTGGATTCGACAAATCTCCGAGATGATGGAATCGCCAAAAACTTTAAAATAGTGCAGTTCCTCTAGGCCAAGTGCCCGGTAGCTGCTTGTGGTCCATACTAGGATTCCAGACAGCCAGCGGAACTTGTTCCAGTCCCACAAAGGAAGGAAGAGAGCGCATTTGGCACCAGGAAGACGTTTCGCGAGTTCATCTGTAATAGACTGTGTTTTGAATGACTCTGGTCCAGATTCTAAAGTATCAGTGTAGGAAGACGACAAGTAGTCCTCTCTGGAATCCACGATCGCATCTTCCAGACTCAGAATTTGACCTTGAGGGTAGGCTCTGAGAAGTCGGTGCAGCAGTCCCTTTGGTATGATAGGCGGACGGCCTAAGCTCGCGTCTCCTTTTGGTGTTGTTTTAAGGACGCAACTTAACGTATCGCACGGCTCATCGAATTCATGAGAGACAACACTCGGCAGACCAAGCGGACTGGGAAGCGGCGCCATTGGGAAGTCTGTGTCAGGTGTTGGTTGTAATGGCTCCCACTTATCGGATTCTTCTGGTGCGCTGGAAAAAGAAATTAGAACGATTCTAGTATCAAGGGTATTCTGTACTAACAACGCAAAGTTTGTTGGGCAAGCATCGAGAAACGCGACTCCATCTAAATCCATGGACTCCCGAAGCAAAAGACTCGCACGAGAATAAATTGCTGCAACACGTTCCGACACAGGATCTTTATCGGTTAATGATAACCGCGAAAAGTCCCTTTCGATGTTTTGAACAGGTGTCGCGTCTGCAGTGACTGAATCCTCTGGGTCCAAGACATCTCCCAGCGTCTTTTCTTCTCCAGAGCTCAAAATTATCGGCCGATCAGAAACGCCTGAATATAGAGAGGGATCGGTCGCTGATAATTGGTCATGCAAGAAAAACATAGATTCCTCTGCGGTAACAGTTGACGAAGATGATTGTCCGGAAGCCTGTGTGATAGTTGATGTGGATGACTGTTCGGGACTGTGAATATCGACCTTGGGGGCGTGTATGTCGCCCGGCAGCGTGGAAGGAACCGGCTTCGCGCCGCTCTCTGATTCCGCTTTTGGTGACAGGTTGGCCGCACTGACACTTGATTGAAGGAGACCATTATTCGAGACCTCTGTTGGATCAAAATCTGCATGTTTTTTCACAAAGCTGGTCAGGCCCTTGACCAATTGCTCGGCGCGAGTATGGGCCTGGGCAATTCGAACATTCTCCAAGTGCTGGCCAATAGCATCAGCAACTTCTTGGAGATCTCTAACCTCTGAGTCGCCAAACACTGTGCGTGGTTCGTCGTCTACTACACAGTAAGAGCCCAGCACATAACCCGTGGCGCTGTACAGAGGGACCTCGGCATAGAACCGCATGAACGGCCATTCTCGAACATAGGGTCGGTCCTTGAAGCAGTCCTCCGCACGGAAATCCCGAATAATGTAGCGAGTGCGGTTTGCCGTCACATTGGCCGATTCGATATCGTCTGGTTCGCGCCCTGTGAACAATCGAATCGTATGGGGACACACGCCCCACACCAGATCGAGAGACCGTGCTCCAAGGTAGATGCCATCGTCGGGTAGATGCCGGTTCTTGTCGCGCAGAGAAACCGATGCCGTCGCTTCGGCAATGATGTGTTGAAGTTTGCCGTCGATGATCGAAACAAAGGATCGGTTGCAGTTGAAACGATGCACGCCGAGTTGCGCCAGAGCGGTCAGGGTGATGTCCTTGGCAAGCTCGCAGCTCGCCGGCTGCTCGTCCCCCTGTGGTGCAGCCAGGCTACCCTCATCCCCTGCATATGTCGTTGGTAGTGATCGTGTTACTGTGCAGTAATACCTTTGCGGCAATGATCAGTAAAGTACGATACGGACGGAACGCCACATACCTCGATAAATCGCGGATCCGCTCGCGCTCCTCCTCCTCTACAGGATCAGGATGAAAGGCTCGAGTGCCTGCCATGATTTAGACAATTGGGAGATTAAACCCTTGAACGAGAAAATAGCCGTTGACATTTCCCCATGGGCGGGGCACGTGAAAGACACTAAACCGGCTTGTGGATGAAGAGCGCTCCACTCCCAAATGTTCATTGGCCGAGCAGAAACTTATCCGACGTCCATGGGATGGATATTGATTCTAGATGCATTTTATATTAACTGGCCTGTCAATTACTTGCATTTCTTTTTTCCCGACTGTAGGAGTCAGCTGTCAGACTGTAATGGGCGTAATTCCTTCTTTTTTCCCAGTTTCTTTAGAATTGGGCTATCTCAAATTCTTTTCCAGGCACATGAGGCTAAAGCTGCAGCATGATTGGTGCCCAAGTCGATTTGGTCTAGTTTGCTGCAGTATGGCGAAGGGATCAGGGACAAAATCTTGTTCCCACTGCTTCCATTTCCTTCTGTATAGGCTTGTACGTACTAGATAGATCGTTCTGAAGATTAAATTAAGATAATTTCAAATTTTTACATGAGATGCAGAATGCATAGCTGGTGGTTACCCCATCAGCTATAATCCCGCTTGCAGAATGTCGCTTCTTCTAAGACAAAGTTATACACTGTCCTTGTGGATTTTACAGCCAATCTGACTGAAGGAATTTTGGGTCGCAGCTAGAGCACATTTCCTCTTGAATTTGACCGTATCTCATAGGATATCCCGTCTTTTCAGTCTTCCTCCATGGTTTACCCTCAGATAAACACCAATTTTAGGCACTAGCCCAACCTTGGTAGGTACAGAACAATGTAGACCGGGACATTGGACTCAATTTTGGGCTTACTCTCTGTGGGCTTCGGTGTATATTTCCTGATATCTATCCGTAAGCGAGCAACAACAATTCTACGTTACATATACCTTCAATGCGTCGCCAAAAATATCGTACATCTGCTGTTTTGTGGCCTCCTTAGGTTCAAATCCTGTCACCATAGCACAGCAGTCGCAGGCATTGGTGCAGTGCCCAACGCCAGTTTGGCTACGTCTGTGAGATGGCGCTTCTCACAGCACCCGCAATTGCGACTGCAGCACCTATCTTGCTTGGCGCAGTCTCAACCAGCTATTTTCGCATGTACGTGGCCGGATATTGTGGCAGTGATTTGTATGTTATCTTCACAGAACACTTGGGGAACTCGGATTCTCTAGCCCAGAGCCGCTGCCTTTGAATATTTCTGCTGCTCATTAATAAATTCTCTAGCTCTACTGTCATAATATCGTCTTCGGTCCGATTGTTCAAAATTGCGAGCTTGTTCCTGGCTCCGGCTCTCACTCGAAGCAAAGTTTCTCTATGGGTGGTGATATCTAAGTTGCGCTCGGCTATACTTATTTTGATAGAAAAATTCGCGGTTGACATGCTCATTTTTGCTGATGCTGTGATTCCATCGCCATTTCCAAGCCAAACCGCCAGATATCTAAAGGCATTCACCGTAGCGTCTTCTTGCTTTGATAGGCCCTTTCATACTGACGATCCAGTAGAATTTGCGATAAGTCAGGTCTTGTGGTATAGATCAAAGCTGTATAAATGGGGAAAATAGTCGATGGAGTTTGCTGGTCGGGTATCAGTTAGAGGCAACCTTACTTTCAAGAGCCGCAGCCAGAGGTGGCCTAGCGCGAACTTAAATTGACACTAAATATTTTAAGCCCAACCAGAGCTGTACCAAAGTGATCTAGAGAAAATTTACTCATCTAAGCTGTACATTGGGGAATTGGTCATTTTGATGACACTGCAATGAGGTGTGAAGACAGATAAAAGTTTGGTGCATCCGTAGCAAAGAGGACACAATCCCAATGTAAGTTGAAGTTGAAGATCCCCCGACATGTTAAACCGAAAAGTAATCGCATTGTATATTGAGATTTGGCTTCTATTTGAAATGGAGTGCAAAATAATCTTTGTCCCTGTTGATTATGTAGCCAGACAAGCTTACTAACGGCGTTACAAGTTCATCCTGCTCCAATTCTCAGTAGGCTTAATGGCTTCGTTGAAGTGTCTTATGTGACATCGAATATTCACATGGTACACTCGATACATTGATACATATATGCAGTTCAAATAGGGCAATTGTATCCAAACAGACGACATTGTGGGCGTCCGCCTCAGTTGTGACTTCGATTCATGAATCGAAAATAGCATGAATGACATCAGTATGACATTTGAATCAAGAGTTTCGCATTTCTAGGCGACTTTCCTAATATAGTATGGCAATGGTCAACTAGGAGATAATTGGAAAGACTTTCTACTGATTGCGTAAGCCTCGGGACATCCGTGGCCACCACAATACTTGGGGAGAAAAGTCTATACTGCTTTAGCGCTTTTTTTTTTTTTTTTTTCCATTTTTCTTTTCGGAATCACAACATATGCTCTACGGAATTCGGAATGTTTCAAGGATGCCTAAACACTAGACCTTTACTTCACACAGTTTGTAGCCAGCTTTCCAGCGGCCCTGGAACTCTCAATATGGTACAGGCGCTACTGGAATGGCAGCTCTAAAATCAGAGTAGTTCTCTTTTTGGGCATATCAAGTTGTCGCATGGATACATCCGACACATCCACTGCGTCCTTGGATACGGCTTGACTGGCCCGCTCCTTTGAGCCCTCAACAGGAGCGCTCAAAAAGTGTCTCATCCACATATCCCTGGCACCTTCACGGTCCCAATCCGGATTATAGCAATTTGCCTTTGCCTCGTCAAGCCACATTTTCCATGGATCCGTTGAAGGGACAAGCTTCCCTGTCAGAGCCCACTGGATTTCTTTGGTGGCGTAAATTGCCTCCCAGAGGACCTGGGTGTAATTGTTCGACTGCTTTCTTGATGTCGCCGTTATATTCAATGACCCCAAGTTCCAGTGCCACAACCGGCTGACTGCAGGTGTTAAAGCACATAGCATATAAATGCCATTCATCACGAGGTAAGAAGCGCCCAAGATGACCTGCATTTCCCACGAACAATTGGACATTATGACAATGCCTACCATTAAGAATAGGGTCCCCACACTAATGAGAATTTGATACGCAGTTCCCCCCAAAACATAATGGCATCTCGCTTCCCCAGAATACAGTAGCCTTACAACTTCTGCATTAGAGTGCACCACGATGAATGCACCTTCACGCGTTCTGATCACGATATCACTTGGAGGTGCATCGGAGGGTGTTCGACGCGGTATTACCCGCGACTGCCAAAACGAGGCCGCGCTGTGAAAACTGCTTGCAAGCGATACTAAAACAATGGAAACTACTGCGGGGCCATCGCCAAGTACAATTGCCCAGGCTAGGATGCCAGCTGTCCAAGCAGAGCTGCAGATGGTAATCAACTTCAGCGGTGCCAAAGGCCAGACTGTCGCCAATAGTCCTTTATCGGCCACAAGGGTATCAGAACGCGACTGGATTGCCATTTCGCGAAATTCAAAAGGCTGAAGCAAGTCCAGTTGATGAATCATGCTAGGGAAATACGGAAGGCTTTCAAGTTGCAATCCAGACTGGACACCGAAGACTTGAACAGGGGCGAAGGAAGTGCTGCTCGGCGAGAGGGCCTGATTAATGCATGGGACGCAGGCAGCAGTCTTGGGAGAAAGACAGTTCGTGTAGAAGTTAGAGGTTGAACAACCTCTGAGACTACTGATTCTCCAATGATAGCTAGAAGTCCAACAAGGTCGAACTTCCAGTCGCTGCGTGACTCGGGGAACTTTAGATCCATGTTGAGTAAAGTATAAAAGACTAAGAAAGGATATAATTTTGAGAGCTTTGAAGGTACACAAAGATAGTATGGCGCGCATACATAAACGGTGTTTGCAGTAAACAATTGGAATCATGGGTGAGAGCGGGGTCTTAGCTGAAAGAGGCGGTGTATGCTGGACGCCTGTGTATACGAGATAATGGTTTCTATATTAACCAAAACGCCAGTATATCTATTTCGATACTGAGACAATGCAATGCTTGAACGGTCATCTGCACATTTTTACAAGGTTCTAATTTTACAACAGAACCGCAGGGCGGGAGCAGGTGAAGGGTGGTCCCGCAGAGCCTCAAGTTCACGGGGTTACAAATGTCAAAACAAAATCAGCAAGTCGAGGCCCATTTCCTTCTTTTCTCAGCGCTAGTATCACTGACTGTGGTATTGCATCGGTAGCCCAGAGAGCCTATTTGTTTGTTTCTTTTCTGATTATATCCATTTCGTATTGCAAAATTCAAATATTGCACAGCAATTCAAAGTTCTTGGTTGACATTGGAAACCTTGGGACAATTTCTTTCTCCTATAAATCCCATTACCTTCTTGCGTAATGAAAATTATGAAACATGAGATTGAATACTGCGGCTTGTTTCGTCTCAAATAGGTCTGCTTATATTAGAAATCTTAGAGGCTGAGAAGCCGAGTCTACGGAAATAAATCATCCGTATTCTAGTTTCTGATTCGCACTCAGTGCCTCAGTCAATTTGTCCCGCGTTGCTCCTTACATATATCCACTTTTTGATTCTAAAACAGTTTTATCTCAGCCTAATACCATAGAGTATGTATCTACGATCACAGCCCACCTTACCTCCCATAATTAGTCTCCGCCGGACTGTAACCGGCATTTTACTAAATTTGAGATTTCGTGGGTTATTTGGCTCTCCATCCGCTGTCTCTCGCTCTAAACCCAGTTTGACACTTTCCTAAAGGTCTTGTACTGGTCCATTTTTCAAAAATACGTTTGTTTGGCTGGAGATTCATTAAAATTGCCATATACTGCAATAAATGTACACATAAGGCAAACATCATGCGTGTAACTCAAGCTAAAAGCTGTATACCGTACGGTCTAGAGAACAGAAACACGCTTTCAGTTCAACACGCCAAAATGATCAACAAATATTGTTCAACGAACAAGGGGTCAATATCCAATAATTTATATGCTACAAAATTCCCAAATCACTATAGAGTACAGAGTACAAACATCATATTCCTCAGCAGTAGTTGGATCTCGGTTTCGCTCTCGCTTTCGGTCCCGTCTTCGGTCTTTCTCCCAAATGCTTTCCTACCAGTTAGTCTCGCTCTCGCTCTCGTTGTTCCATATCTCTCACCCCGGATTTCTGCACAGCCATGAGCAGTTCCTGCAGCTAAAAAGCCCCGAGAAATCACTAGTCTACTCCATTTCAAGCTATAGCCTGGCTATATGCTCCATCGGGCAAGATCGACCGTAGGACATGTCTCTAGCTACCCCGGCTTGCTCCACTACAATTGTCCCTGTAGACTATAGCTCGTGGAGATCTGTTCCTGTTCATTCTCTCGGGGTGGTTTCCAATTTCTATCCGAGTCTTCCGCGCTCTTGCTTTCTCCCGATCTGGATCTCAACCGTCGATCTCTATCTGTTGACTGCAAATTTCATCCATTATCAGGCATCATGGCAGCAAATCTAGGAAGAAAACAACTAGTTCGCCTTGGCTAGGCTCTATAGTATTCTGGGCTCAGAATGTGAGCTCATGCATACGGGCCCTGCGCCTCCTTTGACAGATATAAATGGGCTGTTCCTTTCGCAGTAGAAGAATCTCTTTATTCAGAGCCAATTTTCCAATCTATTCAATATTATCAGAACATTTTCTCGTAATGAAGGTCACCAATATTGCCCTCGCCGGCGCTACCCTCGGTCTTGCCAACGCTACTCCTATTATAAAGCATGGCATCAGTGACGGTATGTCTCTTTCAAAGACTCAATTGATCAAATGCTGACTTTCTCTTCTTCTTTCTAGCCGATATCCTCAACTATGCTCTGACCCTGGAGCATCTCGAGGCCTCTTTCTATGAGGAGGGTCTCAAGAATTATACCCAGGAAGACTTTGTCAAGGCTGGGATGAATGACCCATTCTATGCCAATCTACAGGAGGTTGCTTCTGATGAGAAGTCTCACGTGGAGTTCCTCACCTCTGCTTTGAAGGGTATGTTTACAACACTTAGAAACAACAATTTTATACTAACAAGTATATCCAGCTGCCGGTGCTCCCCCTGTCGCCGCCTGCACCTACAACTTCCCATCCACCGATGTGAACAGCTTCCTGGCTCTCGCCAGTGTTCTCGAGGGTAAGATATCCAATCCCAGTCTGCAGCCCAATCCCAACTAACCATCCCAGGTGTCGGAGTCAGCGCCTACCTCGGAGCGGCCGCCTCCATCATGAACGATACCTACCTCACAGCCGCAGGCAGCATCCTAACTGTGGAAGCCCGACACAGCGCCTACCTGCGCGCCTCTCTCGGCGAAGCACCCTACGCCCAGGCCTTCGATAACCCCCTGGACTTCAACGAAGTCTTCACAGTAGCCTCACCCTTCATTGCGTCCTGCCCCTCCAGCAACGGCGCCCTCCCCGTGAAGGCTTTCCCCACTCTGACAATGAGCAACATGGACACCGTGATGACCGGCACCAAAGTCAACCTCATGGCTGGCACCGGCTTCGACGCCAGCGCGACCGACATCAACGCCGCCTTCATCACCGTCACCGGTCCCGTCTGGGCACCCCTGGAGTCCATGGGCGATGGCAAGTTCACCGTCACCGTCCCCAAGGGCGTTGCCGGACAGAGCTACGTCGTTCTCACCAAGGGAAACAAGACGGCCACCGATGACAACATCGTTGCTGGTCCTGCTATTGTTGAGGTAAAGTAGAGTCGGAGTCGGTAGGCTGTCGCCTTACCTGTTATGCGTGTGCAGAGCTGATCTTGCTTGTTTTAGGTTGGGAAGAAGGGAGCTAAGAGTAGCATGATGGGTATGGGTATGAGTAATGGGATGGGTAACAAGAACATGACTATGTCTTCGTCGGTTATGCCTACCCGAGCTTCTACTTCTTCCATGTCTGGCTGGAGTAGCACTTCTGCGACCGCTGCGGCTTCCTCTTCTCCTGTCTTTAATGGTGCGAAGAAGATGTCGGGTAGCATTTTTGGCATTGTTGGTGCTGGTTTTTTGGCGACTGCTCTTATGTGAGTGGTTGAGAAGTTATTTCCAGATTGTACATCATTGGGTGGTTCAGTTTTATATTCTTTAGTGTGTATCTCGGGATTATCGCTGCATTTTATAGTTTAATCTGTGCCCCAACGCTCTCTTTGTGTCGTAGGCTATATAATATAACCATAATTCACATTCTGAATACTTCTTTTGAATAACATTCCTGCATAACAAAAGTACATAATGAGTGAAACCTACGTATTGCGAGTCACATGACCCTAGCAAACTCACCACTCAACTCCCTTGCATCAACACACCCATCAATATGAATGGTTGGCCTCCGCGGCATGTTTAACTTCGAACATGCCCCCTCTCCGCGCGCACACCAAATCTCGCAACGGGTGCGACCAGTGCAGGAGCCGGCGGGTCAAATGTGACGAGCGGGGTCCACCGTGTTCAAATTGCACGACGCGCGAGTTAGAGTGCACATACTTGAAAGTCGCCGCTGCACGCGGCCGCGCCACAAACTCCCGCCGCACAAGCTCCGACCCGGCGCGGTCGCTATCAGGCGGCTCGCCGGCGGCGGCAGCGGCGCATGCGCCTACGGTGTCTGTCTCCCCGGCTGCGCTGCCAGCGGTTGCCGTTGCAGTGTCGGCCAACTCAGTCTCAGATTCAACTTCTATGCAGCCGAACACGTTCGGCATTAATAACTTGGAATTAATGCATAAATATTCCACCGAGACTTATCAGAGTCTTTGTGTTAGTGAATCAGAAATTTCGGTTTGGCAGACTACCGTGCCGCGTCTTGCTCTTCAGCATGATTACTTGATGAATGGGATTCTGGCATTGGCGTCCATGCACATTGCCACATCGGCAGAGCCGGCTAAGGCGTTACTTTATCATGATACGGGGCTGCAGTACTATAACCGGAGCCTCACGCCGTTTCGAAATGCGATCGACAGTATCTCGCCGAGGAATTGTGATGCTGTTTTTGCACACTCGATCGTCATGATCGCCATCAGTATCACGGCGCCCAGACTCACTGCTACGAAGGATGAATGCTCGAGTATTACTGAGAATATCGTGATTTTGTTCGAGTTACTGCAGGGTGTTAAGAAGATCCTGCAGGTTAGCAAGTCGTGGATCAATCTCGAGTTGTTTTCGCAGGGTGCATTCTGGAAGAGTGAACCTGCAGAACTTGATCCCGATACTGAGGCTGCGCTCACGCTTCTGTCTGCGTTGAACGACGAGGTAATGATCGGGATCTACTCGGATCAACATCGCATCAACAAACAAGTCATTGCCCATCTCCGCCATTGCTATGGGAAATTTGCACGCTCTCCGGATCCAGCTCCGGTTCTTGCCTGGCTTGCTGCTGTCGAGAAAGATTTTGTCGATAGTCTCCGGTGTCGACAGCCATTCTCGCTTCTCATTCTTATGTACTGGGGTGTACTTCTGAAAGAGCTTGATGGGCAGCGCTGGTGGGCAAAGAACTCGGGCAACGCTCTAGTATCGGAGTTATATCTTGCCTTGAGATCCGGGGATCCGAGATGGGACAAAGCCCTTGCATGGGTGCAGCGGAAAATGGCGCTTTGAGAAACCAGTTAGGTCTGAATTAAGATCTTTGGCTGTCCCGTGTATATGCACTGGGGAGTCAATTAGGCGTCTAGGTACATGTACAATAGCATAAAAGCGAATTAGAATATCTTTTATATGCTTGGGGAGTTGTCGGGGGCCCCGGACCAACGAATATCTACGTCATCACATCGGAAGTCGGGGTTAGTACGAGTTAAGTACTGCGTCCCTCGACATGTAAAATATTCCAATTCTATCCAAAGTCTGCATAATACTAGTGCCCTCCCAACCCAATATATCAAACTCAAGTGTCGTCTCACAAAAATGACAACCCAACCCCCCAAAACAACCTTAGCAAACGCCACCTACGGCCTAGTCAGCGCCCTAAAACCATGCACAATACCTTCCTCCACCAACCCAAACCACATAATATGGAACAACGAAGCTTACGCCTTCCTCCAAAAACCCTGCCCCCAAACCGCAAACCCCAACCTCTGGCACCAAAGCCAGCTAACAACAATCCACGGCCTCTTCGAAGTAACAGCAGGGGTCTACCAAGTCCGCGGTCTAGATCTATCAAACATGACAATAATAGAAGGCGATACGGGAATTCTCGTCCTGGACCCATTAACCTCAACGGAAACTGCCTCGGAAGCCCTATCCCTCTACCGCAGTGTCCGCGGCGAGAGACACATCTCCGCTCTTCTCTATTCACATTCCCATATCGACCATTTCGGCGGTGCGCAGGGGATCCTGCCGCCGGGTACGAAACATGATATTCCCATTATCGCCCCGGAGGGATTCATGGCTGCGGCTATGGATGAGAATATCTTTGTGGGTAATGCTATGGCTAAGAGGACGATGTTCATGTATGGGAGTTCTCTACCGAGAGATCCGGCTGGTCAGATCGGGTGTGGGATTGGGAGTTCCGTGGCGACGGGGTCTACGTCGTTGATTCCGCCGAATATCAGTATCAAGCATTCGGGCGAGGAGCGGGTTGTTGATGGTGTGCGAATTGTGTTTCAGCTTGTTCCGGGTACGGAGGCGCCGGCTGAAATGAACTGTTATTTTTCTGTTCAGCGGGCGCTTTATATTTCCGAGTGTGTTGTGCATGGTTTGCATAATGTTGCCTCGTTGCGTGGGGGCCAGGCTGTTGATGCGAAAGGCTGGTCGCGGTTTTTGGATGAGGCGCTTGTTTGGTTTGGGGACGACGCTGAGGTTCTTTGTATGGGTCATACGTGGCCGGTTTGGGGACAAGAGGAAATTGCGGAGGTTGTATCCGGGCAGAGGGATTTATATGCTTATCTGCATGATCAGACGGTGAGGTTGATGAATCGGGGCTTGAATGGGGTTGAGATTGCTGAGGTTTTGGGCTTGCCGGCTGGGTTGCAGAGCGCGTGGCATGCGCAGGGGTTTTATGGCTCTGTTAGCCATAATGTTAAGGGGATCTATCAGCGGTATATGGGGTGGTTTGATGGTGATGCTGCGCATCTGTGGGAACATCCGCCTGCTGAGAATGCGAAGAGATATGTGTTTACTATGGGGGGTATTGACGAGGTGATTCGCAAGGCTGAACATTTTGTTCAGGAAGGTGATCTTCGCTTTGCTGCTACTTTACTTCGTCATGCAGTCTCTGCCGATCCTATGTATGCTGCGTCCAAAGAAGCACTAGCGGATGTGTACACGAGACTCGGATTTGGGGCTGAGAATGCCACCTGGCGCAATTATTATCTATCTGCAGCACAGGATCTGGGAAAAACACCCAACTCGCAGACCAAGGCTTTAGGTACTGGGATGAAGATGGGACAGTCTGTGGAGCAGTGGCTTGATCTAATGGCGATTCGATTGAATGGGCCTAAAGCTGGAGCTGAGCGCTTCGCTATTGATGTCCATGTTACCGATGAGCAGAGATGGTGGCGGGTCACTGTCAGCAACGGCGCGCTGACATACAGGAGTGCGCTTGCACAAGATGGGTTTAGTGGCGTTTCAGGCCTGACGCTTGTTCTGCAGAAGAGGGAATTATTTGGCGTCCTGGGTGGCGCTGGGCTGCACGAGGCACAGTCGGGCGAATTGGGATTATTAGAGAAATTGTTGTCGTTGGTAGAGAGTTAGGGGTAGAGTACAATGTAAAGTCAAATTTGAAGCTATATTGATATACAACCTCACTTTCCCCACATATCAACTTTCAAAACTTTTGAGTCCCGAGGTTCAGCGGGGTAACTTTAGTCTAAGCCTCAGACATAATTAGATCACCACCTGTCCAAGTAAAGCCAAGCAACTAAACTCGAGAAAACGTACTAAACCCTCACCCCGCTTCAGAACTGGTGTGACATGTAAGCGCTACAGTCGCCAAATATGAACAAATAATTTAAATAGTCCGTTTGTCCTTAATGCAATTCAATTCCCTCTTTTCTCATCATCTAACTACCCTCGCAAACATGGCTCCTCAACCCACCTGCTCCGTAGAGGAGTTCACCCGCACGACTTTCGACTATGTCATCTGTGGTGGAGGAACCGCCGGATTGGCAATCGCAGCTCGTCTCAGCGAAAACCCAGACGTGACAGTCGGCGTCATTGAGGCGGGCAAGTATCGTATTGGAGATCCTTTGGTTGATACGCCTGCGGCTTTCTCTCAGATGTTTGAGAATCCCGAGTATGACTGGTGCATGTATACAACGCCGCAGGTAAACATTTACTCTGTCTTTTGCTCTGACCTAAGTATTAATGTATATTCCCACGATGTAGGAGGGAAACCAAGGCAAAATCCAGCATATCCCGCGAGGCAAAGCCCTCGGTGGTTCTAGTGCCATCAATTATATGATGTACGTCCGAGGCTCGTTGCAGGACTATGATGATTGGGCGGAACTCGCAGAGGATGAAGGGTGGTCTGCAGAGATAATGCAGCAGTACATGCGAAAGCATCAAGTATGTCCAATCTCCACTCATTATCTTGTTTACACTCCCAAACCATGAAACTAACAAATAAGACCCTCGAGCCAATCGACCCATCAATTACCGATACATCAACCATGCCCCTAGTAGGCCAATTCCACGGCACAAGCGGACCAGTCCGCACAAGTTTCAACGACACCATACTGCCAGTCGAAAACGACATCATCAAAGCCTGCGAAGAAACAACCGGCCTCCCAAATAAACCCATCGACCCCTGGAGCGGCGACCACATCGGCTTCTACCATACCCTCGGCACAGTCGTACGCACTGGACCGAACAAGGGAAAACGCAGTTACGCCGCGCGCGGGTACTACGAAGCGAACCGCGAGAGTCGACCGAACCTGAAAGTCCTGTGCGAAGCACTGGTCAACAAGGTCGTTCTTGATGGCAACAAAGCGTCCGGCGTGAGTCTCAGCCACGGCGGAGTCGAGTACCAAGTCTCAGCGCGACGAGAGGTAGTCGTCTGTGGTGGAACGATTAAATCGCCTCAGATTTTGGAATTGTCGGGTATTGGTGATCCGGCTGTTCTCGAGGCTGCTGGTGTCGAGTGTAAGGTTGCCAACGCTGCTGTCGGGGCAAATGTGCAGGATCATTCTATTACTATTAATATGTTTAATGTCCAGCCTGGTGTTGTCACGCTTGATACGCTTGCGCAGGTCCCTGAGGCTATGCAGGCTGCTGCGAAGCAGTATGCTGAGAGCGCCACTGGGCCTTTGAGTTGCATTGCTAGTATGCAGGGATTCTTCCCTGCGAAGAAGGTGCTCTCGGAGGAGGAGTTTGAGGGTGTTTTGAAGAGTATTCGGGATGTGGTGCCGACTAGTGCTTTCCATGAGAAGCAGCTCAAGCAGATTATTGCGCATCTGGAGAGTGATCATTCTGCTAATTTGCAGGTTGTTCTTGTGCCTGCTACTATGGAACACGAGGGTCTTCAACATCAGAGTAAGCTTCTTACGCCTAGGGCTGCGGATAAGCCTGCTGGGATTACTTTTGCTCTGTGTTTGCAATATCCGGTTGCGAGGGGGTCTATTCATATTGACAGTTCTGGTATGCTATTCCTTTCCTTTCCCCTGTGCAAATTTGCATGCTGATTATTACAGATCCAACTAAACCCCCTGTCATCAATCCCAACTACGGCGGTCACGAGGCAGATATCTCCGTTCTTGCCGCTGCAATCCGCTGGAGCGACAAAGTCACTAAATCCTCGCATCTCAAGCAATCCATCCTTAGCCGTACATATCCCGAGCCGGAAGTGGATTTGCAAGACTTTGATACCGCCAGACAGGCAATTCATGAGCTTGTTGCCGGCGAGTACCATATCTGTGGCTCGGTTGCGTTGGGTGATGCGCTCGATTCTAGATTGAGGGTCAAGGGCGTTGAGGGACTCCGAGTTGCTGATGCATCGGTGTTCCCTAACAACGTTAGTGGAAATATTGTTTCTAGCGTTTATGCTGTTGCTGAGAAGGCGGCGGATTTGATTCGTGAGGATTGGGATTTCGGGGCTGTTGGGAAGGCTGTGGCTTGATTATATGCATTATTATGTGTTTGCTTTTGGTTTCGGTAAGAACTGCTAAATTGAACATTGGTTTGTGACGATATCTTCATTTGTATTCCAACAGACAGTTCCGATGACTATTCTGGCCTAGTTAGACTCTTATCTATGGGTCCAGACCTTGATACGTAAGATCGAGATGCGTGCATATACACACAGAATGGGGGCTATGAAATGGCTCAAATCCAATTGACATATAAACATACAAATATACAACCTTGGAACATGCACAGAAGAAAAGCAAAAGAAGAAACACTCGTGGACTGGAATCACCTGACGCTCTCAGCAAATCGCAGGCGCACGTGCGGCAGAGCTGCACACGCTAAACCCAACACGGCCTAACGACGTCTACGCGGGGAGCTCAATGTCTCGCCACTTTTATTTTCGACCTTGACGTCCAGCTTTTCTTCTCTCAACGTTGAAAACTGCAATTGAAGACACCTCGTCAATCAGACTTCACATTCCAATATGTCAAGCCAGCCCCTCCTTCAAACTGCCCCGGGTATGTCCAATGCAGTCCACTCCCCATTCCAGACAAATCTCCGCAACCTGGAATTCATTCCCTCTCCAATGCAATGTACTAACACACCCTAGGCAAGCGCATTGCGCTCCCAACTCGTGTCGAGCCAAAAGTCTTCTTCGCCAACGAGCGCACCTTCCTCTCCTGGCTCAACTTCACCGTCATCCTGGGCGGTCTCGCAGTCGGTCTGTTGAACTTTGGCGATCGTATCGGTCGGATCTCCGCTGGGCTGTTCACTGTCATTGCTATGGGCGCTATGATATATGCCCTTGTTACATTCCACTGGCGGGCACAGAGTATTCGTCGTCGTGGGACAACTGGTATCGACGACCGTTTCGGCCCGACTATTCTTGCTATTGCTTTGCTTGCTGCTGTGGTTGTCAATTTCATTCTGCGCATTCGCGATGGGCAGATGAACTGAGTGGACTGAACCATTTACTTGGGTTATTGGCTAGAGCTGTTTTGTTACTGTTGTTGTGCAGAGTCCTGCTCTCTGCTTGTCTTCGGTGCCCATGGCATCTGGATATTGTCTATTCTAGCCGTCTCATGATTTCTCGGCGTACATGGTCTGCTTTGCTACCATTCTCTTGAATGCAGCATCTCATTGCAATTGGCGTTTGGCTGATGATTGGCGCAAGGTCCCAAAGAATGAATCGTATTTCACATATCAAGTCATATTTACATCCATCTTCCCCCTTCTTCTCTCAACAATAATCCTTCTGCAAAACCTCCCCATCCAAATATCCAGCCTGAATCATCTCCTCAAAACTCCAATAATCCTGTTTCACCCCCTTCCCAGCACCCCCAGCCACCGAAACATTACTATGAAACTTGGCCGTCCAGAACGTACTCCCCTGAGTAAACTGCGCCCAAGCCGACAACCCAGCCTTAAGACTCTCTCTCCCCTCAAAGCCAATTGATTCCCACCCCCAGCCTCAATAGCCCACTCACCAACAAAAACCGGAAACTTTCCATCAGACACGGTATCGCGTGCATCGTCACAAACAAACGTCCCAAGATTCGCACTCGTAGCATTCTCATACTGGAAATAGTAATGATGCGCATCAAACACAATATTACTCCCACCATCGAAGAACCCACTCCAATACCTCTCTGGCTTAAAACTCCCCTGAATCATAACCGGAATACGACGATCAACCCGTTCAACCCGGTTAATCACAGCCCGAATATACTTAACCAACCACTTCGCTCCTTTCTCACTCAACGCAGCCGGCGTGCCGAACGTCGAGAAATCCCGATTATCAACCGGCTCGTTGATAGGCTCAAGCGTATATCCCCACGGCACATCAGAGTCCACAATGAACTCAAGGACAGCATCAACAGCGCGCAAAGACCACTCCAGCGCGGTACTATTATCATACCACCCCCAATGCCCAACCGCCTCACCGATATCAAGGCCATTCGTACCGCCAGGTAAAGAGTGGATATCGATAACGACGTGCATGCCATGCCTTTTAATAGCGTATTCCGCAATCCGGCGCAGATGAGCCTGTTGCTGTCCGTGGTAATGCGCTGAACCGGGGAGGACGATCCAGGCTGCGTAGGTTGTGGGTATGCGGAGGATTGTTACGCCTGCTGAGGCGAGTGTGTCAATGTCGCTGGTCTTTATCCAGGTGCTGTAGCGCTTTTCGAGGACTGGTCCGCATTGGGATCCAAGGTTCTGGCACATTGTCCATTCGTCGCTGGCGTTGCCGGCGTGTGTCTTCCACCATGCTGTGTCGATTGTTGATTCTTGGATTAGCCAGCCGCCTAGGTTTACGCCGTAGCCTGTGAACGTGCGCCAGTTTATGTATTTGTGGGTGTCGGTATCGGTGTTGGCATTGTGGGTTTGCTGGTGTTGGTTGGTTTGCTTGGTTGGGATGGCTGTTGCTAGGTTGCTCAAGAAGAGAGCTGCCAATGGAAGGTGAGCGCGCATTGTAAGTGAAGCTCTCTATGAGAGAATGGTGGCAATGCTTCAGAGGATCTTGATCGGTTCAATTCTTCAGATTGGGGCTATATACTTCTCTTATATAGTACACCGAACACCTACACCTACATCCACACTCATCTCCGTCTCAATATCACACTCGACAAGCCGAGTCTACCTCCCGAACCACAAAATTACCACAGCAAAAACAGCAAAAACAGCAAAACCTCGGTGCTATTCCCCCGTCAATTACCAGGATTCTCCGCAATGTGGAGAGATAAGGAAAAGCCGAAGTTGTTGACGGCAAAACTAACCCTAGATCATGATCAAGCTGGGTACGTCACGTCGAATGGGCGAGCGCCAAGAATACACTACCCCACGATAGTCAGGGATGAATGGGCCCGGTGATGCGGAGATTGTCTATATCAGGGAAATGTGAGGATATGAGTGGGTGAATGTGCGGGTGAAGTACCCCAGATGTGGATGTTGGTTGTGGCTGTATTGGGATTGGGATCAGCTGTGGGAGGATGGCTGATTTGTTCGGAATTTCCAGTTAGATGGGGATTGTGATTGATCCGAGGTTGTCGCTGTTCGGAGGGATTATTTCCGGTCGGATTGTCCGAGGAGGAGGGGGTTTGGTTTACTTGTATACTTATATAGTTGGGTTCCTATATGTTGGTGAAGTATAAGTTACTATAACGTTGAGGTCTATAGTACGTGAAATACCGGGGAAAGGGTCTGTGGGCTCTCGGGCAATGCCGCTTCTCTTTCCTTTCGATTGAGTTCCATGATCTTCCATGCTTCAACCTTGAAATTTTACTTGGCGTAAGTCAATGTGATCTCATAGTTTACTTGCAGGAGGTTAACTTATAAGTTAAGTTATGAATTATAAGTAAAGTAAGTAATTGCTTAAGGGCGCCACGACAGTCATGTGCCCCAGGTCTTGATTTGCTACGATTGCATAACAGCCAAGTCAGATTGGGCCAGACTCTTGGCGCGATAGCAGGGCAGAACAGCCGCACACTTCCGGTTGATGTTATATCGTTTATGTTGTTGATAAATATGATATTGTTGACATTGTCGATCTTATTTGTTGATATTATTTATTGATACTATTTTATAGAATCAAATTGGACACTATTCTACACATCTCAATAGCCTTGAAATAGAGGCAGAAGTGAATGACGTGTCGCGGGTGTGTTTGAGACTCATCCAATGGTACTTAACTCGTCCATATTAATAGTATGAGCTGAGCAAGTATACTCAGTCTCCACCCACTCCCTGCCCAAGTTCCCATTCCCTTCTGTTTGGAACATCCCCCTTTCTCCCTCTCCCTTTCCCCCTTTCCTCTTCTACTCACACTTTGTTTACCCTTCTCTTTCTACCTTTCCCTACCTTCCCTTGGGCCTTATTAATAGATTTTTTCGTAATTCCTTTCGGTTCTGCCACTCTCTACCTTGACCTCTACCTTATCCTCTACCTCTACCGCTACCGCTACCGCTCATTAGCGCATGGACCATCTGGATCGCCCTAATTCCCGACTTTATTATCGCATGGCATGTTTCGCTTGCTACCCTGGCCCTCGACAATAGGAGGGAATAAGGTGATGGAGGAAGTCAAGATGCTGGCTCCAACCAACTGCACACTCAACACTCTGTCCTTACCTCAACTCAAGCGCAAACGTTCCGACGACGCGACCGACACTCCCGCCCCGACGAAGCTCTGCACAGAGTCGCTCTCCACGCGCCCTGTGTCTGCGACCGTCGTGACCCCGGAATCTGTGACCCCCAGCACTCCGACAACCCCCTCTGTCTCGTATTCAAATCCACCGGTCGCGGCGCCACGTCCGCCGGCGCAGGTCGCCAAACCGGCGCCCAGCACCACCCACCTGAGAGATACTATCACCGCACAGCTGAGCCTCGAGGTCCTCCTTAAGCACAACGAACTACGTCTTATCGATCAGGAAATCGCCAAGTGCCAGGTCGCCCTCGAACAGCTACGTCGCTGCGCTGAAATCCCTTACCCGGGCTCACGTGTCGCCGGTGTATCCGCCGATGTGAGCTCCGGCACGGGCGCATCGCTGGCACCTGGAAATGGTCCGTCGCCGATGTCGCCTGCGCCATGGGGAGTCACCGATGGTCCTTACTCGCGCCACTACGCCCGCTGGCTGCTGCCTGATCCGCGATTTGACGGTGGCGAAGACGGGTTGACGATTCCTCCGCTGGCCGAGGGTCGCTCTACGCGCGGGAACCCAGGTGACCTAGGCTCGCTGGCGGGTAAGACTCGTCCGCAGCGTGGTTCGACTGGTACCAAGCATACCTCCCTGTCCAGTGGATATCCCCTGGTGAAGGAGAAGCCTGGTCCCATGCTTATCCGGCGCAAGTCGGATGGTGTTCTGGTCAAGCTGGTCTGTCTGGACTGTCGGCGCGACAATTTCTCTAGTACTCAAGGATTTATCAACCACTGCCGTATTGCGCACAACCGCAACTTTGCGAGTCACGATGCCGCTGCTGTGGCCTCTGGTGAAGCGGTCGATGTGGACGACGCCGGGGCCGTTGTTGGTCGCAGTGAACCGACTAGCAGCACTAAAGCTCCTGGCTACGTGCATCCTCTCATCCGCTCTGCCCCCGTTCCCACTCCTCCCAAGTCTACGCCGACTGAGAAAGAGTGTGCGACACCTGTTAAACCCGCTACGGCTAATGCTTCCGCGGTCGCCACTCCTCCCACCACTGTTCCATCCAACCGCCGCCAGTCTGAGCCTGTGCGTTTGCCTCCAAACCCGCAATTCCTGGCCTCGCCTGCCACACCCCACCTCTCGGCACTGATGAAATCCCGCGGCGCCGGTCTGGACATGGACAAGCTTGTCAGCGAAGCCCGCACCCCAGTGGACCTGGGCAGTCTCTCCGACGAGGAATCCGACGGAGACTCTCGTCCGTCCGACACCAACCCCGATGCATCTGAACTCAATCTTCGCGCCGGCCGCCAGCCAATGCGCATTCCGATTGCTCAAGCAGCTCAGTCCGAAAGCCGAAAGGCTCTGGATCGTATCCACGGGCCGCTAATAGAAGAATCGACCCCATCGCGCCCCCAAGCTTCCTTCTTGGACATCTCCGGGCGCACCCAATCTTCTCTGGAATCCCGCGACAGTCTTGACCACGCAACCCTCAGCCCACACGCCATCGAATCAAACCAAGCCCCAAGCCTGGTTAGCGACGACGAAGATGACTACGAGGCTGCCTCGGATGAAGATGGTCTATCCTCTTCTGAAGCCGATGAAGAGGAAGAAGAGTTCAGACACATTCACGTCGAAGACGATGAGCGTGCTGCTGCTGCTCCTGCCGCTGCGGAAGCTAAGCCTGGTCCTTCGCTCGCTAGCCCTGCACCACAGTCTGCCACACCTTTGTCGCAGCCGCTGAAGCGCAGTCGCTCGAAGAAGATGGGTATGGTTCCTTTTGGTGAGAGCGATGATGCTCACCATGGCCATACCCGTACCCGTGTTGGCTTTGTCCATTCTACTGAGAATCCCACACAGCCAAAGTGTGAGAGGAAAAATTGATTGTCCAAATGATCACTTCTACTCCTACGCCCGTACAACCTATGATCTACCCAGTCCGGGACAGTCAGACAAGTCTTCGACCTGCCTGATCTGATATACCCTGGATCTGGACCAAGATCACGTTAACAAAGTTAACAGAAAAACAATTTACGTTTCCCCTTTGTCAACCCCCTTATTTTACCCAACCAAGCAACAAAAAAACAAAACAAAATCATCTGAAAATGCGGTCCATCTTGACGATGATAAACCCCGATGCATGGAGTTTGAAGTTGATCTGGGATGATGTTGATGACTTTTCTATCCTATCCTCCCCTACCCTACTTTTACCCTACTACGCTACTCTTCTCTACTCTACTCTTCTTGTGATGCATGCGTCTCCCCTGTTTTACTTCTTATCTGATATTTGCCTTTTAATGAAGACTTTACGGCCGTTGTACATAGCGTGAGATTGAATGTTACTGGTATGGCATAGATTTTGTTGTCTGTAGTGTTGGAATTGCGTAGAGTAGTCAATCGGTTAGAAAGCTTCACTAGTATGTGATAATCCTGGGCTTTCATCATGTCACTTGTGAACCAATAAGAAGGATGCCTAGTATGTTTTATACTTACCACATCGGGATAGTTGTCTGATTTTCCGGAAGTAGGTTCATTATCGTGTTGCATTCCTGGCCGCACGCGGCAGGGCGCTTTAAGTGTAAAGGGTCGCATGTAGCAGGAATGTCAGACAAGCATTTCTATATTACATCCAATAATTTATTAACATTCGAATGACTCGTATCCCACCATTCTGACGCGGATAACCCATCATTCATATCCTTTGCATTATCTCACAATGATTTCTCAATTGCCTTATAGAACTTACAAGATATTTTGTATCATCATCGCACTTTGCGTTTCATACATACTTGTGTCATTCTTTTTGGGAGACACTGCAGACACTCTGTGGCCGCAGCAACAATCACATTTCTTGCAAAGTGGCATTCGCGATGGTGCTCTCGACCACATCTTCAACACCACCCTCGGGGTTAGTACTCCTTTCGTATATGTTGCACGGCTGACAAACTTGATTTTGACTAATTATTCTGATCTTAGTTCGAACACATATATGCTATTGGTTTGAAAGAGCGTACAGACAAGCGCGACTTTCTTACAGTGTCTGCCTCGGTCTCCGGCTTCGAAGTTGAGTGGCTTGACGGAGTTCGCCCGCAAGAATTACAACAGAAAGCGCTACCTAAAGTATGTATTCATATGAATCCTTCACAAAATACCAACTGACTTTGAATGCAGGGATACAACCTCTCACTCACGGAGCCTAATGCGATTGGATGTTGGCGAGCTCACATGAATGCGTTGAACAAGTATGGTTGATATCCTATCCTCTCTGTGTCTGATCATTCCATCTAATCGCCGCGTGTGGGAAAACTAGTGTTCTTCTAAACTCATATTCCACCGCCTTGATACTGGAAGATGATGCCGACTGGGACGTGAACATCAAGGCCCAACTCCGGGAATTTGCCCGTGGCCTGCACTCTCTGAAAGGGAACAGCAAACCATCCAAGCAGACTCCGTACGGAACTGATTGGGATCTTCTCTGGATTGGGGGATGTTCAACAGGCCCAGATACGAATGAAACTCGATACTACGCCATACCTGATGACCCAACAGCCCCGAGTGTCCAAAATCGAGGCACATGGTCCGGTCCCCTTGATAGCTGGAAGGAAATATTTCCTGAAGACTCGACGCGGTTTGTTTACCGCGCTAGAGAAGGCTGTTGCACTTATGGATATGCAGTCACGAATAGAGGGGCGAGGAAAATCCTCACTGCCCTCGCTATTGATCACATAGAGGCACCGGTTGACAATGCTATGTCTGAATTGTGTGGTGGCCTTGGTGACCGTCAGCGGATCGAATGCTTCGCGCCATTTCCCAACCTCATCGGCACATATAGACAAGCGGGTCCAGCATACAAAGACTCCGACATCAATACAGGCGACCAGACAATCCACGAAGAAGTCTCTCATAACATGGTATATAGCACACGATGCAATATCCACAGGCTAATATCGGACGAGGAAACGGTATTTTCGCAATGGGGCAACGATTCAGCCTGGTCACCAGGAGAAATACGTCCGAAGGAGTTTGTCTACCCACGGGGTTACCTTGTTAACTAGCTTGATTGCTATTTTATGTTTCTTTTGCTTTTCTCTTCTATTCCTTCTTTCCTTTATTTCTTTTTTTTTTTTTTTTTTTTTTTTTTCCTATTTTCCTCCCTTCCATTTCGCTCTACCAATTAGGATTTGCCCCGGTAGAACCTTATCTAACTATAGCATTCCTTGAGATCTGTATCCAGAGCAACCGTTTTGTTAAGAAAGATGATTGTAAATAGAGAAAAAGCAAATGGAAAGAAAGAAAGAAGAAAGATAAACAGAGGGAAAAAGAAGGTTACTTTCAATGCTACGTACTGACGACGTTTGCGGGACAAAGGTGGTATTTTCCCCGTCTGCCCGCAAACGTTAGTTGAAGGCAGAATTTTGTGGGATATATGTAAATAGGTCACGAATTGTTCAGTCCTCTTCTGCTGACGAGATTCAAAGATGTTGAACTCGTTCCGTGAGCTCAGAGCAAAGCTCAAAGGGGCAGAGGGATGGTCTCGCCTCCGATCGTTGAATCAAACGGGCTATTCATCACCAAGCTCAATAGAGACGAAGACTTTCGAGGAAAGCAATGACTCGGAACTTCAGCCCCTTGATCATCAGACGGATGGCGAATACAGAGCCCCTGGAAAGCTCCGCCTCATGCTGTGCATCACAACCAATGTTGTTTCAACTGTTTCAATAGTAAGCCTCACAAGAGCCACAAAGCTTCTCCACTAATCGTTTCAAGGTATTCACAAACAAGTACATTTTCTCAAACGAAACACTTCGCAATTGCCAAATGGCATTTGCGTCGTACCACTTTTTCATTACCGGTCTCACATTGTGGGTAATATCACGGCCTTGCTTCGGTGGTTTTGTCCCCAAGTCAATTTCTCTTCATCGAAATATTCACTTGATGGTCCTTATGTGCGCTCAAGTCATCCTTCAGAATCTCTCCCTAGCAAATTCGTCGGTCATATTTCACCAGCTCGTGCGATTACTACTCACGCCGGCAACTGCCTTACTGGGATTCTTACTCTATCGCTCTATCATTCCGAAGGCGTCCCTTCTTCCAATGATGATTTTGATTATAGGTGTGGGAACCATATTCTGGTTCGATTCACGTTCCGCGACTAATACAGCCGTCGCAACGTCGCCAAAGGGGATTGCTTGTGCATTTGCCGGTGTGCTTGCTAGTTCCCTTTACACAGCACTAGTTGGAAGCTACCAGAAAAGGTTGCAAATAAGCAGCATGCAGCTCCTACTCAACCAAGCACCAGTGAGCGCCACCATGCTTCTGTGTATGGTTCCCTTTCTAGATGCACCGCCTGCCACTACTACGCTTTCACCATCATTATACGTCGCGATTCTCGCGGTGAGTCGCCCTTTTTATAGACATCTTTCCAGTGGAGGGTCGAATTGATTGCTAATATGTTACTCTCACCTTTAGAGTGGATTCTTTGCTTGTCTCGTTAATGTGTCCCAATTTGCCGTCATTGACGCCGTGGGTCCTGTTAGCAGCACAGTCATTGGACATTTGAAAACATGCACGATTGTAGGCCTGGGTTGGTACTTGAGTGGTGAGTCTATCTCAAGACAAAGTGTTGCCGGGCTTCTCTTGACTTTGCTTGGAATGGGCTTGTAAGTCTGGATTTCTATTTCAAACATACCCAGTTCTAACCATTTGAAAAGATACATGGCCGCTGTTCTTAAAAGCCGCAGATGAAGTTCTGCGATTTTATGATTTCGAAACTATCTTGTTGTATGGTTGGGCCATTTGGCATAATTCCAATGCCAAGCGGCCATGCCCTTCACTGTGATAGTCCTTGCGCTATTCAGCCGACTTCCGTTTCGAGAACGTCCAAAGCGAATGGAAAGCCTTTTGTATTTCAATTTTCATCGTTTTATGTCCATATGCCACCTCTTATATTCTATTGCCGTTCGCTCATAGATAATACAAAGGAATAAGATAACTTAAACATCAACAATGGGCAAGAACGTTGGTCATGAAGGTGATCGAATATGTAGATTAGCTTTGAGTTGCACTTGAAGTCGATCTCTCAACCTAGACCCCATACTTCTCTGTGGTGAAGAGCTAGGCTACTTTTTTGTAAGGCTTAAGCCATTGATTTTATTCTTACGGAGTCCGACGAGACTTTTAACGCCAAAGCCGCAAGGTTTGATCGAGCCTCCCGTGTTTCTCTTTTGCCAATCCTACCGTGACCCTATCAGTGATACAAACCTTAGCCTTGGTCTTTACTATGTGCTGATAACTAAGTTGATTTTAAATGGCTCTACATATTGCCTTTGGTACCTGTACCGCATTTTCATCTCGATCTGTAAAGAAAATAGCGGCCTGTTCTTTGAAAGCGTAATGGTATGTGCTTCGGCTATCGCTCTAAAATTATAGTTTTCTATAATACTCAAGAGAATGTGTAACATCTGCATTTGGGGTATTTCGATCACTCTAAAAATCGTCGAACCAACATGTTAAACCGAGTGTCCTGCGTCATTATGATCTCGGGCGTTAAGCTGTTCAGCTGCGGTGCCACCTGGTGCCAGGCATGATAAGCAAGCTGATTCGAGTACATACTGCCATTGTTTCTGGCAAGGGTCCGCTCAAAGTCCCTTGCCTGGGTGTCGGTAAGCGGCTCATGCATATATTGTATAGCATCCCAACTTGGCCAGAAGAATACCGTTGGCGACAGGGTGCAGACTTCTTCAGGGAACAACAAAGACCAGTCATGTGGGAGAATGACCGAGTGGGTGTTCCACTCGCCCACCTCAAAAGAGCTGTAGCTGGCTTTCCAACGGTCCACGAATGCGGAGCCCTTCCGCCCCAAAATGATGCCATTGCACAGCCCGAAGCGGTTACGGCCCTCGTGGCCGAGAACAATGTCCTTCGGGCTATGCAGCAGGTTGTCAAAGGACTGCAGGGCAATAATATCCGTGTCGAAGTAGATCCCGCCGTCGCGCTGTAGTATGTCTAGCCGCATCACATCCGAGACGTGCGCTAGGTGCCAATTTTCCTCTACCTGTCTAGGATATTCTTGCTTCATATCATGGCGAATGAGAGTGATGTTGGCGTGCAGCTTGCGTAACCACTCATTGTTTTCGTTGAGATCGGTGTAGTGGAGATTCAGCCGGTCTGGTTGGAGAGACACTAGTGCGGCCCGCATGGCCAGGTAGCTCATGAAGGACAGTTCAGTCCGATTGAGCCATATGAAATTCAGTGTCTTAGGAATTGGCCTAGAGGACTGTATCCCGCTTGCGAAGCAGTGTCGCTCTTCCGGAGTCTCTTCGGGGATCTCGTCGAATTCGTCCTTTGGTTTTTCCGACTCTTGAGGATGGTGCGAGTCCTGAACTTGGTGCGCAACACTCTCGTGTGTGGCATACGTTTCTCTTGATCCTGTCTCAATGGCGGCGGTCTCTTTGGGCTGATAGGCTGAATCCTTTTGTTGACCAGCTATTTCGGCCGGTTTTCCTCTAAAGGGCGGGCGGGAATAGTAGGTGGCTACATGATGATATCCCGCAGCAACGCGACTGAAATGCCATGTTGGAGGCGAAGAGGGATATGCCAGGTAGAACACAGTCACTGAGGCAATCACCAGAATTGTGAGCCTGGAGAGAAAACTGAATCCAAACATCTCGGAAAGAGTACAATACCCTGCGCCCGTGGGGAGCTAGGGGTTAAGAGAAATATAGACATCATAACAGTTGCTGCAAGTTGTTGATATAGCGAGCGCAAGCGTCGTACACCATTCAAACTTTGGATGGCACTGTAGCATGGGCCGGAAAGGGCATCACAACCGTTTTGGGTTTTTTGGAGGCCAAAGGCGAGTGAACGATCAATGGTTGAATGCAGCCTAAACCTGCCATGAAATAATCTTCAAGGTGAGCATCATGTCCTGCTATTTGTACTTTTCGAGGGCTGCTTCCATGCTGATGGTGATTTCGAGGGCTTGGCAGGGCCAATTCTGGCTCATATTTGCCTCTTTTTGCAGGCATGAAAAGCGCCAAGGGAAGCCACACTATTAGCATTTCCTATGTCAGTAATAGTTTTCTCTTTCCGTGATATATGCTGGTAAATCAGAAAAGTAACGCGTTTTAAGGAGGAGAACGTAACAAGATATTAATCTGGTGGTTTTGTTGGGTTGTTACACCTCAAATTGATCTTTATGAGCATGGCGATCTCCGAGATTTTCAGCCACCAATATAGAAAAGCAAAAACAGGAAAACAGGCTAATGTATGCATGATTGAACCCTTCTTCTCCGCGACCCAGGGCTGCTCTTCTCTTGTAGCCGTAGTCCCCGATGTAACACTATGCACATGCGAAGAACCTCTACTGCATATTCAAAGTGAGGTGCAAAGAACTTGTTATGCATCCATGGCGTAGTCGATCTCTGACCGACCTTCTTTTCTTATGCAGATCATCGATTGTATATATCTTGGCGCGATCCACCAAACGCGAGGTTGATTTTAGCTGATCAATTGCCTTGGATTGAATAAATGCCGAATCAGCTAGCACATTGTTTTCATCGACGTCTCTGTCCAGAGAAAGCTTCACGAAGACTTCAATCAATAGATCGGTCTCTTTCGGCACACGGCATGGGATCAACCCCCTGCATAATGTGGCCCATTTCTAATCAAGTTGTACTAGTTGGGGTGCATATATCACAATGCAGGTATCAATAGTCTATGCATGTCTCAGCTCGCCATCATGAACTCTTCGTGGCATTCAGGTGTTCCGCATAAACAGAATGATATAAATACCTAGGAATGGTCGCGACTCAGACATTCTTCATTACCACAACTCACTCTTACAATCCATTATCTACCTTCTCTCCATTCTCAACTACCATATCAACAAAATGAAGGCCTTTTTCGGACTTGGCGCTCTTGCAGCCCTCTGCCAGTCGGTATACAGCCTGGAGAATGGTCTCTACACGATCGGATCAGCTATCACTGGTGGCTCTTTGGTATTGACCGCCCATAGTAGCTCGCCTGGTATACCCCTCGACTTTACTGAGAACCATGGAGATTCCAGTCAGGTTTGGGACTTCTCTTCAAGTGATGGTCAATACTTCTTGGTCAAGAATCGACTTGGCGCGTACATCAACTGCGAGGAAGGCTCTGTTTGTTATACCGGCGGTTCTCCTCAGGCATTTATCCCGGAGTTCGCGGGCGATGGCAAATATGAGCTTGTTGCACAGGGTTCTGGGCTATTCCTGCGTGCCGATGACCAGGGACAATTGCTGTTGGTTGAATATGACCGGAGTCCTAATGAGCAGTTCTTCTTGTCCCCGGCTCCAGCTCAAGGTAAGTCATATATGCAGCCTTATTCTGAAGTTATATTTACGCTAAGAATTTACTAGAGTAATTTATGACATGTCTGTTTTATGAAAAAGAAAAGCAATTGGCTTTGTGGATTGCTACGCGGTGTTGTATACGATCATGTCAAATAGCATCCTGTACCCTACCCACTCTGTGGACATTCCAATTGTTGCTACATGTAACACATTATGTCTACGAGCTCTGAAATTCTACCATGGCATTATTAGAAGGGGTAGTGGCATCCAAGCCACTTATATTGATAACAACCAATTTCTGTATTCTTGGTTGCGGAATTGAAGAACTCCCAATCCATTACCCTTTCACCTGCTCCAAAACACGCAATATTCACAATCTAAGCTAAGGGGAGCACGACGTAAATGAAGAGGTTGGCCTTTGCATTCGCATCACAATCTGGGGAAAACCCTATAAGTCTGGGCGAAAACCCAGATCAAGGCACCCATCTATAGAACAGAATCGGAGTCCCATCTTGCTCATAAACCTTTGCCAAATGGCGCAACCGTTTTTCTCCAAATCTACCAGCATTTCTTTGGTCCGAGGATGAAGGTTAGTAATGAGACAGCAGTTGAGATTGTGTCCTCATACCGTATTCTTCAAAGACCAAGGCTTGCTAACTATTAAGGTAATTAGTTCTCTGAAATTGGACGTTTCTGATATTGAGAGAGGTTTGCTGACCAGTTTGCTAAGCCCAGGCTTCTTTTCGATCTTGTACTTTGAAACTGATTCTTCTGCGTCGCCGATATGACCTACCAACTGTAAGTGGTAATGGCATCAGTCTGATAATCCAAAAGTCTGCACAATCACATGAGAGGTGCTTGCTCACATTCTAAGGATAGATGTTGTCAGTTCTGCGTCCCCGTATAAATTCCTAGTTACGAAGGTACTCACCTCCTATGTATTAAATGCTTGTAAGCCTCACGATCGAGTAGCAAGCAAAGGTTGTGTCTTTTGATAACTCACGACCTAGGAACATTAGCTTTGGATGTATTAAGGTTCATGGGGGCTCATACTTGCTACAATTTCGGATCACTTGTCAGCTCTGCCTACCAGCAGTATGGCTCCGATAATCGAGGGGATAACTCACTTCCTAGAAGAGGAGACTTGGTCAGTGACACTTCAATGAAGCGAGTAAGGTGAGACTCACACTCTGGAATTGCCGTAATTGTTAGATTGTTGCCCAATTAAAAAGTTTCCGCTAGCACTCACCAACTGGCGAATCGAAGTGTCAGTCAAAATTGCACCAAGGAAAGCCAATAATACACGCGAACTTACTTTCTGTTTCAATCATCGATTAGTTTTGGTTGCGATTAATTCAGTATATTTCCTCGTCCATGTCACTCACATCCTATAATAGAACCGATGTGTTAGCCGTCTCTCCTAAGATATAGTGTATTGAACTCAGGGTCATTACTTACTAACTGTATAGATCATCTCTGTTAGTTTCTCATTCACTCAAAATCCTCATGAATGAAGCAGACAGCTACTCACAATCTATATTTCACAGTACTGTCAGTTTTCATCCAAGAAGTATTCACTTATTTGGTCAACTCACACTCTTTTGACGGTCACCCTTGTAAGCTTTTGATCGAGCAGCATTATTTTCCTGTATCTTTGAGCTCACTCACATTCTAGATTGAATATCATATTAGTAACGTCTTCAGAGTCAAATGGCCTTGCCTTGAGTGGCTGGGAATTGAAGTACTTACTATCTATAGAAGTCAAACATGTTAGCCCTCGATCCCAGTGTGCTAGGTTGAAACAGATAACTTACCGACTATTACTCATGAAGTGATGTAAGCCTCTACCCAATCAGATCCCTCTCTTTTTTGTTGGGGACTTACAGGCTGTGGCCCAGCTTTATCAGTCTCGGTTCTGATGGTTGAAAAGATCTGGAATCAAGTGTACTCACAACCTAAATTGTCCAGCTATGTTAGAATCCGGTCGAGTATAGCGGGATTTTCGAGAGAGAGAAGGTACTCACGAGCTTTTAGTTTGTTAGCCTTGTGTCATCATGTTATTATCAATAATCTTACCGGGCGTTTAAAGACTGCTGTTTCAAGTGTATCGGCCTTGATAATCGGGGCTGCAAGGGTGAAACCAAAAAGCAGCATAAGCAAGAAAAAGATGGGCTGCATATCTGTTGCTTCTCGGATACCTATCGGATACCTAAAATTGTTAGAGGGGGAAAAATCTGATGCGTTAAGAGTCAATAAGTCGTGAAAAAATATCGATTGATGATAAACAAGGCAGACCGCAAAGGGCTCTGTTCTTCCTTAAATAATCCAATTCGATCGTTGTCAACACATAAACAGTCAATATTAGCCCCTGTTGGTGGCTCATTTTCATCTAGGTGATCGGCCAATAGAACTTTACGATTCAAGCCTACAATGATATTACGCAGGTTTTGGCTTACATATTTGAGTGTCACCTAGGAAGTTCTGGCGGTTAGAACCTAGAGCCGCCTTACTAAGGATCTGGGGACCAAGAATTCCTCGGAGAACCGCTCGAGTCTTTGTTTATGTGTTTAAGGTTAAAGAGACAGACATTCCGTCGGTGAGCAAGTCCCCCTCAACGTTATACATTTATACATTTTTTGGCTTATTCATCATACTTTGGCTATATATTTTGGAGATAAAAAGCGATTCGCTTTGTCGCTACAGCTTTTCTTTCGTTACTTTTAGTCCAGTTTCTTGGTGTCTGCAGACATTTAACTGTGATCCTACTTGAGTCCTTGTGTAGCCCGCGTAGGATAGTGCAAGCGCAACACCGGTAACAATGGTTTGATGCAGGTAACTACAGTTTCTGTAGTAGTTAATATCTCATATATAGCTTAATAGATGATGATGGATAACAACATAAAATATTTCTCGTAGATCGAAAAAATTTTGACCAGACGCAGAGTAGTAGGCCACACCCACAGCAGGATGTATGTGTTGGCACCTCGTGGTGACCGGTCTGCCATCGTTCGAATATACGGGTCGCATTGAACATTTAAGGTATGAAAACCACATAGAAGAGCTATAATTTGAAATACTGGCAAATTTAATCGCTATTTTCCTCAGAAGTTAACATTGTTGGTTCTAATAGCAATTGTGGTAGTTTTGTGCTTTGTGGGTTGCTGTAGTAGAAGAATACAATTGGAAATCAACAAATATCTACAGCCAATCAGCAATTCCCGCTGATTGATGTTCCTGCATCATTGGTCTAGTGGTAGAATTCGTCGTTGCCATCGACGAGGCCCGTGTTCGATTCACGGATGATGCACATTTCTTTTTGCTCTTTTTCCCTACATAATATACCACCCCAAACTTCTTTTTTCTAAATCGGAGCAAGATTTATTGGAAATGCTCTAGCGATTGCACACGAGCCAGCGTGCCCGTGCCCATTGTCATATGCATGGACCGAGGTCTTAGGGCCATAATGTATGCTGACGATTGCCCCGAAATCAATCCACGAGGAACACCCAAAATTAGGGCTCCATAAACTAATCCAAGATGGACCCTAGGATCGTCATGGTGTTGATCACTGCCCAGCAACAACAACAATCTCGTTAACCGGTTCAATGTAGGGGCAACTATTTCCGCCAAACCCAATGACAGGGGTGATAACTGCCCTTTACCCTTGCACGGCATTCAACACCGGTTGAGACGGTCACATTCTTTATGTGACACCAAGTTTGTACATACACACAATGTCCGACGAAAAGGTGATACTGGTCGATTTCGAGGGTGACCACCCTCAAGATTGGCCTGCAAAGCGAAAATGGACCATCCTGTGTACCATTTCTATTCCGCTATTTCTGATGCCATTGTCGGCGACTATAACGACTCCAACCATCAGTGCCGTTGCAGATGAATTCCACATCTCGTCTTCTATAACTGGTCCATTGGCATTGTCATTGTTCCTGCTTATGTACTCCATGGGCCCAATCCTGCTTGGCCCATTCAGTGAGTTATATGGACGATGGCCTATTTTGCAGGCTGGCAGTCTAGTCTACTTAGCTTTTAATATCGGGGCTGGCTTCTGCACAAGTATAATCCAGCTATTGGCGTTCAGGCTTTTAAGTGGAGTTGGTGCCAGTGCATCGCTAGCTGTATGTCTGAATCTAAATTTCTATATTTATCCATGCTCTCTGATCAAGTTATAATGCTTTTCCAGGTTGGCGCGAGCATGGTCGGGGATGTGTTCCGCAAAGAGGAACGAGGTCTCCCCGTGGCTTTGATTAGCCTAGGCCCTGTCTTAGGATCATGTCTTGGACCTCTCGTGGGCGGGTTCATTGCAGACTATACTACCTGGCGGTGGGCATTCTGGTCGACTTCCATCGCAGCCGGGATTTTCCTTCTTCTCTGCCTTATCATCGCGCGAGAAACTTACGCGCCCATTCTCCTTCTGCGAAAAAAGAAAGCCATCATGCAAGAAGCAAGGCAGGAAGGTGAAGTCTACGACATAGTATGGAAGACACCATATGAAAAAGTCGAAACCATTGGGCAGCTCCATCGACGCACCATTTCCTGCTCTCTATACTTCCTCGGCACGCAGCCAATCATCCAAGCTCTGGCATGTTACTACGGCTATCTCTATGGAATTGTCTACCTCCTCCTCTCCAGTTTCTCAGATCTGTGGACAAAACGATACCACATGGCAATCAGCACCGGATCTCTCAACTACATCGCACCCTGTTGCGGGTACTTCATCGGAGCCCAAATCTGTGCGTTTGGAACTGACCGTGTCTACCGGTATCAGGTAGCCAAGAACAACGGCGTTGGCAAACCAGAGTTTCGCCTGCCAATCATGGTACCAGCCTCCTTGCTAGTCCCTATCGGTTTACTCTGGTACGGCTGGAGTGCGGAGTACAAGACCCATTGGATCGTGCCTGACATTGGGATCGCTCTTCCTTTGATGGGTGCGACTATAATTTTCCAGTGTGTTAGTGCATATCTATTAGATACCTTCCCTGTGTATGCAGCGAGTGCCAATGGCGCTGTCTACATCGTGCGAGGGTTGACTGGGTTTGGGTTCCCGCTGTTCAGCCCGGAGATGTATGCAACGCTTGGATGTGGATGGGGCAATACCCTTCTAGCACTCCTGGCATTGGTGATTGGATGTCCTATTCCATTCATTCTGTGGCGATATGGGGAGCGGCTGAGGGCTGCGAGCAATTATGCCGATCAAATTAAGTAAATTAATGTCTACAGTAATTTGAACCATGCATCTAATCTCACTGTCACTCTCATTCTTCATTCATCCGAACAATTTCCTTCATCATATCATAGCACACGCTCTCACTAACATAACTATCCTGCCGATAATCCCTATGTTGGCGCACAAACTCTCTCATCCAAGATGCCGGCGTAGGCATCTCGCCACTAGCACGTTTGCTGATGACATCCAGGTATGGCGATATCCTCTCCTGCTCCGACACAGGCATTTTGCTGTAATCAAGGTAATACCGCACAAGTGGAATCAAACCAGGGAAGCCCCTATGATTCGATTCCCCATTGAAAATTTCATCAGCAGACATGAGAGCATAACACTCGCCATCAACACGAGGCTGGGCCTTCTCTTTGCACATTGGAGGAGCTGACCCGACCAAATGAGCCGAATCCGTCAACCACCCAGACCGACGGAACCACATCCGCTCTTCGAGGACTGCATTGCGCTTATTTGCAAACTTCATAGACTCGCCCGCTTTATCAATTGGGATATAGAAGTTCAGATGGAGAGTCACAATCGCCCTGGAAAGTAGGTATGTGAAGATGGCAAAGGCTGCATTGTCCTTGTCTGTGAGTTGGGCTTCCATTGTTCGGAATTCGATACACCAGCCTGGTCCACTGTGCGAAACGGGTGGTTTGAAGCGGACCGCGTGCCATGTGCAGCCGTGTAGGAGTTCGAATAGTTTTGTATTTGATGTGTTGAAATGGAACATGTCTTCTTGAGTTAAGACGAGAGGGTCGCGGGAGAGAATGGATGCAAAGTGTGTTGCTAGTTGTTCGTCCATGTCTCCATCTAGAAGACTTTGTTTGATTGTTTCGTCCATTGGTTGGAGGGGTGTGTTGCTTTCCATTTCTGGAGGTCTTTCCTGTGAGAGATATGTGCGATTACAGGTCCAGCGAGGAGGCTGCGAGGGACGTTGTCAACTTTGGTCTTTTCATTTTGAAGCACGTTGGTTGGTTGACATACTGTATGTTCCATCTCCTCTGGTCTGCGGTCATCTACCAAATCCCCAAATCGTTGCCACCTGACATCTGTGTCAACAAGATATCCCTTCCATATTGGAACTGCGGCGGTCATGGCGAGAAAGACTGGTGCAAGAGGTATAAGCTGGTCATATAACCAACGGCATTCGGCTTCATTCGATGTCTGGAAGGTCGTTTGGAGGCTGCTGCTACCCATCCCGACCTCGACGTGATCCAAGCAAATGGATTCTGGGCCTTTCTCTCTTAGAGGTAAGGTAGGCGTTTGCAAATCCCGATAGATCGGATAGTGTGTTGGTTTCGGGTGATTTTGCCTTCGACCACGGACATTGTCGAAGAGGCTTCTATAACGTGGAAGAGTACAAAGGGAATGGTTCGATCGGTTCGGTCCTTCGGGAGTTGTCCATTGGCCATCGATTCCGGCGCGAGGAAATGAGCCAATCGAGATGGTGTGTTGGTTGGAGGCGAGAGAGCGGTCGATTATTTCTCGTCTTGTACACCTATTAGTATTCAATTCTCAAAGAAGTGGAAATACCATACCTCTTTCTCATATTTACTTGAACGTTTAGAAGGTCTTCGATACTTCCTGTATATGGCTTGGCTGGGGTTGTTTCAACGACGTATTTGGCTCCTTCCCACTGCAGAGTAACTCTGCTCAATCCATTCATGTTAGTAACTGGCTGCATTGGGGCTCTGCTTGTGGCTATACATACGGTGATTCCTCGCTGGCGGGATCTCCTTCCCATTCTCGAATAACCCTCTCCTGGTCTAATAACATTGTCGCGCGCGATGCGCCGTGATCCAAATCAACTAGGTTGTATTCAATCTGATCTTTGATTAGCATCTCTTTTCTGTATGCTCCATGTCTATCGTTTCAACATACCTCATCGCCCCACGTGGTGACATTGTCGCTACGATGGCGCTGCTTGTCCCAGAGGCAAAGCAATTGCTGTAAACATTAGCAAAATCAAGCTAAACAGCAAAGAGACATACCTCGGTCGCCCATTTCCGAACACTTGGTCCTGCCTTCTCCGTCGTGGCCCAGCCAATTGACGGTCCCTCTACGCTATCAAGAGTCAAGACGTGTTTTTCTCTTTGCTAGGGGTGGTACAGTAGACATACGATAAGCCCATGATGACACGGTTTGGATTGAAGCGCAGAAGAATAAATGCTAAAGTTAAATTTTTTCCTCACTCCTTTCTTTCCTTGTAGATCGCGAAACCCCCTTGCAGCAGTCTATTTCCCCTAGATATTGGGTCTGATCAATACCAACACGATCAGGCCTTACGTCATTTATTACAACTTTAGAGATCTGCGGGGGATCGTGGATTAGCGATTGCAACGAATGCTCATTAGCGTGTCTCGGCACATCCACACATGCTCTACGGCAATGGATCTTGCTTGACAGGTCCCATTTTCCAGTTTTTGTCTTGATCGTAGCGGGAGATGACGCATGGTGAAGTAAGGAACAATCCAGATCATTTCCTGTGTTGGATGTACTTCGGTCAAATTATAGGGTGTGTTTTTCTTCAATTATGGTTTCAAAATTCGGTATGTTCGGCGTCCTTGTAGTTAGATAGGCCTTAAAGAACAGTGAACATATGATTTAGTATACAACGTGGTGAAAGGAGCAAGTGCGATGAACAGATACAAACTATTCTTGAATTTCAGTCAATGTATGTTGTGCTTCGGGCTGAAGGAACTTTATTTGTCTTGGTACGATCCAACATCTGTAACCTGATTGACTTTGCTACGATCTATGGGTCAACAATACCTCATCTGTCATTGCTCTTCCCCTGGCATAAAATATATGGTAGGGATCATATATATTTTCTAAGTATGAGATTCAACCGGAATGAACGACCATATGTAATTCGTCATCATTTGTTCAAAGTGCAAGACGGCAGCTAGTTTCCCACGACATCCCAGTTAATATGGTTCTATTCAGAATGAAAACTCATATTCACAGCTAAAAAATAAAGAAAGGCAGACAAACCAACCAACCCCGGCAAAAAAATGACAGGAAAAAGAAAGAAACTGCTCACGCACCGACTTGAACGATGGACCTCGGCATTACTAGTGCCGCGCTCTACCAACTGAGCTACGCGAGCCGCTTAATGAAAGACACAGAAGCATTTAACATCATGATTCTAAACAGAAAATATATCGAAACGTATCAGGCTTTACTTGGTGATATCAACCCTCAGAACGAGATCGAAGATATAGTCTCCCAACCGAGCTACTCCTAAGACCTCATACTCTTGCTCATGTTCAGAACTTACAAAGAAATATGATTTTCATCTAGGAATAAAGGGAAAGTTAAATATAATCATAGAATCAGTAAATGAGACCAAGATCCAGAATATATAGTACTCAGTTGCTAGGGCTACAACAGATCTAGGTAGAATGCATCACTATAAGCACATATTTCTAGATTCTGCATCGACTATGATTTAAATAATCAAGATTGGCCGCACCATGATACAATAACACACACACTAACACACAGAGGGAGAAAAACAGCCTATATACAAACGAGACAACGAAAGCAAAAACAACAACCAGAACTTCCATGTAGTAGCGAGATCAGTATCCAGAAAAGAACGAAGGACAAGAGGGGGTGTGATGTATAAGCAAGCGAGTGAATGGACACAGGGTAGGGTAGGGTTGCTTTTCAGCTACGCCGGGATACCGTGGTCCACTATATAAGAATCAACGAGTGTGCAAGCGTGCGGGCTGGAAGGAATGGGTATGTAGGTCGGATCGGCGATGGAGGGGAAAGGATAGGGCGTAGAGGGAGATAGGGTACCGGTAAACAAAAAGTGACGGAGTGAAAGAGGCAAGACTAGAGGACTAGGGTATGACAGAATTGGAGTACATCCATCCATCACTAATCCATAGCCTCGGATTCCAAGGGCAGTTCCAGTGAGACCTATTCTAGTCCTAATCGGAAGAATAAAGAAAAAGGTCGAAAGTTGAAAAATTGAAATAGAAAGTAGGCTTGGAAAAACGAGAGCTTCGTGAGTAGTGGGTTACATTTAACAAAGAACAATAATCCAACGGGGAAGGGAATATCCAGACACGATGCAAAGTGCAATTGCAATTGCAATTGCATAGCAAGTCTGCAGTAAGAGGCAAGAGATGCAAGCTTCTCTCTCTATTCCTGTCCAAATCCAAGTGTTTCTTCCACGGCAATAGACATTTTGTGTTCTAAGGCTTCATGAGTCTTGTAAGGAGGGAGATCAAGACGGTTGAAGCTGTAACAAGTATGTCAGCAGTCACTCTTTAGCATAAATATCACATCAGTTTAAACATACCAAGTATGCGACTTAGGCAGCGCAACAGGATCACCCGACTTCTCAATGGTGAAGCGTCTGGGACCGTCAGAACCCTGCAAATCCTTGAAACCGTTGACGGGAATACGGGAAGTTCCGGTGGTGAATTGAAGCAGACGGGACTTCTGTTCAGCGTCCCAGGTGCGGACGATCTTCCAGAAGTTCTGGATGACCTCGTCTTGCTCCTGGTAGCCACGGTAATCGGTGTGCTTCTTCCAGTCGTCGACATCGATATCGGCAATACCACCGATGAGCAACTCCAGCTCGCGCTCGTCAAAGACGTTGACAAGATCGGGTGGAATAAGCTCGTTGAAACCGGACATAAAGGCGTTGAACTGCTCTTCGACTCGCTTGACAATCTTCCACTCGGTAACCAACCTGGGTGAGGTTAGTATGCGGGTTTCTGACACGGTTGATACATGTCACTTACTCAATGTACTGTGCCTTGTTCTCGTTGGTGACGGGCATGTCCCGGCCACCGGGTATCAAATCAATAGTGCGACGCTCGCCAAACTTCTCATCATCAACCGAAAATGTAAGCTCCACAATCCCTTCAATGTCATTATCCCTGGAATAATGTTAGTATATGTTATCAACACGCAGAAAGAACCACTTACAAGGTCCACGCCAGGTTACGGTGTAGATCTTCATCGACACCCTCCATGTCTTGAAGAGTGACCTTCTTCCGCAGCATCATCTTGTAGAAGGCTCCAATGAAGAAGGAATCCAAGAAACGACGATGGAAGATAGCCAGACCGACCACTCGGCCGATGAACTTGAAGTAGTTGAGATGTTCGGGGTTCACGCCCGAGTGGGGATTAATCTGCAAGGTATAATTATCGTGGGCGGAGTATTCGAAGAGGCAGTAGAAAGGATTGAACATTTCGTGGGAGAGAAGGAAGAAGAATTCACTGTGAAAGTTAGCATTCGTTTGTAAAACTTGGGGAAAAAATATTGGTAAGAAAGCATACCGTGAGAGACCACCGTAGTCAAGACCGTCTTCGCCATCAAACTTGATCATTAGGCGCTTCTTAAGATCGGACGCGCTCTGCCGCATAATCTCGGCGTACGAATCCTCGAAGATGTTATTACGACGGACCTTGACATGGCATTGACCGGACATGATCCGCAAGGCGGGTTGAGATCGGAAGTAGATCAACTTGCGGCGGAAGTCGCGCTTATACTGCGGCACACCTTGATCCAAAGACGAAGGCAACCGAGGGTCATCCCAGGTGGTCGTCTTTGTGTTGTGATCGACAAAGTATACTCGCGCGGTGTTGGTCAAACGCATTTCCCAACCACTGGGCAGAGGGCCCAATTGGGAAACGGGCTGCTGTTGAATAGTGGTGTTGTTGGCACCGCCGGTGGTTTGGCCTTGTCCGTACATGCGGATATACTGCTGTCGGCGAGGATCGACCCATGTCGTCGTCCGCGTGTTGTGGTCCACAAAGTACGGCCGGCCCTCGGGTGTCACTCGTCGTTCCCATCCTGGTGGAAGCTCCCCTGTGCCAGCAGTGGTGGCTCCCGTCGCCATCATGGATACCGCATTCGCGTTAGACCCGGCCGGCGCTCCACTTGCGACAGAAGTGCCAGCGTTAGGACCGGGCGGTGGTGTAGGTATCTGCTGCGCATCCGGCAGGTTCGGCGAGCTCGCGCCAGTCCGATCTTCAGGCAGCATTCGGCTCTGGTGTGCGCGACGCTCGAGCTGCATGTTGGCTTCGCGCTGCGAACGCTGGGCATGCTCGTTGTAGTTGGCCGCTGGTCGTGACCAGGTGGTGGTGCGCGTATTGTGATCCACATAGTACGTCCGTCCCAAGTTGTCCTCACGCCGTTCCCAGCCAGCGGGTAATCGGCCCTGGCTGTCCTCAAAGGAGCTGAGGTTAGCACGAGAGGGGGCACCTGGTCCTGGAGGGTTGGTGGGAGCGCCATTCAGGGGAGGAGGGGGACCGGTCGGCAAGGCGGATGTCGGGGTGCGCTGGTTAAGAGATGAATTTGATGCGGCGGCAGGGGACGTATCGAGGTTGCTAGGCCCTGGCTGGGTTTGCGGGGAAGGTGCGGCAACCTGGGGCACAAGGCCGCTAGAAGTTGAAGTTTGAGCCTGTTGACGCTGGAGGCCATTCTGGTTCGGATGAGGGGCGCTGAGGTTAGACGATAAGTTGATAATCAATTTTCCATGGACCACAAGGTTGTCGTTGGACTTTTTCAAATCACGAGTGAGCATTTCTGTTGCGGGATTGGCACAAGGCCGTCAGGTCAGTCCAGGTATGACTCGCGATCGGCGTTCGTCGGACGTACCATCACCACCCATCGAGAGATCGATAACATCGCCAATTCGGACGTTAATGACACCGAGGAAACCCTGGTCCTTCTTCTTGAATTTCTTCTGGTCAAAGATCTGGATCGCAAGAATGCTGTCCTCATTGACTCTCCTGCAAGCGCCAAACCCACGGTTAACACGTTCGCTCTATTTCACAGACGGGACCGGATTCACGTACAGGTCGAATGGTTCATTCCAGTAGGGATTCAGAGTTTTCTTGATCACAGAGGTGGTATGTGTTTGCTCTCCTCCGACGGTGGCCACGGCGAACGGATCAGGGAATCCTGCAGGAAGTGGTCAGTTTCAACCCCGCCAAGCACGAAACAGCTGATCCCAAGATAGAGGTGACATACGAAAGACATCGCGCTTGTACAAACCGTCTGCAGCAATAACTGTGGTCGAGAATGTCAGTCTCGTGCCGGAATCAAAACCCCGCAGTGTCTTAAAAGTCGAGGATGAAGTGACAAAGGCATCTTACTCGTGACCCGAAGATTTGGCTGGCTACAAAGAGGTCAGCAAAAAGTCTCAAGATAGACATAGACTGGAGAGGGGACACTCACGCTGGCAGATTTGACGCCATGGTGCTCTTCACAGCCTGGGAGGTGGCTAAGGCCGATCAATCCCAAAGAGCGGCGCGCACATCCACGAACAAAAAGGCCAAACCGAGACAGTGGTCTAAGCCTAAAAGATGAGAGTGGAAGAGATGATGGTGGTGATGGGGTAAGGTTGAGAGAGGAGAAAGAGGGAAGGGAAGGGTTAGGCTCAGGTAATTCCGGGTTGTATGGCGCAGGTACTCTGACTACGTATTCACTATGTACGGGGTACCCGGTCGGTACTTCCTGGGGGGGCTGAGCAACAAAGGTCTCATAACTAGACAGGATTTAATGATTTCAATTCTAAGCCACATATTGTCTCCTTCCAAGTTCTTTCTAAGCTTCCGGGATTGGGAGGGTGGAATAGAGTGGCGAGTATAGAGCCGTTTGACTAGGCAGCCAAATTGAAGTGATATCAGTATTAATATAGTGATATGTCGACATCGACATTGTTATAAGATATCTAAGTTAACTATACTTTACCTCCGTACTCTGTACTTTGTAGTCTAGAATCTTACAGTACTCTGGTTAATGCCGCTACCCGATGATTCAATGACCCCAAGGTCGACCGACTATATATAGTACAGTACTCCCAACATAGTCAATCCTATTTGTCTTTTTGCTAGATCTCTGTTGATTGCCTGGTAATTATTGTACATTCCATATCCCAACTCCAAAGCCACAGAGAAAATGAAAGGTTCAGATTGAATTCGGACCCAGGACTTCAACAGGCACCCTGACCGTTTTCTGCGTATTGGACATCTCTACTCCACCAGCCACGCGCCTAGTAGGGCGCAAATCCACGCCCCCGACCCCTGTAACCACCCCGGTAGCCGCCACCACGAGGGAATCCACGACCACGGCCGCCGCGGAATCCGCCCCGGCCACGGCCACGGTGCATGCCGGGTAGGTTAGTGCGCTTGGGAACGACCTGCTGGGGGTTAGTATTTTAATGTAGACAGCAAAGGGGATTTGAACGCACCTTCAAGTTGCGACCGCGGAAGACGCTCTCATTCAGAACTAAAGCCTGGGCAACGAGACTGGGCTCTGCAAACTCGACATAGGCGTAGCTAGACAGACGTTAGCATGGATCGACCCATCTCCTCCGTTCACTTCTCACCCTTTGGGCTGGCCAGAGAACTTGTCCAGCAAGATGGTCACCCGGTTGATCGAGCCACAGCTCTGGAAATGTGCCTGAATCTCCTCCGGCGAAGCACCGTAGTCCACATTGCCGACGAAGATGCTTCGTGCATCAATATCTTCTTTGTTTTCCTGGAGGTTCTCTGACTGCTGGTCGAGAGTAGCTTGCATCTCACGCAACTTGGCAGCCTCGGACTCCATCTCGGCGACTCGACGCTTCATGGCTGCAATCTCTTCCTGTAAGATTCAATCATGTTAGCTGGGGTTTTATAGATACTGCAGAAACAAAGAAACCAAAGTATGAGAGATGCGACAAAAGATCTAACAAAGGGCGGAATTGTCAGTCACACCTACCTCGTCATCTCCGCCTTCCTCCTGGGCTGGAATCTGCTTCTCCTTGATTTCCTCCGGGATCTCCTGGCCTTCTGCAGCCATTTTGTCGGCAATTATCGTGGTGTTGGGAATAGTCGAAGGGTTGAAAGCGCCGGGAATCCGATGAGGGGAGCAATCAGAGCTCTCCGACAGCCGGTCTAACTTCGCGTGGGTCCTTGATGAACAGATATATCAACCACAATAGCTGGGAAATACTTGCATTGGGCGGAAGATTGGAAAACAGCAGGTCGATTCTGTTGCAGACGATCTATAGAGGAACAGAAGAGAAGTTGACCTTGGGATAGGACAATGCGAGGCTTCCTGGTTTCCACATTGGGTTTAGCGCCTTTTCCGGAGATCGGTGGGCGGTGGGGAATACTGCCAGTCAAGAGAAGAAGTTAAAGATGGAATGGAGATAGAGATGGATTGGATGGATGGATTGGATGTGGGTATCTTATATATTTGACAGATTGCTAAATATGCAGTCTTGTAGAATGGCAAGTGCAGGAGCAAGCAGCAGAGCAAACAGCAATTTGATATCAAAACTAAATGCAAAAACACCAGAGTTAAATTCCATCATGTCTAATATCCTTCCAAGCTGAAGATCGAAACTGAATATTAAATAATCAAATAACAGGCAAAGCTGGGGAAATGAATCGATTCAAGGTATCATGTATCAAATTGAAATGGAATGCAGAAAGCAAAGCAAGAACAAGATCGCTCGGAAACCAAGGAGACTATATACACAGAGAGAAAGGGAGGGCGATTACTCGGCAGGAGGGTGGTTCTTGCGGAAGGAGACCTTCTCGACAGCCACATTTTCCACACCATTGGCATCGGTCTTTAGCTGATAAACATACAGCACAAGGACATCACCCTGGATCTGTTTGGAGTCAGCATATACCCATACACCTCGAACGGCCGTAACTCACATCCATTAGACAGAAGCTAGGCGTAGGTTCCTCGCCCTCTGGCCAGAAACCCGAGCTCATAGCACCTGTCGCGCTACCAGGGTTGATAAAGAAGCGGCCCTCCATCTCGAATGCCTCAAACCGATGAGTACCGCCCCAGAGTAGAACGTCAACATCCATCTGACGAGCTGCGATTAACAAGGCGTCGGCGTCGGCGGGTGGGACGATGGTGTGGCCGTGGGTGAACCCAATGCGTAGGCTGCCATGGTTGACAATCTTGGACAGAGGAAGGTTGGGAGAATCGACATCGAAATCACCCTTGACCATCTGCAGGTCTGGGGCTACCTCGCGGAGGAAGTCATAGGTCTCGCGGTCGGTCAGATTACCGAGACAAAGGGTTTGGCCGATCTTGCCGGGAGTGAGGAGCTTGCGGAACTATGCGAGGTTAGAGAGATATCAAAGTGAGGCTCAAGGGATAGTACCTTTGCTGGGAGATCCTAGATGATGTTAGCAAACGTGCGGCAGCTGCGTCGGAGACAACCTACAGGAGCTCGGTCAGGGATGAACAAGTCACCAATGACCAGGACCAAGCGGGCGGTCATGATGTGGGGTAAACGGAGGTCAATGGTCCACGGGAATAGTCCAGAAGAGAGAGCAACAGCTGTTGGCTGAAGCCTGCGAGCTTCGCGGGGAAGCCAACTACGCAATGCCCTAAGCCCTAGATTGTGGCCTAATGTGGTTAGTGCTATATGCTCCCTTTAGGAGCATTTTGATGTTGCGCATTGCATTGGCTGATCAGACCGAACAACTCGTCCGAGTGTGCTTCGGGTTGAGTCGCCCAATCCATATCCTTTCGAAGGTTTCCTAATTGTTTGCGGAGGTCGCCGTGTTGGAGTAGGACGGGACATACTGCGCAGTGTACAGACTGAGATCTGAGGGTAGTTGAATACGAGAGTGGGAGGAGGTAGATCTGAAGCTGTGGACTTGTAACTTATACTCTACTTACAGTATTAAGCTACTAGATACCTGGTAGGCATACTGCCACTGTGTATCTACTTGGACATATGTACATATACAGAGGCAGATATAGGATATCAAGAACCGGCAACACACAATGGATATAAAACTGCATCAATTGCTTCGAATATAGCATATTCTATCAATCTACAACTTCCCCAGACCGATATAGACCAATGTGTACAGCGTAAGTCGTGGACTGGTCAATCGGTAGGGTCCGCCCGGCCTTCATTTCTCCGACGTCAAAACGCCCAGGGGAAAAAAGAACGGAGATACACTTGACGAACATCAATTCATAAATAGCCAGATATCGCCCTCCATCTCGGTCTCATCATCCGAGTAGACTAATCAGTGACCTCAAATCGGCACTTCACCCGGTCAAACCCTCAAGTCGGCGGCGATCCCCGATCCTAAGTTTCCCTCGGGAATTCACCATCCAATCTCGTTGCGTTACCCCGCGGTCCGCAATCGGCATGGCCAACAGGTCGACGCAACGTTTGAGCTTGATCTCTAGACACCTAGACCGCTTACCGTTGCCCGACCTCAACACTCCCTTCTCGACCGAGAGAGATTCCCTCGTGCCAGACGACATCGAATATAAACCCATCGACCGCTCCATTCCTCCTGCCCCTCTCCCCGAACCTACACCCAAGATGTCTGCTCAAGCCCCTCACAACACCCTCCTGATCCCGGGTCCCATCGAGTTCGACGATGCCGTGCTCCAGTCCATGTCCCACTATGCGTGAGTCACCCCAACTCACCCCAACTACAACCACATTGAACAGTCACTGACCCTCGCAGTGAGAGCCACGTCGCTCCCGGCTTTGTCAAGGTCTTTGGCGAGACCTTAACTCTCACCCGCAAGCTCTTCCAATCCACCAACCCCTCCGCACAGCCCTTCATCATCGCTGGTAGTGGCACCCTGGGCTGGGACCTGGTCGCCGCCAACCTGATCGAGCGCGGCGAGAACGCCCTGGTCCTCAACACCGGCTACTTCGGCGACTCCTTCGGCCAGTGTCTGGAGTGCTACGGTGCACAGGTCACCCACCTCAAGGCTCCCATCGGTGACCGCCCATCCCTGGAGGAGATCGAGCAGGCCCTCAAGCAGAAGCCATACAAGCTGATCACCCTCACACACGTTGATACCTCGACCGGCGTCCTCAGTGACGTCAAGGGTGTCGCCCAGCTCGTCCGCCGCGTCAGCCCAGAGACCCTCGTCATCGTCGATGGCGTGTGCAGTGTCGGTTCCGAGGAGATCGCCTTCGACGAATGGGACCTTGACGCCGTAGTAACAGCCAGCCAAAAGGCCATCGGCTGCCCACCGGGTCTAAGCATCGTCATGACCTCTGGCCGCGCGATCCAGCGCGCCCAGTCCCGCAAGACCCCACCAGGCTCCTACTACGCCGCCATCGCCAACTGGCTCCCCGTCATGCAGAACTACGAGAACAACAAGGCTTCGTACTTCGCCACCCCTCCCACCCAGCTCGTCCACGCCCTGCACACAACCCTCAGCCAGATCACGGCCGATGTCCCCGGCCGCTTCGCCATCCACGCCCAGGTCTCGGATAAGGTCAAGGCCGCCGCTGCCGCGCTCGGCCTTAAGCAGCTCGCTCCCCGTCCCGAGTGCCAGGCTCACGGTATGACTGCCATGTACCTGCCCGAGGGTCTGGCGCCCCCAGATGTGCTGCCCGGTCTTCTTAAGCGTGGTGTCATCTTTGCAGCTGGTCTGCACAAGGAGATTGCTACCAAGTACATCCGTTTCGGTCACATGGGTGTCAGTGTTACTGACTCCAACCGGAAGGATGTGGACAAGGCCCTTGCGGCGCTGAAGGAGGCGCTTACTGAGGCTAAGCAGGCTAAGGGTCTGTAGGTGATTGATTTTGTGTATATATGCCTAGTTGATTACCAAGGTCTGGTGTACATCGAATACACTTGATAGAATACTGCAATGAATTATTGACCATAGACGCTATATTATATCTTATATGATTGGACCACAGCCTAGAGATCGAAGAAGCAAGGGATGAATCCTAGCGTAGTCCATATACCAAACTCCTCCCGAAAATGAACATTCCAAATCAAAGAGCAAGACAACGCAACTTACTTGTCTACTCATTAAGTTAGTTAACGTTAACATTAGCGTTACACCGTACATCGACGTGTACTGTTTAAGTCAATCTGCAGGTACCCGCCCATACCAACCCCATCGACAAACCGGAATCCTCCCTATTGGCGGGCCAAGTACGACACCCAGAGCACGGACAGCCCTAAGAATGTACCATGGAATGCCACACCCTGAGCAACAACCAAAAAAAATGCAATGGTCTGGAATTGAGTTTAGCTATGTATCTCTATATCCCACATTTTCATCTGGGAATATTGGGGTTGATCTGCTGGCCCCGGATATGACATTTCCAAGGATTGAATCTCCAGGGAATACGATTCCAGTTCTTGATAGGATCTAGATCTGAGACGAGTACAGTATAGAGCATGTACACACAGAAGTTGAATATAGGATTGTAGTAGAAGAATGTTTTGTCTCTGGTTGATATGTTGAATCCTTTAGTACATGACTAATTTCCCCGTATCTGGATAGCCATCCGCTGTTATTTAGCTCTATTTTGTTCAAACTAGGTTGTCACAATTCTCCTTGATATTCCTTTGGCTCTACTTTACTCCACAAACGCCAATCTCAGTCAATCCATACCCGAAATGCGTTTCATCATATCAACCTCCCCCTCCTCTTAGCATTAAGCACATTCACAACCGCCGAAACGACAGATGGGGCAGCAACCTCGGCTGATATTGCAGTAGGCACTGATTGTGCTGAGGACAAGTAATTTACACCGCAAATTAAACCCGAAACATGGGATATAACTAACAATTTCGCGGAAAAACAGCGCCTTGAAAGAATGCTTCCATTCTATGCCAGCGTTAACGTCAACATCAACGTCAACAGCCACTCCATCTGGATATACAGAGACAGATGGTAATGCCAATGAAGTGGATGTAGATGATGACGATGACGATGATGATGAAGATTCAGGGATCAAGGAAGGATATCCAGCCAAATCATATAGCGGCTTAGAACCTAATATAACACCGAGTGAAGGAAATGCGGTTGGATATACCACTAGTGAATGGGGTTTGATTTGGGGTTGTTTGGTTGGAGTGGGATTGGGCGTGCTTTTGTAATGATACTCGAGCTTAATGCAATGATGTGAGCACTGAATTGTTGGCTTGGGATGTCAGATGTAGATGAGATTTGTATTTACCAAGATGGGAAATGGGCCGGGTACGGCGAAGATGAGATGCATCGACACCTTCTTCTCTTAGTCACCTTCAGCGTCATCTTACTGCTCGCTCTACTAAGGTTTCGACACCTTCATCTCCCATTCAGTTTCACTGCTGCTCGCTCTACTGAGGTTTCGACACCTTCATCTCCCATTCAGTTTCACTGCTGCTCGCTCTACTAAGGTTTCGACACCTTCATCTCTCCCAACCACTCTCATCAACATATCAATGGAGCAACAGCACTTCCCATGCCCGCGCACAGAGGAGCTTCATTGTGATAGTACGTTCTCCTCACAACAAAATGCAGACAGGCATGCTAAGTCGATACACAACCGATTCAAAGTCAGATGGCCCTGCCCACGTGCAGAGGAGCTCTATTGTGACAAGAGGTTTTCTATAGAACGAAGTGGAAACGAACATGCTAAATACGCGCACGAGGGAGTCAAATGTCCACGCACAGAGGACCTTCATTGTGGCAAGATGTTTTCTTCGTCAAATGCTGCAAAGGGGCATGCTGAGAGGGTACACGATGGCGCCAAATATCCCTGTCCAATAGCAGACGTGGAGGGCTGTACATGACCGAGAGGATTGACGATGAGACTGTCCGTCTCCCACGAACATGCGTTTGGAGTAGGACTCGTCACTGCCTCGAAACTGGAGCTGGAAGACGCCGGCGGGCTCTGCACCACTAACAATATCCTCAAAATGGGGGACTCGCTAATTGCTCATTACACCAATGCCGAAGCCGATCTAGCTGCTCACCACCCGGTCGCCCTATGAAACGTTTCCCTTCTCCGACACTTTATGGATGCCAACAACTTCGAGGCTGAAACGGATGTCTGGCGTGTGGCACGGTCCGTTGTTTGACGACTATGGAGAATGGGTCTTCCCCCTTTCTGATTAGGCTGCCGGACCCCCACCTCTACGAGGTTGTCAACCGACTCCCTACAAAGTAGGAGGCTAGCTCTAGCCCCGCGACTTCACCACCGAAGGAGGCATATAACAGAAGCGCTTGCTCTCCTTCGGTTGCGTCGTCGGGTGTGTTTGGGAAATCCCCTGGGTTGCGGTCTGGCGTGCCGGCCATATTCTGGCAGGCGACAAACAGTTCGCATACTTCCAGGCCGCCACCACTTCGGGACAAGGCGATTGGCATTTCGGCTCCGTTGTCGCATCCGCTGATATGCTGCACGACGCGCATGCATGCTCATGTCTTCGAGAGAAGCTGAACGCCGAGGCAGACATCAAGGCGCTCACAACTTGCACAAGACCGGACCAGGACGTGAATAACCTCAAAGCATCAAAAAGCCAAAAGAAAAGATACCTAGGCCTCTTGGTGTCATTGGTGGACGAGCCATACAATCGCCTGCTGAAATGCTATGCATACCGGGTCTAGAATAATGCTTTCACAATTAAATAACGTGCTATACATCAATCACTACAATATAAATAAAGTATTGATGACCTTCCATGGCCTGAATGACAGTAGGTACTCATTTCAGCCGCATAATGGATAACCTTGAACAGACGTTTTCATCAGACGTTTCCTCGGGTGTATACCGTTGGGTCAAAGGGGCGAGACTTCTCACTTTTGTTCGTTGGTTTGATAATATAGGTAGTTCTTTACCCTGATTGACAGGCCGGTTGGTCTTTGTTGCGCCTATCTTCATTCTCGTTCTTCATTTCCTTTCTTGTCCTCTTCTTCATCCTTCTCCTTCGCTCATCCTACTTCTTCGCACTCCTCGTCTTCTCCTCCTTCACTTTCCGTTTTTTGGTCTGGCCCCCAGGTACCTCCGTCGACTCCACAACAGTGGCCTCGCTAACTTTATGATGTTGGTCAGAGTAATAGCCAGAAACAGCAATATGGCGAAGTACATAAGCAACCTTCTCAACACCAACCGTAGAAACGGACCCCAAATCACCCTCACTCAACCTCACCCTCAATCTCTGCACCTCTTCCCACAAACCCCGAAACTCCTTCAAGTTATACTTGACATCCAACTCCCCATTCGCCTTAACCCCCCTCACCTTCACCTGCCCCTCCTCAGGAATAGGATATACCACAAAAACAAGCCACAAATACGTATCGTCACTATAAAATGGAACCTGGCGCATGGGGTCACCAACAACAGTAGCAATCGACAAAATGAGCGATGCGGTCGCGGGACCAACACCACGCAGTGAGGTCGTCAATGTGTCCAGGCTGAGTTTTGGGAATGACTCTTCGGGTTTCTTTATTGGATCCGAGACTGGTATAGAAGTAAAAGCTTCGGATGTTGCTTTTGTTATTGTGCTTGGTTGGTTGGCTTTTATCATCCCTATTAGCATTGGGCGGGAACGGCCGTGGGAGCTGATATATGACATTAGTTTAGTTTTAATTGGGCTGATAATGTGAAGAGATGATATGGTATGGTCTGGGTGTAGTAGTCGAATACTCACGTCTTCCACGCCATGATATCAACCAATTCATCTTTAGTAAGATGTGCCTCGTCACCCTTACGCTCGACAAGATTCTTTGGCAGAGTTTCATATCTCCAGCGATCGAGTTTGAGGAATGTATCCAGGTCATCTTGGATATGCTTCTCCTCAGCGGGAGTGAGGTCTGTCTGTGTTGGTGTTGTGTCCTGCGCGTCTGTTGAAGTCTCGGCTGACTTGCGCTTTGGCTTTGACTTTGGCTTTGACTGTAGCTTCTGAATCAATTTGTTTCGATGCACTTGCTCCACAGTTCTCGGGTAGCAGGCTAGTAGACGGTTGAAGGTTGACAGGGTAATGTGGCTCGGGTGGAAGGCGAGGGCGCCTTGAGAGCTATCTTCGCCCCCTAGCGGAGTAGAGGCTTCACAATCTGGCTTGGGGCCAGTCATACCTGCTTCAGTCGCCATGGGACTGTAGTAGAATAGAATGTCGATGGTCTTTACGTTCCTACGCGGTAAGACGTGGGACGCTATTAGAGAAGAGGTGACAAAATAAAGGCTTATCGATAGTGCCTGTGGGTCCATCACCACTACGCCCCACAAGGCACGTCCTCTTTTAGGTGATCTTGCTTCGAGTTAGATAGCCAATGAAGGCTGAGTTTAAATAAAATTGATATTTACCAGTATATCAATCTAGGGGTTTACCGACGTAGTAACATATGGCGTTAAGTTATTAACGTCAAGGAAGCAATAAGTCCTTTCACACCCTAACCTTCACATGATCTACATATTTAACCCGCCATGTTTAAATAACTCCAACCTAAGGAACTTCGAAATGGGAAAAAAAGAGGTGAAAAAGAGGTGAGAAAGGAGGGGCCAATTAGGGCAAAAACAATGCATGAAACGATATACTCGGTTTAAGGCTTCCTTGTAGTCTGTGCAACACTACTGTATTCACATTTATTAACCTTGTTGTATAGAAGAAGGCTGATCTCTGTATTGTGATACACGCACCTTAAGTCATACAGTTTGGTCACGGTCACGAAATAGGCTGATCAGCATAGCAAGAGCTAAGGTTTGATTTCTAAGAAGTAATGGCCCGATCGACAAACATGAAAATTCCTTGGTACAAGCAGACTTTGGCAGTGACATCCTCTTGGGCTTTTCTTGGCAAAATTATGCTAGTGTGGGACTTCATTGGACTCCCATATAGTCCCGTTAGAGTGGTGAGAAATGGGAGTAAAATTCGAGAAATTCTTGCGAGAAATTGCAAGGCCTAGGTCTACCGATGTGTATAAAGAAACGTACATGTAACGGTAGACACTTAATCGAGCAGCTACTACCCTGCTTGTTTCCAGGCACAACAGAAGGATGAGGTACTTTTTGATAAGCTGCTCTCTCTGTAGATAGCCCGCGATGGACCCCATTCTCGAGCCGACGCCATAAACAAAACCAGTTGACCGCGTAAGTTGCAGTAACCCATTCCTGGCTTATTAGGGAAGTTTTTAGTAGGAATATAGGACATATAACTTATTTGATGTGTTAGCTGCCCATCCCAAAACACCACCTTAAATTCGAAATTCAATTCTATATATCGACAAACAACCTTACTAACACTTAGCGTTTAGACCTAGTATCTGAATATAGCAAGACCAGGTAGTTAGGAGAGTTTTATAACTATAATTGACAATATTATAATAAATTAAGATGGATTTTTGCCTTTTCACCTTGATATATGGTGTCTTTAGAGTTAGATCTCCTTTTAGACTACGAGCGTGGAACTTGAAAATTGTAATCTATCTATTAAAGTGGTGTTCTGGGTGGCCAGCTCGCATATCAAATACGTTATGTGGACAACCGGTAAGTTATCTAGCCTAGAAATTCAAATGGCAAATTACCCTCCTATTGATGGCAAGGTTTAGCACTAGCGCCTATACCTGAAAGCCTTCCCTGAAGCTTTTATTTGTGGAAGCCTAGGGTAACGGTAACTTCTATCATTCTGAAGGAATTTGGACCCCCACATTACTTGATCACCCCTAACTTGCACACCCTCCCTCCCCATACAAATTTGTACTAGCGTACAAAATATAATGTACTTTTGCCTGCGTACCCTGCGTCGTCTCGAGTCTCGAGTTCTCATTAATGTGATACAGCTGCTGAATCAATGGTATAAGAATCAATATAAGGAAGTTGATCTTCCTCGCATTTCTTGTTTTCTACTTTTCAGATCCAGAGCTATCCTCACCTGATCTAATGAAGGGATGCTTTCCAAAAATGCATGGCACATTGCCTACCCTCTGCCTGGCCCTAGGGTTGGTGACTCCGACTCAAGGACTCCTCATTCGTCATGACAACTCCTTCCAGCCCGACCATATTCTCCGAGTGACTGCTCAAAATTATAGCCAAGCATGCATGGAACGATACTCAGTTCTGGTGAATGGGTCCTCTCCCGGCCCAGAGTTGCGTCTCCAGGAAGATAAAGTGAGCTGGATTCGTGTTTACAACGACATGGAGGATTCGAATGTCACAATGGTACTTGACAGGCCTTCCCTCTCTAGGCCGTACAATGATGCTCACAATGATAACAGCATTGGCATGGTCTTTCTGCTTTTACCGCACCCTTCTCCGATGGTACTCCCATGGCTAGCCAATGGCCTATCGCCCCTGGCCACTTCTTTGACTATGAAGTACGCCCTGAGGTCGGTTATGCTGGCACGTACTTCTACCATTCACACGTTGGCTTCCAGGCCGTCACTGCCGGAGGCGCACTTATTGTGGAATCGGCCCAACCCTCGCCATACAAGTACGATGAAGAGCGCATTGTTGTTCTGTCGGATTTCTTCGCGAAAACGGATGAGGAGATCGAGAACGGCCTCACCTCGACGAACTTCACATGGAGTGGAGAGACCGCCGCCGTCTTGGTGAACGGCCAAGGCCGACTGGCTACCAATGCTACTGGGTCATGCAAGCTGGCTGCTATTAGCGTTGAACCCGGGAAGACTTATCGTCTGCGATTCATTGGGGAAACGGCTCTGTCTTTTGTCTCGTTGGCCATCGAGAGCCACGACCTATTCGAGATTATCGAAGCGGATGGTCATTACACCAAGCCAGTGAAGACGAGTTACTTGCAGATTTCCAGCGGCCAACGGTATAGTGTGCTTTTGAAGGCCAAGACCGAGGCCGAGCTGCGAAAGGCGAAGTCCCGACAATTCTACTTCCAGCTCACCACTCTGGGCCGGCCAACTGTCCTGACAAGTTTTGCGGTTTTGGAATACCCGTCTCGCATCACGACTGATTTGATGGCCGTCCCTGTCGCTCCTCCTCTCCCTGTGGCGAATATCACTTATGGCTGGATGGACTACACCTTGGAGCCGTACTACACGGACCTCAACTTCCCAACTTCCACAGAAGTAACCCGGCGTATTATCATCAACGTTCACCAGAATGTTAGTACTCATATCGTCTGGCTCCAGAGCGGGTACGACTGGATGGATTCATTCCCCAAGTCGCCATACCTGGTCGATGTGTACACGGGTAAACTTGACCTCAACGCCTCGTACAAGCGGGCGATTGCCAGCGGCTACGGATTTGACAATGAAGCCCGCCTCTTCCCCGCCAAGATGAATGAAGTCCTCGAGATCGTCTGGCAGAACCAAGGTGCTGTTAATACCGGCGGTATTGAGAACCACCCATTCCATGGACACGGGAGACATTTCTATGACATTGGCGGCGGCGATGGGTTGTACAACTCAACGGAGAATGAGAAGCGCTTGAATGGAACTCATCCGGTGATTCGGGACACGACCGTGTTATATGCGTACAGAACCGAAACGAAGGCTCTCACGCCTTCAGGCTGGAGGGCTTGGCGTATTCGGGTTACGAATGCTGGCGTGTGGATGATGCATTGCCACATTCTTCAACATATGATAATGGGAATGCAGACGGTATTTGCTTTTGGTGACCAGGCAGCTATCAGAGCGCAGTCAGACCCTGTTGATGAGGGCTATCTGACGTATGGTGGCTCGGCGTACGGGAATGCCACCTATCACCCACTTGTACAGCACTTCTTTGATGTGCATGAGCAACCAGTTTTGATCAGACTGTAATTAGGACCGTGCAGCTGCAGGCTTCGTAACAAGCGTGTTGAAGGGGAGAGTCCTTTGCGTAGTCCTATAGTGTGAACGCTGTGATGGTCCCGAGAAAGCTAGCATAAGAAACTCGATAAATAGTGTAGGAGATGTCTGAAGACAAGAATCAGCTATCCATAACGTGGGTAGGTGGTTCTATCACATCTACGCTCGTACGCGGTAAAAGGTACGCTCTAAGGCTCCACGTCAGACATGGGATATATTTATTTGCACTAGGTGATTGTGCTTCAAGATAGATAGCCAATGAAGCACTGACAATGAGTTATCCATATGCTATAGTATATAGCTTAAAGAAAAACATAGGTCGCTAGTAGAATATGCTACTAAATATTACATAGAAGTGTATACGGGGTGGCGACCCAGTATTTGTATACCACCACTGAGCATCGCTTCGGTTTTTTTTGAGGACTCCGACTCTCCAACCTCCAGCACCAGGGAAGGCGTGCCCACAATTGCACGCCGATTGTCGTATGGGCCAAACCACCAATCAGTTTCCTTACTGCACGCCCTTCCTTCGGTGCGAGTTGAGTTTCTAGCAACAAAGTCTCCAGTCTTGGGTTGCAACCCCATGAATTCGAGCTGCGTGGTAATAGTGGAGCTAAAAAGTGCTGCCATGGTTTCATGTTGCGTGCCAACCATCACTTTGTATAACACTTGACGTTGGTGATGCGCAGCAAACGCTCGCACGCCGCGAAAGAGAGCGGGTTCTTTCTCTAGACGCTCGAAGACAGACCTGGAGATTGCTTTCACGTGGAGGTAATTGGCTTGTTGCCCTGTTGATTCGAGTTCTCCTTCGAACTTTTCGATATCTTCGCCAAGCTGGTCGACAGTTGAGGGAGACTCGAAATGCGCGCTGCACGCGGCACGTCAAAATCATAGATGGGACTCCTATGGCTAGGAGCACGGGAGGAATTTGAGAGGCTATTGGTGGAGATTTGGGAGAAGGCTGAGTGGCCCGAACTTGACGTGCCTGGCGTCGAGGCACCCGATGCGGAGGAACCACAGTCTGAGTCTGGATATGCTGAGAAGTGTGTAGATCTGCGGCTACTCACTTTTATAAGCGTACCTGCTCTTTTTTTTTTTTTTTTTTTTTTTTTTTTTTTTTTTTTTTTACTAAGGCCTAATTAAGTATTGTATATTGCCTACATTATCTTTAATATACCTCAATTAGCTCGTGCAATCATAAGCAATAAGTCCTTTTATACACCTATCTTTATATAGTTTGCATGATTAACCCGAGGCCCTCGAAAATGGGCAAAAAAGAGGTGAAAAAAGAGACGCTAAAGTAAGCCTCGTGGGGGAGTCATACATTAAGCAGATTAGAGAATGAAAATGTTTGTATAAAAAAGAAACCTCTATATATACATTACTGAAAACCAGTTTCCTCCTATAATCACAGCCAATGCTAACAAAACAGAGTATACCCGATGTTTTAACCACCAAGAAGCATAAAGCCCATAGCACCGACCCACCCAAAGACAAAGATGAGAGTCAAGATACTAGCACCAGCCTTATCACCGGTACTTATAGGAGCAAAGCTATGACTCGACGAGTCATCACCACCCTCACCCGCATTCGGGTTACTGGTACTGTTACCACCGGTATCAGCCGTCACGGGGCCAGTATCGCCACCATTGTCGAAGTTGATCATGTTGGCCAGGAAGATGTTCGAGGCACTGATTTCCTCCTCCATTCCCTGCCAGCCATCCCATTCAGATTTATACCAGCGCACACCGCATGTGTTGTTGCCTTTTCCGGAACAGGACTTTGCGGCGGCTCGGGCGGAGCTTTGTAGTTTGGGCTTGATAGTGTCGTAGGTTGATGGGACGAGGAGTGCGGTGAAGGCTAGCCATGATGATACGAGACCCTTGAAGAGGATTTCGTTGTTGTTGCATTTCTCTATTGGCTCACAGGTTACATCCTGTAGGACATTGTCGGTGATGAAGAAAGTCTTGGACATTTTGGTGAGTAGACCGTTTACTCGTGTCAACCAGATGTCGTCGCCGTTGGTCTGTTGGTCAATTGTTAGAGATTGTTGGGTGGGTTCGCGATATGTGCATCATTAGGTGCAGTGATAAGATGCAACTTACGAAGTTGTACATGTAGGCAGCGCCCATCAGATAAGTGCCATAGTTATATGTCCACTGGTAATTACCACTGGTCTTGCAATCATTGGACATCTCAGTCGAGTCGGCAACATACCACGTCTTGTTGTCGAGCAAGACTGAATCCTCGGTCCATTCCCAGATCTTCTCCGCCCAATCGGTGTATTGTTGGTCATTGGTGTAACGAGCAAGACGAGCAGATAATTGGAACAGACCACCGTTAGATACGGTGTTTTTCATCGTGTATCCAGATTGGTAGGGGAAGATCTGCCACCGAAGTCCGCCACCACAGGTCGTGGTGTCCCATCGCTTAACCTGGCTGTTGAAGGTACCCTGGGCCAGAGAAAGCCACGAGAACCCATCTGTGACGTCAGGGAACTTCAATTCCGCTGCCATCATTGCTGCAAGTCCCCAAAACGACTGGTCATCGTTTCCCTGTAGATTTAAAATTAGGATGGTTATAGATGGGGTGGCGCGGAGGGCGCGAAGGGGTGGTTCTCACCAGGTAGCTACTGTAGTTGCTGGGCATGTAGTCTCCTTCATCACCACTCTGGTGCTGCATTCCGATACTCAGCTCCTCGTTGTAGGTTGTGTCGCCGGTCCAATGCCAGTACTGGAGCAACGCCATGAAAAGTGCAGATCCCTCCCACCATTTATCGGGGAAAGCACCAGGGATCTGTCCAGTCTCATTTCCGTAATAGTATTTCATGGCCGCGTAGACGGTCGTACTTGCGGCATCTTGGAGAGAGTCTATTCGAAGTTAGTCACATCTCGTCTTCGAAAACAAGACGAGGTTCACTGCGCCATACTTTGATCATTGACGTCTAAATCAATGGCCCGCGCTAAACATGAGAAGATCAATAATGTGATAAGGCCATTAAGGATGGGCCATGTGCCAGATAATTGCATATCGTATCAGATCAATCATGAATAGGATCGGAATGGGTGCGGAAGGGGGTTCGGGGGGAAGAATGGAATCTCGCATAACAGAGAAAGTCGGGGATGCGACAATGATGTATGAGCAAATGAAATTAAAAATAGTTTCAAGGCCTCCACTTTTCTCAAGGCAATTGCAAGCTTTCGGCCTCTGATTAGCAAGTGTGTGCCGATCAGCCTAGTGTAGATCTATCATCGCCATAATTAAGGCCGAGGATGAGCCGTATATAAGGGTTGGCTTGGTATGCAACTCCTAGTCTTGCGTTCAGTGGAAATTACGTTGTCCACCAGCCAAGAGTCAACTGTGTGCAGACGAATAGTATGAGGGCTTTTTTGTTTGCGGATCTTTGGGTAGGGTTGGAGAATACCCACCGTCAGCCAGATTCAACGTATGCCAAGCCGACAACGCGTGTAAGCGCGAGACAAGCAATATGAGGTTCCGGGAGACTCATGTTTCACATTTGATACTCCCCAATTTTCCCCAGTCGCGTGTCCATAATTTGCGAACTTACGCTGTAATCCTTCTCCTAACTACTTCTATTATACATGTACTTCATACTCTCAATCACTTAAAACTCCGTGTGCAAATTGACCGGTCCCGGATCCCAGTGGGGCTAATCCAGGGGTCTCTGACGTCAGAAGCGGGAGAGCCAGTTCTGTCGATCAGGCAGTGCTGGCCCACAGGGGTTTGACCTCAGGGTCCATGTTGTAGGATATTCATTAGGATGATGTGCCTGTTTAAGTTAATTCATCGGAGGTTGAGATTGATAGAGGACATGATATATTGTGCGGCTGAAAAAAGCGGCTTAACCAAAGCTAAAATGCTTGGTTGAAGCACGGACGGACGGCACGTGACTATGGGTAGAGGAGCCTTCTTACATCTAATCAACACTTATGTTGATTAGACCATACGGAGTATAATGCCCCAGATCTCTTTGCCGTCACCTACAATAGCGCAGATCAACCAGATAATCCCATATCTAAACCAGAAATTTAACATGTAGACTATCTCAAGAGTCAGAGCAAGTAAGGAATGAACTTTGATGAAAATTCCCAGCATCTCAATCATCTATGAGCGATAAACAACGAAAAGAAAAATACCCAAATATAAAAAATAGAAGAGAGCTGCGAAGAAAGAACATCACCTTGCCCAGTCATTCTCTTCTCCACCAACCGATATCGATCGTGTCCATAAGTATTATTCAAATGAACATTTCCAGAAATCGACCCATCCTCCAATCGGACCCAAGTTCTCAAATCATCCCCAAGCAACTGCCGATCTAACAAGATCTGCCTGCCCCCACGAGCCCAATCTCCATACCCTCCATACCCCGTATGTCGACCGTAGCACATGTTAATGCCATTCCCTGTAACGTTGAGGCCGGAGAGCGTACCGTTCCATTTGAAACACCTACACAGACGAGCGATTAGTTAGTATTCAGGCATTCGTACATTGAGCGGGATAACACGCTCAATATAACGTTAACCGGGATGGCCATAACCTACCAGTCGTTGTCATGATCATGGCCACTAAATGTCGCTACAAGTCCCGTGGTGTTCAACAACGCTTGAATAAACGGACTATCCTGGGAATCGTAGTTGATGTTATCGTTGCCGTAGCCTTGCTGCTGGACTCGTTCGCCGTTGATTCCTGGTTCCTTGCTTGGGCTGACACCAGCCAATTGGAATGCGCGCATCGGATAGACTGGGATATGGACGAAGGCTATAGATGGGATTGGGCCACCATACGTGGATGTTAGGTTGGCTTTAGCGTTTTTGAACCAGTGCAGAACCTGGATTTGTTAGTCTGTATTCCCCAGATTGGAAAAGGATTGTAATGCCAGGTGAGGCATGCTGATTCATCCTGGATAGTATGTTAACTTACCGAATCATCGACCCAGTTCTGTCTTGGAACTGATGTCCCGTTATAGTTTTTATCAATGGGGTAGTGACCACCCTGACTATCAAAAAACCACAAGATGAACTCTGGCGTTGCATCGTTCGAGGCACCGTGTGCAAATACAGGTAGGTAATAGTTCGTAATCCCAGCAGTAGAGTTCGACACCCGCTTTTGCGTTAAAGAATTTGGATATATTTTTTCTCGGAGAAAAATATCCTCGGGATCAAGATTGATTTCACTGTCATGATTTCCATATGTCGATGCCCATGGTAAGTCGTTGTCAATTATTGGGGCAACAATCCTGTCAACGTATATGCTGGAAGAGTTTGCATTTTGTATCGCTTCCCCAGATATTAGGTCTCCATTCAACACGACGAGCTGTGCATCTTCTGATGAGAGAACGGTTTCAATGACTTTTCTGGATTTGTTGTCGGATCCGTCATCTCCCGTGTTGTTAATACGGAATCGGCATAAGTGGTTGAGACTTTCTATGTACCTTCTGCAAAATGCAAGTCACTGAAGACTGAGATTTGAAATGTACCATCCTCTGTAAATCGCAGGGTCCGATTGACATCTCTTCGGTGTGGTATTAATGACTTGCGAGTTTGCATTGCGCTATATAAGCAGTGGGTGAAAATTTGGCAAGACAAGAAGAGGAGGTCCTGCTTCTATAATGAAGGACGGCCAAGTACCTCTCCACAGCCAAGCAGTTCGAGATCTAGCACTATTTATGCCTTGCCAAAGAACGTCTAATGTAACCTTACAGAAACGGCGGTGCCAAGGCGGCAACAAGAGCGAAAGCTCGGCATCCGGCATGATCCATGGTTGGGATGCCGAAGGTGCAGTTGATACAAAGCTCTACGGATCATGTATTTCTACAGAAAGCCCGAAGTTCGGGTCACCCGGTTGCGGATTTGTGAATATTAAGAGCCATGCACAAAGCATCTAAGCTACACTCTCCTACCAGCAATTCCAAGCTCTGTTACTGACGCCTTGGATGCCAAGAGCCTTGGCCGTCGCTAGCTGTTCTATTGTATGTGTAGAGCCATGCAATCTGCTTATTGTACGTCATGGCCAAGATGGGTTGTGAGCGAAGTGGGTCTCATTTAGCTTTAAGACTAGACATTGGCGTCCAATTGAATTGCCACAGAAGCCCCACCTGTAAGCAGGAGCATATCCTCGGGCCCTGGACACCCTTAAGTCCGTCCTTGGTTCTCCTTTTCACAACTACTATAATCAATATCGTATATTTTGTCTCTAGTACCCCGAAACACCACCTACAGAAACCGTGAGATATAAATGTCTGTCGCCGACCAATTGGCTTTTTGAGTCTCAACGAGCCTAACTTTTCGATTGACTTTACGCAGAGGACGGGTCTGGCTCGTATCAAGCAAAGTCAATGTATAAAACAACAATGTTGAATGGCTGCTCAAAATATGATGGCTTACACTTGCTTGGCCCAAACATGAGCAAATGAATTGGCAGCATCATCACTTCTGGCCGTTTTATGTCGCTACCAACAGACAGCAGAAGACAGTCCACCAATCTCCAGCATCGATTCCATGAGGAGGCTTTCAATTTCAGGAACAGATTGACCATGCTATCAACACGCGCCGTATATAGCTCGCAAACAACCAGGACAATGTCCAAAAACAGTCTGGATGCAATACTGGCTGGGCATACACCTGCAAAAGGCTTAGAGCGAACTGTCGAACTCTTATCTGTAGTTGTTATGAATAGACCGAGCCATCGAAGTTGCGAAAGAGTATCCGTCCTTTACTGTAAGGCAGCACTGTGATTTCCTCGTGTGCCAACTACCCTTCTGCTCAAAGCATTGCTGAAATTTTGCGCACAGTGCATGGCTCTGTGAGGCAGCTGATTTATCATCTTATTTTTAGGCGCCCTGGTATGTGATTACTCCATCTCCAGGAGAACTCTGGTGGGGTCCGAAGTCGTGGGCAGCTATAAGTACTGATACTGTTTATTGAGGACATTTTATGAAAAAGGTCGGAACTTAGCGCTTCAAGCTTTTTGCTATAGCACAATGGAGATTTTTAATGTGACCATTTGTAGCTTGTCTGATATTGCAGAAGTTTTGAAAGATGATAGGATTGAAGGATTGAAGATGGAGGAGGGATGGACCAAAAATAGATCATTTCTCCCTCCCGGACTGTTCCCCACAGCAGCCAGAGCCTCACAAAATAAGCTTTGCTTGTACTGTAGTATAAACCTGCACTCCCACAAGGTTGCCAAGTGAAATGTAAATCCATTCTTTGCACTGAAGTAACGGCCTCAAACTTTATAGCGTACTAGATCCATTATATTAGTTAGATAGATCTATCTCAACGGCCATGGGAAAACCAACAAGAGGCCATTACAGCCGAGTGCAGCTGCTTACGCCCCGAGGCATCCATGGACAATACATGCAGCCTCGCCAATCAATGAACCCCGGCGACCTTGGGATGCTCTTTTATTGTCCATAATAAATCTCAGGGCAAAAGATCTGCAGTGGCTGCAGACGGCAAGTGCCCGACTCGAGGGCGGATTTTACAGCTGAGTTCCCCATTCTGCGCCCCCCTGATCCCATACCTTTCACAGACAGCAATATTTGTGTTAAGATATTGCCTAAACGTGTTTAATATTAAATAATTTCAACGGACACTTGATAAAAGAAGGTCTGGATATATCCAGAGGGCCTATGTGACTCTGCTTGTGACGGTTGTTCCATGTATCTAATGACTTTGAATGTAGTTGGGAAGAGGACAGTCTGTGTGGTAAAGCGTCTGCTGGTTCCGAAATCGTGTATATACTATGTATAAAAATACAGAGTCCACAAATCAAATCATATGTACGGATTGCCATTCCATTCCTAGTAACATAACAAAGACACACAATGCCATTATGAATAACTGCGCTAGCATGTTCGCGTCGGTCGGTCCTCAATTCACTCGATTGTCCGTTTCTCTCTTTTTTTTTTTTTTTTTTTGTTCTTTTTGTCATTGAAGTAGACCTCGCTTCTAAAAACACAAACCCCTTATACACCTACATGCGCATCCGTGGATGCAAATGCGAAAGACGCGATTATGACTCGACCTCTCCACGGCGAAGTGCCAGTAGAGCCCGGACATCTGTAACGTACTGTAAGGCTTCGAACATGGGAACCAAATGAAGTAAGCCATTGTCCGTGGGATCGTTGATCCAGCCTTCGATAGGAACTGCATTATCTGGAAGTGGGTGTTAGTTGGCACACAGAGAGTGGGAGAGTGAGCAATACCTTCATGGAAGATATAGCTCATCGGGCTATTGTCCAGAATCATGACCTTGCTCAGATCCGGTTCTACAGAACTGAGATCTTTGATATATGCACCGTTGCGGAATGTGCAATGCTGGCGGTAATAACGGCCTTGGAAGTATTTGCGTTCTTGCTCGAGCCAGTCGATCACAGGATCGGCATACTCTTGGACACTTGCTGTGAAGATAACCAACTTATACCACTTGCTGACTTTGCGCAGGAATTCATCGCAGTGTGGTCGTTTGTGGACATAGTACAAGATTGGATGCTGGGGCCCCAATGTCGTTTGCGGCCCACCGGGTGACAATGCAGTAGTCGTGGGCATGGAGAGCTTCACCTCTACCATGTGACCACTGGACATGCGGCCACCCTTGGCGAGCGAGTGGATCAGGGTCTCGTCGAGGTCCAATACTAGAGTCTTCTGTGGGAGCCTGGCATTGCGCGGAGCTGCGGTATATGACGGCAACCGTTGTGGGAGAAGCGGGCGCGGTGGAGTTGGAGAATGCGGGTACTTGGTGATACGGTGGATGGATCCAGACGTTGGGGACTTCAAGCTGTCCAAGTGGACGGCGCCCTGGACTCGAGAGACACCTTCGGGCATTGGCGGTCCCAGATCTGCACTCTGTGACCGTCTTTGTCTCTGTAGTTTGTGAGATTCTTCATTATGGAGTTTGATTCGTATAGAACGTCGAGGTGTATTCTCTTCCGGGATTGGATCTGGGTCGTGGCCTTTCGTCTTCGTCGGCCGGTTCTTCCCACTGTGATTCCTGGAAAGTCGTCGATCTGTATCGGACTCGGAGGTTGTTGATATAATAGACTCGTGGGACGCTTGGGATCGAAGCTTGCGGGTGGAGCCACTCTGCCGTCGATTCTCCCCTTTATCCGGCCGGATCGTTGGGTCGGCAGAGGAGCGCCGCAACTTCCGGACCGGTGCGAACAGGGAGTAGCGACCATCATCGGCTTGGAAGCACTGAGCTACATAGACACCGGGGGCAGCAAGTGTAGATAGAATGAATCTGATGGTTTCTGTAATCGCATCGAAGATCCGGTGGGTGATTAGTCGCCAGGTGCTTCGGGTCGTGATCATGCTATCCTTGAGAGGCTCATGCAGCAATGGTGTCTTCTCATCTAAGCCATATGTCGTATCCTCCTCTGCGTCTTCATCCACCGGCGGTGGTCCATCGTTGTAGCTCTTCTCGGGGTCGAGGGCTCGAAAATTATTCTCGCTGTAGGATCGGAGTTTCGACAAGTCAGTTGGGAGACTTGCGCGTTTGCTATCGCCTTGAGATCGTGATCGTGGACGTGGAGAGATGGAAGATTGACCAATGACTCGCGAGGACAGGATATTCAGCGAGTTCATCTTCCCTCAAGGCCCACGGGAGACAGGGGCACAGCGATCTATTGAATGGATCGTGAGCGAATCATCAAAACCACTTGAAGCGGCCCATGAGGTTTGTTGAGAATATGGAGAGAAAGGGAGGGACCGCAAGGAGGTGTAAGCTGATCGTGTCGTTGAGGTTCTATCTAGGTACCGACCTCAATGCGCCAGTCACCCGTGCCTCGGAACTGTTTCCGCGACTCCAGTCCGGTTTCTACCGCAAGTTCGAAGCGGCAAAGGTAGGGCTGCCCTAAAACAAAGCACAAAGAATCAAAGAAACGAACACTGAACGCGAAATTCTAGAAGCGAAAGGCGTTGGGAAATAAGAAAGCGAGGATCAGAGAGTGTGGGGAAGCGGACAAGATCAAACGGCAGAAAATCGTTCATTGTCTCCCACTTTGTTCGGCTTCAGCTGAAATCTCCCCTTCACAGACATTGCTTGCTACTGACCTGCCTGTGGCTGCTTGAATTTGAAACCAGTGTATGATCGTTATTCAGGTTGTACAATCCATTGCTCCAGCACCGCTAACCTGCGCAGGCATCTTACGTCGTGTAATCCCACTTCGTCATGCCGGCTACGTCTTTGGCCCTCACGCCGGGCCTGGCGTCTTTTCTGAAGTCTCTTAAGACAAACCCAATCGATACCTCTATCGAGAATCTTATTTCGTATGGGAGTCCAAATCAACTAAACTATCTCGCCAGCAGTCAGGTTGCTAATATAGTACCTCGTACCTAGATTGCTCAAGCGCCGCCAAATCCGCCATTCGCGCTCATGTGCCACAGCAACTGCCTACTTGCTGCGCAGTGTGATCTCAGCATGTCGCACAGCAGATTCCGCAAAGCTCATTGAGCGGGTGCAAGGTGTGGGAAGGCGGCTGATGGCTGCGCAGCCACGAGAGATGGTTGTGGGCAATATTGTGCGCCGAGTCCTCGGTCTCATTCGCGATGAAGCGGAAGATGATCGCGAAGCTGAGTTCGCCCTCAGTGATGTTGGCTCAGAGAGTCAGCCCCAAACACCCCGCGCATATGACGGTTAGTTCAAGGTCATTGTCTAATGTCCGTACCGGTGACTCACTCAGACTGTTAGACCCATCATTGCCTCTGGACCGTGACTCGCTGTCCATGAGATCCGAGGATAGATCCGCTCGCCCCCCTCTGACATCTATGTTCAGCCTTCTCTCCCACCCAGAACCCGAGACCTCTCTCCCGAGCACCCCGGGATCCCTATCTCCCGGCGGACGGCTTCCCGGTCACGGTCCCAGCAAGGACGTGCGGGCCGAGGTGTTGGAAGGTATTGGTGAGATCATTGACGAGCTGGGCCAGGTAGACGACCAGATTGCCGCCTATGCTTTGGATCACATCCACTCGAATGAGATCATCCTCACACACACGTCCTCGACGACGGTTCAAAAATTCCTGCTCAAGGCCGCTGCTAAGCGCAAGTTCACTGTCATCCACGCCGAATCATACCCGAATAACCATGAGGCTACACACGCTACCGTCAGCGGTGGTGGCATGCACGATGATGACAATCTCGGCTTCGAATCTTTCCAGAAGCCACTGATCGAGCACGGCATCACCGTGATCCTCATTCCAGACTCCGCCGTCTTCGCACTCATGTCCCGGGTCAACAAGGTCATCCTGGGAACACACTCCGTCCTCGCTAACGGTGGCCTTGTCGCCGCAGCTGGTACTCGTGTCATCGCGCGTGCCGCTAAGGTCCACCAGACACCTATTGTGGTAGTGAGCGGAGTGTACAAGCTCAGCCCGGTCTATCCCTTCGACTTTGACTCCCTTATCGAGTACGGCGATGCGAGCAAAGTCCTTTCCTACGAGGATGGCGATCTCGTCGATCAAATTGATGTTCAAAATCCCATCTACGATTACGTTCCCGCGGAACTGGTCGATCTCTACATCACTAACCTGTAAGTTTGAAGCATCCTTCCCAGCTCTCGATGAGCCTATTTACTGACATTATCTCTTTCTAGCGGCGGTCATGCCCCATCATACCTCTACCGTATTGTGTCGGACCACTATCGCAAAGAAGACATCAGCTTCTAAGCTGGTTAGGTGACAGACGGCTGTAGTAGATCATTGATGAAAATAACCAAAATTGAGGGACATGCACGAACGATACCCCAGGAATGATGCTTGACGATTGATATGTGGGAGGAGTATTAGAATCCCTGGGATGTCTGGAGGGACATAGGCTTGACATTCAGTACCAAATCAAATCATAGTCACAATGCATCTGCAGGGCAACTCCACACTTAAGACACTACTAATAACCTAAAATGATAGCGTGAACATGCTTGACACGCCCAGTACCACTTCGGCAGTAACTAGGTACGACGTTATATAGTAAAGTAATGAGTTAGAAAAGTGCCATACGGCTGGCTCTACGCTACGTTCAAGTAGAACAGTCTATGTCCAACTCCAATCTGGAGTCAAGATAGCTCCAAAGAAAACAAGGTCATGGCGCCATAATCTTTTGGAATTTGTATCAATCGTGTTTAATTCGCAAAGCGTATCCATCACGTTCCAGACGAAAAAACCCGCCGGGGGACTCCCCAAAAAGAAAAGATCTCATGAAATCAAGGCGCTGATGAGGCGGGCTTTCCGTCCGGCACCTTTCCCATACACCGAGGCTCCCGGTCGCTGCATTTTTGATATCGGACAACAAAGAAAGAACTTGTTGACTTGCTTAAGAGCGGGGCTTCTCCTTCTTCTCGCGCCAAAGAGCGGCGAGACCGACACCGGAGACCTTGACGACCTTGAAACGGACACCGGGAATATCACCCTTGGCCTTACCCTTACGACCGAAACCGGCAAGGAGGACCTCGTCGTTCTCGTCGATGAAGTTCAGACAACCGTCATTGGGGACTATCGGAGACGCTGGTTAGCATTCGTTTCCAATAAGGGTTTTGTTTGTTCAATGGTTCTGGGTTGTCGTTGGTTCGACTCGTGGATTTCCATCTCTGAACAATAAAAGGGGATATAGGGCTACCCACCGAAAGCAGCGACCTTCTTGCCGTTCTTGATGAGCTGAACCTTGACACACTTGCGAATAGCGGAGTTGGGCTGCTTGGCCTCAACACCGACCTTCTCGAGGACGATACCCTTGGCGTGGGAAGCACCACCGAAGGGAGAAGACTTGAAGGCGGTTCCGAGGAGACGCTTCTTGAAGTGGTCGTCAGCCCAGCGCTGATCCTTGCGGTGAGCCTGGAGCTTGCGGGCGGCGTTCAAACCACGTGGCTTTCCTTTACCCATGTTGGCGGTTTATGTGTTCGACGGTACAACTGAGCGAGAAGATGTTAGCCTCCAGTCGGATGCAATGGTGGTGTGTGGCCGGGTTGCGATAGATGTGGAGAGTTGTGGGAAGCCGATTTTTTGTGCGTGCAGATGCGAATAGTTGGATCAGGGATCCCGCGAGGAACCCGAATCAAATAATTTCGAGAAACACAAAGAATAGGACGGCAGGAATAACAGTGTATCGATAATACGTACCGACTGGGAAGGGGTGTTGTCGCCAAAGGCTGGAGGTCGATTGTCGAAAAGTCGAAGAGTTCCGGAATTCCCTTGGACCACACTCGCTTTGGATGCACCTCAGGTGACTTTGTGCGGCAAGCCCTAAGCGAGTCACGGGACTGTCGTAACCCCCACCTGGGATTATGTCATCTGATAGCGATAGCTTATCGGTCCCGGCATTTATCGATAGCCTTCATCTGCTCTACACGTACACTTACACAGCGTTGAAGATGGAACTCACGAGGAAAACGACAAATTCCCAGCGATTACCTCCACCAGTTCTGTTTCAGGGGCCCCCATCACACAATGCCTCCAATATCTCCCTATCCGTACCGCCCGCGACCTCAGCCCTACCAACACCTTCCGGAAGCCAACCGCCACCACTCCAGCGGAACAGATCTCCACTCGGGAAAGAGGGTGAGAATGCCGAGAAGGCCAATCTACTATCACCATTTATGTCGCGCCGCCAATCCAAAAACGATGTGGACGGATCCGACGCTATCTGGCAGGAGATGCAGAGCGCCCTATCCGAAGTCGAACTGAGCGCGGTGACAAGCGAGAATGTCTTTGGAGAAAAGCACTCGGAAGCGCTAGAAGATCTACGACTGAAGCAATTGAAACTTGCCCAAGCCTGGGCGCGCAGCGAGGCAGATGATGAAGTTGTTGATCCCAGCCATGATGGGGAAAGTGCTAAGGCAAGCACGGCCCGGCAACGAGGCGCCACAGAAGCATCCCTCAAGGATGATGCAGCGACTGAACATAGCGCAGGACGTGGTTCAGTCTTACATCACACTCTGGACGAGGAGACTGAGAAAGACATTCTACTTGCGCGCAAGCGTCGTGAGGCTAATGACCGGTACTTTGATCGGGTAAACCAGGGTGTTTTGGATGTTGTTGCCAAGCTGGAGGAGGTTGCTCAGGCTATGCGCACTGTGGAACGAGAGAGCAAGGATATTTGGAGCGATTCGGAGAGTGTTGCGACTACTGCGCCTTCGTCTCATGCTGGGTGAGCCACTACCTCCTTTGTCATTTGCCGTTGGCCAGCATCGAAGTACTGCTTTCGGGCTGTGCCTTTAAATTGGCTGCTATAGACGCAAGATCCCGTGGGGCATCGTCAAGTCCTACATCATCGCCTCATCCTGTCACGGAACACGCTGGACGACAATCACATCCGTCGGCATAATCATACTAATGCATGTAAACTATAACAATAATCAAATGAGGGTATCCAAACTCCGATGCTCAAATTCAGACAAATGAAAACATGATCCTGCATCCCAATATCTTACTCCTAGCTCAACGAGACCAAATTGACCCATATCTCGGCCAAGACTCGATATTTATTCCCGCTTAATCACACGCGCAGCAGCCTTCCAACCCTCAGTAGCAGCGTCTCTCACGTCCTCCCATCTTGTCTCATATGCCTTTCGCGTTAAGACCTCGAGTTCCGTGTTCCACTTCTGTTTCAAGATCTCCTTCATGGTTGGCACTGATGGATTTTGGGCCTCTATCTCTTCACGGCGCCGCCGTGGAACATCTGCTGGTAGATTGCGGCGGTCATAGGCGCCAATGGAAGAGGTCAGCCAGTCGATTTGGTCGACCTGGGCGCGGATGGCTTTGCGCTGTTCTATGCGCGTTGAGCGGTGAACTTGGACGGTGATGAAGAGGATTGAGGTTGTGAAGGCAAAGCCGCTGGCCTGTCCAAGGGGGATATGAGGTTAGTCAATGCTCTTCTAAGGTAAAGAAGAGGTAAACGTACAAAGCCGGTGAAGAAGCCCATATTTGTTACGGGTGGTAGAGTTCGCCGGGTTTTGGTCTGATTCGTAGAAAGGATGACAGCGACCACAGACGCAAAGACCTTATTTAGATAAATATAGGTATTCGCCTGCGAATAAATCCAAGAGAACAACACGACAGAACAATGTCTAGTTGAGAGCGGAAAACTGAAGTCGGGCAGTCGGCGGAAGGGCTCCGATTGGCGGTGGGCCCGGGACAATTCTTCGATCATCGTCTCCTTCAACACCTTGAGCCCTTTGACCGCGGATTTCCGACTATACCCCCAATTTACTCTCCGCTTGCTTCCTCTCTCCCTAATTCAACTTCCAACTCCTCACCATGGCCGGCGGAGGAGGCAAATACCGACACTTGAGCCGGAATTCCGCGCATCGACAGGCCCTGCTTCGCAACCTGGTCACCTCCCTCTTCGAGCATGAAACAATCACGACGACATGGGCCAAGGCCAAAGAGGCCCAGCGTCTGGCCGACAAGCTGATCACATTGGGCAAGAAGAACACCGAGGCGAGTCGGAGACGGGCGTTGGAGATTTTCTACGTATGTGACACCCGGAACAAGCCCATATCAATTCGACTTGAGAATTCAGTCTAGCTGCGGGAACCTACGACTCAATCAATTGTTCCAGTTGTCAACTGCTGCGATTCTCAATTCATAATCTTCCTAATGAATCTTCAAAAATCAGTCCTCGAATAACGCGACTAACAAACCCCCAGACACCACATGCCATGCTCCCCAAACTCTTCGGACCCCTCCGCGAACGTTACGCAGAGCGCCCAGGTGGCTACACACGAGTCCTGCGCGTCGAGCCCAGCCAAAAATTCAATACTTCTCTGTCAAGAAGGGCAGCAAAGCAGCTCCCGCCGAGCGTAAACCGCAGCCCCAAGCCCCCATGGCAATCCTCGAGCTGGTCGATGGTCCCAAAGATATGCGCTTCGCCATGACGGCACGCACACTGGCGCGTGAGCGCTCCAAGGGCCGGGATGTGCCGCACGGTCTGACGAGATTGAATGTCCAGAAGGTTACGCAGTTCCGGAAAGATGGTGTTGAGGTTCTTGAGCGGGCTATTTCGAAATTGAGCCTTGGCAGAAAGGAGAAGAAGGCCGAGAAGGAGGACCAGGTTGAGTAGATGGCTTTTCTCTCTTTGGTCTAGAGATTATGTTCTCGTCTGGGCTTGATGGTGGTTCCTTTTAGATGGAACCATTTCCCGTTCAATTTCCGTTTGCTTTGCCTGTTTTATTATCAGGAGTTTTGTCTTCTTCCTGTTTATTATGGCATCTCGTCTTCCTTTGCACTTGCGCATGTGACATAGCCTCTGTATAAAAGATTCTGATACCTCTTTACTGTCAATCCCTTCGTATTCTCTGAGTAAGTCCGTGTATTTTAGCGGTCGAAACAGTTATAAATCGGGTTTACCTTTTCTGCTCAAGAGACAGTCCTTGGCCAAGTCCGCGCGCTGCAAGGGTGCTTGACTTGCCTAGAATTTGGGCCTGACACGTAAAGTTTGACGGGCTTCTTTAGGAAAACCATGCGCTGCAAGGTATATCATAGAACAAAACTAGCTGCAAATGTTGTTTATTCGCGGGATATGGTGACGACTTTAGGGCACTTTGCAATTTCACTTTGGTGGCTGCTACCAACGGAAGATCGACAAAGCATATAGGTAAATACAAGACCAACCAACTTATGTTGAGGTATTAGGCAAGTAGCTCAATTGATAGAGTTGCTCATTCTTCTAGGAGCCCAGGTGCTTGCAGTCGTTACTTGATCGTGAAGATCCCGTGTCTTCTCTTGGTGAAATCTGATATATCAACTGCAGCGCCAACGTCTATTCGCTCAATATTCTCAATCAAGGGGTACCAGGAGTTTATGCAAAACTACCAATAGTAGAATTCTCTAGCGTATGATCTTAGCACTCAAACTTACGGTCAAACTTGTTTGAATAAAAGAAGGATCCCCGGGACAACTGTTCCCGTCTGGAGAGAAGCTCAGGACTCATATTTCCAACTTCGCCTGTCTCGGATTCACTCAATGGATTGATAGTCCTTTGCCTCCATTGTCTCAGATTCTGTTCCACATTCTCACCGTTCTATACCCCTCTCACGTCAAGTATGCAATTGATATTCTCAACTATACACCTCAGAGCTCAAAACACAACTAATCCCTACCCTATATAGAAAAAGCACAACCAGCTGAAACAAACAAACAAAATGTCTCTTGATAACCCCAAACGCTACCGCAACACGGGTCCACCCCACCCCATCGATGCAGACACATATAAAGAAGTCGCGATCACCTCACCACTAAGATCCCACCCACCACTACCCTCAACAATCGAATCCAGCACCAGCGACTGCACCTTGCAAGTAAATCACGAAGACTGTACCCTAGAGCTCAGCGACCGCTCCCTAAACCTCGAACTGAACGGCATGCTAAAAGAAAGGCATGTAGAGACAGACATCGAGAAAGAAGCCGTGAACCAGGCAGAGCAGCACGAGTCCGGCCCACAGCGTGCAGGAACCGGCAATGCCAGTCAGCTCCCGTACTCGGAGTCCATGACGGAGACGGGGACTGTTAAGCGTCACAGATCTCGTCGGCGGCAGTGGATTATTGCGAGTGCTGTATTGGGGGTTCTTGTTATCCTTACTGTTATTATTGTTCCTTCTGCTATCTATGGTACTCGTGAGACTCAGGCGAGGAATATGGCTAAGGCTCAGGCTAATGAGGTTGGGCTTGGATATACATGAGCTTGGAGTTTGAATATACTTGTGATTGTATTTGGATATATTGGTTGAGGGGTATTGAGCTGGGTGTCGGAGGAAATGCGAATAGATGAAATTTTTTTTATTGGTTGTTAGTTAAGTTGTCTGCTTGGGAATCTACTTGTTGAACTTGAGAATCTTTAAGATGTATACAATACAGGGGAATCACTTGAAGGTGCGAATAGCAATCAGAGTGCTACTAGTGGACGCTAGTTTCTAAATGTACTAATAGAAGGCCACAAGGATGTCAATGGGAAGCAAAAGCTGGGCAAAAACAATGAATGAAGCAGTATACTCGCTTCGAGGCCTGTAGATTTAGTGCGAAGACGTTCCAAATACTTCATGTGTCGCACTATATATAACGTTATACTTTTTACTGTCGTTGTACTGATGCATGAAATAAGATAGGGCTTCTGAAATGTTCATTGTAGGAAGGTTAACCTATATGCGGTCCATTGATTTCCCAGCACTCCATTTATTTCTAGCCCTAACTATACTTTTGCCGCTAGATGATTCAAGTTACTATGTTAAACTTGAAGACTACAGTTGGAAGTAGGGGCGTAAAGAGTATTCTAATATGTGATATCAACAAATCACACAAAATGAACATTGAACCATGGGGGTTAAGAGCTCTACTATCTCTTTCTCTAGCACTACATGACTACCTGTTCAAAGCCAGTATACATAGCTACAAGAGTACAACTTACAGATAAGAAAAGTAATGGTTGTATGGATCCGAATTACCTGAGAGAAGATAAGGGACGTAACTCAACGTCCAGGCGACCATGCACTGCCCTAACTGTACAGAATAACACGACAGTCACATGGTAGCCCATGGATACATCTCACAGCGTAACATCTCCGGTTTCCACCATCAATGTTATTGCTCAAATATCACGCCACGATACGATGCAACATGGAGTGTGTAAGAGCTAAAGCTCAGAGGGCTTCAGTTTGGCTTTGAGAGTGTCGTGCCTCCTGAAACCACCAACGGTCCGTTGTTAACGCTAGGGATTCCATTCGCGTATGATGGCGCAGGGGCCGAGGGGGGAACATTTCGGGTGTTCATGTCGAACTCGGAAGGGACTTCGGATGGTGGGGGTTTGGGGGGAAGATGAGAGGGAGTTCCCCATTTGGCAATTGAGTCGCGGGGACCAGAGACAGGGACACGGTTTGGAATCATGTTTGCGGCAGGGTCCATGTTCCGATTTTGAGGGCCTTCATGGTACCCGGTCCACTGGCCCTGGACGCTGGTTTGCATGTTGGCATATGGCCGCATTGCGTGCTGAGGAATTTTGCTCGGATGGCGGCCAAGAGGTGCGCCACCTGGGATGAATGACCGGGTCTGAGGGTTGAAGTGTGACCTGGCATTGGCATATCCTGCCTGCATTGCGTGAGACCCAGCAGCATTCTGCATTGCAGGACTCATGTGTTGGCCGGGATATTGAGCATAAGGATATCCGCCTATGTTAGGCGGCATGGACTGCTGATGCTGGGGATAACCGGGCCAGTGGACAGGTGGACCGTTTCTTTGAGGTTGGGGCTGTTGATAATTCGCGGGGTAAGACGGAGAGTTCCAGTTGGGATTTTGCTGGTATGGAGCGGTATTTGGCACGGCGTAGTTGTTCATCGCCGGCGAGGACTTGTTTGACGATTGTTGACTCATCACTGGCTGGTTCATCGAAGCGTACCCAGGATACGGCGATTGCTGCGGCATGTTGCCTCCCTGCCATGAGCCATTGGAGGTCATTTGAGGTGACATTGTCATTGGATAATGCATGCCGTTCATGTTCATTTGGCCCTGCATTTGGTTTGGCATTTGACCTTGTATCTGGTTGGGAATCTGGCCTTGCATTTGTCCGTGCATTTGTCCGTGCATTTGTCCCTGCATCTGTCCTGGATACATCGCACCATTCTGACTAGATGGCAAATAACCACCTGAGGGTGGGGGTACACCGGGCCCAACCAAGTAGGGTACTTGGTTCGAGTATGAATTGTCGTTCACGGCAACGTTGTATGGAGCGGAACCGTTTGCATATTGCATGCCTGGATAGTAGGCGTTGAACTGGGAGCGAACTTCGAAACTGTCATCATGAGGTCTCTGTTTCTGGTTCTTTTTGCGACCATTCACGGAGCTGGAGCGCGACATGTTGGGATTTGATTCGCCACTAGCTGTGTCTGATTTGGCGCTATCTGGGAAGTCCCGGAAAATGCGCTCGCGCGCTTCGTGGTATTTCGCTTCTCGTTCCTCTCTTGTGAGATTCATTCGATCTTTGGCGGGAGTAGCGCCAGATGAAGACCCATTTCGTTCTCCATCTTGACCACTATCACCAGCCTCCGAAGTCGCCTTCGACGGAGCTGAAGAGCCTCCGATACTTCCATCGGTTCGATCGCCGTCATTCCGGCGCATAATCTTCATTGCCGGGACAGTTGGAGGAGGCGTGGTGTGGGTGGAAGCATGCACCATGGCCAAAGGCGTGGGTCTAACCAAGTCAGCAATCAATTCATCAGGGCAAAAGGAAATGACATAACCTACAGTCGGCAGAACGGTGTTCGGTGCAGCCTGACCGATGTAACATTATTGTCGACAAAATGTGTCAAATGATAGTAATCCCCTAGCTTGTGTGCAAGAAGTCGCCCAAATGCGTTTGATGGAGGTAGCTCCAAGGATTGCTCACTGAGACAATGATGTTAGTTAAACCCACAAGGGAGAGTTGCATGGGTAAGAGGGATATTGCTTACCTAGAATCCTTGATGAAATGCCGAATTTTCTCCTCCAGTTGAAGTATCAAAAGACGGTCTTTTGGTGATTTCATTGCCTCCAAAAGCTTCTCGTCTGGATCAAGAGGGAATCCATGTAGATTTTGACCATCCTGAATGCTGTCAGGGTTGGCAGAGATCACAAAGTTGTTCGCGACTGAATCAGGGGGTATTGCGCCGTTGCCAGACTGAGTGTCATTGAACAGAGGACCAGAAACGGGAAGTATCCCGCGTGGTCGTAGAGGGATGCCATCGCGGAAGTGGTCCCGATACGCGCGGCTGTCAGCTTCAGAGCCTGCTAACGAATTGGGAGCGCCAGAGGCAGGACCAGAAAGTGCATCCTCTTCGTCAATAGCCTGAACGCTAGCACTGTCATCAGGGCGCACAGAGTCCTTTTCATCCATTGCAAAAGTAGTCACTGAAGCAAGACTCTTCGAGTCGAAACTAGTCATTTTCGTGGATGATGTAGAAAGATGAGTACGATCATCATCAAAAGAGTTCTCTCGTTTGAGCAACCCATTTTCCTGACCACCAAGGAAAGAGCCCGAGCCTGCGCGGTGCTTGTTTAGGGTAATCCCGATATCTTGCACGCCTCTTCCTAGGTCATCGACAGCTAGGTCAATAGAGTTGGCCTCCGGCGTTTTATCCAGGGTGTGCTGACTGGGCAAATTAACACCCGAGTCATGCGCTTCCGCGCAAGAAGGTGGGTCTACTTGTTGGCAGATGTTATTTTCGTCAGATGCTGAGGAAATTTGGGGGTTGGAGGTCGCGGCCATTGCGGCAATCTGGTGATTTAGATTAGCGATGATTCACTAATTAGTGCGCTTTGATCAGCAGTACTCATGAGCCATACCTTTGCAAAAGAGAGCGGGCCATCTCCTCCAGGGGGACTTTGGGATGCCATATCAACGCTCCGCGGGATGCGTGTCGAAATTGTTTAGATACCACAAAAAAATCCCGAGATTAAGCCAAGATGCAGCTGCACTTAACACGTCTCGGATCCTTAAATATGAAAGAAGCGGAAACACGTCTGGTTGGAAAGTAGGTTGTTGGGGAAATCCGTTTCACACAAGCCCAAAACGAAAGACATATCTCTGGAAGAGGGCGATCGCCATGGAGAAAGCTGTGGGCATTAAGCATTAGCAGTGTAGAGTAGCATGGAGGATAGCCAGAGTATAAGTGGGGAGTAAATGGGACTCAGCAGGGCAAGCCCCCACACTCAATTCCAGGCAACGGTCCTTACATGATATCAAAGCTGGCTCATGTTCAGGGAGATAAAGGCCTCGTCCTGAGATGGAAAAACTGCAGATCGGGCAGCCCTGGAAAAAGGCAAGAAACACCACTAACTTATCCGAGCCGGCGGAACTGAATGACCTGAGAATTGATAGACCTCAAAAGAGAATCAATATCGATCAGGGGCGGTTGGAAATCTGAAATCTGATTATTCTCGAACGCCTGAAGATTCGTGGGCGCATTTTGCCGCGCCCCACCGCCCCTGCCGCGCGCCTACAATTTCCTTGGGCTTCAAAAGGTGAACAGCCGCCGATCAAACGACTTGCGCCGAACCACTTTACGCCTGACTTCGACTGTACACCCGTGTGTGGTCTTGTTTATACCACCTAACGAGACTTGAAGGATCTCTTGCTACAAAATTAGACTCCGTCCGCCACACTACACTTTCCAATGAACCGTTATAGAAACGCTCCGACGCTCCGAGGCCCCAGCAAGGCCTCCGCGAACACACAGTGTCAAAAATGCCTCAAACGAGATATGTGCCCCCTCTCGCCGTGAAGGACTTGGGCTAACCTCAACGCACGGCACTACAGTTATGAATGCAAGGCAACAGCACAAGAGCGGCCATATATGGCACGTCCTTCGCGGACTCAACAACTTATGAACCCCAAGTTGGTGCCCAAGCTCTCGAATGAAAATCCAAATGAGCTTCTGCAGACGTGAGTACCTATCATCTTGCACACCCCATGCCTATACTGTAACTAAACAAGACATAGAGTTGGTGTGGCTGATGAGCTACTTGCGAAACGAGAGCAGGAGCGTGGCCGAAAGAGGGACCTTGAAGATACCACAGACCGCGACTCTCAGTCTCCGAAGCGGGCCAGATCCGTCTCATCGCACTCAATGAGTTCAATTTCAACTATATCAACCAACCGATCCTATTCCGCATCTCCTCGCCGGAGCAGACGTGACGCACACGACGGTCGTCGGGATTCCACATCACCACCTCCAACCAAGTCTCGGAAAAGACGCTACAGTGATTCTTCAGAGGGCCGTGCTGGCTCGGTACACTCTTCGGAACAAAGACCTCGCTCGATCTCCAGGGAACGCACTGAGGATCGCAATACTCGACGAAGACGCCGTGAGTCTAGCCCCGAGGAAAGAGGGCGGCACCGTGCTGCGGGAAGACACAGCTCGCGCCGAGACCGCCGTAGCAAGAGTGCGGACAAGGCCCGTGTTCCAAAGGAAAAGCGTTCTCCAACTCCCGATGGTGCCCGTGACCGTTACTACCGGGATCGAGCAAGCCCGCCACGCCAGTCTCAACCGCCTAGACAAGATACCAGAATGCGAAGTGATCAGCCTCCTCGTGAACGGAGCTTGAGTCCTTTCAGCAAACGCTTGGCTTTGACTCAAGCCATGAACCATGGAAGGTAAATCAATTTTAAATGGTGTTCTGGTACATTAGGATTCTTAAGGCGCAATGAGTCGATGGGGCGCCAATTCATGTTCCATTGGCATATGTGAACAAGTGTATTATTAGCATTTTCAGGCATGCGACTTCCAACCTATCAGCCTCGGTAGCGAAACAAAAAAGATGTCAAGAACGATATTGAAAGGACAAAACAGAATTGCTCATTGAAACTGTTTGAACTGCAACCTTTCCTAACGCCTCATGTTGATTTGCAGTATGGCAGCATGCCTGTGCCCTAATCGGACGCCTCAAGATAGAAATATGATAAAAATGATAAAATGGACAGAATATAGAAAGTACAGGTAAAGGCAGAAAAGCTAGACAGCACCAGCCCTGCCAAGGGTATCACATTCAAATCGTTTCATCGTCGTCCTTCTCCTCTCGCTCGCGCATATGGATGCCCTCAACCAGTGTCTCGCCCTCCATACCCACTTCCTCGCCCTCTCCATTCGATGCCCCGCCACGTTCCTTCGCAGCGCGCTGTGCAGCTTCTATCCGTTGTCGTACAAGTCGAGCAATTGCATTTTCCGTCCGTACGTCGAGAATCTTAAGCTTCTCGTCCAGATCCCGTTTCAAGTCCCAGTTCGGTTTCTTCGGTTGCAGTTTGAATAGATCAATGGGTTGGTCGGCTTCTGCATCTTTCTTGGCTTGCTCTGCTGTGGCCTTTGCGATTTCCGCTGCCTGTGTCTCAAGCGTCACCTGGCCCTCTTGTGGGCCCTGCTCGAATCCCAGCTTGGGGCCGCGGGCTTCGGCGTCGTAGTTGCGGCCTGACAAGTAGGTTCTTGTCACATCTGGTTCTGTGTCGGCATCCGGAAGCTCTTCTGATGCACCGGCATCTACTGTCTCGGGTTCTGGTTGCTTGCGCTTAAGGGCTGCGAGCTTGGCGAGGCGGGCTTTGCGGTCGATGGACGCCGCATCAAGATTGGCGTGGTTCGACGACATTCTTTCGATGTTGTTTGGAAGTGGCCGTGGGATGTTTTGGACTTGGGCTCCAGGAGAAAAAGTGAATGGGGTGACCTAGAGTAATCCCAAGCTCCGAGAAAGTTGAAGAGCGGAATGATAAAAGAAGATGTGGTGCGCCACACCTCAGCCACGGCAAAATCGGGCGGAAATCAACTTTCAACATTTAACCATACTCCGACTTCTTCACCCTGCGCGACTTCTGGGTCTGTTCTCTTCCGGATTTCCCAATGTATGCGAATACATACTCCTGAATGTCATTGTGTCCGCACCAACTCGTTCGGTCCCGTCTGAACGGGTTGCTTTCGTCGCAATGCCGCAGCGCAGGCCGATGGTATCGGGACCCCGGGGCGCCAAATTTTGGACATAGAGTGCAGCATGCCTCGACTTCCGGTTCTTCGGCGATCTTGGAGCCTGGAACTACACACGATGACCTTTCCAGTTCCGGAATATCGCAACTTGCCAACCACGATCCCGAAAGCCCATACCCCGAGTCAAGTCATTTCGCAACAGATGAATATGGCAATGCTGAGAAGTCAACCTCGAGAACTCGATCAAACCACCGTCAAATCCGAAGAAATGTGGCACCACTCCCACTCATGCCGAAGAAGGAAATACGGAAGATTATCCATGCGCAAGGTCTTGCTCCCAGTCTCGTGAATCCTATATCTAGGAGAATCAACGTCGCAATCCAAAAACAGGGCAGACCATTGAAAAAGCGAACACTTTATCTGATGACTGTGATGCGACTGAACTCCATATATACGCGCGAGCTGGGAATTCGCCAATGGAAACCCGCATATGAAGCGATCTACAAGGCCAAGGTATATGACCGCGATGTCATAAATAAAGCCGTTCTCCCTACACTGCGAGGCGAGGGAGAAGCATTGCTAGAATTGGTCCGCAGTGACTGCCAAGGGAAATTCCGCGAAGAGTGGGGAGCTATGACAAGGCCTCGAAAGGCATTTGCCTGGCAGCGCCTTGCCATTTGGCTGTTGCAGAACGACCCCAAACTAGCATTGGAGTTCTTGCTTGTTACGACCGCGACCCAAGAAAAGCCGGACTTTACTCTGGTCGCTGATTGTCTGTTGTATCTGGATAGATTCTATTATGAGGACTGGCTTGAAGATTGGCAGAGCGGTGATCACACATATCAATCGCTTGTTGAGACTTGCCTGAACCCAAAGGAGTGGCCCATCTTACAAACGCCTCACAAAGGATTCCGGCTCTTTATTCGCCGAGCGAGCGCAGACGGCGTCTCCGATGCTATGCGGATTGTGAAGGAGAGGGGCATCTTCATGACAGCTGAAACAGCGCTTTGCTTTGTGAACCGTTTTACGGAACTCAAGGACGCACAACGGGCCTTGGAAGCCCTGGATTTCCTCCCCAAAATTAAAGATCCTGAATTTGGCATGAACTCCGAAGGTGTTTCACGACACTGCTGCAAACTCTTAACTCTTGACACCGTGGAGGATAAAGATGGTGGACGCAATTTCCGAATTCTTCCCCAACTACTCAAGATGGGCATCAACCCTGGACGAGACATGATGAACGTTGTGCTCGCTAACGCTTACAAAACCGGTGATCCTCAGCTGGGGTCTGATATGCTTCAGTTCATGAGGAATCACGGCCATGATTTCGACTCCTATACCTACTTGACTCTCCTCACGGACGCAGTCTCTCGAGGTGACCGGGGTCGTGTCGACGAGTTGGTCCAGGAGGTTGAGATGCAAGAGGAACTACGAAAGAACCCATACATCTTCAGCAAAATCTTCCATGCCCACTACACTTTTACCGCCAAGCACATCGACCCTAATACAGACCCCTCGGAGGTCTTCTACTCTATGCTTGAAATGTACAACAGACTCCACGACATCACTCCCCTCAAAGAACTTCACATGATCCCTCCCCAATACACCCAACCACCAACCCAAGGAATCAGAGGCCCACCCTCCCCAGTATCCTTGTTCCTAATGATTTCGACGTTCTTCCGCTGCAAAAACCGGCAAAACCATGCGCATCGCATGTACGAACAGTTCCGCACCCTCGCGCAGCAGGGCCACCCATCCATCGCCCCTCTAGTCGAGACTGATCACGTCTACAACGAGTTCCTCATTGCCTTCCGCAGAGCCGACCGTGGACTGCGGGGCTGTGTTCGTCTCGTGGAGGACATGCTCGACTCATCCTCTATCCCAAAGGAGACCACAGATGGCAGACCTCTCCACCCTGTCCAGCCAACCCCCGAACCTGGACGATCCTCCTCAGTGCCTTCAACTACCACAACCGCCCAGATGCAGCAGAAAAGGTCAAGCAAATGATGGCCAAGCATAACGTCAGGTATAACGAGGTCACTTGGAATACCATCATCAACGGGTATGCGAATGCGCAGAAGATTCCCGAGACCGCTGCTGCGATCAAGATGATGGAGCAGCAGGGTTTCCCGATTGACCCTTACACGATGAAGAGTCTACGCTATCTGCGTGACCCCGAGCGGCTCTGGGTTTCTATGGAGGAGTTGGACGATCAGCATGTTCAGAAGGGTCTTCAGCCTACTCCTCCGCTTACTGTGCCGGACTCTACTTCTGATATTCACGCTGGCACGGAAGAGCGTGATCAGCTGATTGATCATGGCTTGGAGAAGTTGAAGCCTAAGCTGTGATATTGAATACCCTTTTGTTCCTTTTACTTGTTGGCCTCGGTGGGTTTAGCCATGGGTGCATTTCGGATGGTGTTTGAAGAAGTATTTTAAACTTTTTGTAAATTTGGATATCATGTACTATACATTGCATCATCATGAATTTGTGTTTGCCCGGATACTCGTTGCATCCAGTCCCATCAGTAATTGTTCAAAATGAACCCGCTTTGGCCCTCACTTAGGCGTTGGCGAGTAGGGCGAATGCTCGAGGGTATTCAGGTTATCCGCTATCAGAAAGCGAATTAAACCGATTTAACCACCGAAGAAGATGGAAACCTATTCAGTAAAATGTCAATTAGTACCCATTTGGAATCCTCGTAGATCTCGAGCTGTCGACTTACTGCCATCAGAACGCAGCAAATGCTAACGTAGGGGCTCAGTCGTTCTCCAACACGAGCACACTTCCAGAATATCCCAAAGATTCTAGCAAGTCAGCGTCAGCATCTCTCGTCGCTACCGTCGGGCCAAGTGACCACCTACCCATTCTGATTCCGGTCCATAATTCCCGGCATAATCGAGTGCGCATAACTGCTTGTGCAAATGATGAGAAGAATCACCAGTAGCAGCGACTGAAAGTTGAAAAGGGCCGTCTAGGTAAGTTCATTGTCATGTTAGCATTGTGATCCTTATCGTGGCCAGTATGCAACAGCAGGAGTTGAATGAGTCCCATGACAACATTCACTTGCTTTTGCCGGCAACCACAGAGCAGCAAAAGCTCACCATTTTGAAATAGGTTTCGAATCCTCGCCCGCAACGTGGGCCTTGGAGAGCTGCAAGTCAAGGAAGTGAGGTAGATCCCCAGGCCAGGTCGCGAACCAGCCGATTCTGCCAACCATGCCCGCCAAACGCACGGCCCGCAAGAAGCGGGTATCCTTTTCGCTGCCAAATGCTTCAAATGAAGCTGCTTCTAATCCCCGCTCGACTCCCTCGACTTGCAATTCGCCAGGCAAACCTGCGTCGGGTCATGTGCCACATAAATCCACACCCTCCTGGCTTAAGATCCCGTTCAACGAGCAAGACACAGCTCTAATCCGCGCCGATTATCAACCCCAGTGGACACCCAAGAGTCCGACTTCCGAAGAACCTCCCGACAAAGCTCCCGATAAACCCTCTCATATAATACCAAAGGGCCCCAAGAAGCCCACCAAATCCGCCATGGCTGAACCTCGTGCTCGCGTCGCCCGCCACAAGGGCCAGATGAACTTTCCTGCAGAGCGTACGTTCTGCGCAACAAACCCATTGCCGCAAGCCGATAACTAACTTCAAATCTAGTCCGTCTCCTTCTCCTCGCATACGGAGATCCAAGCCCCCACCCATCCTTCTCCAGCGAACCCCTCCCAGAAACCGTCCGCGTCCTCGACGAAATCGTCACCGACTTCGTGCTCGAAGTCTGCCACGGCGCCGCCCAAGTCGCCCACCACGCCCGTCGCCAGAAGATCAAAGTCGAAGACTTCCGCTTCGCCCTGCGTCGCGACCCCAACAAGCTCGGTCGTGTCCAGGAACTGCTGCGCATGGAGCGTGAACTAAAGGAAGCGCGTAAAGCGTTCGACCAGAATGATGACCAGGTTGCCAAAGAAGCCGGCAAGAAGGGTGCTGCCGCTGCCGCTGCCGCAGCAGCTGCTGGTGAAGATCCCGAGGCTGCTGAGGCTGCTGCTACCGCCGGTGCTCTGAAGAAGGGCAAGGGCAAGGGAAAGCGTGGTGCTGGGCCTCGTCGTAGTTCAGATGCTACTGAAGAGTCGGTTTCGAAGAAGCGCAAGACTATCAACTAGTTTCCGTCTAGTGGTTTATTGTCTTGCCATTTTTCTTTCGGCATTGGGTTATGGATGGCGTTCGATTTCCTTTCTGTGGTTCGCTTTCGGACGCAAATATCATGATTATCGGCGTTGGCGGGTCTTTTTTTCTGCTCTGCATGGGGCTATGGTCTGGACATATGGATGAATAGGAACATGGGATTTACTTAATGCGGAGAATTCAAGATACCAATTCGCAATGAAATGTTTGGCCGAGTGCCGTGTACTTTTACTTCTCTGCTTTGAATTGTAGCTGTGAGATACTGCCAATGTCGACCAAACCAATGCAAAAGCATTATGTCTACAAGAAAACGATACAGCATGAGGTATACAAAGTTTATTTTCTCAGATACCAAAAACTAAACACCAAAAAATGGTTTCCCTGGGAATCGAACCCAGAACCTTTCCGGAACACTTGCTTGAAGCAATTGTTAACGGAAAATCATAACCGCTAGACCAGGAAACCAGATCACATGATAAACGCAGAACCATTGTGCTACATGAGGCAAAAGCTGATTTGAGGTTCACAGTTTCATCTTCACAGTTCTCTTCTCTATCTCTAGGGGTACTTCGATTTATACTGTTCGAACTGATCTCCACATTGGTTCTTTAAGAGCTTCTAGATCATCTTATGAATAACAATATTATACTAACCGTGGAGGTAAATGGCCAAGTATATGATCATCAGGTCTATATTGTATTCCTATCTTTGACCTATTTTCAAACGTCGTTTCTAGATCTCGGTCTGTAGTGTATATCTATGTAGCATAATATCATCATAAAAGAAAGAAAAGACAAATCCTACAATTGAATGAAATATCCCTGTTATGCTTATAAGCAACAACAGCCCTGAGTTCTCGGAGTCCCTCCGTCCCACACGCCTTGGACCCTGTCTAAGCTAGGCTGGCCTCCGCTACCAGTGGTAAAATGATTACCCAGCTTTTATGGCCACACAATCCTATGTATACACAACCCGGCTAAACATATATAGCAAGCCAATACGTTTCACAGAGGATCACGATGAGCGTGGGGTTCTCGGCCGAAGTGACGACCAAGACTCTCATAAAATAACGGAAAGGCTTACTCCAGCCACCTTTCACCATATCCTCTCTACAACTTAAACTACAACTACAACTACATCATGCCCGAGCACAAACCCCAAATCCCAATCCCAAACCGCCTCAAAGGCCTCGTCGCCCTGATAACCGGCGCTGCCGGAAACATCGGCCTCGAAACAGCAAATCGGCTCTTACAAGAGGGCGCCAGTGTTGTTTTGGTTGATATCAATGCCGAAAAGCTTGCTCAATCGAAGCAGAAGCTTATTGATGACTTCAAAGAATCGCCAATGTATACGGATCAGTTCATGGCGGATGATGCCATTTTTACAGTACAAGCTGATGTTACTGTCGAAGAGGATGTGCTGAACTCGGTTACAAAAACAGTTTCTAGGTTTGGACGGTTGAATATTGCTGTTCTCTGTGCTGGGATTTCGTATTCCTCGACGAGTATTTTGGAAACGGAAGTTGAACAGTATGATAAGGTTATGCGGGTTAATTCTCGGTCTGGTAGGTCTTCCCCACCTAAGTATCAGAAATTATAGGAATCTTGGATTGATGCTCGACTATATAAAGCTTTCCTAGGTGTCAAGCACTGTGGAAACGCCATGAAACAAACCGGATCTGGGGGGAGTATTATCCTCGTATCTTCAATCGCCGGTCTCCGTGCTACACCTGGTTTATCGGTATACTCAATGTCGAAGTTTGCACTACGTGGTCTATGTCTCTCTGCAGCAGCAGAACTAGGGCAATTCAATATTCGCGTGAATACGGTGCACCCATCTGGAGTCAATACGCCCATGTTCCTTGCTTCTTGGCCACCCGAGAAGATGGAGAGTATGCTTGCTTCGGTTCCTCTTGGTCGGTGGGCTGAAGTAGCTGATGTTGCGGCGTTAGTTGCATTTTTGGGGAGTTCTGATGCGCAGTTTATGACTGGCGGTGCGCTTAAGGTTGATGGGGGAGTTGTTATGTATTAGTTGATAAGTATACTTTGTTGGATGCTTGTACTTGGAATGGAGATATATATTGAGGACCAGATCTGAGAGTAACCCGTGAAAATTAACGTTACCTGGCTTGGTAATGGTACACATTCGTGTACTCCCTTCCCGGAGATGAATATAAAATATATATAGTAGCTTGTTTCATATTCATGCTGATAAAACACAATCTGATGGTAATTGATGGAAATATCCTTAGTGACAGCGAGATCATCATTAAGAGGCATCCAGAGGATGAGGAGCATAATCTATTTGACTATGATGATACTCAAAGGAAGCGCCATAATCTGATAGACCAGAAAAAGGATGATAAAGTCGGTATGTGAAGGGGCGAGGACTTTAGTCCTTAAGAAACAGGGCTGCAAACAAGGCGTGAGGCATCCCATGGCAATGCCATGAAAAGTTTACAGACTCGAGATACTGCAGCTTGGCCTCCACCATCGTGGCATTAGGGAAAACAGTCCGACAACAGGTGTTCGCGATTTGCATTGGTAGATAAACCTAGCGATAGTTGTGCTATCCTACAAAAGCTGTTAGCTTTCTTTCTTGTGCTATACTATACACGTAGGGCTATCGAAACGCACTTACATGCCAACTGAAAAGGCTCGTGTAGAATGGGTTGGAAAAAGTGGGCATGTGCACAGTCAAGTCCATGGCGGCTGAGGGCTGAGGAGACTGAAGCTATGACGATAAGAAGTTGCTATTTGGAATAAGAGCCTTGATTAGCAGAAGACCATGACAGAAATGAACAAACGGGAAACAGCAAATAGAACCGGAAAGAAGAGTTCGTGTGAAGTGCGTCTGACGAGACATCCACAGAACTTACTGTTCCGAACGAACATGATTGCTCAGTGCGCTGTAAGACCCGGAAGATGGAGGAGAGGGACGAGTAGGAGCCGGCCAAGAGATAGGGCAGCGACTACCCAGGGACAGACCATAGCAGTGGCAGAAAGAGTTACAGGCCACGATGACGCTATTCAAAACGTGTCAGTCTTCGTGTTTGGCTGTGTTACAGTTAGTAAACTCAGCTCATCTTTGATTGAAGAGCTTTGCTGAAAACATGCCATCGCGTTCTACACAGCAAGCCCACTACACAGCACCGTACAATACGTTCGCACAAGCCAATCCAAGAGGCAATCTCTAGAACTTTTATGTCCATTTCATCGTAACTGAAAACGCCGCGCCCAGATAGATGCGACTTCATAAAAACCGGGTCGACCCCGAGGAGATCAGCACTCTCCACACGCGCACACCAGCCACCAACACATATACCAATACATTGATGTTTCAAGTAGGTTGACCTCAGCCCAAAACGAGGATCAATCCCACCACTGGTGTTTTAAGACCGAATATGCCTGATCATCTAGACGGGCAAATCGAATCTGGAAGCCATGAAGGGGGAACATGACTGGGTCGTAGTCCTGTGCCCCGTAGAAGCTTGCGGGGAGGGGAAAAAGAAAAGCGGAGCGGAAAAAAGGAAACAAGAGGAAGAGAAGTGGGATAGTAACAAAGAAACAAGACCCAAAAAGAGGTAGAAAAGGGAGGAGGGTAGAAGAGACAGAGAACGTAGTATTAATAACGTTCACTTGGATTGGATGGTACGGTTTCCTCCCGCAATTGGTCACATTATGCATCAATTTCGCTTAATTCCTTATGCGCGGGCTTCCTCGCGGTCCTGACGGCGGTTTTGGTTGCCCTTCCCACGCTGGTTGCCTTTGCCCTCTCCGGTGGCAGCTCCTCACCACCACCACCCAGAGTCAGCTGGGCGGTTGCTAGACGGGTGGACAGCTCCATCTGTGTGCGAACGGTGTTGGCGAGGTAGGAGACCACCAAGACGTCCTGGATGTGGTTGTTGCTGTGCGGTGTTAGTTATGGATCATTAAAGTGGGGGTAGGATACATACAAGTCACGCTCAATGTCGGCGGGCTCGACCTTGGGGGCGAGAGCGAGAGCGTTGAGCAGGAACTGACCCATTGCTGTCGAAGCGGGGGTCTCCTCGTCAATAACGGACTCGACGTACCGCGAGACACGGTCAATCATGGAGAGAACCTCCTCAACGGCGAGCTCGAGAGACTCAATATCGGAGGTGATGGTGGCAGAACGCTCCTCGGCGTCCTTGGCGTTGGCAATCGACTCGAGACCACTCTTATCAGCCTCGCCGTAGCGGAGCTCGTAGGGGACGGGGATGAAGGCGGCACTGTCGGCAGCGCGCTCAGCGGTGACACCGACGGGGGCGGAAATGTAAGCACGGGTCTCGAGGTCCTTGCCGGGCTGAGTTGAGACAGTCAGGTGGACAGCGGGGTGAGGCCAGGTACCGTCACCCTGGCCGCTGTAGAAGTTCTGGATCAAGGCGGAGAAAGTGTTGAGTTCGGAAGCAGTGGCGTACCAGCCAACAAGGACCTCGCGCGGGTTGGCCTTCAGGTGCAGGGCGAGCATCTGCTTGTGGTATTCCATATCGACCTCGACCTGGTCCTCGGCCTCGGAGTGGCCCACAGCGAAGGCGGATCGGACCTCGACTTCACTTCCATCCTCAGAGCGTGTTCCTAGCAGTGTACCGATGACGCGTTCCTGGTCGGCATTACGGCGCAGCGAGTGGTCGAGGACGGAGAAGATGGCCTGAAAGGGTGAGCTTTGTACCCCTCGGCGATTAGATCCCACTTACCTGGGGCTGGATGACCACGTTGAGAGGGGCAGTAGTGGGAGCAGTCCCCACGCTGACGGGACCCAGAGGGCGAGCAAGGTGCAAAAAGGAGTCCATGATTGATATGAATGATGAGGTTCAATCCAAACGCCAAACTCAGCAAGCCTTCCGGAGGTTCAATTTTTCCTTGAGTGGAGTCGTGGATGTTCCGATTCTTTGTGTGTGGGAATTTTCGCGCTAAGATAAGAGATAAGCAAATTCTCTACTTCGACAACTGAACGTTTGAACTCACACAGTAACAATGCCTGCACGCGGTTCTTTTAGAGGTCGAGGACAGGGACGAGGCCGTGGCCGCGGCCGTGGTGGTCGTGGTCGTGGTCGTGGTGGCCGTTCTTTCGCTACATCTCGACTGAATGAGTCTGAGTGAGTCGCCCGAAGTCGATACTGGGGTATAGCTACTGACATGACTCTGCAGATCGGACGACTCTTCTGGAGAAGATGATGCCAGTGAACAATCGCAAGAGGAGGTAGATGATACTCTTATGGACCAGGATGAGGGTTCATCGAGCAGCGACGAAGAAGAGGAAAGCACCGATCGCCCATACAACGAGCTGCTCCAGCTGCTCCACACCGAGAACGACTCGCAAGGACCAGCCCGGAAGAAGCGTAAGACTGCTATCGACTCCAATGAGGAGATTCAAATGGCAGAGTCGGAACCAGAGCAGGGTAACGATGAGCTGGAAGCTCAGGCCCCTTCCGACGACGAAGAAGAGGAAGTCGATGAGGACGACGACCCTACCGGTGCATTTGAAAAGCATTTCAGTCTTGTCGATAGTGTCGATATAACCAAGAGGGTCGAGAATATTACATCGAAAAAATGGGCATCGGCCAAAAAAGAGGTGGATGGCTTGCGACTGGTCCAGACCACCCCAGACACAGGAGCAGGTGCGGCATTGCTGCCGGGAATGAAGAGCACAATCAACATGAAGGTATGCAATGCGCTTCTATATGTTGACAATGACTAACGCCTCGCAGCTCAAAAACAAATTGAAGCCTCGCGCGGCCGAACTCCTGCCCAAAATCAACGGCGAAGCCCAGAACCTTGCGCCCTATATCTTCGACTACCAGGATGTCCTCTACGGAGCCCGAACTACCGCAAACTCGGGTGAGATGCGCGATATCCTCGCCTTGCACGCTGTAAACCACCTGCTCAAGACTCGAGACACCGTCTTGAAGAACAACGCCCGTCTTTCCAAGGATCCAGATACCGATATCGAGTGTCGTGACCAGGGATTCACCCGCCCCAAGGTGCTATACATTCTACCAACCAGGCAGGCCTGCGTGAAGGTCCTCGATGCCATTACCCGATTCTACCAGCCCGAGCAACAAGAAAACAAGAAGCGCTTCACGGACAGCTTCTCCGGACCCGAGGATGCTGCATGGGAACACAAAACTGAAGATTTCCGCGAACTATTCGGCGGAAACGACGACGACATGTTCCGCCTGGGTCTCAAGTTCACTCGCAAGACTGTCAAGTACTTTGCGCAATTCTACAGCTCGGACATCATCCTCGCCAGTCCCCTCGGTCTCCGAACCATCATGGACCAAGCCGACGCCAAAAAGCGTGACCACGACTTCCTCTCCTCAATCGAAGTCGTGATCGTCGACCATGCTGACGCTCTCCTCATGCAAAACTGGGACCACGTCGACTACATCTTCCAGCACCTAAACCTGCAACCAAAGGAAGCGCACGGTTGCGACTTCGGCCGTGTCCGCAACTGGTACCTAGACAACCAAGCCAAACATATCCGACAGACAATCGTCTTGTCAGGCTTCATCACGCCAGAAATCAACTCGCTCTTCTCAACACACATGCAAAACGCGACAGGTCGCATCAAAGCAACGAAAACCTACGCCGGCGCTATCACTGAGCTCCCCCTCCCCGTCTCCGTCAAACAAACCTTCACCCGCATCGACAGCATCTCCCCGCAAAAAGACCCAGACGCCCGCTTCAAGCACTTCACAACGACCATCCTGTCCAGCCTGGTCAAGAACATCACCCACGGCCGCGGCAAAGGCGGCGCCGGAACCCTCATCTTCATCCCCTCGTATCTGGATTTCGTGCGCGTGCGCAACCACTTTGCCACCTCAGCCCAGACAACCAATATCTCCTTCGGCGCTGTTTCCGAGTACACCGAGTCCAAGGAGGCGAACCGTGCTCGCAGTCATTTCTTGTCCGGCAGACACTCTGTGCTGCTGTACACCGAGCGCGCGCATCATTTCCGACGGTATCAGGTTCGCGGCGTGAAGAGGGTTATTATGTACGGATTACCGGATAATGCGTTGTTTTATAGTGAGATTGTTGGGTTCTTGGGTCTTGATCCGGCGGAGTTGATTGAGGCTGCTGAGGGGGGTGTGCGTGCGCTGTTTTCTAAGTGGGATGCGCTCAAGGTTGAGAGGGTTGTTGGTACTTCGCGTGTTGGGAATATGTTGCGTGAGAAGGGTGGTGATACTTTTACTTTTGTATAATCTGATCCATATGGATAGCAATGACAGTTTACATATCCCGATTTGGATCTCCGCAAGCGGAGTATGCATATCGCAGTTCTGCCTGGATGCGAACCGAGGTAGACCAGTTGGTAAATCCCTTAGTCTAATGTTAGATACCACAAGTAGGATTAGAAGAGAAAGAAATATAAAGCCTAGATATAATCAAACACGAAACCTCTATATTATGTTGCTTGGATCTATGAGTCGAAGCGGTCTAACGTTGGAAGTGCGAGGCTCCACTCTGTCATGCGTGAAAATCTCTGTAGTCACATTTCCCCAAGACAATCTCACTCCCTGATTCTGTATATTCCTCAGCTACGGAGTAGAGGTATCACCTCACAAGTATCAAGTGCATAATAAAGACAAGGGACACACGAAATACCAGCAGAGCCATGCCCCGGACCCCAAAGACCCCACAGGCCCAGGGTCAGGAACCAACAGGCTCCAATACCGAGTCCAGGATGAGAGATCCTATCAACCAACAATACAAGGATGAAGATCAATATCAAGACCATCCAGATGCACCCCTGCCGACCGAATCTTCCAAATCGACAAATAAAAGATATTCAGACCATCCAGAATATGAGTATGAAAATGAAAATGAACAAAATGGATACAACTGCCAAAGCAGCAGTGAAAGCCAAAGCGACCTCGAAAACCAAGCACTCGCACAATCCGAACCCCGTCCTATTGAGGATGAATATGACGATGACGACGAAACTCAAGCTGCAGCAGACCGACCCCGCCATGCATGGCAGATCCTCTGGCTCCGAAATAAAGGCATGGCCCTCGTATTACTAGCGCAGATGTTTGGCGCTTCGATGAATGTCATGACGCAGATTTTGGAGATTCATAGTGCTATGCACCCATTCCAGGTATATACCTTCCCCAAATACAATACAAACATGGATGTTTGTATGTCCTAAGTTAACCAATGAATAGGTCCTCTTCGCCAGAATGTCAATAACAGCCCTAGCAAGCTACATCTACATGTACTACGCCTCAGTCCCAAACCCAATAGGAACACGGCCCGTACGGCCCCTCCTCCTCCTCCGCGCAGCAAGCGGCTTCATGGGCGTCTACGGACTCTACTATTCAGTCCAGTACCTGCCCCTCTCCGAAGCCACGGTGATCACTTTCCTCGCGCCAATTATGACCTGCTACGCTTGTTCATTGCTTATCCCCGGCGAGACATTCTCGCGTCGGCAGCAGTTTGCGGCGCTTGTTTCGCTGGGCGGGGTTGTGCTTATTGCTAGGCCTTTTGGGAAGCGGGAGAAGGTTGATTCGGTGACTACTGCTGTGTCGGTTTGGGCTATGGGTCTTTCTGCTTCGAATGGGGGTGGGGAGGAGACGCCTGATGATGCTGATGCTTATCATCATATTCTGGCGACGGTTGTTGCGTTTGTCGGTGTTATTGGGGCTGCGGGAGCTTATACTTCTATTCGGATGATTGGGAAGCGTGCGCATCCGCTTGTCTCTGTGACGTATTTTTCGACGGTTACTACTGTTATTTCGTTCTTGGCTATGGCGTTTGTGCCGGCTGTGCCGTTTCGATTGCCGAGTACTGTGGTTGAGTGGTCCTTGTTGACCGGATTGGGGGTTTGCGGGTTCTTGCTGCAGTTCTTGTTGACGGCGGGTTTGTCGTATGTTCCTCCGGCTTCGGTTTCTGGAGGAAAGGTTGTTGGTCAGGGGTCTAAGGCTACGTCGATGGTTTATATGCAGATGCTGTTTGCGGTGTTCTATGATAAGGTTGTTTGGGGGGTTACGCTGTCTGGGGTTAGTTGGATTGGATCGGGGTTGATTTTGATTTGTGCGATTTATGTTGCTGTTGAGGGAGGGAAGCAGACACAGACACAGGCACAGACGCAGACTCGGGATGGGAGTCGGGGTGGGAATGAGGAATATCGGGATGTTGAGGGGTACAAAGACGCCACTGAGAGGGAGGCGCAGGAGGAAGTGCATTGAGTTTGAGGCTTGCAGATATAGCACAGACATACAGTATACAAGTTAGTAGAGACACGGAGTACTCTGCTCCAGCAATAAGCCAATCCAAAAAGACGAATGCATCAAACTCCGTCATAGGGTTACATGTCACCCCGGGAACTCCCGTTGAGACTTCAAGTGTCTCCATACGGTCGTCTACTATAGCGGATCATAAAAGCCCATTCCCCATATTTTCCCCATATCTGCATACTCTATTCTCTCCCAACGTTCTCTAGTCACCTTCTTTAGACCTCTTATACCTCCACCTCACATCCACACCTCTACATTTAATTAAATCCATTCAATCATTCGTACATTCATACATTCATTCAATTACCCTTCAATGCGCCATTTCGACACCTGGGTCCTCCGCGACCCCTACTCAATCTGGCACTACTATCCAACAGGCCACAGATGGCGCGACACAGTCCGCGACCTAATCCACACACGAGCAATCTGCTCTCCAGAAGACATAAACATAAAAGAAATCCCAGCTCCAATTGACCCCTGGGCCAAACAAACCAACCAAGAATCGCCACTCCTCCGTCTCCCGGCCGAAATCAGACTCATGATCTGGTCGTATGTCCTCACAGACTCAGATGCACCAGAAAGCAATCCACAAACTGTCCATCTTGTCCAGATTAAGGGGAAGATTCGGCATGTGAGGTGTTCCTTATCCAACAAGACTACAACTACATCTACTCCAGTCCAACATCAGACCAAAACCCTCCAAACCCGCTCCTGTTGCCCAACAACCCCAGCCCACTGGCGCCACACACCCTCCCTCCCAACCTCACCACCGACAAACCCCCAGAAAACCCGCCTCCTCTACCCACACACCCACCCACACCTCCCCCAAACCCTAACAACCCTAACCCCAACTCTCCTGCGCACCTGTCGAAAAATCTACCAAGAAGCCGAAACAATCCTGTACAAAAACACAATCTTCGATGTAGACGATCTCTACACCTTTATCGCATTCGCGAACTCCCTCTCGCCAACTGCCCGCAATGCCATCTCCACGCTGAATGTCCAGTGGATGCCTATCTGGACGCCTATGGCGGGCTTGGATCATAAGGGGAGTATTTATGCTCATACGCATAGTGATGAGCTTTGGAGTAGGTTTTGGGGGTTGTTGCTTCATTGAGGGGATTAAAAGGGTTGGGCCTTGCGTTGGATTTGGGGCTTGTTTCTGCTAGGGATGTTGGGGTTGATATTGGACGTGGGGATGGTGGTGGGAATGGGAATGGGAATGGGAATGGGAATGGGAATGGACATGGACACGGACTTGGATATGGGCAGCGGATTCCGTTTGGGATTGCTGAGGCGTGGGTTAGACCTTTGCTCAAGGTGCGTGGGTTGCGGGAGTTTGATCTGGCTGTTTCGGCTCGGTGTGATGCTTCTTCTAGGGGTGTTGTTGAGCGGAGGTTGGTTAGAGATGTTGGCCTTCTTAGGGAGGAGTTGAAGCGGGTTTTGTGTTTGCCCCGGGAGAGGGAGAAGGCTTGTAAGAAGGGGATGATGGGGAGGAGGGTGAGATTGGCTATTACGGCTGATTAGGTTGTTTTATACCCCTGTTTATTGTTTATACAGCTATACAGTATCTAGATCAGCATCTATGGAGTTCTATCATTTGAACAACACGTATGTTGCATTCAATTAACCGAGTAAACACTCGGAACATGTGCCAATCCCAATACTAATCTATGTCCAGACCATTTCCTGTAACAGACGTGTACCTCCAGCTTTTATGAACATAGAACAAATGGCACATTGATACAGACCACAAACCGAGCCAATGACAAGACCAGCCGAAACAAAAGAGAAACGAAACATTTCATTGGAAGAGTATTAGGGGAGCGAGTTGCCGAAAGAGCCAAAGAGTACCTCTCAGGCAGATCACATCAAGTAAACACAGGTAAATCAACAGGACAGAACAGCACTTGGAATGTTGCACACAACAGTCAGTGGCTATTACAGCCCTGGCAGCAGGAGACGCCATGCGCCACACATAGGAAAAACCGCCAGTTACGGCACAATTTGTAAAGTATAAGACACGAGCCGAATGCAAAATGAGTAAGATATCTGCTAGATATCTAATGCAAAGGGTGGAGAGTGAAGTCAAGATGGGATGGAGTTGTACTCTACTGAGTGGAGACGTGACCAGTGCGTCCACGCACCTCCTCCTCGTAGCCATTGGCATGCTCAGACTCAGCCTCCTCATCTGTGGGCGAGTTCAATCCACTAGGAGGCTCATGCAGTGACTGCCGGCTGCGTGCCATCCAAGCGCGCACACCTCCAATCAAACCCAGGCTGTAACCGGTAGCAAAATCCTCGTTCCGGCGAGAGCCCATGGGGCTGTCAGGCCGGGCGGGCACTTCGCCGACCCGCGACAAGTGTGACTTGCTGCCGCCGGTAGGGCTGGCGAGGGGTCCACGGTTGCCAGTCCAGTCCATGCTGTTGCGGGTGCTAGGGGCGGGGCTGCCGGGCCGGCTGTTCTGCCAAATCTGGCGCAGTTCCCGGCCGAGTTCTTGACCGGTCATGGTCCAGTTGTTGCGAATGTTGTCGCGGAGTTCGACGACGTGACGCTTGATTTCAAGCTCGTTCTTCTTTAGCCAAGAGACGTTCAATTCTTGGCGCGAGGCTCCGCGCTTGAATTGCCGTGAGATGTACTGGTCGTAGTCGCGGACAACTCTGTTATGATGTTAGCATTGCACTTCATCGCCGACATCAATTAACTGACCTTGTGATGATACCAGTGGTACTGACACCCTCCGTCCGTTGCGTCACCAGGAACTTGCCCTGCTCCTTGATAGGAGCATAGATGTCATCACCCTCAGCAGCCCCGTAAGGCAGATCGTCGTGAGCAACATAGTCAATCTTGTGCTCTGCCAAGAACTCCGGAGTAACAACCCACGGACAGCAGGGAATAACCTCGTCCACCCACTTGCAGTGACGAATAGTCTCAGCGCGCTCGGCACCACTAAGAACCGTCAATCCCTTCCGCAGATGTGTCTCTTCATCGCCAGTAACACCAACAATCAGATACGTATCAGGGAAAGCCTTCTTAGCCTGCTCCAGCTGTCTCATGTGACTATAAGCAAGTTGTCAGCACGCATCCAATATCCTCATCCGAGTAAAAAAGCCCTTCCCCATCTCAATGGTCCGGTGAAACATACCCAAGATGGAACAAATCGAAAACACCATCCGCATAAACCCGCACCGCCCGACCCGTCGGCGGCGGATTAGTGTGATACCCAACAGGATCCTGCAATCCGAACACGGGCGGCGCCATCTGTGCCTCGACCTTTTCCTCCTCCGGCAAATCGATATGTAAGCCCGGCCGCGCCGAGCGGGCATGTGTTCCCTCGATATCGCTACTGGCAACCGTTGTCTCGGATGGCTCGCCGGGGTCTTCTTGGCCGGTACCGTTCGGGGCGGAGTGCGATGCATCGCCGGAGGCCTTGCGGGCGCGTTTGGAGGGAGGCACCGTCTCGCTCACGCCTTGCTTCTTGGTTTTGGGGGCATTGGCGTTGGCATTGGAGGCGGCTGAGTCTTCGCCTTCTTCGCCGGACGCGTCGCGTGAAGAGGGTTGGAGGTCTGTTGGCTTGGGGCCTGGGGTCGGGAGATGCGAGGCGCTGCGCTTGCGCTTGCCGACTGGGGATGTTGATGACATTTTGGAGTGATTGATAGAGGCGGGAAAAGAGGAAGAGGGGACCAGGGGAAGAGACCCTGAATGACGACCCGGTTTTAGGGGGTAATTTTCTGTTTGGGGAAGAGAGTGGGGGCTGCAATTCCGCTGTCACCCTGATTTATTACGTGACGCTGTTGAGCCTTGGCGTTTTGCCAAGATGACCACGTGTGGTCATGCCGTTTATGTATACGAACTAACTTATATGGGGCCGTATACGGAGTATACGAAGTAGATATTAGTCTGTGGTCTGATCTAGTCTCACTTTGTGGACCAGGGGTACCGTATATCAAATACGTCGGATATGGCTGAATCTTGTCTTGATCTTGAACAACCTGAACGCTCAATCTACCAAGCCTCTTGACACCAGACCGAGGTATAAAGGTTTAGGGTGAAACGGATGAAGTAAAAGGCTCCTCAATAGCGGGCATTTTCTGCGGTATCTCGTGTGGTGATGGCATAAAGAAACAAACGTGTTCATGAGGGTCGGTCTGTCCCTCTCTCACCCCTTCTCACATCGCATTCATTCCACATGGCACATGATGGCCTCCCGTAATGCTCCTCACTTTGGCAATTCTGGAACAGTTGAACAGTTAGGGAGGAAGGTAGAATCAGGCTCGGAACCAGAGCCCGGACATAACTAAGCGCAAAAAGAAAGAGAACATAGGGCATAGATCGTGAAATGATCGTAGAATCAGGGGAACGGGTCGTTGGCAAACAGAAACCAAAAAGGAAAAGAAGGAAGAACAGAAAAGAAAGGAACAACACCAGAACCGATACCATTCAGGAAGATGCGGACTTGTCCTTTTCAGCGTCAGTGGAGGCCGGAGACTCGGATATTTGAGCAGTCCCCTCCTGTTTCCCCTGGGGGCCCGGGGTAGCCTCGCGGTCATTCCGGGTGCTTGGTTCGTGCTGCACCTGGTTGGTAAGGTCCTGGTCTTCTTCCGTCTGGTCAAAAAGCTCTTCATTCTGGTCCGGGATCACCTCGGTGCCATCGCCCAAGAGGATGATGCGGCCGGAGCGCACACTGAAGCCACGGGACCGCTCCATCTCCACGTCATATTCATCCGGGGTTTCCTCGAACTGGTTCCGGATCCCAGGGCCGCGGAACTCGGCTGCACAACTGGCCGTCAGCACGAAGTGATATTGCCTTCGGTTTCCTCGGGAGACTTGCCGTACTCGGGCGGAGCACAAGGACCGTCCCCGTTCGCGACCCGCTCTGCGATCTGGTTGTACCATTCCTCCTTGGTCTTGCCGTGGAGCAGACCAATGACGGTCATGGTCATATTATCACATCCAACACCACCGGTTTCACTGTTGGAGGCCAGGCAGTTGTCCATCATGTTTTCACAGATCCGGGCAAGAGGCTGCTTGGCGGCAATGCCTCGGCGAACGAATTCCACAACGGCCTGAGAGGACTGGCAATCCCAGATACCTGTAATTGTCAGTTGGTCTTCAGTAGTTGGTAGTGTAAGGACATACCGTCACAAGCAATCACAAGGAACTCATCATCGTTTGTCAGCTCATGAACCGTCACATCGGGGTATGCGGTGACGATCTGCTGTTCGGGGGAAAGCTCGGGGCTCTTTTTGAATTCGAAGTCACCGATGGCACGGGACAAGGCAAGGTTGCCGTTGACACGACCGAAATCGACAAAGCCACCAGCAGCACTGATACGGGCCTTCTCACCCTCATTCTGGGGCTTGTGGTCAAACGAGAGCGGCTTTGCGCGGCCCTTGACTCCTAGCACTGAACGTGAGTCACCAGCGTTTGCCTAGTACCAGTTAGCTTGATCCATCAATCCAATCTCCTCCCATCACATACCACCCAGATCTTGTCCTTTGAGATAATGCTCGTCGAAGCAGTGCAGCCGGACACTTCCTCTTCGTATCGGGGATCTGCACGAGTCAGCCATCTGATACCCCACAATACCGATAATCCACAAACCTTCCAAAATAGCTCTATCGGTAGCCAAGAAACCGTCTTTCATGGCCTGCTCAATATCGCCCTTGGCGAACGACTCCTGCCGGGAAACGATCTTGTGCAGGTTCTCGCCCGTGAATAATGCCACCTTGTCGCCTCCGTGGCCGTCGTACACACCGAAGAAAGCAAGGCGGTGTTCCGGATCCGTCGGTTTGTCGTCGCTAGTGCCCGTATACTTGGCCTGGAGGTCCAGCACTGCGGCGTGGGCGTCCTCCATGCTGATTCGCCAGCCCTGCATGGCAGACACACCGTAGATACAGCAGTCATCCCCGCCCTCGGAGGAGGTCTAGAACGAGACAGCGATGTCAGTCTCAGTTAACACAAGGGCGCACCGTATAGCATGTGAAGAGTGACTTGGCACGTTGCTATGCCAGTTCGTGTGCTCCCCCCCCCCACTACCGCCCCTCCAGCCCAACAGTTCAGGACCCCGCATGTAGCAAACCCGAGGAAATTGGAAATCCCCTGGGGGGAGGTCATAGCTGGTATACTCGAAGAGTATATCCAGAATATCTCTGTCTTGCTCTTCCTGGTCCGTCCTCGTCTGGTTTGGTCGGGTTGTGTGGTGTAGTGACCGAGGGGATAAAAAGCACCATGGGGACACAAATCTCAAATAGGGCTCACCTTTTCGACCACCGGCTCCGACAGGGTTTGACCCATATTGACAAGTATTAATTCGGGGGTTGTGGGATTGAATGGAAAGTCGAAGTGGTTGAAGGAAGGGGAAGAGTCAGATGAGGGCGCAGGGCTTTCGCGGATCCGATAAGTGGGGAACAATGGATGACGGCAGATAGGGGATCTTTCTGAACAAAGGCCTGAACAACAGTCACAAAGCTTTCTGTTTCAAAGGAGTTATTATTCTTCGAGGGGTTTCTGGAGCAGAGATTTCGTGTTTACCGCTTTGGTTCTCTATACTGTCACGTGAGGAGGGGATCTCGCCATTGACTGGTCATTTGATGCTGCACCGAGCTTGCGACCCTGCATTACTTCCTTGCTTAACGCTTACTCAATTATTCATGGATGAGATATTCAATGCTTATTGAAATTCCTATTAGAGCTAGTTTACAAAGTATAACGACCAATCAACTAGAAAAGCCAATGGATATCATGTGCGCAATGCCCGAGAACGCCGAAACAGAATGACAGGGAACACGGAGGGAAGGAAGAAGATCAAACAAAGGCTAGCTCGCCACTACTGGCAACAGGAAGACCACGGCTGCTTCCGCTCTTCACCGGAGGAGGCTCTAGAGGAGACATCCGCCATTGGGGATCCGCCTTCTTAGGGCTGACCTTGCGCAGATGCTCATCCAGATCCGAGATCATGGAAGAACTCTGCGGCATGGCATTATCATCATTCACTTTCTGAGACCGATGCTGGCCCTCCAACTGTCGAGCACTGCTCAGACTGTTCTCACTCCAAAAGCGAGGTAGTGGGGAGATGACACCGCGGTAATCCTGCGCGAGACTCAACTGACTGTGACCGTTGGCGCTGCCCTCGGCAAGAGGGAACAGGCCTGGTGTCTGCAAGTTCTGGTAGTGGGACATGCGGTTGTCGTCGCCGTATTCTGAGACTGAGATTGCTGTGGACATCGGGCGCTCTTGAATTGATTGGCGGTACTCATCGCTGAAGGTTGATACTGAGACTGTGTCGGCACGGCTGCGGATACTGCGGGCTCGCTCGAGAGCTCGGAGACCGGATGAGGTGCGGCGGCTGATTTGAGCGGAGAAGAGTGGGTTGGAGGAGTTGCGGTGCTTGGCGCGGCTGTGGACGAAAGCTTCGAGGGAGTCGGCCTCTGAGATGGTGGACTCATCGGGCTCCACAGCTCGCAGCGTGACCCGTTTGTAGTTCTCTGGGATGCTGGATGCCATACTGTGTCTCATGCGGGCGGCAGCAGGAGGGCGGGGGAATAGCGGTCCGATGTTGGTGGTGCTGGCCTCATCACTCAGCATGGATGCTCTGTTGTTTTGCCATGACATGTGAACGACGCCATGTCCAGGAGGCCCGAATCCACCGGCACCATGTCCGGCACCGCTGAATCGCACAGGTAGTCCAGAAGCAATGGATGAAATACCACTTGAACGTTTGGAGTATCGCTTCGACTTTGATGATTGGATAGACTCTCGCTTCATTGCTCGCGGCTGGATGGTTTTCAAGGGCTGGCGTCGGGTTCGGTTGGTGGATCTGCGACGGACGGGGCTGTTGGTAGTGGTATATGAAAGACGGTTGTTCTGTTTCTTGCTAGGAGAGGTATGAACTGGCTTGTCCTCTGAGATGACCTCTCGCAGCGGGACAAAACCACCACGAACGGGAGAGTTTCGTTTAGGAGAACGGGGAGGGACGACAGGCTCAGGTATAGAGAAGCTGATAGGGTGCTCCTGTTTATCAAAAGAGGACACATTCCAAGCTGGTCCAAGTTCAAGCTTGGGGAGATCTGATGCGGGCGAGATAGGGCTCATCCAGTCTTCCGAGTTGTCGTCACGAGAAGGTCTTTCCGACATGGCTGGGTGGCAATTGGGTACATCCGGTCTGACTGGCCGTGGAGGCGCCGGCTTGGTGTTGGTACGTCCTTCTTCAACTGTGGGTGAGCTCTTTCTACGACGCCAGCAGCAGAAGAGAATCAGAAGACTCAAGATCACCACAACCGGGACGACGATGGAGATAGCAATAATGCCAGCCTTCTTGTGGTTGGGGCTGCTGGAATCAGAGAACGGATCCGTGGGGTTTGAATGTGTGTCCGATTCTTTGAGTACATCGAGCACAAAGTCTCTTGTGTCATCAGTCGATCCTTGGTGTGCAGTAAGAGGAATGGTAAACTTCTTAGGGTCCATATCTTCTGGAACATGTCCATAGAGCGTCTTGTTTTCAGGGAAGTAGGTGAGCCACGAGGACAAATCGCTGTCCAACTTAACATCTAGTTGCACAGAGTCATCGGTAACGATAGACTGGTTAAACTCGAACTTGAATTCCTTGCCAATTGCTGCTTCACATCCATCGACAGTATCAAGGAACAACTTGAGGAACTCCAGGCGGACCATCAGCTTCGCCTGATCTTGGAAAGTGTCGGTCACAGCAATAGTGATGTTCTGGTTCACGGCATCACTCGGTGGTGTTCCACTTAGTGATACATTATCCTCGTCCAGGTCCAGCCAGTCCGGCAGTTCAGCATCGACCTTGGCCAGGTCCGTGCTCGAAGTTGGCGAGCCGTCCATCGACAGAATGCTGGTGAATTTAGGACTGGTAAACTTGTCACCCCGGGTGAGGTTGAATGTCTGGACAGTTTCGTTGAATGCCAGAATATGAGGACCGATCGCCAGCTCAAAAGTCATGTTGGCCGCGCTATATCCAGCAACATCTGATGCAATCAGCTGAAACGTAAATGTCTGAGGCCCAGCTCCTGGAAATGCTGGGCTGTTTCCTGCGAATTTCAGGGCGACTGGATCGAAGTTGATCCAAGAAGGTAGCGGTGCATTGTTCGGCGAGGTTCCGTAGTAGATCGTAGAGGGATGCGTATTGTCGAAAGTGTCCGGGTCAAACTCGATGGAGAACGGGCGACCGGGGTGGATGAACAGAGTCGCAGGGTATGAAACGGGCCCCAATGACTGTAGTTGAGGCACGAGTGGCTTGTTCACAGTTGGTCCTTGATCGGCTGTCACAATTAGAGTAACTTCCATACTGTCGCTCTCCGACCCGTTGGATGCCTTGAGCCTGAACTTTTTGGAGCCACTGTCACCCATGTCTGGTGTTCCTGAGAGTGTACGAGTGCTGCTGTTGACTTTGAGCCATGATGGTGCATCTGATAGCGAGTATTCCGTGGCGTTGTCACTGTTAGAGAAAGTACTTTGGGCGAACGCAAAGCGGAAATGCTGTGAGACGCGCGCGACAGGTGGCAACTGCGCGTTGATAGGATAATTAGCAGTCAAAGCTGCTGCATTGACTACTGACAGAAAAGCCAGGGCGATGAGAAAGAGCGCCATGGTTGACTGAAGAAACGGGAGCACCGAACTGTGTATAGTTGAAAACACAGGCTCACCGGATCACCAATAGCGCATCTAATCTCACGGCGAAAGATAGTGAAAGTAGTCAAAAGAGGAGAAAAGAGATTCAGGACGAGGACGAAAGAGTATCACGCTTGATTTCAAAAAGACAGTCCCTGGCCGAGCCAAAGGGACTGGAAGGGAGACATTCAAGGCGTGCCCTTTCAAAAAAGCCATACCTGGATATGCTGGATGTCACGGAAGTATGTAGCAGAATGACAGCGGAGAATGAACGCGGGCGCGATCGCTATCACCGGGCTCACGTTTCGAAGATGCCCGGCTCATGCAAGGGGTACAAGGAGCCACGGACGCGCCCAACCACTGGCATGATTTCTTGCCCCTCGGGTCCGTTCGAAAGGGACAAGGCAAGGTAAAGGTACATTTTTACTGAAGAAAAGGTCCGCACTGCAGTCATCGGCGTGGCTCACGTTCCCAAATCCAGGATCATCTTGATGCCTGTCCGTCCAGGGGCGTAGTAATCAGGGATTACTTCACGCTCCTCGAATCCACCGCTGGCATACAAGGCGCGTGCAGGCTCCCTGGCCTGATCCACCCACAGTTGAATGTACTGGCAGCCCTCCTTTCGCAGGCGCTGCTGAATGTAGGACATGACCTCCTGGCCAACACCTTGACGGCGGTTAGCCTCTGTCACACAGACTTTGTGCAAGAGCGCAACGCCCTTCTGTCGTACATAGACCGCGTAGGCGATCAGATCAGACTGCGATCCCTTCGCTCGAGTCGCGTACAGCACTCGCGTGTTGGGCTTCTTTCTCCACAGCTCTTCGCCAAATGGGAATGCCTCATTGGTGGGGAAGGTCTTTTTCTCAACTCGTGAGATCTGGGCAAGAATTTCCAGTGCCGTGTTCTTCTTTAAGGAATGGATGTCCGATATGGTGAGGTTGGACATTCCTGTTTCAAGCGCCATTCCGGATCACGGCTGACAGAGTTAAATTTGACACGTCTTAGTTGAGCTGTATGACATAGATGGAAATGATTCTAGAAATAGATGTATGTCAAATGTATACCAAGTGTATACCAAATGTTTGGTGAGGTTGAGAAGTTTTGTGGCCCCACCTGGCTGGCCCTCCAATGGGAGCTGCCTTGATCTATATAAAACGTGAGAATCTAAGAGCCACTGAGTTCAGGCTATCACTGTTGGTCTTGTTTCAGGGCTGCATTATATTGTTATCTCTGCACAATGGCGTCACAAGTCTTCAATTTCAACGTCTATAGCCCATGTGTTAGTTCTTGGACATAATATGCCACCGTCAACCTACCACGTTTTTATGAAACCTACCCATCAAATGTCCATGGCTCTAATTATGACTATAAGTTATCACTTGAATAAATTACAAGTGCTGCATGTATAGGTAGGAACATCCGTCCATGAGCCTACTCTCTCTGCCCGTGCTCACCCGTACATACACAGTCTGTCTGCCTATGTTGCATTTGAACTAGATGATCATTGTTTATATGCTCGTATTATGGCCAAATATCTCAAAGAATTCAAAAGTCTCAAATAGAATGGTGATGTTATTCCTATTCAAAATGAGCGAAAGATGGTACGTGGTGCTTAAGGCAAGTTCGGGGACGAGCCCCCAGCAACACATTTTCCAGACAAATGAATCAGTCGTCGACATATCAAACTTCACTTCCATTTCCATCTTTGAATTTTTCTTCCTTTCTCCATTCTTCCACCTTTCACATTCATCGTGCCTTCACTATGGAACCAGTCTCAACTGCCCTCCCTTAGCCAAGCATCACAACTACCCTGGGTCGGTGATGGTACTTCATCAGTCGTCAGACAAGTCTCCGCATCAGTGGTAGTCAAGGTACCTCATGTCGAGCCAGGCAGATTAACGGGTTGTCAACTTGAGACCGAGGCTGCAATCTACGTGCGATTCGGACCGCACCCCAACATCACCAAGTTCATCGCCTTCAATGACGGCAATATATTTGAAGCATTTACACAAACTCATAACCGAATTCATGAATACATAAGCTCGGAATTCCAGTTGCTTTGTTCTATCTCAATCCCTTCCTCTTGCTGCTCCATTGCATTCATGATATATCATCAGACATCCCTGGAGATTTTCAAGCTTCCCTGTCCTCGCACACATCTAGCAAATTCTCGGGGTTAGGATAGCGTATTATACCATAAAATTGGAAGTAACTTACCATCACGGCTGTTATCCCTTTTGACATCACTTATAGCCATGGTATATAAAGCCTCCCCAATGTTTGAGGATAGAAAGAAGTTGTGTGAAAGAAGGAGGTGGCAACGGTGTTTATAGGGACATCTAGAACATCGAACCGACGCCAACATTAGCGACACGTATACGAAATACCTGCACAGCATGCACAAGACGGGAAGGCACCACGTACGGCAGACTTATTTGCAAAACTAGCCAGTCTCCAAGCACCACAGTAGATTTTCATCAGGTTATCGACAAATTAAAGAAGCTCTGTATGGCTTTAGCTTAGTGGCGTTTTGGATATTCAGGTGCACCGATCTATCGAAACAGAGTCCTTGGCTTCACGGGATTCTCCAAATAGGAGAGCTGAAGCGACCAGTTGCCCAGTAGCATGATCATATATAAGTTGATTAACCAGGAGGGAAGAGCTAAGGTATAAAAACTTCCAGCGAGAATGCTGGGTACGACACGATCTACATAAAATATCATGGCAAAGACCACAAAGTACGGATACGCAAGCAGCACATAAAAGGATTGTTTCCAGTAAGCCTCAAAGAAAATATGTACAAATCAATACTCCTAGTTCACACTCCAGTGAACAACCTGTTGAACCCTAATAGCCATAGGGTCCAAATTTTTCTCCAACCTATCCCTCTCTTTCTGATTCGTCTCCATCTCAACCCTTGTCGTAAAAGTAGTAAGCTGAGCACGATCATCATCGTAATGGGTGAAAGGATGAGGACTTCGCGTAGAGCTGAAGCTGTGTTTGCTGGAATCACGACTATGTTTTGATGGATTCTTCCCTTGAAACCCAGAAGATAGCTTGTTCACACCCCTGCTTCGACGGAGTGGTAAGCTTGATAGTTTCTTCGTTATTAAACGGAGGAACGGTTGGAGGGCTGGTAGGCATGCACAGACGATCCCAACGCATGGCTCGACGATTGACCATACGTATACATCGCTTATCACCCATGACAGGTCGATGCTTGATTTTAGGAAGGTTATGTAGTGGATACGGACGATGCTTGCGACGCAGGCACTAGATGTGATATTTGTTAGTCATGTTTTGGCGTAATTTCAAGAGGGATGTTGAGGGGTTGGGAACATACACAACACCCAATAGAAGAACACTGCAGACTCCGACCTTTTGCGTGGTTCGCATCTTTAAGCTCCACACAATCGGTATAGGAATAAGCAAGATCAACGCGTCTGTCACGACATTGGTAGCTGCATTGCCGATAAGATAATTGTAGAAGTTGAATCGGTATTTGCCAAGGCTTGAGTTGGTCCCTTGAGTCCAGAAGTATGAGACTGGGTCGGAGGAGCATATTGTCGCAATAATACTTCCGATGGCCCAGCTATAGCTGATGAAGAGACAGGTCAAAATTGACCAAGTCATGCCGAATATTCGGCGGTAGAACATCAGTATCGAGACTTTGATAAGGAGGAGCTCGGCGAGGTAGATCAGTAGGTATGCGAAGAGGGTCTGATTTATTAATTAATAAGTCTTTGAACTGTACGTATCTTCCTTACCTTCCGCAAAAGAATCAGGTCTCCAACCGTTGCACTCCAGATATGCTTGCCCAAGCCATGTTCGCCGCCTAATTCAATATCACATAAGTGAATGCTCCGCAATGAGCTCAATAGGGGATAGTATCGACATACAAAGCACAGCTGCTGCAAGCAATCCAGCCAAAGGAACAAGCGACGCCGCAATCAGCCAGTCATCCACCTCCGGCCTGGATCGCTGGTAGTATATTCTTACCACAAACCGTAGAACCACGGTCAGTGCAGCAACAGCACATATCGAAATAACGACGTCATTCTCCTTGGGTGTCCTGTTCTCACTTAGATCAATCCCGGCCGGCCGTGGCTGCGTGAAGACAAGTGAAATGTCCATGATCACGGTCTTCAACGACCACCCTGGGTAATTGACAATTCACCACGTTGCTCACAGGAATCCGCTGAGTGTAGCCCCAGGGGCGAACACGGTCTATTTTGATACAGAGCAGAACAATCTACATAAGTGGAGAGTAGTTAATATGACACCCCGGTAAGAACTAGACCTCATTGGAGAAGGCGTAGTAATTGTATTTCACTGCACTAAACCCTTGGCATTGCTTATGCCTCGAGATTCAATTGTTCGACATAAACAATTCCAAGAGTTTAACATATTGTAGTGAAAGACAAGTTGAAATACAATTACTACACCTTCCCCAATATGGTTAGACTAATATATGGGGAAAGTGTCATTTTATCAGTACTCTAAGTGGAATCGGAGAATACTCCTAAACCAGCAATTCTCTGTCTATGCGCCCCGCTACCTGTGCAAATTTCTGATCCTATCTGTCATGCAACGTGTGCATGCTCGCCCATGTGGATGAGGTTGGCCAGGCCATGATCTTATTGGTAATGATGTTTTCTCCGGAGTTGGTTTTTTTTTGGGAATCAGGGAACTCGCTCATCCTGAAGAATTCGTGTCATGTCATGGTCAGCGAAAATACAAACATTGATGTGTTAGTTCGGACTGGCCGGTGAAACACGATCGGCGTGCTGGGACGGGGGGCTACGGGGGCCGGGCAAAAAAGTGATTAAAAATTTAAATTGACTCCAACTGGAATGTTCTTATCGAGAGCGTGGACGTAGAATAACGTTGGAATCTACGGAGTATAGCGCTGCCAAATGTAAACAGTTGTTGATCAGCAAACCTTGAAAGTTCCCCACCAAACCCAACTCCAACTTCACGTCCAAGCCCAAAACACAGACTCCTCCCCAAAACACTACTCACAGATCAAAAATGCCCCCAAAAACAGACCAAGCAGACGACAAGCGCCAAGCTGCGCGTGAAGTTATCGATATACTCCAGGAGATCTCTGATCTGTTGGTGCGTGCCTCCCTCCTTTCTCTGCAGTCCTCGTCCACGCCAGCCTGGACTAAGCTGCAGTCACACAATACATATTGATCCAAGAGAAAGGGAAAATGCTGATAGACTGATACTGATAGAACACCAACCTCGACCGGACGGAGTTATCGCTCTGTGTGTCTCTGATTGAAAATGGGGTGAATCCTGATGCTTTAGCGGTACGCGTTTCCTGTCCCCATATGGAACAGATAAAAGATCAACACACGAGTTCTGTTATGGTTGAGTCGACTAGTACTAATTTATCTCCTGTAGACTGTTATTAAGGATCTGCGGAAGGAGACTGGTGCTTCTAAGCGTGTTTCTAATGCTCCGGCTGTGGAGTAATTGGCTGTTATGGGAAAGATTCTTTGTCTCCCGCTTACTTCCTATTGGCTTGACTTGTGGGTTTATTTGTTTTGGCGTTGAGGCTAAGTTGTACATGATATACTGTACACGTACCGGTCGGAGATACCCTTTTCTTGTAGAAATACAGATTCAATTTGGCTGCGTTGGTTTATGGAGTGATAGGTTGCAAACGTCTCATTACCTTTCTAGGTATCGTAAATTCGGGTTGGGGATATTGGGTAGGTTATGCAGATGGCATTGGGGGTCAACTGGGAGCAATGGGAAAGATGGGCAGTAGGCTGAGTGTATAAGGAAAGAGGCGATTCGCATAGATTCAAATCGCGGATATCCAAAAAGGCAAACAATCGCGCTTATTTCGTCTCATCGGGCTTGCTGGCGTCCTTCGTATCCTTATCCTTGGAGGAACCCACTTCATCGGACATGGCCTCGGCCGTGGCCTTCTTGATTTGGTCACTTTCTGAGAGAGTGGGTTGCTCCTTGGTCTTAATATCCTTCTCGTCATCGCTGTCACCAAGACTGAATGGGTCGTTCTCTGCAACGGGGGAAGGCTCGACGGTGGACAAGGGCTGCCATTTGCTAGGCTTGTTGCCCGTTGAGCTGTTGCGCTTGGCGGATGAGGGAGCATTATAAAGGGTATCAATCTCAGTGGGAGGTCCATCCTGGAAGGACACCTTGCGTCGGTCTGGCGAAGGAGAGGAGCTCTTGATGTTGGAGCGAGGACGGGGAGGCTGGCGCGGAGGAGCTGTGCAATGTTAGCGGAGTTCAATAAGCCCAGACTAAACCACTGCTTACCTTCGCCGTCTCTCAGCTCAAGAGCAGAGAAATCATCTCCGAGAACCTGGGGATCTGCGTCATAACGCTCACGGTCACCACTGCGACGGCCCATATCGCCGCTACGCCGGGGACGACTATAGGCAGCACTCTCCCCTTGGCTGGGCCCAGATTGTTGGTCCACTTCCTCTCCATCGATCCTCTTCTTCAGGTTTGTTACCCAAGAATTAACCTTTGACTGTGTGTCCAAGAAGCCCTTGCGGATATTCTCGCGGATCACGGGTAGATCATCTGCAAAGACCCGCAATTAGCATGTGCGCATCTCACAGTTACCACAGACCATACCATCGAAAAAGTTATATTCCCGGTCATCCGACTCTTCACTTCCTCTAGGTCGCTGGTACCTTGGATCGCTTTCCCAGCCGGGGGAGGCGCGCGACGCCCGTTCGCATTGTAATGCTCGGAGAGCTGACGTGCATACATTTCATCGGCATCCAACTGTCTCTGCGTAGTAGAGGTAGCCTGCTGGGACGGACGTGGCGGCTTTGGTGGGGGTGCCATTTCCTCTTGGGCCTTGGGGTCGGTCATGCCTACAAATCCAGGTCAGAATTGCTGTCCATTTGTAAACAGTAGATACCACGAACCTAGCAGCGCATTGAATGCTCGCTCGACATTCCAATTGCTCGCTACCAGAATTGCCTTGACGACTGAAGGCTCAACGCTCGGGAAAGCCTCCTTCAGTGTGATCTCCGACTGTTCTCTCGGGCTCAGGGGCCGGGGCGGCTTTGGCGGGGCTTCCTCGGCGGGAGCTGGCTGCGCAGCGGCAGGAGAGGAAGTGGTGACTCCGCTCTCTTGGGGTTCATCGTCAAAATCGAGCGGGCGGGCGGTAGTGGGCGACTCGGCTCTGAGGCTGGTAGGGGAGTTAAGCGCAGCCAAGGGCTTGCTGGGAGTGGACTGTATCTGGAAGTAAGCCTCATGCGACAGACAAATAGTAGATGGTGTATGCTTGGGACGTACATTCTTGTCTTCTTCCGACATCTTGAAGGAACTTCAGCAGATCAAGAGTGTAGATAAAGAAAAGAAAAGAAAAGAAAAGAGTTGCCTGGAGAATGTCGAGGCACATATCGGGGAAGCTCCAAGTGACGTGGGGTGCACGTGAGGGCGGTCAAGCTCCATACAGATCGTCCTACAGGAGATTCACAATCTTCTTGACAACTTCACAATGGCTCAATCATATTTTGATTTCTCTTAACATCACCGGCTTTAAGCAGAATATTGGCCTAGACTAATACTGTCTAGAATGACTTCAGAAGAGCTCTCGACCTCTTTCATTCCAGCCCTGTATAAGCCAGCTGCTCTATTGCCCATTGCACGGCATAAGAAGACCCTGCTTTACTTGGTTGAGAAATATCCTGTCACTATAGTTGTGGGTCAAACAGGTAGCGGCAAAACAACCCAGCTGCCGCAATATCTCGACCAGGCAGGATGGTGCGAGGACGGAAAAGCCATCGCTGTCACACAGGTAAGTCCTATCACAGGCTCTAGGAGAAGCTGCGACCAACTCATATGTTAGCCCAGGCGAGTTGCTGCCACGACGGTTGCAACCCGAGTAGCAGAGGAGATGCGGTGCAAAGTAGGTGAAGAGGTGGGCTACTCTATCAGATTTGAAGATCAAACATCTGCTGCAACAAGAATCAAATTCTTGACAGATGGTATGTTGCTCAGAGAAGCTTTGGTAGATCCTCTTCTCTCACGGTATTCTGTCATCATGGTTGATGAAGCACATGAAAGATCTCTAAGCACCGATGTTCTCCTCGGAATTCTGAAGAAGATCTGCAAAAAGCGAACTGAACTTCGCATTATCGTCAGTAGTGCAACCCTTCAGGCAGAAGACTTCCTGCGCTTTTTCGCCGGCGATGAATACAAGCCCGACGCAGAGCCGGCTGACTTGGGTGGAAGTGTTGGAAGGATCATCAGTCTGGAAGGACGGATGTATCCAGTCGATATGCTTTACCTTGAGACTCCTGCAGAAGACTATATTGAACGAGCAGTTAAGACGGTTTTTGATATTCATTCCCAGGAAGCAGAAGGAGATGTACTTCTCTTCTTGACGGGCCGGGAAGAGATCGACACTGCGATTCAGTTGATATCCGAGAGAGCGGCTACTCTCCATCCAAAAGCACATTCACTACTTCCCTTGCCTCTTTACGCTGGACTCACGACAGAACAACAAATGTACGTCTTCGAGCCCACACCAGAAAACACTCGAAAAATCATTGTCTCGACCAATATCGCAGAGGCATCAGTCACGATTGACGGAATCGTATATGTAATCGATTGCGGCTTTGCCAAACTCAGGGCCTACAACCCCAACACTGGCATTGAGACGTTGACAGCAGTACCAATATCAAAAGCGTCGGCTACACAGCGAGCTGGACGAGCTGGAAGAACTAAGCCGGGAAAATGCTTCCGCTTATATACGCAAGAAGCCTACGAGCTCCTACCTGAAGCAACGGTACCTGAAATTCAGCGGTCAAACCTAGCCCCAGTCATTATGCAGCTCAAAGCACTGGGCATTGACAACATTGTCCGATTTGACTTCCTGACTCCTCCACCGGCAGAACTCGTCATTCGAGCATTCGAGCTTCTCTCCTCCCTCGGTGCGGTTGATGACTATGCCAAACTTACGAAGCCGCTTGGAATGCGAATGGCGGAACTTGCGGTCGATCCAATGATGGCCAAGGTCCTCCTTGTCGCTCCGTCTTTCAACTGTCTAAGCGAGGTCCTCTCAATTGCGGCTATGGTCAGTCTTCAGGGAACGGTGTGGGTTCAACATGAGGGAGATAAGAGATCTGCTGAGAGCAGTCGCCGCAAGTTTGCCGTTGAGGAGGGCGATCATTTGACATACCTGAATGTATACCAGGCGTTCATCACCAAGGGAAAGAAGGATTCGAAATGGTGTCGTGACAATCTCTTAAACTACCGGGCTCTGCTGCGCGCAGTGAGCATCCGTGGTCAGCTGAAGCGATACCTGGAACGCTTTGGTATTCAAATTGATGAGACGCTGTCAGCTCGCAATGGCGCCCTTGATTTGAGCTCCCAACCTGAGCGGATTCGAAGATGTCTCACCACAGGTTATTTCGCTCATGCGGCCAAGATGCAGCCTGATGGCACCTTTAAGACTGTCAGTGGGGGACTGACTCTTCATGCACACCCTAGCTCATTGATGTTTGTGAGTATTCCAATTATTTGGCTTGAAACAGTCGTGTTTGTTTTACTGACTCTTTATAGAACCGCAAAGCGGACTGGGTTGTCTTCCATGAGATCATGCAAACGGGCGAAAAGACTTACATTCGCGATATTACGAAGATTGAGAAGAGTTACCTGCTGGAATATGCTCCCGACTATTACAGAGTCAGGTAATCTTTTTCGTCACTATGTGCCTGGAAATAGATTAGAGAGCCATTTGTATAAAATACCCAGGCGTTCAAGGAGATGCAATTGACATGTAACATTTGCAATACTATAAACCGAACTCTTTCTTCGTATGGAGGAGACTCAGTACAGTATATTATAATATGTGTTAACAGTCAACATTTATCAAGATGATTCGGATGGCTGACCCCAATTCTATAAACCCGTAACGTCACGGGAGCGGAGAGCTTGCCAAACAACCTTCCAACTTCAGACCATCGCGCATTTCTTTGTCAACACGCGCTGAACTGCTGCTTCGCATTATCAGTTTCACAATGTCGGGGCATCACCATGACCATGATGGCCATGGCCACTGCCACGGTGAAGACCATGATCACTCCAACGATATCACTCCAGCCATCCAATCCCTGCTGTATTCTCAGATTGATTTCGGCCAGATCACCACTCTCAATGGTATGCCGACCCTTCAGAAACAACCAAGTGAAGATGACCACTGACATTCAAACCGCGCGACAGAGTCCGTCCCTAAGGCCGGCGCAGCTATCGTGCAAAAGACCTGGGCCGAGCGACTGAACGACAAGCCCGAGCTCGAAAGCGACGCAGACGAACAACTGCTGATGAACATCCCGTAAGCCCAATCCAATCCGATCCATCACCAGCTTCATTCTTCTTTATCGTCCCTGGTGCTCGCGTCTCCCTCGCATCTCAAAAATTACAAACAAACCCCGCCATACCCCTCACCGTTATCGCAAACTTCAAAAAGCAAAAACTAACCCTTTCTCTTTCCCCAGATTCAACGGCCAAGTCAAAGTACACTCCCTCCTTCTATACACCGCACCGACAATCTCCGCCCCAAAGACCGTAAAGCTCTTCAAGAACCGCGACGATCTGGACTTCTCAACTGCCTCGGAGCTCTCTCCGACCCAAACCATCGAGGTCCCGCAGCCCGTTCCTGGTGCTGATGTCTTTGAATTGCCGTTGAATCGCGCACACTGGAACGCGACTACCTCTGTCACGCTCTTCTTTGAGGATAACTGGAGTGACGGCGAGGAGGATGTTACGAAGGTTGGTTATGTTGGGTTCAAGGGACAGTTCTTGAAGTTGACGCGTGAGCCGATTAACTTCCTTTATGAGGCTGCTGCTAATCCTCAGGATCATGTTTCGATCCCTGGGGTTAATGATGTTGGTGGACGTATTATGCCTGGTCAGTAGTACACTTCGTCAGGGAGATAGTTTTTATGGGCTCGATGCTCTATATTTTGAGGCTGGGTTGCCGGTCATTATGATTAACGAGAATACCATTCTGCTTTGTACACTTCTTCAAGTTCTATGTTAGATGGAACCGGGTATGGATGGCTGAGATGTTTGTCTAGACTATCGTTTATATGCCTGTTGAGCAGAATACACTCTATACACCATGTATTTGACAAGTATAAGGAGCAAACCAAGGCAACTCCATGAGCAAATGTCTACCAAAGGATGTAGACGACTAAAAGCAGAATAAAAAGTTCACCCAACGCCAAAAAAATGCTCTGGATCAATATAATGCAATGCGCAACATGCATGTAATCGGAACCCCAAAATATACTCCAAATCAAGCAGGCAAAGCCGTCCTCGTCTCAGCCTTCGCCTTGCTCCTCTCACGACTAGGCTCGGGCTCGAGTTCCGCTTCAACAGGAACAGGCACAGCAGTAGGCGGACTAGGCAAGACAACAGGTCCAGCAAGCTCCCGCTGCAAAGCTTCCAATTCATCCTCAACCTCGTCCTCATCCTGATTCGTCAAATGACCCGCCAGCATCTGACTCACCTCCTATACCAATCGTCAGCAATCCATACCCATACTCCAAATAACCACAAAACAACAAAGGGAACCATACCTCCTGATAAGCCCTCGCATCCTCCGTCTCTCCCATTAACCTCTCAACTCCCTCAATCCCACCCATCTCCTTATGAATCGTCTGCAACACTGCCGTCCCCTGCTGCAATCCATACATCACATCCTTCTGCACAAGCGCGAACTCCACATCGCCAGTTAATTGCTCCAACTGTGCGAGCTGTCCGTCTGTTTTGGCTAGGAGGGATTCTTGGTATTTCTTGCGCCGTAATGCGAGTAGCGCACGCCGCCGGTCATCGCGTGCTAGGCATTCTTTCGCGATTTCTGTTTCGCGGTCTGTTAGGACGGTTATCTTTCGTTGGTATTGGTGGAGTCTGTCGCGTTGGTTTTTCAGGTCGAGTATTGCCCTTTGGGTTGGCTGGTTAGTTTGGGGCTTTGGCTTTGTGTTGGTGTCGGTTGCTGCGTTGCTTGGTGGGGATGAGGGGTCTCGTGAGGAGATGTAGATAGCTGTATATGGGTGTATGGGTGGGCTTGGGGATAGATTGGGGGCGTGTGAGATGGGAGATGGATGTGGGCTCACCGATCCTGGGCAGAGATCTTTTGTGAACTACTCGAGTTCCCCATGATGTTGGGGGAGATAGAGAGAGAGAAGTAGCGAGGAATAGATAATAGATGATCCGGATGACGTGAGGATACCGGAGATGTAAAATACGGGTAATATTCCCGCTCTCTTTTTTTCTTCTTATCTACACACATCGACATGCCTGCAAGGAAGGGCAGGACCCTCAGTGCGGGCTTGGACCGCGAAGTAAGTATCTAGTTCAATTGCTACAGGTCTCTTTCTTACCAAACAGGTCTACCAAATTGTGCGCAAAATCATCGACGAACAACCCGAAACTGGGCGCATCCGCCTATCGGTGCCTGCGATCTTTGAAGTAATTAAAAAGTCGAACTCCAGTCTGAACCGCAAGCCCAAGAGGCAGATTGAAGATAGTCTCGACCGAGTGCTGGAAATTGTCAAGGCCGATCTTGGTGACGATGATGAGGACTCCATGGAGGGGGACTTTGAGGGTCTCGAAGAGCCTGCTGCTGCGGTATACATGGCACACTCGTCTTTTTATGGAGGGGATATGCATGCTAACTGCGACTGTCTAGGAACCCAACGGATTGAACCAAAGCATCGTCGGCTCATGGGCTACAGCCAAACCTAAAAAGACCGAATCAACCGCCAGTGCGCCAACACCTACAGCCACCAAGCGACGAACAGGCGGAGGCGAATCTGCCTCCAAGCGCCGTAAGGGTGAGCCTGCCGATCGATCTCCGCCTACACATGTTAGTCTTGCGGATCTGGGTGGTCTGGACGAAGTGGTTGGGGAATTGGGTGATTTGGTGATCTTGCCCATGACCCGGCCGCAGGTGTATCTATCCTCGAATGTGCAGCCTCCACGCGGGGTTTTGCTACATGGCCCGCCGGGCTGTGGTAAGACGCTGATTGCGAATGCCTTTGCGGCCGAGCTGGGTGTGCCGTTCATCTCGATTTCTGCACCCTCCGTTGTGTCAGGTATGTCGGGTGAATCTGAGAAAGCTCTGCGCGAGTACTTCGAGGAGGCAAAGCGACTTGCCCCGTGTCTGATTTTCATCGATGAGATCGATGCTATTACTCCGAAGCGGGAGAGCGCACAGAGAGAAATGGAGAAGAGAATTGTCGCTCAGCTCCTGACCTGCATGGATGAGATTGCTCTTGAAAAAACAGACGGAAAGCCCGTCATTGTTCTCGCAGCGACCAACCGCCCAGACAGTCTCGACGCGGCTCTCCGTCGTGGCGGTCGTTTCGACAAGGAAATTAACATGACTGTTCCCTCAGAACCAGTCAGAGAGCAAATCCTCCGCGCTCTCACACAAAATGCGCCTGGCAGATGACATCGACCTGAAGACCCTAGCCAAGCGAACCCCCGGCTTCGTCGGCGCCGATTTAAACGACCTAGTCTCAACCGCCGGCTCAGCAGCTATCAAACGCTACCTCGAAATCCTCAAGTCGAACAGCGGCGAAGAAATGGAAATGGAAATCGAAGGCGAAGACGAACTAAGCCCTAAAGTCCGCGAACTCCGCCGGCTAATCTCCCACGCAAAGGAATCCCCCATGGGCGAAGAAACAGAGATCGTCCTCGTCTCAAACGCCGACTTCTTCGCCGCACTCCCTAAAATCCAACCCTCCTCCAAGCGCGAGGGCTTCGCCACCATCCCCGACACAACCTGGTCCGACATCGGTGCGTTGGGCGGCATCCGCGACGAGCTGGTCACGGCCATCGTCGAACCAATCAAGAACCCAGATATCTATGCCAATGTCGGTATCACCGCGCCGACAGGCGTCCTCCTCTGGGGCCCACCCGGTTGTGGTAAAACCCTACTCGCAAAGGCCGTCGCCAACGAGTCCCGCGCCAATTTCATTAGCGTCAAGGGTCCCGAGCTGCTTAACAAGTTCGTTGGTGAATCTGAGCGTGCGGTCCGCCAGGTCTTTGTTCGTGCTCGCTCTTCCGTGCCGTGTGTTATCTTCTTCGATGAGTTGGATGCCCTCGTGCCCCGTCGCGACGATACCCTCTCTGAGGCTTCAGCTCGTGTCGTTAATACCCTCCTTACCGAGTTGGATGGGCTGGGTAGTAGTCGCCAGGGTATCTATGTCATTGCCGCTACTAACCGGCCTGATATTATTGACCCGGCTATGCTGCGTCCTGGTCGTCTGGAGACACTTCTGTTTGTTAACCTTCCGTCGCCGCTAGAGCGTGTGGAGATTTTGCAGACGCTGGTGCGGAATCTGGCTATCGAGTTTAGTGAGGATCTTCGCAGACTTGCGGAGGACTGTGAGGGTTTCAGTGGTGCCGATTTGGGCAGTTTGTTGCGCAGGGCTGGTTACTCTGCTATTAAGCGCAGAGATTCTATTAAGTTTGAGGACTTTGTTGCGGCAAAGTCTTTCATTCGGCCTAGTGTTACTGATTTGAAGAAGTATGAGAAGTTGAGGAGGGATTGGAGTGGTGGTGGTGTTTGAGTTCTGCTCTGATTGTGCATACTTTTGCTTGGTATATACATGTAAAGATCTAGATCTAGAGGTTCTTTTTGGCTTTTGGTAGGGACAGATACCTGGATATTTGTAATTGATCGAACTGGATCATTCTCGTTTCATGCTTTGGGTTACTACTTGACCACGATATAATGAAGATCCAGCTACAAGTAGAGCAACATATATATGGGTGGAGGTTCAAAACGACTTTTATAAGTGACTATACAAAAGGAAATTATGCACAAAAGTAAAGAAAACGCCCAAAAAAATGTCAGATATCATGCATCCACATCCCAACATTACATCCACAAGCGGCACGTTCCGTCGGCACCGGCACTGACACACCATGCCTCGCGAGGATGCCAGTCGATATCCAGGACACCCAGCTCTCCAGTGATCTTGTGGCCCTTGAGAACCTTGAGAGGAACAATGGTAGCATTGCTGAGCATATCGCCAGTAACGCTGCCGTGGAAGATCTGCAAGGATCCATCGTCGGAAGCATCGGCGAACAGCGGGTAGCGACCACTGGGGTGGAACTTGACAGCGCGAATAGCCTTGCGGTGGTAGCGGAGGGTCTTGTAAGGGCGCTGGGAAAGATCCAGATCGTGCCAGAGGAGACGACGGTCGTAGGAACCGACGATGATGTTGTCGCCGCCTGAGGCGCTGGATGAGGTTGGATGGATGTCGAAGGACGAAATCCAGCGGGCACCGGGCTGGAGAATTTTGACGAGCAACTGGCGCGACAGGTCGTAGGCGCGGATAGAGCGCTGGTTGGCCACGAAGAGGATCGGTTTCGAGGGGTGGAAGTGTGCAGTCTGGGGGGGACCACCTCCCTTCAGGCGGCGGCGGAAGGGGAATTGCGTCAGATGCTTGGAGACGGTGTGGATGGAGATTGCTACGGAAGCCGGGGTCGAGGCGCCGGAGCATACTGTGACGAAGTAGTCGCCGCGACGGTGCCATGAGATCGACTTGGGGACGTATTTGAGAGGGATGACCACGCAGACACCGGCGTCCAGGAGGGTGGACGAAGGACGGATCCATTGAGGGGGAGTGTTCTTCTTGCCTTCCTCTGAGGCACTAGGGGCGGGTTTGGATGCGGCGAAACCCCATCCTGCGTCGAGGATCTCCAGACTAGCCTTCTCGATCTCGGGGTCGACAATTGGGGGCACAGCGAGGAAGATGTCATCTCCCGAGGCGGCAGCGAGAATGACAGCATCCTTGCCCGGCCGCCAGCGGACCACGTTGATGGCATCCTCATCGCTCAGCTTGGCGCTCCACAGCTGGCGACCTGTGAGAAGTTCCCAAACACGGACGGTACCGTCATCGCCACCAGTTGCCAGCCAGATTCCTGTAGGATCCACGGCAACAGAGCGCACACGACCTTTGTGACCGCGGAAGACTGTTGCGCAGGCAGTGGGGAATGGCTTGAGCTCTTCGGGGCTGGGCAACTTGGGCAGGAGACTCTCGGGGTCGATGTTCAGCTTGCTACGGCGTACACGCGGAGCAAGGTACAGATCCAAGCAACGCTCGAACTTCTCCTGAACAAAGCTCTCGTATCCGGGAACCCGGCGCAGGGAGCCAAAGTCATTGGGAAGGAAATCCTTCTCACGGTCCTCAGGATCCATCTGCTCCCATTCCTTGCGCTCCTTGCTATCGGGCAGATACTCGGCAGGCGGGTGATAACTCTCTTCGTAACCAGGTGGTGGCAACTTGGGTGCTGGAATATGCATGACATGATCCGGTCGCTCGGCTTCGTCGGCCCACAGATCGTAGTTGATGAGCTCCTCCTCCTTCTCGTCCTTCTCCTCGGGGGCCTTGTAAGGAAGAATACGGCCCTCACGGATGGCCTTGACAAGCTTCATCACACGCTTCTGCTCGTGCTTCGAGGGCACGAAGCGGCGCTTGGGTTCGGGGGCTGCGCTCAAGGGCATGATTTCCTGTTGGCTACTGAACCATTCCACGAGTGGTTCGTATGGGTCGTAGCCATCGGAGGGAACCTCGTTCATTTGCACCTTGCGCAACAGCTCCAGTTCCTCTTGGCTGAGCTCCAGGGGCTTTCCGGTCGCAGGATCGGTGAGACCAGTCCAGCCTTTGGGGATCTCAATGCTGTCCAGAAGCGCATCCAGGGCCTCGCCCTTGGCAGGACGCATAATCTTCTTTCCATTGATGTCGTAACCAATGTGAGGATACTCGTCGTAGAACTTCAGCGGGATGTTGCCAATGGTGTTGGCGTTCTCATCAGCCTCGGAGTATTCGGAGTTGTCATCCGGGTGGATTTCGTCGTAGAGGTAGCGGTCATTTCCATTGGCGTCCTTCACAATGCGGACGTTAGGTTCACCAGGAGCGGGCTTCCTGTCCTCCTCAGTGTCGGAGGGGATCTCATCACTGTCCAATTCCTCTTCTCCATCTTCCGAGTCGCTGAATTCGTCGACAACTTCAAAATCCGAGTCGCTTTCGTCTTCGCTCTCCGAAAGGTCGTTGGCGGTGTCCGAAAAAGCTCCGTCCAGGTTTTCCTTGCTCAGCTCATCGCCAGAAAAAACACCAGCTTCCTCTTCCACGTCACGAGTGACAGCCTTGCGCTTCTTTGAAGCAGCCTTGGGGTTCATTTTGCTGTTCAGCAGATGTTGGTCTGTTGCCGTCGATCCATAGTTTTTTTTTTAAGACAAATTTCGCGGCACTCACCGCCCACATGACTGCCCGTCTTATCGGCATCTATGACTTTAGCGTCAATCTTCCACTTAGTTTCTCGAGACTCAACCTAAAGCGTCCAATGATGTCGCTCATGGCTGAATCTTGCAGAGGGGCGCCTGTACCTGTCAACCAGGCGTCCAGTGAACAAAAAAGACATGCGGCGTGCGACGAGTGCCGTAGGTTGTCCTACAAAATACCCTTGCCTGGCCTTGACTGATCCGTCTGCTTGGACAGGGAAACGCAAGCTCAAATGCTCTGGTGAATTATCAGGGTGCTCTCGATGCCTCAAACAATCGCTATCCTGCAACTATTCCTCCCAGAAACAAATGGGTCGCCCACCAAAGAAGAGAGCGCGAACAGACGATGAGGGGCTTGAACCTTCGCCGCCTGGCGAGATATGGCCAAGTCCAGAGGACTCACAACAATCTTCAGTCGGGCCGACTCCTGATACAGGCGCCTTTCCAGACTCTGATCACCTTTGTCCTCTATTCTTCTGGACCCCTGGTGGGAATTTGCAGCAGTCACAACCCGCCGCAGATCTATTAGCAGGCGACGAGGAGCACAACCACGGCTGGCCACCAGATGGTCTAAAACCTGCAAATCTGCCCGTCTTTCCATCCTCAAGCCCTTGGCCGGACTTCTCCACCGTCTCCGAAGCTACAGCCATGCCATTCCCCGTACCAAACCTTCAGAGCATGGACTCTCTACCGCTCTCTCCTCCAACATCTATTTCATCTGACGGTACTTTGGCTGGCTGTACATGTCTGTCCTACCTTTACCTATGCCTCAGTCACATATCATCCCTCGCCTCCTTCCCTGTCAACTCCCACACCCTATGCTCGCTATATATCGCCGCGCGAACAGCACAAGACGTGATCCGCTGCCAAGAATGTCCAAAAGTATTTGCCACAGGCATGCAAAACACCATGTTTGTGGGGACGTTGTTAACAGTCGTTGCGGACTCGTGGCTGCGAGTCTCGCAGGCTGAGCCCGTCGAGCTGGGAAAGCAATCCGCAACACCAGAATACGTGGCTCAGGTACAACAAAGCCCCGATCCAACACAAGCCTGGAAGAGCTGGCTCCACCAGATTGTTCGCCGTGCCATTATTGGCGGTCCTTTGGATCCAGGTGCTGTGGTTGGTTGTTCCGATCAGCTTGATCTGCTGTCACTCATCAAAGAGGTCGAGCACCGTCAACGCCTCCGGCATCAACCGCAACAATCGCCTTGTTCTTCCAGTGCGATCCATAACTCGCCACCAGAGCATGATTATCAAGAGAAAGAGCATCTCTGTCTACGTGTGGTTGGTAGCGCCAGGCATGTGATTGCAAAATTCAACTTTGAGCCTGGTGATTACCCAGAAGGCGTTGACCCAGTCACGTTCAGGGATAAGATGGGCGAATAAGCTGGATAATGTTATTGTATGGTGTATGCTTAGGCCTGGCTGTTTAATTACTTATGCGCATACCACATTACTACTGCCGAGGCAGTCAAAGATACATTTTGTTATCTACCATCGGACATCTCTCACAGGGTTAAATCTACAATCTACAGCTGGTATGGGGTTCGGATTCCATGAGATCATTGACCATTTCATTAATTTTTGTTACAAGCATAAGTCTGAGTGAGATAACTCCATTGTCACTCAATGCCAGTCCACGTACGCCAGATGTGAATATGAAGCAAGAAATGTAAAACCAATGGACAAAATGTGAGATCACTCGTCGTCCTCGTCATCAACAACATAACGATTCTTCTTCCGGGCCGCCGGGGGTGTCTCAGATCGCCCTTGAGGTTCAGGTGCGGGCTTGCTTCGGGCAGCCTTTGCGGGAGCAACCTCATCATCAGCTTCCCCCTCAGCATCCATATCCTCATCCTCGAGCTCCTCTTCTTCATCTTCAATGGCTTCTTCTTCAACGTCTTCATCGCTGCCAACCAAGAATCCATCGTCTTCATCGTATTCGTCTTCACGGTTACGAGCGCCACGGGAGTAGTCCTCTTCGTCATCGCTGTAGATCTCTCCACGGCGGTTTTGACGACGGGGCTTGGCACGAGGGCGAGTCGTAAGCAGACCACCGTCTTCAAGAGCACCAACACTTAGGCCGGTACCGTGGGAACGAGGAGCACCAGCGCGACGACCGCGGTCAGCCTCGCGGTCAGCAAGTTGTTGACGACGACGCTCGGCCTTGATAGCTTCTTTCTCCATTAGCTCGGCCCGTCTCTGAGCCAGTTCAGGGTCCTCCTTGGTATCAACGATAGGTGCTGAGCCATCCGCGGTCTGCTTGCTACCACGAGCAGCAGCAGCCAATGATTCTTGCAGTCGCTGAACGGCGTCGTCCGTCTCCAGGGTTGTTGGGAGGATAGTAAGACCATGTGTGACGTGCGAGGTCAGTCGGAACACTTGCGCTGCTTCCAATCCAGCTGCGAGATAAACGTGGGAGTCCAGCTTTGTGTCATAGTTTCCAGCCTTGTTGAGAGGTGCAAGGGGTTTGGATGCGATGCGGTATTGCTCGAGAGGGGCGGAGGCGAGTTGGAGGGTCACGGAGCCGTCTTCCCATCGGATCATGCGGGCATTTGACTGCAGAAGAGAATCGTTCTCTGGGTCTTTGCGCCAGCACAGGGATGTAGCGGCTTGCGAATAAGGTGGTGGGACATAGGTGGCAGGGTTGAATTCTTCGGCTTCCACTGAGAGGAAATCAGGGACGCGCATTGAGTAAACCTGCGGTAGGTTGTTAGATCAATATTTAACAAGCTTGAGATAAAAGCCTCCCCTACCTCTCCATCATTGGTTGCTGGCACTGGAGCCCGCGCAAGGTCTAGGTCCTGAACGTTGAAGATCTGCTCCTCGTCGGCTGCCTCGTCCATTCGGTCTTCGCGTCGGTCATAGCGGCCCTCATCGTCACCCGAATCAAGTTGCTCATCGTCTAGGTTGCGATGGTCATTGCTAGAAGTCTGTCAGTATTCAGCGCATTCTGTATTTGTCTGATATGCATACTTGATATCATCTAGTCCACCTTCCCCGTCCGAGCCGAAGAGATCAGCATCATCATCTTCATCCATGGCGTTACCACCGGCACCAGAGTCATTGGCATTGCTGTGCGCGGGACTTTCTGAGCCATTGCCAGCGCGGCCGGGGCGACGCACGCCCTCCTCGTCGGAAGACATGATGTGTTGTGTTGGAACTTTGCAGAAGTTTGAGGGTTTGACTGTATAAAAATGAGAGAGAAGATGAAGCAAGCAGGGTATAAGTGTCAATAATCAATGGACAGAGGGAGATATCCCAGCGTATTAAGCATTGTAGCTCTCATTATTCACGAGTCAACTCCGAGTACGGATTAAGAGAATTCCCGTTCCGGTCCTAATCTGGCCTAGCTCTGTTACGTCAGCTGCGATAAAGATATTCCGGTTCCGCTCTGAAACGGGGTTAGACTCCTATTGGCCCAGACCAAAAGGGGATCTCAACGTGTGGACATCTCACCGTCTCGTCTCTCGTTCCCGTTGTTTTTATTGTACTCAATCATTGCAAATCAATCTCACAATGGCGACTTTCTTCCAGAGCGTGTAAGTATTGCGCGCCTTCGTTGGCCGTTGTTATCGGCCGTTGACCGTCTCTTTCACCTTTAACCCCCCTCATACTGCACGAAGCAGACCCGGCGCCACAAACACAAACAGTATCCTGGTCCCCAAAGTCTAATGGCTACGACATCCTGCTTTATTTTATCTGCATTTGCGCACTCTTATTTGATCTTCCCAACCTCGTCTCGTTTTAATCACAGCTACCCCTCGCCACAACCGCTAACTTTATCTTGAATATAGTCGCCAAGGCTTTGGCCGGGGAGGAAACAACAAGAACAATAACCCCCCGAAAAGCCCAGCACAGCCTCCTGCTTCCCAGGGCCATCAAAGCAACATGTCGAATTCTCCTTCACTGTCGAACAGCCTGTCGATCGATAACCTTGCCAACGATCCCGAAGGGCCCAAGTACTTCTTCCAGGAGAAGTATGCCCCACTGAACGTGAGGGGCAACTTCTTGACCCTGTGTGCCTGTCCTAAGAATGTGGAGCTCGGCGAGTGGCTGGCTCACCAGAGTAAGCTACGTGGAAGCTCGAATCGAGAGTGGGGATGCTGATGTAGATCTACAGTTGTTGAACAATATCGTCTACTCCACGGCATGCTCCAGGTTATCCAGGAGGTGAACAGCGTCAATGGTCATCCCATTTGCAATGAAACCACTTGTCCGACGATGTCTGCTGGGCGGTATGTGTATACGGCGGGGTAGATTACGAAATGGGCTAACAATTCCGAAGGCTCACCTACACCTGGCTGGTTGACGGCCGCGCTGCCAAAATCTCGGCCCCTAAGTTCATCAACCGTGTCGAGAAGTGGATCGTAAGCAAGATCCATGACCCCGTTATGTTCCCCACCGAGAAGGTGTCTGGTACTCCCGAAACATCTGCCGTCAAAGAGGCCAATGGCACGCCGACAACTCCATCAGATCCTGCCAACCCAGTCTCAGATGACTGGATTGGCAAGACTAGCGGCTTCCCGCAAACCTTCTACAAGGACTGCCAGGGAATCATGAAGCAGATGTTCCGCTGCTACGCTCATCTCTACCATGCTCACTGGCTGAACCCCTTCTGGCACATTAATAAGCACGATGTCCTCAACATGTGCTTTGTTCACTTTGTGACCGTCTCCAAGTACTATCAGCTCGTCTCCGATAAGGAGATGGAGCCCATGCAGCCTCTGATTGACCTGTTCATCAAGCAGCAGCGGGTTCCCCCAGAGGCGCTTAACGGCGGCCACTGGGCTCAGGCTCAGCAGGCCTCTACTTGAGCTCCGCGGGTCTGGAGCGCATTTTTTTATTGACGACTATGACATGTCCTCTAACCTGGCGTTGGGCCGCGCTGTCTCACTACGTGTTCTCCTTCTTCCGCCATTCGGGGAAACGGATGGATTTGCGATGATACAACAGAGAGTCAGGGCTTTGATTGAGCATTTAGCATGCGCTTTGAATATTTACCTTGATCTTGCATATCTTATCTTCAGCATCAGCTGGTCATGGTTGCACGTTTTATTAACTACTCATTGCAATACAATTTCATCGGGATAATTGATATTTCATGGCATAAAATTGGGCGTGTCCTTATTCATGTAGTCGGACTCGTCTTTGATTCGAGCGTGTTGACGCTATCGGCTTGGCTGAGCAGGCTTTAGACTGGGTGTCCAGTTGTTTGGTTGTTTCTGAGCCTCAATAATCTCGGCTTGGGCAGTGAAGGTATAGTATGGTCGATGTGAAACTTAGCCACTTGACGGTAGCCGATCTTCGACCCACAAGCGAATGCAGTAAAGCGCCTGTAAAGGGCAGTTGCCAAGAGCCGGTGGTACTGTAGATAATGCTCTGAGGAAGCGAGCAATGCGAGCAATCTCATAGAAGCCAGCACTGCAATGATCCACTCGTTTCTTCATAGGTAGACTCCATCTTCCCCACCTTCGCCCTGGCTCTGGCTCTCAGTTGCATCCTGAGTCGCACCGGTACTTCCATTGCCATTGCCAGTGCCATTCGTCACCGGCGCAATGGGATCATTCTTCAGCTGATCAAGCTCAATCCACGGCAGTCCACGGTTCTCAACCTCAGTCTTCAGCAACGCGATCCGTTCATTCATGGAGACTGCCACATCCTCATTCTCTTTGATATAAGTCTCCAGCTCTTTCTTTTCTTCCTCTGAGTCGCAGCTTTCTAACAAGAATGCGCGCAGCTCGGCGTTGGAGCGGTGCAGGTGAGTGATGGAGTTGGTAAGCTCGGATACTTTGCTGTAGAGTAAGGCAAGTGGGAGCTCTTTGATTGCTTCCGCAAAGGCTCCGGGCGTTATTGGGAGGGATTCGGTGGACATTTTGGGTATGTTTGAGGTGTGGAGGGGAGAAGATGAGGTTGATTTGGTTATCATCACGTGTTGGCTTTATAGTGTCGCGGAGTACGGAGTAAACGAAGTAGAGGATGTTTACTTATGTGTACAATGATTGAAAATCCTAGATACAGCACGAGATCTACATAAAACTACACCATATATCATGTATTCTACTACTTCTATTTAAGTTAAATGCTGTTGCTACGCAGCTTGGACAGTCAGTTCGCTACTATGGCTGAGATCTCGGAACAACTCCCCAGCTGTGGGCCCATCGAAAAACATCTCGCAACCACCAACATACACCTGGCTCATTCCGAGATATCGCTCTCAAGTCTCAGGATATGAGCAATGCGGTCTGGGTCGCATGGCGGGTTCCATGCATGGGGCTCCGCGCCTCTGTGCTGCCCCCGGTGACATTCCGCCCTGCCTGTCGCGATCTCCGCATTACCCCATGGCGCATGTTCAGCACCTCGCAGCGCCCATTAGGGGTGCTGAACCCCCTGCCCCGACTAAACACATCCCTCTCCCGACCAGCATCTCCTCCGTTCTGCTCTCAACAACTCGCTCCGTCTGTTCCCCGCCGATTCAAAAGGACCGTCGGCCCCAATCCTAAATCAGATCCGTCGGAGGTCCATCCCCGCAAGAAGCCTTTCACCGATGCCGAAGTCAAAGCCATATTTGGACGCTCCAGTCTCTCCCCGAAACTGGCTAACCGCGTCCTTGCCGTCTTGCATGCCCACCGTCTAGCCGGTACACTCGACGCAGACTTGCCAGTTGACATCAACCGCACCGTCGCCCAACACCAGATTGATACTGCTCTGGACTGGCTTCGACGTGAATACCCGGTTGACGAGGATGCCGCTATCATGGTCCGCATTGAGCGCGAAGAGCGTGAGGAGGAAGAGAAGCTCATCCGCCGCGCTGAAAAGCTAGGCCTGTACAAGCCCCAGAGTGGTTCTTATGATGCTGAGCTCGGCGAGGAAGGCTCTCCTTACGGAAGGAGTGTCCTCAAAGAAGGCCGTGAGCAGAATGAGAAGCGTTTGCTGGCGGAGCAGGAACGTAAGCGTCAGGAATGGCTTGATGGAGAAAAGGAAGAGCAGGAGCGGTTGAAGCGTCAATTTGGCGAGAATACTTCCCTGCAGCAGTATCAAGAGGCTGCTCTCACTGAAGGTATGTAGCTTTGTTTCTGATTGGTTACAATGGTTACAATTAGTATTAACGGTTTTATAGCTCGCCCTCGTGCCGATCCTGCCCTAAGGCCATATCTCGCTTGGGTTCAGAAGCATCACATTGCTGGTACCCATGAGACACCCGAAACGGTGAACATTACTGCGGTAAGGATTGCCTATTTTCTTCGAGGGTTTCATCGTTAATCACGCTGGTAGGCTCAACGTCTACTCGCTCCACTTCTATTCACTATCGTGACTCTTGGACTTTGCTATGCCTTTACTCAATACTATAAGTTCCCGGCACGAAAGGACCGTTTCATGCCAGATATCCCTCCCGCTGTGGCGACTGTGGGAGCCATTGTTGGAGCTAATCTGGCTGTTACTCTTCTTTGGAAATACGTCCCTCCATCGTGGAGATTGCTTAACCGTTACTTCGTGATCGTTCCGTACTACCCTAGTTCACTTGGTATGATTGGGAGTGTTTTTAGTCACCAGACCTGGAGACATCTCGGAACGAACATGATGGTCCTGGCACTTATGGGTACTCGAGGTAAGCAGAGTGGGCTTCCCTCAACATGAGAAAAGGGAATACTAACCATTTACTGTGCCGTAGTCCACGACGAAATTGGCCGCGGGAATTTCTTGGCTATCTACTTCGCCTCCGGTGCGGTGGGATCCATCTTCTCGTTGACACGCAGTGTTTTACTCGGCCGTCTGGGTATGACCTCCCTCGGAGCCAGTGCCGCAACTAGCGGTATCGTCGCCGCATGGTGCATGTCCCATTTCGAGTATGTCCTCTACTGCCTTTTATGTTCATTGCAAGGACATGACTAACCCTGCCTAGTGACAAAATCACAATGTGGATTCTTCCCCACGAGCTACGAGAGAAAATCTGGACTCACGGTTGGGTTTTCCTCGCTTGTTTGGTTGGCACTGAGGTTTTCAGCTTGCTGGCTCCTGCGCGCTTCTTCCGTGTGTTCCCTCTTTCTCGACTGGCCAAGATGGACCACGCTGCTCATCTGGGCGGATATGTTGCTGGTGCAGGATGTGGATATTCTCTAATGAAGAAGAAGGAGCGTGAAAGGAAGGCCAGAGAGTCCAAGTGGTTCTAATCTATAAATGTTGATCTGGTTTTCCAGATCTTCCGGTCAACACTTACGAACGTGGCTATTCTATACTTTGTATTATACTGTTGTTACTACGGCTGAATCTAACCTTTATACTACTCATTTACTTGTGCTGTGTGTTTTTGTACCCTGTTTCCATTCAAATAAATTCAATGCGCCGAACCGTCTATGAAAAATGTCAATCTGAAAATGTCAATCTGATCTTTGGGCCTTTATTTCCTATTCGACACCCTCTTCATTCTAGCGACCCTCCATCTCTACATCCTTCAGTTCAGCGGCCCTATCCTGGCAATCACCATTGAGATCATCTAATTCCGCATACTGAATTCCACACTCATTCAGGAGCGTATCGATGTCGTTGTCATCTAAATCGCCATCATAAACAGCTTTAGTCATTGCCTCCCATCTATCAATACATTGCGGGATGCGCTCAGCCTCGTTGAAGCGGGCTGCGATAGGAGCAAGGGTTTCAGCGGGTTGGCGGTGTCTGTCGGCTACCTGCATACTGTTAAAAAGGTCAGTCAAGTCTTGCAATACTTCGCCAGCCTTTGGATGGATCTCTTGTACCTCCGGGTAAGCTACGCCTCCATCGGCACGAAGAAGGTCCCATAGTTTCGACCACCGCGACCAAAATTCCGTACGACACGCTTCGTATTCCTTGTCATCTGAGTGAGGACCTTGAAGTCTTTCAGCCATCTCCTCAACCCAAATCGAAGCCTCCATTATCTCTTTGTTCTCTTTGTGATGGGGCTTACCGTATTCAGAAACCAAGAATCCACTATAAGAAAGAAGTTTTGCCACTTTTGTGTCTCTGTCACTTACCTTCATAGTGAGTAAAAGGTTAGTAAGGTCAGCAATGTCAGTAGCAGGAGCCGGGGGAGGTACATCACCAAAGCAGATCGGGTATTTACGTACCTTAGTCGCGTCCTCGCTTGGGAGAACTACCTGTGTAGGGATAATCATCGAGTCTTCCATATCAAACCCAGGATGACTATGCCAGAGGGCCTCTCGGTCAACCCGCATCTTGCGAGATCCAATCTGGATAGAGAAGAATTCTGCGAGATACTCTGCCTCTTCGTAGATGCTCTTTCTGTCCTGTCCTTCTCTGATAGGGACTGGCATGCAGAGCCATCCGCCAGTGGTGTGGTGCAGGGGCTCATTGGCGATGAAGCAATCACCATCTGAGATGCAATCGGTCACATATTCGAGGAGCTCTCTGTCGTTTCTGTGTCTGATATCGGGGTTATCCATGCGTCCTGGGGTAGACACTGCTACCCACCAGACGCCATTGGTGGGCTCCGGGTAGTGTTCGCCATCCTGACCGTTGTTAACATGGATGAACATGCTCTTTGCCGCCATGCTGGCTGGTTTTGATGAAGTCACAGATTAACTAACGATGCTTATATGTTATTTGTGAGTTGTCTTGAGGCGAATGATGAGTTGTTGTTGTGATATTGTGATGTTATGATGAGATGGTGGTGAACGGAGTGGGCAAAATGAATGCTTTTATATTCCAATCAAGACATCTGCTCTGCTCATTTGGGTACTCTTACCTTTGTGCTTGGGTTAACCCAAAGGGCTTTCTCCTAAAATAAAGGGCTTTCTCCTAGAACAATGGCTTTCTCCGAGTTTTTGACTGGCCTTGAGCCTTGAAAGCCTTTACTCGAACAATTTATTATGGATGAAACGCAGCCTTGTCGGATATAGACATGTTTATGGTTTATAACACTGGCTCTGCAGATTTATTCGAGGATTTAGCGTTTCGCTGCTCGTATCTTAACATCCTGAAAGAGTCTGCGTGTCAATGTCCCCTTGTTGGCACGCACAAAAATAACAAGAATACAACCGCTTTTTGGCTTTCAATATTCATCCGCCTTCAAGACCACAAACTCATTGTGACTTGAGCTTCGAATCACCAAGGAACATTCCAGTAAAGAGTTTGTGGCAGATACCCTTTGTTTTCATTGTCTGGTCCTCGACTCGAACCTCAAAGGTAATTACCTACGAGTTCTCGAATCTGGAAAACCTTGAAATAGAATGTCTTTGTGTTTATTGTTTCAATGCCATGAAGATACCATGGCTCCTAGTCTGGGGTTTGTTCGTCTAGATTATAAATTTACCTATGATCCCATACTATGATGAGATACAATCACATTATTCATTTCACACGCTTCATTCACACAGTGAGTTACCCATTTACTACTCTGTTCTACCGTTTTGCGAGACTTATTAGACATCCTACAGTGGCGACTATCTTAGTTCTCATCGTACGTACCGGACAGCTCTCTGTGCTCTACTACCTCCTACATAGTCTTTTCCTCCTATACCAAGGGGATATAACCACTGTCTTCTCTGATCCCGTTTTCAGACCACATAGTATCTTTGTCCTTAGCGGGCTACTATACGACTTTTACAAACTTGTCAGAGACGTTATCGCCGTGATATATCAAAAGCACGTATCCATTGTGTCAGAATCCGCAACGATGATGAGCCGCAAGTCCTTCCACACTGTCACTATGACCAAGCCCCGCCGCATTACTTTCTCGGAGTCCTCTAACCCTAAGCCTTCCAGTGCTAAGTATACGGAAGGAAAGTTGACCTATGCAGAGCGCCTCAATATTTATATGAACCACCCTTGGGGACTGGTTGACTACCATATCTACCTCACACATATTGAAAGTCGTAGAGATGAGATCAACCGCTCGAAGGAGTGCCATCTCCTTGAGACGGGTGGATTTACCCAGGTAACCCTCACCGAAGAGCTAACCTCCGAGAAGATTCCCACAGGCACAAACCCAACAATAGTATTTGTGAGTCTCCCCGTCCCTAAGGTAGGCAACAGGTTCGACAACACCAAGCTGGTGCTAGGCTTCGATCTGGCAACCTTCAATCTGCAAGGTTATCTCGTCGAGTCTGAGACTCCACTCGATGATTACAAGGACCTCCATAAGGCATGGAACAAGGGTCGGCTAATGATCGATATGCACGCGCACAAACTCCTGGGTATTGTAGACCACACCATGAAGAATGAGATTGAGATCCTTGAGACCGGCATGCTGCGCCACTATGGCGAGAATAAGCTTGAGCTTCATGCTGGGTTTGATATGGTCATTGCTATTCAGTTTCTGCAGTTCTTGGATGACCATGCCGATCTTCTTTTCGAGGATGGCGAGTGGTTCCGTGAGAAGTATACACCTTTTCAGGATGATATGCGCGAGGTTATTGCTGCTAGCTCGCGTAGCTCGTGGTTTGCTGCTAATGATGGGTTAGCTGTTGGGCAGTATCGCCAGAAGGAGATTAAGAGGGTCATTGTTTCTGGTTTGTTCTATGGACAGACTGTCGACAGCTTGGAGCAACCTGTTTCCAACAAACAGGCTCTGAAGGCCATCAAGGCTGTTCCGTATGATACTGAACGGGTTTCTAAGCTGAGTGCTCGTGCCAAAGTTATCGATATGGGAGCTTGGCTTGCTTGAACCTGCTATTTATGTCAGTGAGTTTTATTATTTCTTTATCAGTGTTTCATAAATCCAATGTTTTTCAGAAATATAATCGTTTGATATTGTAGTTATTTGTAGGCCGTTATATTTGTAAAGGTACATTTGGTTAGGTCAAGTTGCAGTTCTCATGTATGAGGATCGAAGGAGAGGAAACTGCCCGAGTGGAGACATTTTCCATACACTGAGCCTCTCTGGGCAAATTCTGCAACGATTATAGCTTGATGGAAAAAACGCTATATTGAAGACAAACATTCCTTTTGGGTTAGAAACCGCAGTGAATCAACAAGAGCCAAAGAATATGGTCGATTTGAAATCTCATGACCAACCTGTAAGGTGGCTTGTCGAAGAAATAAATCAAAATCCAGATATTGTTGTCGTCCAATTTGACTGGGCCCAGGTATCTCCATATGGTTCAACCCCTAAATAGCGGCTCAACTAGATGTATGTTTTGTTCTCCTTTTCCGAGTCTTCTGACCCTTAGCCTAGTACTGTGGATGTGCCATAGTAATGATTCAGACCTGTCTTGTTTGCGACTTAAAAAAAAAAAAAAAAATATTTCGAGCCTCTTGACTATTTAACATTCAAGTTCGGGGTATAGTGAACAGATGTGGTGGCAGCGCCGGGCTGTGCAGTGTATTTTGCATTGATGATCAAGGCTTCGCCAAATTACATATTGAAAGGTGGCTTCTGATACGGGTCAGGAAATCATAAATGAGACTATCTGGTGAGATCTGCTTCTTTTGATTTGCCCTATATCCGGTAAACGAGCGGCGCACGCAGGTAGGTGGTGCAACCCCAAACACGATTATAAGTACATGCATGGTAAATTTCGGTCTTGTTTGATATTTAGAATTGATCCAAAAGGAAAAAAGCATTAGACCGCAAAGCAAGTTCTCAGCGGTGTGGTCACCATATATATATTCTGAAGCAAAAGGTTGAAAAATATAGTGTATCTTATTAAAAAAAACCAATATACTCCGTAGGAATGTTTATTTCACATATAAATACTGTATTGCAAAAAGAAATAGTGTCAAAGAGATTTAGTTATAAGAAGTAAGACCACTAGCTTTCATATCTAGTATGGCCCTTGCAATTCCAACGTTCATTAAATGGATTTTGGCTTATGGTACCAAATAGTAGATAGAACTTTCACCAATTCGGGGGTATGGCGCAATTGGCAGCGCGTGTGACTCCAGTTCACAAGGTTATCTGATCGAGACGGGTTACCCTCAAATTTCTTTTTGGTATTTTCTTTTGCCCCCAATAATGCATATTCACGTGACACTTCATTTATCCTCATCCACATCATAGACTTCCTAATTTTTTTGTATAAATATGGAACCTGAACATATAAACTTGAATTTGACATCTTCTCGGATATATATTAAGTTAGTTGCCAATAAAAATGAAGTGATGCTTCTGATCATTGCCCACTCATTTGGCATTGCGTGATGAGGTCAAAACTGGCCACGCTTACCAACCAATTGGGGGTGTGGCGCAATTGGCAGCGCGTGTGACTCCAGTTCACAAGGTTATCTGATCGAGACGGGTCACCCTCAATTTCTTTTTTGTTTTCTATTTTTTTTTATCTTGCGTATCTGATACATGAGTCGAGGGCTATCTTTATGTCTCGAGACTTGAGTTTTTTATTTCCCGGCTGCTTAACAGGATCCAAAGACTAAAACCATATCCGAGCAACAAAGTCAATTCTATACACGGCATATTTACAGCCCAAGGCAAATTCCCTGTAAACCCGTCTTTAATTTGACGGTAAATCCCAGAGAACTAATGTTAACATCTATTTATTCTTCCCAGACCATTTGAAACACTTCTGGCACAATAATGATCCCGGAAGAGTAGAAGTAGATAGAATGGTGTGCTATTGCTAGCTGGTATTTTGCCTGAGAAGATAGAAATATTGATTATCCTATAGAGGGACAAAGGCCCACCCGCATCGTTACTGCACAATGTAGAGGACGGACGATCTCCCCGTCAATGGACTGTCAATTAGCCCTAACTATGACTTTAATCATCATAGCCTAGCTATTTACATTTCTCAAGTGCGTAATCCCGGTCATGATAGCCTTGAGATTCTCCCTATTTTTTTTGTGGAAGCCCGAGAGAGGAACACACCCTGTTCGGGTTGTTAATATGGATTTGGTAACCAATCGACGGTTGGAAGTTGGGATCCTTGCCAGCCAAAGAAGTAGCTAACGGGTCCTTTCGGCGGAAGACAAGCTTGATTTGGTTCCGTGTTAAGTTAAAAAGGGGTGAAAAGAAACACACCATACCAATATCTACTCTCTTACACTTATATTGTGCCGGGGGTAGAAGACCTAACTACTTCCAAAGGAAAAATTTAACCTAACCCCCAGCTTGAACTTTAAGCAAACTTCTCTATTCCTATTTACAGTAAATTGTCACCTATGCAGATATATTACTCAATCGCGATAATATCAACCTCCGCATCAACACCTAAGGGTAATCTAGAAACCTTAAACGTAGTCCGCGGCGGCGCATGAGGCATAAGTGGGTTATAGACAGGATTAAACCTCGGGTCAACCGAGAGATCCTTGAGGTATACCTATACATAACATCGAACGATTATATATGAGCGGTCACACTCGCGTGAAGAAAAGAAAAGAAAAGAGATAAATATAAGCTGTTATCCTCACCACTTGACTCATATCAGGACCGGCAGCTTCCAAGATTGCTTGATATTCTTAAAGACGAGGGCTGTTTTCTCTTCAATTATTCCGACGTGTAATTTGCCCTTGTTATCAGCGGGGATTTGGCCCGCTACGTAGATTGGTACTTGGGACTGGGGTATGGTGAGTCAGTCAGTCCCAATTTAATCTGGAAGTTTAACATGGGATAGCTTGGTTATGTTTAGGGCACATACGTAGTGACCCAAAGCTGGAAAGGTATTAACAGGTAGGTAATATGACATTAACATACGGTGCTATACTCACGAGGGCAGCCATATAGAGTAGGAGACGGAGATGAGTTCCCTGTTCCTGCATGTAGCGCTAGGAGGCATTTTGAATGATATGTGTAGGGAATAGAGACAATTGATCGAAGACATTGAGCAATTTGGCTTATATTTACTCCTGAGGTGTAGATTCCACGGCTGGGGTATCTGCATCGATATTATGTGAATCGGAATAGCAGGAAGTTTCCCGCTTCCCCAAGCTATCTTCTTATGTCCAGTTTGTCTAAAAATTTAAAGGGCTTCACTGTTGTCGTATGACTGTCTCAGACTGAAATGAAGGCTGATATTAAAGAGTAAATAATTAAATAGCGCTATACGCCTAGTGCCATCCATTGAGCTCTGTTCACATCTCGGACCAGCCATATAGTCCCGATTTCATAGAACAGTCGGAACTTCTCACATCTAGCGCTCTGCACTAGTAGTGATGAATAGAATAACCCCAGACTAAACAAAGGCATAAAAAATCCCACAATCTCCCTTAATCCAAAGCATCCGACTCCGGCGGACCCTTATAAGCTAAAAAAGAAGTCAGCACAAACCCCCAACCACACTAGAAAGGAAAGAAGAAAGAAGAAAGACTTACACTTCCTAGCATAAAGAAGATACCAAACCCCAGAAATAGCCATAAAGCCCACAAAAACAACCGAAGCATAATTCATCGAAACAGCCGTAACCGGCAACGCAGTCGGCATACTAAAAAGAACCAACTCAAACGCAATCCAAGCAAGCGCAAGCACATTTACAAAAGTCCCCACAATCCGCCCACACCTCCAAGGCGCCTTACTAACCTCTTCACGCCCATGCCAAAGACTCAAAAAGATAGGAATGGCATACGCTGCCGCGAGAGCAATAACGCCCACAGACACGAATGCCGTAAACGCACTCGTGCTCCCTAGGTTGATTAACCCCAGTAACATCTGGATACCCGTTAACAGGACGAGCGACCACACCGGCACGCCTAGTTTCGGGTTAACGTATGCCCATATTTTGGCGAGGGGGACTGCGTCGTCGCGTGCCACGGCCCAGGTTGAGCGTGATGCGGCTACTGTTATGCTTATTGAGCAAAAGAGGGTTATCACCAGCACGAGGAAGACCAGCGCCAGGCCGCCGCCTGGACTGCCCATTACTGTGTGCAGAATATAGGGCAGGGCTTGGCCGCCCGGAGCGGAGATTATGTCTTCTAGTGGGGGCAGGGTCGCGCAGAGGGGGAGGATGAAGAAGAGGCCTGCCGTTCCGCCGACTGGGACGCTGAGGGCGATTGCGCGGGGGACTTTTATTGCTGGTTTGTTGCATTCTTCCGCCATGGAGGAGATCATCCCTATTGCCGAGAAGGTGTAGGCTGCTGGGAGGAGGCCGATGAAGAAGGTGAAGTCGCCCCAGCCCGCGAAGGATTTGTCGTAGTGGGATAGTGTGTAGCTTGCGGAGTGGCGGCCGGACGAGGCTTTGACTGAGACGGCGATTAGGATTACTAGGATTGTTATGGCTGTCCAGGTTGCGCAGGCTATGTCAACTTGTGGGAGGTATTTGTTGGCGAAGACGCATATTATTAGAGAGCCCAGACAGACGGCGTAGAAGATTAGGAGGAGTTGCCAGCTGTTTGCTGACCACGTTGGGTGGTACATTGATATTGTGGCTGAGAGTAGGGACGCGAAGCCGAAGTTGACGGAGAGTGTTATGGTCCAGTTGCCGATTAGCCAGATCCAGGCGTTTATGAAGGAGATTGTCGTCTTATTGCCACGAGATATCTGGAAGGTCCAGTAGTAGGGTCCTGCGGAGGTTGGGTAGCGTGATGCGAGCTCTGCTAGGGAGAGGGCGACGCATTGGTCTAAGAGGCAGACGACTATCCAACCTACAAAGATTGAGAGTGGACCGCCTCCATAGATGGCGGAGAGGAGGGGGAGCCTTCGCCATAGGGGATTGCGGCTATGGCGAGGGTTTGGAAGAGGAGGGTTAACACTGAGCGGTTGCGCTGTAGTTCAGGTTTGTAGCCCAGACGGTCGAGTTCGAGGTTCTCCGGGAGGGAGGTTATAGTGCCATTTTCTCGATCTGGATGGGCATCGACTGAGGGTGCTTTTTCAAGCATGGTGTAGGAGAGAAGTAGATTGAGCTTGATAGTATCCGCTATAAGCTGGAAGTTGTCAGCTATAGCTGGAAAAGACAAGGCAAAGCATACCCCGGACAGATGGGCGATATTATACTAACTACAACACAAACTTTCCCAATCTGCGGAGAAAGCGCCAATGGATGTATCTGGGTTGTACAAGCGACGCCACCAGTAGATACGAGCTCAGGTTGAGGGGTTATCGCATGTTGGAGTGATCAAGGGGACAAGGATCATGTCTACTGATTGGGAATTAAGTGGCTGGAGCTACATTCTTATGAAAGGTGAGGTCTTATCAGGGTTTGCACCTGCAGGTAACTAGTCATATCTTCTATTGTTAGCTGCACGCCAGACGTAGGTCAGATAGTAATATTGACCCACATCTTTCAGCGTGGCTATCTCAATAAAATAGTCAGACACTCGGTAGAAGAATAGTCAAAGCTATCAAGCTCAGAGATAAGAGACGCCACGTCTAACCCCAAACAGCAACTAAATCCCTGCGAGGGGAAACTCCGCATTTGATCTACAAGCTTGGCCTTGATATAATATAAAAGATCATTGGATTATATGAACTGATTGAATATCGGGTATGGGGTAATCTGATATCCAAAACATAAAGAGGTATCAAAGAAGGAATCCTAATTATACCGAAACTTTCGAACAAACATTATAGACAGAGAATATTACTGAGCCGTAGATGGGCGGCCCTGGTGCGACCTGCGCGAATGCAAGCTGAGACGGAGTGGCCTTGTGGGGGTCCCTCGGTTGCCATCAGGGGAGGGACTGTAGATAGGTTAGTTGGATATTCCATGGAATGATGAAGTCATCGGATGGGAGGGGGAAACGAACTGCTGAATCCATAGCCCTCGGTGGCAGCGCTACGATCATGAGGGTCGATTTCCACGCGAACGGCAACGTCGAGGCCTCCGTACATGCCGCTGTCACTGCTGATCCCGTCGGCCGCGCGATGAGTTGTACCGGCACCGACCTCACCCTTGTGCAAGGGTGCGTGGCCGTTTTTAGGAAGATGGTCCAGCGCGGCCGTTTCCAAGGGGGTCTCGCCGTTGGAGGCCGGGGCAACGACCTCGGTGAGTGTGGCGTAGTTACGCGACGGCATGGTGACCTTGTTCCAAGTGGCGCTCTTCTCCTGACCACCGGGTTGCTTGTCGAAGAAAGGCATAAGGGTTTCGTCACAATCGTGGTCCAGGCGGTGGATCTTGTTGCGGCGGGCGAGGAGATTAGCGACGGCCTTGGGAGGGGGCTTGTTGGTGATGGCGCTGCTGACAATGTTGACAATGAAGCGGTGATCGTTCTCGCCGGCCAGATTGAGCTTCGGGTTGGAGTAGAAGCGGCCGATTGCAGCAAGGTGGACATCTCCACTGAGGATGGTGACACGCATGGAGTGGGAGCGGGCCAGCTCCTGCAGACGGTGAACGAGAATCTTGCGCTCACGCTTGTGCTGGCGGGCTGTGTAGTGGTCGTCCAGATCGTCGAGCAAGTCGACTTGGCCATCGAACTCGTTGAAGAGACCACCGGCCACACCGAAGCGCTTGTTCAGAAGACGAATTGGAGCAATGATCGGAGATGTGAGGATGTTCTCCAGCCATGCAAGGCGTGGGTAGGCAACCGGAACGCCCAGCAACACAACCAAATGCTTGATGTCGCCATCGGCTGCCACAATCTCTCGCTGCAGGCGATCGAAGATCAGGTCGTATGTGTCGTCGTAGTTGACCTGGTGGCGGGTACGCTCTGTGCGGGCGTCCAGACCCATGAAGGCAATTCGCTTACCGAAACGCATGTACAAATTCCTGCTGCGCTCCTCCACATATGGACCTGGTCGCTTGCCGATAATCCAGCTGTCGTCCTCGGTCTGATTCTCCAGCACGTAGGTGTTCTCCACCTGTCGCGGGTCAACACCGGAGGTTCCATTGACAGCATGCATAGTCTGCGGGGAGTCGGTGGTGAAAGTAGACTTGGGAGGAGCCATGTGGTGCTGGAACAAACAGTAGTACTTGAATGCGACACCGCCAATACCGCGGAAAATGGCACACTTCATGAAATGATCGGTGTAAGAACCGAAGCCATCAATAATGTCATGATCGTCCCAGATGTTGACCTGCGGAATCTGACCATTGGCAGTACGGAAGGGCTCGGTGTTGTACCAGCGGACATAGTTGGCATAGTAGTAGTCATCGCAGGCAGCGCGCATCTGATTATCGAAGTCGTGGGTGCGTCTCTTGTGCGGGTTATGAATGGCAGTCCAGGCCTTGAGAGGTCCATCCACACGGATACCGTCATTGTAGATCTGGTCACCACCGCCAACCATGACGTGGAAAGGTTTCTCGCCGTGCACGCGCATCACATCGTTCCACAGGTTCGGACCCACCCAGGCGTTCATGTCGGTGCCGACAGAGAAGCCATTGCACGAGTGGAACATGATACGCATCGACTGCTCTTCAGCTGGGATGACAAAGTTCCACGATTTCTTGACTTGGTCTCCGGACTCGTTGTACAGACCGGGAATGTCATACGTCCAGCGCGCCTCGAAGGTCTCGACCGGCACAGCCAGCGAGAATCGCCAGAAGGCCTTCTCGGGGTCTTCGTAAAGCTTGAGACCTTCAATTGTCTGGCTCTTTTGTTCGATGTCGCCTTCGGTCTGCACTCCATCGCCCACAGGGCCCACTTGGCGCAGGCGCAACTGTGGCTGCTCCTGAATTGGCTTTGTGACAATCAAAACACTGCCATGCCAGACAGTCGCGGAATCGTAGTGCATGTTCTTCAGGTTGAGGAGGGGGCCAGAGATGAGTCCGAAGCGGTCATTGGCGCCTCGCGTCACCTGTTCGGTCTCGCCATTTTGCAAGGTCCCTGCAATCCATTCGTGGTCAGTTTGCGCGACTCTCATTCATAGAGTTGGGATAATCGCATACCGTTAATGGGCTGCGCAACAGGTTCAGCCATGATCGGATCAATTGAAGCGATTCAAAAAGAAACCGTGTGGAAAGAAGAGCCGTGGACTGAGTCGCACGGGGGTTATAACACAATTGCGCGAGACGGGAACTCCGAAATGCCAGGGAGGTGGGGGGAGCAGGGAGCAAATTAGGCAGACTCGAATTCTCCCAACCATAGGGCTACAGGGCTGACAGAGGAAAAAGGAAAGCAAGCGAGATTGGAAGCGCAGATCAGGCCCGGTACTTTCGGGGGCTTGCTTGCTTGCGGCAGCTTGGGTACTTTGCAAACAGCTCATGACGCTGCCAAGACTTTCTGGGCCAGAACTTGACCAATAGGGGCTTAGATGATGAGACGAGCCCCAGTTGAGCCACGTAGCGCCACATAACACGGGTTTGTCGCGGGTTTGATTGGGTCAGAAAAGTGGCGGTGCAACTAGCTTGATCGATCGAGGTGGGGAGTTTCTCCTGCTTCGGTCACCGATCAGCGTCTGATCACCAGATATATCCATATGCATGGCGTCTGGAAGGAGTGTACTTCTTCTGTTGTACAAGAATCCTCCGTTCGCTTTGACCCCTTGCAACCTCGGTCCCCCTCTTTTTCTAGGATCTACAGATCTGCATTGCTTACATTCGCCTTGACCGATGATTGAATTCCTATAGATAGCCAGAAAGCGGTCAAGTTAAATAGTTAATCGTCATATATGGACACTAGTTACTCATTGAACCAAGGGTCATGCGAAACTTCTGTCGTAGATGCTCGTGCACACGGCGCAAAGTATAAAAGCTTCCCAATAGCTTGCCCCAGCCTAGTTATATACTCTGGAGTCACATTCTGTTCTTGCTCACCGTCAAAGTATACTTCTTCCAACCATTCCTGCAAGCCATACCCGGGGTGCGGGGGAGCGGCGGGTTTCTGGCGTTTCGCTGTCTTTCTCTTTCATTGTGTCCCAACTATTATGCCATCTAGCAGGTAGGATGTCGCTTGCCATCTCTTGCATTTGACGGACAAGAACCGGGTGCGTTATCATAAATGTGTCAAAAGGTGGCTGGCCGGTAAAAAGGTCGAAGAGCTTTTTATACCTGTAAAAGTGTGGATTTTCAAGGTACTGATTATCTCCACTTACCATACGACCCATGCTCCACAAATCGACTCGGTAGTCAACGTGGTCCTGAAATATAACCTCAGGCGCTCGGTGAGGTAAAGGAGTATGTAATTTCTTCGGTGCTGCGGCGTATAAAAAAGATTCTCTAAAGTCGATTATCTTAATCGACTGGGTTGGTTTCCAACCCCGGTATGAAGAGACCGAACAATATATTCAGTTAAGGTAGGTCCCAAGGCTTTCCCATCCCTTCTTCGGACATTGCCGATTTCGGGAGTTCCGAGCATATCAATGAAGCCCTTCTCAGACAACTCAGTCATTTGAGGAACGGTAAAGGCTAAGTTGCGGGTATGTAGATCTGGATCACATCATGTATCAGAATTCTCCAACGTATTCTCGGGATATAAAGATGACTTACCTCCATGGCTTTAGCGAGTCTTCCAGGGAGCCTCCCGCTAGAAAGTGTGTATTAATTGTATCAGGGATGTTAGGCCCAAGAAGTCCATAGACAAGACATTTATGTTCTCCATTCGGGCCCTGTATATCGAAGGAATCAAGCATGTGAACCGCATACTGCAAGCGGGGGTGACAAGATCTCATGATCTTCATCGTTTGAAGCTCTCGTATCTCCCTATCTCTTTCAGCCACGCAGATTTTGATAGCAACATAAACCATATCTCTATAGACATTAGTATTAGCATGAGATACCCTCACCAATGGAGTTTTATACAATCTTTGATCTCTTGCTCCCCAAACGGTCGAGTAACCTCCCCATCCTAGTTTATGGAGCACCTTGTATCTTCCAGATTTCAGGTGGTCTCCCAACTTGATGGGACGATACCCTCCTGGCTTTATATTGATGTAGTGGTTTCGCGTCAACAGGAGATATATGAAAGGACTGGTTCATGTTCCTGTGAGAGGGATGGGGTTAACATGGACTTGGAGATGGTACAAAGCCGCAAAGCCCTCGACGCGGCAATAGGCCTTGATAGTATCAAGGAAATCGCGATCGGAGACAAAGATAATGTTGATGCGGATTATCTTGAATGTGATGCGCCCAAGAATCGATGTCAACACAAATAGTAGCTGACCACATGATCCATAGAATCCCTTAGACTATTTCGGATCGCTGCAACAAACCTCAAGCTTGGTGCAAGGTTTCTGGTATTAATTTGAGGATCACAAGAGGGAGGCTCCTCGATATGCTGTTGATGAGAAAATTACATACAGATCACCATTTCGTGTGCGGTTCTGGCGCATCTCGGAGGATAATATCAGTCCCCTGCCTGCCTCTGCACCACGTGTTAAGATTTTAAATACTACATGACCAAGCATACTGTTCTGTTTAGTATTTTGGGTAACGTTATCAGCGGCGACAGGGTGGCCTACTTGAGATCTCGAGCCAGCCACACCGATGTGAATTCATATCTGAGCGTACCGACAACTTGGAAGCGACTACTTAGCTTTTCGCCGATATTTAGGGGATAGTAGACTCCTGGAGAAAAGCCTGGGAGTCGCTCTTCTTCAATCTACTCGTCGGCTGGGATGATATCGAAGCCTTCTTTCGGGAAGGAAAGGATAGGCCGAGGTTGTTTCCCGACAAGTTTTTTGCCCTGGAGGCAGGGGAGGGGCCAATTCGATCTATATCACTAGCCTTTTTGAAATGTTTTCAGAATCGCAGTTATATATGCCACGTGCTGAAACTAAAGGTCTTATGTAGTGGATCCTAGGAAGATTAAATCGTTGTTCTCCAATATGTATAGAGGAGCCTTAGCTTCTCAGGATGTCCGGGTAAGAAGGCTCGTAAAAACGGAATCAACAAAGAAAGCATTGGGCGTCTAAGCTGTGAATTTGATTGGTGAATTCATTTGTTTGCTCTCCTGATTCTTGATCCGGGCCTCGACTGATAGCTCTAGGAGTCATATTGTACAAGTTCGAGATATAAATGAAGTAAGGAAAACAAACGGAAAGAGGCTTCATACAGTATGATAAACACTCAAACCCAGGTAAATCCCCACATAACACACAAAAAGCCACAACCCTCACTCCCGATCAGCAAGGATCCCCTCCTCATTCTCACTCCCTCCCCTCCTCCGCCTCGGAACACCCTCGTTCATAACATTAGTCGGCCTAGGCACAGAAACCGACAAAGAAGCATCACTCGGCCTACGCCGCCTCACAAGCTGATACCCCCTATCCAATTCAATCTCCACAGCTTCCCTCACCTTCAATGCACTAATAGCAGGCCAAACACCCCTCTCACCCTTAAGTGTCCACTCAGCGACTCTCTCACGCGTAGGACTCTGGAATAACTTGCTCAGATCCCAGAAACATAAATCCGGGACGAGAGTCAGGTTCGGTCCTGGGATTGTTTCGTCGATGAGGAGTCTGCTCACGGATGCGGGTAAAAAGCCTAGGTAGTCCAGTTGGCGGAGTCGGTGGCGAAGTTCAACGATTATTAGGCGCATTGCTGAGCGGGAGAGGTTGTTCCAGCCTGTTTGGCGGCGATCCAGGAGGTTGAGTTCTGAGCGGAGGAATGGGACTAGGTAAGGCCGTGCTTGGGAGACGATGAAGTGGTTTACATTGAAGAGTTCTGAGATTCGGGATAGTGGTGATTCGCCTTCGTTGTAGTGGACGTGTCGCCAGGGTCGGAATATTGCGTCTTGCGTGTGTGGCCACGGTGTTATTGCGCCTGTTTCGTCTTTGCAGTAGATTGTTACTGGTGAGTAGAGTGCTGTCGATGAGGAGGCGTTGGAGGCTACAGCAGCGGACCAGATGAGCTGGATGGATGTTAGCAGACTTTATTTGAGCTGGGGCTGGGGCGTTTGAGGCTTACCACATTCGGCGCAGTCAAATAATTCAGCAAATTGGGCGTGCCATTCTTCCCCGTCGTCGCAACAGTGATGTTGAGAATCCGCTTGGATCTCGCATACGCTTCTTCAAACGTAAGATCACCAACGTTGGCACGAACACACTCCTCCAAAACCCCAACATCAAACAAATATCCCTTCTGCACAAGCCGCTTCATCCGCCGATAAAACGTCCCAAACCAACTCTGCCCATCAACAGAGCCATCACCCCCAAGCGCCTTCTTCCGCCGCTCAAACGCAGACAGATCAATACCCGCACCATCAAGTAACGGAAGCAACTCATCCTCTGAATGAATGCCCACGAGAGCAGCAATCATCGCACCCGCCGCCGTACCGGTGATGATCCGCGGCAAAAGACCCTGCAAATGCAACGCCTTCACAACGCCCAGATGGCACAGCCCGAACGCCGAACCACCCTGTAATAGAAGCGTCGTCCGCCCAAAGGCCTGCCGCGTATCATGCAGCAATTCCAGCTTCGCTTGGGAAGTAAAACCGCCTGGATGAATAGGTGCCGGCTGCACAGATGCCACATACTGGATTGACAGCGCGACCTGAGTAATGTAATCGTCGATTAGGAGCTTTGTGCCTGCGTAGGCGTGCGTGAAGAGCTTTGTTGAGGTTATGTTTCCTAGGTTGCGCAGTAGACCTGAGCGCAGGAGGTTTACTAGGGTTGGGATGTCTTCGGACTCGCGCGCGCCCATGAGTGATTCTAGTCGGCCTAGGATGAGTCTGTAGTCGTAGTGCCGACTAACTGGGTTTTGGCGCCTGGGTATGGGTTAGCTAGGGGTCAAGAACTAGTGAGATGAGTGGATAAATACCAGAGATCTTTACTTAGGAGCTCATCGAGCTCGAACGCGGCTTCTTCCCATTCTTCATAGCTCTGCGCGTTGGCGAGCGTATGGAAGAGCCGATCTCGGGGTGATTTTGAATGTAGCCATGACAGTAGTTTCTAGTAAACATTGATTAGTCGATAGCTCAAGTGAAACCACATCAAATCCATTCATCGGGTCTCAGTATGTCGGGTCTTCTCTGTTCGACGCCTTCGGCTTCAAGTTGAACCCCACATACAAGCTCTAGCACCCTGGGCTATGCCTTAGGAGGAACACTCACATCTTTCCAGAACTGCGTGACATCCAGTAACATACTGAAGACTGCGCTGAGGATGCTCCACAGCCCTAACCACCAGGAGCCCATTTCTGAGAAGAATGGGGTGTTCGGGTGATGGCGACGGTCGCTTTCACATGCTAACGTCACGCGCTATTCAGTCGGACTTCAGCGTATATTATGAGATCATTCAATGTGTTCGACAATAAAACGAGTAGACAGGGATACTGCAATTGATTGTGTCTGGATGTACAGTCGAATGTAGGAGGAAAGTTGAACGAAGTCCGCGAGCTCAGACCCCGAGTCCAAATTCCCTGGATCTTCAACCTCTACGTCTGTTACTGGAACAACATTGAAGTATAATCGAATTGCCTCGGGCGCACATTTCTACATGCCACATACAAGCCATGAACGCGTTAGGGAATAGTGAATTTCAAAAGGGTCGTTTTGTTTTTGACATTTCGCTTTGCTTCCCTATATGCAAGTAGGCGAAATTAAAGAAACCTCTCCCAGACACCCGATACATCCCAAGCGTCACATTTACTCCTCAATGATGTTGCCCCGCTCCGACACGTACAGACCGTCCAAGAACTAGAGGGAGTTAGTAAACGTCTGGTAGACTGGTAGACTGGATAGGATAGCAGTGTGTAAACTCACCTTACGGATATCCTTGTTTCGGACACGGCAGATCTGCTGAATGTCGGCGGCGCTCTGGGAGACACCCTCCAGAGAGTTACCCTCGAGGACGAGCTCGTCCTTCACGTTGGCGGAAGGAGCGATATCGACACCGGGCTGGGCAGTCACGCGGCGGACGTACTTCTCACCCAAGAAGTTACTGTATAAAAAGTCAGTCATAGTCCATCACTTGTATTCCTGGACTCCAGAAATATTCTTCAGATGGTGATCTCATACCGGATCTCAATCTCGGCGCGGCCAGTCTCGTGGTTGGGCTCGATGTTGACGTTGATGGGGAAATGGGCGTAGACGTAGCGCATCTTGTAGCGGAAGCCACGGGTGACACCGATCATCAGGTTGTTGATGATGGTACGGACGGTGCGGAGGGTGGCAACGCCCTTACGGGCACCGTGGTGCAGCTCGATCGAGATAACGTCCTTCTCGGGGCGGCCGAAGGTGACGGCAATGTGGGAGAGGTCCTTGACGAGCTTGCCGCGGGGACCCTCGACGGTCACGATGCGGGAACGAATGTGAACCTTCACTGTTAAGGGAGAAAAAACATTAAATTAGTCGTCTGCTTGTGAAGAGAAATTCACAAATTCCTGGCGGAGCGAGTCGCCGGTCCACACAATTCTCCTTCCATGTCGATGTTGAATTCTGTCGTAGTTTCGTGAGGGTGTATATTTTTTTCGTTGTCGAATATCGAGTGTTTGCGGATCCAGTGATTGTGTGCGACCGGCTTCTCCCTCCAATCCTCCAAATTCGCAAAAAGAAAGTCGCTCACCATTGTCCAGAATGGGCAGCCGTTCCTCGGAGTGAATGTACCGCATCTTGGTGACTGTTGGTGTTGGCCGAGGGGGTGTAGATTGTCGATGTCGGGGAGGTTCAAAATTCGGATTGGACTTGGTGGTGGAGCGAAATTGGGCAGTCACGGGATTGTGCGTCGCTTAGGGCCACATCGGGGCTAGCGGCATTAGGGTTCCTTATCAGCTTATCGAGGGGTTAAGTACTTGTACTTCTTCAGTATGGGCGGTGTGGCTGTAGACCAGGTACCGCTACAACAGGGTTATTCACCCGATTTATCTCTCCAAGGCTCTTCGATATGACTATGTACAATACAGTGCATTTTAAATTCTTGCAACGCCAACCAGATCCATACCACCGGGGCACCCATTAAGAATTAAGTACTAATGTCACAGTGAATCGTCCACCTTGTGTGTGACATCCACGATCCATTTCCCGCCTAGTTGTCGCAGCTTCGATGCCAGCTCGTTGCGTTGATCCAGTTCAGCAATATCATCTCCACCTCCGATACTCTGTCCGCTCACGAGAACATTGGGGACTGTGCGACGCCCGGTATTCTGGGCGAGCAGGGCCTGCAGATATGGCCCGAGTGGGTGCTGGTCCAATTCGACCACGAACGGTTGCGGTTGGATAGAGTAGTGGTCGAGCAGGATGGTCTTGGCTCTCTTACTGTAGGGGCAGTAGGATTTGGAGAAGACAATGACTGCAGGGCCGTTAGTCTGGGCTACACTGGTATCAGGAGTGGAAGTGAAGACATACCTGGAGCGCGCTTGAGAATCGCATTCAACTCCGTCTTCGCCTCCTGTTCCTTCTTCGCCTTCTCCGCCCGTTCTCTCTCTTCTTTCTCCTCTTCCTCACTCTTAATGTTGGAGCTTGAATCAACCTCTGCGGGTGTATCTGTATCCGTATTCGCCTTGTTCTTGGGTACGGTCATCTTCGTCCGTCCCGCGATGGGGATCTCCTCCACATCCTCGTTCCCTGCAGCAGGTGGTATAGCGGGTTTCTCGGCATCCGCGCTATGCACCTTGACTGCTGCTGCACCATCCTGTCCTGGCGGATGCATAGCATTCTGGATCTTCTCTTGTGTCTTGGCGTGCTTGGCTGCCTCTTTCGCTTTCATGGCGTCAAGAGTTGAGCGGTAGAACTTTTGGTTTTGGATTTTGCTTGCTTCGCCCTACATAGTGAATTGTATTAGCTACTTGAAAAGTAAAGTGCCTAAATAATAGCAGTGAAAGGTGAAGGGCGAACACGTACAGAGTAGTAAAAGGTCAAGAAAAGCAATGCGACGACCCCAATGACAAGGAGCCGCATGCGCCGTTGAGAAGGCATTTTGAAAGATTGCTTCGCTATTAATCGAAAGCTATGTCCAAGATTGTTTGACAGTTCCGAGCGTTCGACCATCAAAACTGGTCAATCCACACGCGACCAGAACGCGACGAGTACAGCCAAGAGATCCGCCTCCGGGCCTGAGTTGGTTTAATTTTTGGCGCGGGACATCCGAGCTGCTAAGATATCTGAGTAAGGCGGCAATACTCCTTTGTGAATGAAACCAAAGCTCAAACAAGTCAGGAGAAGTGGGGTTCTCAAGGGGCCAAGGTCATCCCTGATTGCGGGAGGCGGCTCAATGCTTGGCGGAGTAAGCTATGGACGTCACGGGATGTACTTATGTCTACACTGAAGAGGATGAATACAAACATGATGATCAATATTGATTAGTTCGATACATGACGGGGTATTATGCTAAATAACTGGTGTTCTTTTGTTCGAAACCCATGTCGCAGCACATCATGACAGGGCATTATTCGACTTCGCACTATTAGGTTTATATATGATAGGGGTAAGATATAGTGTGAAAGATGTGAGTCAAACAGAGAGCCGCAAGCCTGTTGCGGCCTAAACTGTGTCGAAAGGATGGTGATTAAGAAATGTTGAGCCACCCGGGCTTGTGTGGCGCAATGTCAAAGATGGGATAAACCATCAAGAGAGACATTAGGTTTGGATCGAGAGTCCAGGTCGTGCAGCGTGATTGGCAGTTGCCCGGCGTTTGCCTTGGACAAGGATTGTCCAGTCTTCCCATTCTTTGGCAATTTCGGTCAAGACACTGCCCATGACGCTGGCAGACGCCATGAGGCCGTGCCCTTCACCTTCAAGAATTCTGACCTCGCATCGGCGCATTGTCTTGCCCAGCCACTGGACATTGTCAACTGGCACGCGGGGATCTTTCCTGCCATGGTGGATCACCACAGATCGCGTAATGTCCACGTAGCGGAACCCAATGTCCTGGCGACGCTCCAGGCAGATCAACAAATCAACCGCCGGGTTGGCATTGGTGGTGGCCAGCTCCCAGATTTTATATGTGAGACGGGTGTCATAGTCTCGCTGCCGCTCGTGCTCATCTTCTGGAGACTTGGCGCGAGACCCGAGAGTCGTATCACTCTTACGGTAAGAAGCAGTGGTTGCAGAGGATGGTTTGATGGTCGGAGCTATGTCCACCCGTTGAGACTGTGAGTCAGTCTCACTCGAGGGGATTGTTGGGACTGCAAATGCAGTATTTGCATTGGATGTCTCTTTGGCAGCCTTGCGCTTGGATCGCTTTGGTGATTTGGGCACACTTCTGGTGATGCTGGCACTAGTGGCACTCATGAAGCTTGAGTTAGCCACTTTGAGAAGGGAAGTTGGAAGAGCACGGAGAATCTTTTGGGCATAAGGAATAGCGTTGGTGGGCGCAGGATCTTTCTGAGAACCAATGGTAGATAGCTGAGATGGAGGGATCCACGGGGCTAAGAGATGGATGCGGCCACGAATGTGCTGTGGGATTCGAAGAGCCGTTGCAAGGGCATAGATTGCACCGGCTGAGTGTGCAAGGATAGAGAACTTGGTGACTCGGAGGTAATTGCAAACAATAGCAACATCGTCTGGCCAGCTGAGAGGGGTGCTCGGTTCGTCTGCCTGGTGTGATCCGCTCTCGCCAACGCCAGGGCGATCCAAAGTCACCAGTCGGAGATTGAGCGTTCGAGCTAATTCGTCGTAAAATGCCATAAGGTACCGAGTAAGTCCCATTCCGACGCAGCAAAGCACAACATGACCCTTGGGATCGCCGACTTCAGAGAATGCAATGCTGCGACCAGTAGTCGGGTGCACAACTCTCTGGGTCAGCTTGGGGGAGAAGATATAGTCATCCACAGCAAGATCAATTGAGTCTGCACTGGATGGACGCTCCGTGCTGTACGAAGGACGCCCATTCGACAGATGACCGGATGGGGTGCGGCGGTGTGATGGTGCTATTGGCTCAAGTGATTGTCTGTATCTAGCTCTCTCGGAGTCGGTCCTTTCCATGGATGATTTAGAGACAGAGTGTGGTAAGTTGACCGGTTTTGACGCCAGGGGTGCGCCTGGTCTGCTCGAGGTGCGGCTTTTGCCTGTCATGACCGATGGCGACGGGGCACTGTCGTTGAAGACAGAATTATTACCGCCTTTGAGGGGGATATGATTGACATCGTGGCCTAGCACGCGTGATGCTTTGGAGGTCTTCGGCTTTGGCTTCTTTGGAGATGGCTTGGGTGACTGCCCAGGGCTATTATCCGCTTCCAGCTCCGATTTGATCTTCTGTTGCTGGTCTTTCAATTGTTGGATCCGTCGAGTTACCTGTTCTGCATCGTTGCTCGTTCCTGGCAGGCCGTTATCAATGCCAGAATCCTTGCTGGCAGTAGAAGAATATCGACTGTGACGGGCTGACCGGCGTGTCTTCGAGCCTGAAGACTGGCTGTGGCGATGTCGTATAGAGGAATCGCGGGTAGGAATAATCCTACCACTCCCAATGCCGCCAGGGTTTCCAGCATCCGGAGTACTCTGGAAAGTCTGGTAATCTTTGGTTGGAGGAGTACTGGCCAATTTTTCTTCAAATGGCTCTTCTTGGAGATCCGCCGGACGGGCCTCTTCGGTCACTTCCGCCATGGAATGCAATGAGCGCAGGCTCGCTCGGCTACGTGGAATGTTATGTCGTAGAATCTCGTTATGACTGGTCGTCCTCCGCAGGCGCTCGACTTGTGGGTCTTTGTCGCTTGAGAATTCTCGGGAAGATGATTTCTTCAATAACCCAAATGATCCTTTCAAACTTCTTGTCCGGCCCGCGGAGCTATTTGAAGCAATGCTGGGGGCAGTTGACACGCGGGGACCAGGCTCTGCACTGATTGTTCCAAATGACGAAGCCTCCGGAGCAGCTACAGATGTATACGAGTCTCTCGATGCCGGGCGAATGGAATTCGAGTCGGCGGGTTTGAAGGATTTGAATCTTGGAGATCGCGGAGACTTGGGAATCTTGGGCGACGGAGGCGCTCTGGCCATACGTATGACAGGCGACGAGGCAGCATCATCGGGGTGCAAGAATGGGCTTTGAGGGCGCTCAGGTGACTCAACAGTAGGCTTGTAGGCACCGTAGCTCATTCCAAATCCATGTTGTTCCGAAGGGGGAATAGAGTAAACAGGCGCTGTGTGAGGTACTTCCGGTAATCCAGGATCGGAGTCGGTGTCGATCTTCGGCACGGTATCGAAATGAGAGTTTAAAGGCACGGAGATCGTAGAAAGGGACGAAATGAGGGAGGAAATGATTTCGGGGGATGTTGGATCGGCATTCCCATTGCGCGAAGGTAGTGACTTGCGACGGCGGCGACGGCTTAGCAGCGCCGACTCTGCTTGCACGGGGGCCGGGGCGTTCTCATTTAGACGCATGGCGTCCAATAGTCAAGGGGTGTAACCGTCCAGGCCAAACCTCAAGGATCAAGCGGAAAGGGAGCGCGCATGATCTATTGCAGATGTGGATGTTTGATAAGGGTTTCTGACCCTTGCGAACCCCTTACAGAAGTGATTTGAGTCGCAGGAAACCTAAAGTTGACCAAAAGAAGGTTACAGGTAATATGTCGAAGAAAAGAAAAGGAAAGGGAAAAAGAGCGACTCAGCCGGTGATCGAGGGGCTGAAGGGGAAAAGAGAAGCCATGGAGTTTTCCTATAGGGAGATCATTAGCGTATGCGCGCCATCCCCACCGTGGGATCTTAATTTCCCGGAGAGTTCGCGTTTCCATGTCAATTGACCCATGGATCGTGTGTTTTAGTCCACTTTGTGCCGCCAATTCGGAGTAGTAGATATGTGTGAGTTTGGCCTCATATCATATATCCATAGATTGGTCTATCAACTTCACTCTATATGCATATAGTAATATATTACTGAGATATGTTAGGATCTAAGTATTTGAGAAATCCCCACGTGGAGCTCGTGTCCAAAATTCCTGAGGGTTTGACGTGTTCATGCTGGAAGACCCCTTTAATAGTTTCTTTCTAATCACTATACGGGTCGTGTGCCGAGAGATCGACATTTCCTCATATTGGAGCACGCTAACTTTTGAAAAAAGAGTTAGACCAGTTTTGCCAAGGTGTGCACAAACATTGTCCGAAGCTTTTGCAGAATATTCCCACAATGTCGATTGTTGAGACCAATATATATACATGTAGTTGCAGATACATAGATTGCAGAGGAGGTATGGGTGTATGGGACTCTATAGATGATATTCAGATATCAGTAGTCCGACAAAAGAAAGAGAGCCGGTAGGCCGTTCAGGTATGACAGGTAGTCCTACCATATACACTTGTCAAAATAGGTTGGGTCTACAAGTTACTCTGAACAACTTGGACGCTGCATGAACAATGCAGGTGATCTCCGATCGGAGTAAACACTTGACCGCCCACTACGGCAGTATCTCCCCATTGTCAACTTGCTACCCAAACATCGCGATTTACTCAACATACCTAGGCCTTGCTCTCATTGCGGCCTTGATCTTTGAACCCCCTCTCTGGAGTCTAATATCCACGCTAGACATGCGGTGACCGCCCCGCGAAACAGCCATTGCCCGCAATGGACGCCTACCCCGAAGACTACGTCAACCACAATCTGCCTTTTGTCCTGCTTTCAGGGCTAGAGGCTGACACCGAAGATGCATCGGAGACATCATCGAGCTATCCTCTGTTGTTGGAGAAGGGAACACATATCTTCTCCGACTTCCCACCGTTGAGCGGGGCTGTTGCGGAGGAGCTGCGGAGCTTACTCCTGGAGGAAGATTGCTCTCAGATGCCATGGAAATCCAGGGTCAACTTGAGCGGGAATACAACTACCTCGAATATTGGTTATCGAGTCAAGAGCTCTGGCCGGGTAGGTTTCGAGTCACTAGCCCCAAACTCCTTGATTTTACGACGGTACTGCGGACTTTTCCTGACACCTATGTAGTCATGCAGACTACCTCCACGAAAAGCAGACCCTCCTATCCCCTCACCACCAGCTAGTCCGAACGTAGACAAAAACAATGACTCGGATTCTGGCCCACAATTTGTCCTTCACTCCCCGATATCACCTCTGTCGCCGGGTTCTCCCACGTTCCCAGATGGCTTGCTTACTCCATTATGGGTGACAAAACACCAGGGCCTAGTTCCTGCTGCAGTGATCAATTTCTTTCCTTTATCATTGGATCCGAACATGAACTCTTTACGCGATAATCAGCTCAAGATCGAGATCAACAGCCTGAAGAAAGACTGGCAATCCTCCGGTTATAAGACGCGATTTGTGGTAATCCTGATATCAGAAGATGGAGAAGAGGGTGGTTACGAGGGTGAAATCGATGATCGTATTGCAGGGATTCGGCGGGCAACAAATCTTGACCCTAGGTCGATCCTTGTGATTCCACCAGATGCAACCACCTCAGAACTACATGATTTTGTGAAATCCCTTTTCTCTCTTTTGCAGCCATCGGTCGTTGAATATTATCGCGATCTATCCAAACATGCTAGGCGCAAGCGGAACAGAGGCACTATTCCTCCTCCAACAGCACCACCGACAAGTGGCACTTCCCAGACCTTGTCATCTCAAGGCTGGAATGTGCGATATGAGTTCAAACTTGGAATTTTTGCCGAATTCCGCCAAGAAATGGATGCAGCTTGTCGTAATTACGAGAGTGCCTACGACACCCTGTTTGGGGAGGAGGTGTTTGAAATTATTGCAGGATGGAATCCTCGATTCAATGATGCTCGCCTCTTGGCCGATGCTCTTGCAATCCGAATCATTCGCTGCCTGCTGTGGACCAGTCAGACAACTGCTGCAGTCCGATTCTGGGTTGACCACAGGATCCGTGTGAAAGACATTGTCAACCGCAGAGGCAAGGGGAGCAAGAACTATGGATGGGAGGCCTGGGAGGCACGCTGGTCGATGGTGATGGCACAACTCATCCGCCGTGCGGAGATTTCGTCCATCTCTAGTGAGATTTCTCCTGAACATCCCGGAGAACTGTATACATTACCCGAGAAATCAATTCCAACCGGGGAACGAGTTACTCCTTGGGAAAACATGCACCATGAGGGCTATTGGCTCCACCGCTCAGCAAAGCATACAATGGTTCGACGATCACTTGCCCAAGAAATCCCTTCCGAGGATCGGCTATCTCCTGGGCTGTCACCCGCCTCCCAACTCGCCAACAAGTCCTATCTATACGATACATATCTTGTCCCTGAGACTCACCTTGAAGCACCGCAAGAAGGACGAACTGGCTTCGACCATTCTGCACTAATACTGAGCACGTTGAAAGCCGCACTTGAGGAATTCTCAAAACGCCATCAAACGCGGAAGGTTGAGAGTCTAAGCCTTGAGGCTGCCGAGGAATACATGCGGATTGGCTCATGGTCTGAAGCACATGCTATTCTTCAACCCCTGTGGTCGACTCTCAGCTGGCGCCGCTCTGGATGGTGGCATCTGATGGTCAATTTTGGATGGGCACTCAGAGAGTGTGCCCTAAGAGTGCAGGATAGTGAAACAGTATTGCGAGTGGACTGGGAGCTGCTCAACAAGAGTGAGTTGTTTGCAATTACCGTTAAAGATTCGATGCTAACATCGAGGTAGCTTTCCAACCGAGACCTGCTTGGCATTATGATATCCACAGGAGCCTCGAAAGTCTCCCCTCAGAGAAACCAAAACCATCCCTTGTACTTCGTGCAGAGGATGTCATGACAAGCTGTATGTTGTTAAGCCCGGAATGCAAGGGTTATATGCTGACCACCCTTTTTAGTGACTGCTTCGTTGGTTTTTGAGAAATCTGATGGCAATGTTGGCGAGCCTTTACAGGCTCAACTTGCAATTAAATATTATGCCCACGAGTCATCTGCCCCGATCCGTCTATCAGAGATCAAACTGGTCTTCGAAGGATGTCTTCGTCCAATAAAGATTCAATCAGACCAGAACCAAAATGCTGACACGACAACCCCGTCATCCATCGCATCTCTTCCGCTGCGTGAGCCGAGTAACCTGTCAGACACTACGATCCTATCTCCGACTGGTGGGTTGCCGACGTTGGTTGGTATAGCAGACCTGACTCTTGGGCCTTCCCAAACAAAGATCTTCAACCTCACCTGCATTCCTCGCGAAGCCGGTGAAGCCAGGGTCGCTTCAATTACCATGTCGATCGAAGAGGAGAAATTCGATCTTGCATATGCAATTACAGACCAAAACCAGCACGAGTCCTGGTGGTGGCAGCAAACCGGGAAGGGCGTGACACGCCGCAGAGTGGGTAAGGATCGGGATACTGGCAGGTGCAAGGTCATGCCTAAGCCACCAAAGATCCGCCTCACAACTCCTAATCTGAAGGAAACCTATTACACCAATGAACGGGTGGCACTTCAGATTGGTATACACAATGAAGAGGAAGAAGCGGCCGATGTGTCGGCTGAGATCAGACTCTTGGGTAGCCCCGAATCTACTACACAGATTCTGTGGCTCGATGGCGTCAGCAACCCTGAACCTCTCGACTCGGGCGGCAGCACCCCCATAGAAGGACCATCTCATTTCCTCAAGCGGTCAGTGGGGGTTGTGGAGCGCTCCTCTGATAAGAACCTTACAATTGTGCTGGCCGACACTCATGACGCTACGAATTTCACATTGGAGATTTCAGCTGTTTATCATTTGGTGTCTGATATTCAGACGCCAATAATGAAGAACATTACCGTGGAGCTATCATTCATTCGACCGTTCGAAGCAAACTATGAATACATGCCTCGCGTTCATCCTCAACCATGGCCCAACTTCTTCGCTGTTGGCGACGACCTGCTTAAGAATAACGCTGCATCAACCCCCGGAGGATTGCTGCAGAAGTGGTGTCTCAATTCCAAGGTTGTATCGTTTGCATTGGAACCACTCGTAATCGAGAAGATGTCTCTACTTCTTCTCGAGGTTAACGGAGGAGCTGTTTGCAAGGTTGACCCGGAAGAGCTTGTCAGCCCGACAGCGCCTTACCTTGGACCCGAAGAACTACGAGAATCAAACTTCTGCCTCGATGTTCAGAAACTCATCCTCGGAGATCGTCGACCTACCGCGCTCAACTGCGCATTGGAAATTAGTTGGCGCCGGCAATCATCCGAGTCTGCAGCTTCACCTGACGTGGAGAAAGCAGCCACAACCTCTGTTCTTGACATCCCCCGATTTGTCGTCCCGATGGGAGAGCCTCGAGTGCTTGCGTCGGCTACTCCATCAAGCAGTATGTCCGGGCTGATTCATCTGGAATACACCCTTGAGAACCCATCCGCCCATTTCCTCACCTTCAATTTGGTGATGGAAGCCAGCGAGCATTTTGCCTTTAGCGGACCGAAGACCATGGTTGTCCAGCTCATGCCGTTGAGTCGTCACACAGTGCGATTCAATCTGTTTGCTGCCAAACGTGGCTTATGGATTCAACCGCAATTGGTGGTTATTGATACCTACTTCAACAAAACGCTTCGGGTCCTTCCAACAGGGGACATGCGGTCTGACAAGAAAGGTGTCTTGGTATGGGTTGACGCGGATGACTGAACAATAATACTGCGATATTTCTTATAAGCTGTAGATGAATGGAACTCATTGCGAGAAATTGTATACAAATCAACTGAAATAAGTACTTTGTATGAGGTCACGTGCAGCCCTTATCACATAAACCGGGTTTCCGAATACGGCCTAGCGGCGATCGGTCTTCCGCAGCTCTCGCCGTCAGTGAGCTTCATCACAGTCAACCAAAGCCATTACAGCCCGCTTTCTGTAATCTTCGCAGTGTGCCACCTTTTACTTAAGGCCTGGATACTGGAACATCCGACCTCATTGTTCTCCCCTCTTCAGAACCAGTTCTTAGGCCCTCATTTCGCCAGAGAACCCCCTCCAACGCGCCCTCCGACGTGTCTGACCCGACAGCCTCGTTGCAGACCATTAACCATGGCGGCGCAGGCGGCGTTGATCGCCGATACAATCACCGGCATGAAAAGGGCCTTGCGCAGAGAGCGTGAGGGTAAGTACCTCCTCGACGTTGCCTCCAAATCAGACAGAATGTTTTCTCTGACATCTTTCTCTTTCTTTCCTTCGCTAGACTCCGGCCCGGACGATCCTATCATGCAACCGACGAACCGTGGGAACAAAATGCATGCAAATGCGAAGTATGTTCGTGAGGGCGCTATGGGGTACATTAATGCCGAGGATTTCTACAAGCAGGTGCGTGGTTTTGCGAATTACCGAAAATGGTCTCGGGGTTCTGTCCGTTGTGGCGATAAGATGAATATTTGAGAAACTGACTTGCCATTCGGATTAACAGAAGGTTGATCATGCTGGCTACACGCGCTACATCCTTCAGTCGAACCCAATTCGTTATGATTCGGAGGGGGACGAACTTGAAGAGGATGACGAAGATTCCGAGGCCGATGCTGCGGCCGCGGAGGAGAACCCATTCTCTGGGATCGCACTTGAGAGTACGTTTTCTCTTTGGTTTTCATATTTTATTTTGCCACTGACTTGCTTCGTTTCTTTCTAGCTCTCTTGTGTCCCCTGAAGCACCCTTCGGAACTCCCCGTCCATCCTTCCATGTCCCAACCCTACACTTCACAAGCCTTGGAGCAGATGACAAATGCTGTTGATCTCAAACTCCGCCAGGAACGCGCTCTGCTATGGCGTGCACGCAATCTCCACCGGCAATTCTTGGGTGATGGTGGTTGGATGCCGTGCGGCGCACTCGAGACACCGGATGACCGCTGGATCTTCGAGCCTAGGATTGTCAGTAATGAGGCAAGTATATCTGCCAGTCAACAAGGCCCGAGTTTGATCAATTCTCCGTCCGTCAACGGAGAAGTCGCTGCCCCGCAGGAAGCGGCGCGAGAGGTTCCTGCGACAATAGAATCAACCGAGAGTACCCAGGAACAAAATGACGTGGAGATGTCAGAGATCCCAGTGGCCCCTGAGGATCAACCTATCAACGGTCACGCGCAAGTCCAGCCCAAAGAGTTCAAATCTGAAGAGACCGATGCTACAGTCAAGGATCTCCCACCTCACCCTACCGAGGCTTCTGCCAGTGTAAGCAACCGTGAAGCAAACCAAGAACCCAACGGCCAGCAAGACATGGACACATTCAAAGACGGCGAACCCGCTCCAGAACTCGATCACAATGAACAAGACGTCGACATGGAACTAGACGCCGAAATACATGACGGCTCATCCCCAGAACCACCGCGGCGCATGACAACTCGCGCGCAAGCCAACGCTACTAATCCAAGTGACGGAAACCAATCCCCTCTCTCGTCAGCGGACACAGCAAGCACCCTGCCAACCCCACATCCCCTTTTCCTGATCCCAGACAACGTTCGCCCAGACGCAAATTTCGGTCTCCCCGCCGCAGAGGCGGAAGAGACCCGTAGATTGCTCTGGTCCTACATCCAGAAACAGGAGGAGACTGTCCGTGGTTTCGAGCACATGTTCGATTCACTCGTCAAGGCCTGTCGCATGAAAGGTGATGTTTTGGAATGGTGCAAGGCCGAGGGCCATGTTGGCGAGATGAGTGACGGGGAGGATTGGTATGATCGAGAGAAATGGGGACTTGTTGAGGGCGAGGATTTAAAGAAGGGTACTGACGAGGATGAGGTCGAGACTGTTGATGAGAGTCGCACTCAGGCGAAGAGAGGGAGAGGGAGACGACAGTAAGGGCTGTCTACTTCTTCAGACTTGGTTATTGCTCTTGTGTTTCCCTCTGATTTGGTCTCATGTCTCATCCTAGCGTGGCGTTGAAGGTCTCCGTGATGTACCTACATATACCTTCTGCTCTGGCAGTTGGTCCTTTGATTCATGTGGCGTCGGTATATACCCTCATTTTCATAATAAACATGCTTTTGATACTTTGTAACGTTAGTTGTTGTCATGTCTACCCGACTATTTATACTCCTCTTCACCACCTTTTGTCTTCCCCTTCTTCATCTTTTCATCCATTCTCCTTCTTGCTCTTTCTCTCCTATCCCTCTCGTCCTATGCCCCCCATCCTTTCTAGGAATTGCTAATGATGTCGCCGTTCTCGCCAGGTCACTTGGGCACCACGCTACCACCAAAAGCCGTACACCGTACCTTCTATCATATCCTACCAAAGCAGAAATATCAACCTCTTTTTGCTTCCTTTGAGATGTCAGGTTTGGTTTTGCCTCTTTTGGTCTATCTTGCCACGATGCAAGTTATTCGATTTTCGCTCTCGTTTCACTTCCATTTCACCATACCTCACCCTTGTTTCTTGTTTCTAAGCTTGATTTGATCAGCACTAAGCCTGATATCTACAGTTCTCCGGATATCGTCTGAATCATATCTTCAAACCCCAAGGCCCCTTCCTACGGTCTCGCTTCCCCTTCTTACATCTACTTACTTTCGCAAACAACCCTTCCTCTTTCACTGGTGGCATTCGCGGCTTGCCTAGTTCCCCTTTCTTGAGGCCTAGAGCCCTCAGATGTACATCAAAAGCCCACTTATCATTGACTATTACACTTGCCCAACAGGTGTCAGTCATGCGATACCGGTTTATAAAATTCGAACAGAATTTGTTCAAGAAGCGAGAAGGAACGCAAGAACTTGCAGAGCTCGAAGATTTCAACAAAACACTGCTTCCTCCAGCTACCATCAACCACCATGAATTACTCCAACCCTTTTCATGTATCGCACCACGATCGAAACAACTTCAGTCGGCAGCCGCACGGTAGATTGCCAAAACAAAAGACCAGACGTTTTCATTGACCGCCAAATTGCCTGCGAAGATGCCCTCCTTGAAAAAATGAACTCCTCGCAATCCGAATCTGATCTCCTTCTACCCCCGTTGTTTCCACAAAAGATCAATCCTAGAGCTGAATCCTTAATCCCCAGAATCCCTCATTTTCCTTTGAAAATTCACCTTGAAAACTCAATTACATCGGACCTTTACCACGTACTTTATCTCCATCAAGCTATCAGGCTACCCAGCTGTGAAACGCTATCCTACGCACCTCATGGTACCTCAATTATTCGGGGATCACGGGAGAGAGAAAAGTACGATGTCACCCAATTCATGTTTACCTTTGGCTTAATAAACCCATCGAATAGGACGTTTGCATCCGCCGGTTCTGCCAGAAGCTCCAATATGTCTGCAGGATCAACTCGATACCAAACTCTGCGAAGACAAATGATAAGAAGCTGTCTCTTTACATCCTCAAACGCCATGATATATCACAGGATACATATGATCCCCCACAGCACTTTGGCCGGGCTAGAACGACAAACAGCTATGAATACCAGAGTAGCATCTGCTCACGACACTCTCCAAGTAAGTATTTGCTTTTCCACATTGACGGCTCATTTTATACATATATTTGCAACGAAACTGAAAGCCCGGATGTATGCTGATGTTTCTGTTTTTAACGGACCACCATGAAGGCCTTGTTTTTTTCTTCCTCGCAGTGTTCTTACATAGACACTCGGCTTTCCATTACCTGATCGCAGTTATTGCCTTACTCTACAGCCCTCCACTGTTTCACAAGTCCCTGTCAACAAGTGTGACTCAACCCCAGTGGACTGAGTACTGATATGGCCGGGAACACAGCCAGGATGAGCCAAAGTACTCTACTATTAAGACTATGGCCACAATGACCAATGCTGTGACTGTTACCCTTACCAATGTTGACGATGAAGACACAAAACAAGCCTTTGAAGTCAAGTCGAATCTGGACATCGATACAGGCCAAGCATCAACGTCCGTGGTCACCATCTGACTACCTACTTATGATGTCAAAAGCAAGATGCACACCAATAGATCCGGGCCAGCCAGAAGTTCTACACTATGCGCAATAATCTCCAAGATCTACCAAATGAGATTATTGCCCTCCAATGAGAAAGGTCAAGCTCGACTTCAACCTGCCTTCGCGATTCTGAAGATCTGCCGTCAGTCAACCCCATGGACTGACAAGCTACCTTTGTGGGCATGTTTCAAGACATGATGCGTACCTTTGACGCGAAGCCAAATCTGAAGGTTGGGAGAATAGAGAATATACTCTAGTTCGCTTCCCAACTCCCCGCCATGTCCGACCAGAGCGAGTACCCTTCCGAGTCCATTGGACCCGACAAATATCATTATGAAAATGGAGTAGCGTTGCATGCAGTTGTCCATATATCCCTCCAGTGGGTGACTGCGTGCCGATTGCTGAGAGCCCATCATGCGCTCAGTCTGTTTGATCAGTGTGTATAAGCCTTTTCTTAGTGTTTATAATTGTTGAATATTATATATATTAACATCCATAATCTATCAAATAGAAAGTTTAGGCCCCCGAAACTGAAATTGTTTGAATAGGGGATGTCATTGATGGCTTTGGAAGATGAAGATACGAGTGTTTTTCCTACTTAGAATGTTGTTTACGAAATTCCAAAAAAAAAAAAAGGTCACAAATATCAACACAGTCATAGGCCATAGCTCCACTTGTTGTGCATACAATCTACATGATTAACCCGCCATTTATAAACCAGCATGACCTGAGGCACTCGAAAATGGACCCAAAAGAGGCGAAGAAAGAAGACAAGTAGAGCAAAACAAAGTATGGTACGGTATACTCGCTTTGAGACTGGGTTTCGTGTAGAGACTGCCAATTACTTCATAAGCGGCACTGTATACAAATCCATGACCCCTGTTGTATGTTAATAAACCACAACTATGTCTTGACTCGAAGTTCTTTTTTTAAAACGACCTTATATGAAGCTAAGGCATAGGTTCACATGACTGATATGAGAGGATGCAACAGTAGACTCCGTAAACTCAAAGTTTTAAAAGCATACCTGTAAGATAGAGAGCAAGGATAGATATTGCAGCAGATGTACAGGAAACCAAGTAGTAGAAGGCTGCGAGACTCATTGTCCTCCGTGGCATCTCTGCATCTTCCATAAAGATAAGCAAAACTCTTACAAGCTAAGTACAGACACATGGAAACCGGCTCTACTGAGCCAAAATCGTTTACTCGTTCAGTCGTACTGGAATTTGTCGCGATGGGTGGATTGAATTATGTCTTTTATAGTGTCGCGTAGGGAAATCACAGTGGGCCTTGTCCTGCTTTGATCGGTATCAAGGACAAGGCGAATGGGTCTATCGTCTACAGGCCCAGCATTGTTGAAGGTTGGGATGAGTCCGTGTGCTGGACAATTGTCATGGGCAATCCCAGACTTTTGGTGTAAGCTGCATGGGGCGGCCTGGCCTCTCGGCCTCTGATTTGAGCGTCATGTGCGGATTATGGATGTTGAATGTCCCAACCCTAGTACATGCATATCACTTATTGCCTCTTGCCGCCCTGCTTCTTGGCACGCTCGCGCTCACGCTTGGCATAAATCTCGGCAGTGAAGGGACTGGAGATTATTAGTTTGGTTTTGGGAATGCTTGGGGAAGATCAAACTTACTCCTCCCAACCTAGAGCGAACCAATAGACAACAAAGACCTGGGCAGTCAAGAGAATACCAGCAACCTTTCCCTTATAGAGAGCAACACCAAGGAAGTTGAGAGTGCTACCCCAGTACATGGGGGAGCCGGTCACATTGAAGGGGAAACCCGTCACAGGAGCGTCCATGAGGATACCGAAGTAGTCGCCAAGGTAGGTGCCAGTTACACCAAGAGCCCACATGCTGGAGAGAACTAGGACGGAGCCAATGGCGAACAGGATACCGCCAATGACCGGCTGGTACACAGGAGCGTAGAAGGGCTGGTCCTCCAGGGCGAGCTGGTAGAGATGGTCACGGTAAATCCCGAGGGAGAAAATAATGACAGCAAGGACGTAGCAGCCATTGTAAGCGGACCCGAAGATACGAGTCAAGAAGTGATTGCGGTGCTCTGCTGTGGTTAGCCAAGGTCGAGTTAGCTCTCGGGTTGAGTCGGCCAACCTGTGCGTGCAACAACGCTAGAACGGACTTCGTTAGCTGTTGTCCCTCATGAGGGTTGCGAATTCCATTTGCAGATATCCACACGAAATTGACACTCACTTCCAGAAAATCGGGTTAAAGAAGATGGATGCGGCGGACCCTGCAAGGGTCAATCACATGCAAATTGTTGAGAATTGGAAGAGACTTACATAGTAAAGGCTTGGAGGACAGATTGATGAAATCAGTGAGAGAAGCCATGATGCCGAAACGGTTTAGAGGTACAGAGAAGAAGGAGGAGTGAAGAGAAGAGAAAGAGAAGAGGGGAAGGTGAAGTAGACTTGAACCTGCAGCCGACAGTTGGGGAACAACCGCTTAAGTAAACAAATGACGTTTCTCCGCGCGGGTCACGGGATCCTGTCTTTCTCGACCTTCGCTTTCCTCTTTGATAGCGAGCTGCACTCTGCGTTCGATCTTTTCGAATCTCTTCGTATCCCTCAATATCGCCTTGCTTGGGATATCGATATATCCAAGCTCCCGCCGGTCGCAAACCCGTGTTGACGTTGAGACTATGCCGAGTGGTTCGCTCCCGAGCTGGGAGTGATCGTTATGAGCCGTGAAGCTCTTGGATAGAGTGCGGGGAGATGGCCCTTAGTCGTCGCGACCTTGTTCTGGCAGGCGTCGGCGTATTCATTGCCTGGGGTTTCGTGGTTCACTGGCTGCCGATCCTCCGGTATCTAGGATATGCCGTGACCTTGGGCGCCGTGTTGTCGTCTGCGGGTCTATTGGGTCTTGTCCTTTTGACTGTCCGGCAACACAATGGAAAGACCAATATCACCAAGAAGGTCTCGGTGGCTTTCATACAGCCCAATCATTGGCGAAAGGAAATGCTCAATGTCCGGAGAAGCACTCGATACCGACCCCGACCACTATACCCTCAGTCGTTCGTCGTGTCGGAAGGTATCGATGAACTCTTATCATTCATTACCCGAGACTTTGTCTCATCGTGGTACCACAATATCAGTCCGAACCCCACATTTGCCTATGAGATTGATCGAACCATCCGTGTTGCTCTCGAAAACCTTCGGGATAGGTTGGTTGCAGAGGATCTGGTCTCTTTGGTAGTATCGCGAGTCTTTCCTATCTTGACAACGCATCTCAAGGAATTTGACGTTGCTGAGCGCTCGGTTCGGGGGCGCAACTTGAATCGAAACGTGACAGAGTCCGAGGAACTAGATCTTGCCGTTGCAAACAAGTACCGCGAAGGTCGTTTACACCCAGCAGTTGCACTTTCATTATCAGACCAAAAGGCTGTTCAACAGGAGTATCTACGCAAGATAGCCGTGGGTCTCTTGCCTCAGTTGTTTCCAGAAAGCGTGTTGAAAAGCCGAATTGTATCTGTTTTGATTCGCGAAATCATATCATGTGCCGTGCTTTTCCCTATAGTCACAGCCCTATCAGACCCAGACACATGGAATCAGTTGGTGGAAGCCTATGGCCGCACGGCTTTGCAGGATCGGAAGACCGTTCGCAAGCTACGGGCCGCCCTTGATCAACATGCATCGCCTGCTCCCAAATCTAAACGAGGTCAGCCATTCCCTCGACTATCTGCAAATGATTCAGAACGAGCGTTTGAGAGATTTGTCAGAGCAATTAGGAAATGTAACAATCTCTCTGATGCACGCCGATTTCGTGCCCTCGTTACCAGTCAATTGAAGCGAGAGAGCACAGTTGAAGGACAAGATCAAGTCTACTTGAGCCGTCTGGAAACAGGAAAAAGAGTGCTTGACCAAAAAGTGGCAAAGCTTGCTCAACCTGGTGGGGGCTGCCACGTCCCCCCGGCCCTCGATCTTCGACCGGAGAGGCCTCTTTCCACCCATGAAACATCACTAGTGGATGTGATGCACAATGCATCTGGGCTCTCCTATTTCATGGAGTTTATGGACCGACAAAAATTGATGTCCCTTGTCCAATTCTGGATCGTTGTCGATGGGTTCCGCAACCCTTTGGAAGATGACTTCGGAGAGGTAACTTCGCCCACCTCAGTGACGTGGAAACCAGCGGACAGGAATGATTTGGCGCTCATCAGTGAAACCTATCTCTCAAAACCAGAGCTCAAGGTCTCTGACGAATCTCGCCGAGCAGTCAAAGCATTCTTGGGCGCAGGGAAGCGCGCGACCTCAGAACAATACCGCAAAGCACGAATGGTGGTGTTGACCACCCAGTCTGCCGTTTTGGAGCACCTCCAAGAGGTTTATTATCCAAAGTTCAAAGAGTCTGATCTATACTGGAAGTATCTTGCGTCCGATGAAGCCGCCAATGCTCAGGCACCGGTTCGCCAATCTTCTCCAATATCAGTTACCTTTGAAACGCCTGAGAGGCGACCTCTTCCGCCTTTATTGTCGCGAACCTCCTCTCAGCCGGGTATGAGACCTTCCAAGGATCTTCGCCGAGCTGCTGTCTCGTCTAGTGATGTGCGAGGTATGGGCAAATTGTTCGATGACGACGATTCGCCTCGAAGATCCATAGATTCAGAACGATCTGCTCCTCTTTTTGACGACGACTACGACACAGATCATCTTGCCACATCCACCCACAGTTTGGGTAAGGATTCTCAGAATGGCGAGAATGATGCCACTCAAAGCCAGGTCCTCGAGACAATGGAGGCGGCGCTAAATGATATCATTACCAATGAACCGAAAAACGGAAAGATAGAAGATCTAAAAGGAGATTCTTCCGGATTGTTTGGACCAGAGCGTCCTATCATTTCCCCTCGCAATTCTTCTGAAATTCCTCAAATGGAAGGTCGCGGAAACGAAAAGATGCGGAAAAGTATCGCGTCGCTTGGCCTGGTTGATCATGCATCCCGTATGGGTGTATTTGATGACGACTTGTTCGCGGATCAGCAGAAATTCATCGAGGATGAATACGAAGAGCCAGAATGTGCCGACGAGAAGGATCTAGCCGATGAAGTTCACGAAGCTGCTCCGGGTGACCTTGGTCTGACGGAAGCGATTGAGGCGCTCTCTGTGGACATTGACAAACTAGCATCTCAAGATTCTGTGGTCGAAGCATTGACTCGAAAGGCTGAACTGACAAATAACACAGCTGAGCTGAGGATCCTGCGGAAGTCTAAGGCTAGCATCCAGCGAGAAATGCATCGCAAGGAAATGCAAAGACAACAGTACATTCTTCAGGAAAGTGATAACAGCTTGTTTGGGCGATCCACAGTCAGCCTCAAGTCTACTGTTGTAGGCAGAGAGGAGGATGATGGCCGTGAATTTGCAATGTGTAAGATGACTCTTGAATGCACCTTCAGTTCCGGGCTAATCATATATCAGACATCGTGGAGGTTCAAAGAAATGCCGGTGAGCAAATGCCTGCAGCATCTTGGGTTGTAGCACGGCGATACAGCGAATTCCATGATCTTCACCAAAAGCTTCGCCAACGCTATCCCTCTGTGCGTCACTTGGAATTCCCTCGCCGGCGCGTCGTCATGAAACTACAAAAAGAGTTTCTACACAAACGACGACTCGCTCTCGAATCATATCTACGGAATCTCCTCCTTCTACCCGAAGTCTGCCGCAGCCGTGATCTGCGAGCATTCCTATCCCAACGCGCAATCCTCCCTCACAAAGAAAATGCCACCCGCGACAACGAAGGCGAAACGAAAGACCTAGTCACACGAATCTACAACTCCGTCGCAGACGGAATGGACGACTTCCTCGGCAACTTTGGCGTCCTAGATCAGCTTTCAACCGCAGGTCAGAACCTCATCTCAGCCGCAACCCAACAAACAAGCAGCACCGTAACCCCAGACTCGAGTCTCGCAACCGAAGATGCAGTCACTGCCGCTGAAGCAGAGGCAGAACTCAATGCTTTCGAAGACCGCGAGCTCGAGCCCTTCATCAAGCCAATCTGTGACCTCTTCCTCGAAGCCTTTGAGTTGAACCGCGGCAACAATTGGCTGCGCGGTCGTGCCGTTGTTGTCGTGCTGCACCAGCTCCTTGGCGGGACTATAGAGCGCAAGGTTCGCGATGGGGCTCGCGGGTTGACGCAGGATGACTCGCTTCTGCGATATCTCGCGCTCGCTCGCGATACCATGTGGCCTGGTGGTATTCTCCGCAAAGTCCCACCACGCTCAGCCGTCGACCGGCTCAAGAGCCGCGCTGAGGCGACGGTGGTATTGGCTACTCTCATTCCGGACTTGGCCGGTAATGTCGTCGGTAGAGCGAATGCTCAGGCTGCTGCACGGCGGGTCTTCGCAACGCTCAATAACCAACCCCTTAACGCTCATCTCGTTTTTACGATGCTCGACGAGATTGTGCTGGTTTTATTCGGCGCTAATCCTGGCCGTGCTCGTTGAGTGATCGCCGCTCTAATATACTGGATAATGATTCCTGGGGTTTCTACTTTCTTCTCATTCATGGTACAATGGCGTTACGACATTTTTGTTCTTCCTTTCTAGCCTCACAGCGAAACTTCCCTTGACTTGTTTCCTTGCTTTGCTACCGTTTTATCATGAGCGCTGTATATACTTCATTACACACAAACATGCTCCCTACATAGCATTCACACCATAATCACGCCAACATCACCAATATTTCCGCTCCCATTCTCTATATGAAAATATAATCACCACGCCCATCTATAAAAACAGTTTCCACATCAATAAGTCTCCACCCAGCTCTCGCGTCATGAATATATTGCTCAGCAAGCGCAACAGCCCGGTCCAAGACATCGCGGTCGGTTAATTCAGGTGTCCTATCTACTCCCACCGAGTAACACCATGATAAATAAACATTTTTAGGATACGAGGAGATGACCCCTCGTCCGGCTCGGATGTACTCTACTACTCGTGTCATTAGTGCTGGTTCGTCGAGGACCGAATCCCACCGGCTGAAATGCACTGTTACCCAGTTTATGGAGGCTGTGCGGTATCTGTCGCGGTTGAAGTGGGAGTCTCTGACCCTTTCTGCTGATATATAGCGGTGTGGGTTCCGTTTGTTGCATAGGTTGCATGCTTTGTGTGTGTTGGATTGACATGCGTCCATGTTGGTTGGTGGTTAGTGGATGTTGGGAGCTATCAGAGCTGGGTGTGATTAGGTGACTGTAGGCTGTAGATTGCTTATATACTTTATCTTGTTTCGAGACATTCCGTTTCGAGGCTTGGAATAATGGCCTTTGTTTGTATATGGGCTGTGTTTGAGTTGGATGTGGATTGTTATCGCTGTTTGGAGAGGCAATGGTGGGTGTGTTCTTTGTTTGCTTTATTTTAAAGTCTCATGTTGAAACGTCAAAGGATACGCCGGTGCGGACACACCTCTTTTACCTGATGGTACAATCCTGGACCTAGGGCTAAGCCGGTGGTATAGGGGGACGGGAGGTCACCCCTGTATATCACACAGGACTCGATCGAGTCTGTGACTGGCACTCTACACATACTCTAATGTTACGCAGTAACTACTAAGAAAAAGAGCCCTCAGGGACTAAGTGATTCGATCTCCACTGGGATAAATGAGCGAACGGTACAGAGACCGGTCAACCCAGGGTAGATATTTAAGACATAGCCAGCCGAGATGACCGACAAATAAAGAATAAGATAAAAGCAAAATACAAGACTGATTTCCCTCGCGCCGTCTTAATTCTTGTTTCTACAAGGAAACGCAGTGAACGCAGAGCAGCCGAACGGGACTGGAACTGTGGGATCAATCAACAGAACGAGATATCAAGTCGAGGGGAGTCAATAGTCCCCGGGGTCCATTATCATGATCAGTAAGGAATGGCGGAAAAAAGAGGACCTGTAAGGCATTCGGTGGTGGTGCCCATACTGATATGAGAGGCCTGGGTCGATGGAGGGCAATCTATGCCTCTTCCTTGGCCTTCTTCTTGGACTTCTTGCTTGGCTGTTGTGCTTGTCCTTCCTTCGTCTGGTGTACAAGCAGGCGTGTCCAGCACTCATCCTTGTCCCACTCGAAGCCAGCGAGGTAGGGCTTTTCCAGTTCGTCATCCGCCTAGCGGGGTTGCGTCAGCCATCTTGAACATGTCCTTTGTTTGGCCGTGGAGCATTACTTGCCTTCTTCTTGAATTGTTTGTAGATGGCATCCATTGCATCCTTAATCGTGACGCCCTTGAGATTCCGAGCGGTGACCACTAGGCCTAGGGGGAAGTGCAGGTCAATCTTCTTGACGGGAGGGTTGACGAGGTGCAACTTGAGGATATCTTTGTCCTCGATGGAGTTTGGGGAGGTGTTGAGTTTCCTTCAATGAGTCCGTCAGTGATGGATAACGAGGATATGGGAGAGCTAATTACCATCCCGTCTTTTGTGTTTCGATGGGAAGGGTGATTTCGATGCCTTGCTCTTCTATCAAGTTGTCAGTCAGGGTGTAGTCCGAAGATGGAAGAGTGCTCACCAAGGTCCTTGATGTTCCAAATGCCTTCTGACGTTGATGAAGTCCGCTTGTGGTCCTTCTTGGGGACCTTCTTGACCTCCTTCTCGTTGAGAGTGGGCTTCTCATCAGATATGGACAAGCCAGCGATGGCAGAGTCGACTTTGGTTAAAGGAACAGACATGATTGCGTTAAGTGTATCTTGTAGCGATAGGCAGAAGATGGGAGAGAGAAGAGAAGAGAGAGAGAAAGAGGGGAAGCCCTGGAGAGCAGGTGACCTGATGACCTGATTGTGAGAGGGGGTGCAGTCATGGATGTCATGGTACATAGTGGACATTCGATCATTTCGTACTATTACTTTATTACTTTATTACTTGTTTAGTTCTATTAGTCTATCAGTCTATCAGTCTATTAGTTCTATTAGTCCTATTACTAGTTATTACCTTATCTCCCTCCCTTTTCATCTTACTCTCTCTACTACAACATACACTATGTCGGCCCCTTCGGATACATTCCAGTGGACTGACATCAACATCAGAGCGGAGCCAATCTTAGCGCTGCACCCCGCATTTTCTCCACTTATGTCGATCGACTGCTTAATTAACGTATATTTATATTTGCTCGACTTGGTAGTAATTTATGCGCTTATCATACGATTCAATTGGCCTAACCCGTGTTCCATGATCACCTGATCCATCATACCACTCTGCCCTCTCCCCTTCCCCTTTCACTCCCACTTCCCGCCTGCATTCTTAGCTGCTGCCGCCCTTTTCCCATTCGTAAATCATACCCACCTCCTACATAACTATTCGGCTGCATCTTCACAAGCTGTGTCCACTTCATTTTTCATAGCGGTGGCGCCCCCTGTGTAACAAACTCAATCCTTTGAGAGAATACGAGAATATTCACGTTTAGCTCGGGGCTTTCAGACCTCATAAGTGGAACGCGGAGAGGATGGCGTAATCATTCAATTAGCTTCACCTTACACCTTACACCTTACTTCGTTGGCTGGGGAAGCGCTGGATAAAGCAGCAGTTCATTGTATTGGTGGTCTGTACTCCCGAGTTACCCGCTCCTTTGATAGGTCGCGTGCTCATCAGCCTGCATCTATACCTAATTTACGGAGTATTGGCTTGGTCAATGAGTCGATCATTCCGTTACACGGAATGATCCTAGTTGCTCTTTTTCTTAATTTGAGGTATTTCGAAGTATTCAAAGATATCGATTTGAATCTAGAGATATCGAAGTCGTCCACTCTACAGTCTTGGCAGATTAGAGATATGTAGATAGCAGACATCTTGAATATGTTACAGTGTATTCAAATCGAACAGCCTTTGTCAATTTACATGACTCAAATTGGATGAAACGATAGAAAAACCAGCAGCTCTCTGATCGAGATCTTGTACTGCAGCAGCTCATATATTAGAGAAATCCATAGATATTGCGACATGATCATCAAATGCTACCCGTAGGACTAAACCATCTCGAAAAACAACTCGAACGCCATTCTGGCCCAATGTCAGCCCTAGACTACACAAGCATAACAGAGGTGGAATCTCAACTAGAAGACCTTACCATAGGACATTATTGAAACGGAGAACTACAGTCCGACAATGGTGCCTAGCGGCTAAGAATAGGCCTCTAGGACACAAACAGGCAATCGTTTCAGCATTTCTTCGTCAAAAGACCACCAGATACACATATTAGCCAATGGAATCAACTGTCAATTCAAAAAACGCGAAATAGACCACAATTCGTATCAAACGCGAGTTCACAGGCTGAGGTCCGCAGAAGGCGGTGAGTCATGTTTTTTGCCGTCATCGCGCATCGCTTTCTGCGATCGAGCTCCAATTATCACGACTCTTCTACTTCTTTCTTTCCCCATTGAGCTCGACTTGCCTTTCTCTTTTGCATGACCCCCAAGTGTGAACTCAGTTTCACCTTGAATTACAAGAACCCGTTTTTCTTTTGCTGATTCCTCGACTGAGCCACATCTCTCGCGCCCTTTCAGATGTCACTTTTCAATGTCGGCGGCGGCACCGCTGCCGCGGCGGGCGCGACAAACACCACGGGTGATATCTCCAAGGATGTCGCTCTGAACCAGCCCCCCGAGGATGGCATTTCGGATCTCCGTTTCTCGCCTGCTAGCGACCACCTCGCCGTGGCCTCGTGGGATAAGAAAGTCCGCATTTACGAAATCAACGACCAAGGCCAGAGTGAAGGGAAGGCGCTTTTCGAGCACGAAGCTCCTGTTTTGAACTGCTGTTGGTCTCCGGTAAGCTTGCATCCATATGGTATCCCTATCAACCCAAATTTTGTGCACTTTAACTGACACCTTTTTTTCTTTGCAGGATGGAACCAAGGTGGTCGGTGCCGGTGCCGACAAGGCAGCCCGCATGCTCGACCTCGGAGCAGGCCAGACGACCGCCGTTCAGGTTGCCGCGCATGACGCGCCCATTCGAAGCTGCCACATGATTCCCAATCCCTCCGTGGGCGGCCAACCACTCTTGATCACCGGCTCGTGGGACAAGACCGTCAAATACTGGGATCTGCGTCAATCTACACCAATCGCCTCGGTCGAGTGCCAGGAGCGCATCTACACCATGGACGTCAAGAACAAGCTGCTGGTCATCGGTACCGCAGACCGCTACATCAACATCATTAACCTCGACCAGCCTACCAAATTCTACAAGACCATGCAATCCCCCCTGAAGTGGCAGACGCGGGTAGTCAGCTGCTTCGCTGATGCTTCGGGCTTCGCTGTCGGCTCGGTCGAGGGTCGTTGCGCCATCCAGTACGTCGAGGAGAAGGACTCGGCCTCGAACTTCTCTTTCAAGTGCCACCGTGAGACTCCTCCCGCCCAGCGTGACGTCTGCAATATTTTCTCCGTCAACTCTATCACTTTCCACCCGGTCCACGGTACCTTCAGTACCGCTGGCTCCGACGGCACTTTCCACTTCTGGGACAAGGACGCCAAGCACCGTCTCAAGGGTTACCCGGCTGTTGGTGGTCCTATCACGACTACCGGCTTCAACCGCACTGGAAACATCTTCGCTTACTCCGTCAGCTACGACTGGAGCAAGGGTTACTCCGCCAACACTCAGCAGACTACCAACAAGGTCATGCTGCACCCTATCGGACCCGATGAAACTAAGCCGCGACCAAACACGCGGAAGCGTTGAGCTTTCGTCTTTTTTCCTTTTCTTTGGATGGGGAGGAGGACTTGTCCCTGGACGGTTTTATTATCCATCACTACAACGAGCATGTAATGAAATTCTTACCATATCGGCGTGTATTGATTAAAGAGTGCAAATGGGATTTTTCTAGCCTGGCTACATTATCAAGCAATAGCAAGTGTCCACGGTTGTACCTCAGTCCAAGTAAAGTGTAGTATCACCTGTAGCTATAGTCCAGTAGCCACCAGGGCTTAGGCTAAATCTACATTGGATGGTTGAATGTCATCTCTAAAAACATAACACCTTCATTGCATTCATGTATGTAGCGTAGCTACTGTAGAAAAAGGAAGAATTGCCCAAGATCCGAGTAAATATCCCAAAGATCCCATGAACAATGCATAAATCTCTCATACGCGGATTTAGTATGAGACAAACTAAAATCAAAATGAAAATGTGAAGCCGTCAGGCATCAGACATCAAAAGACACTCCCCTCACTCCACTCAACACACTTTTCTGTAGTCTAGTAACTTTCTTCCACTCTAGGAGGTAGGGAGAGTAACCTGAGCCACACCATCAGTAACCTTCTCCACCGCCTCGTCATTCTTGCCATCGGTAGTGGCGGAGACCTTCTCCGCTCCACCCTTGGCAGAAGACTCGACACCGCCGGCCTTGCCCTTGTCCTTCTTCTCCTTCTTCTTGGCCTTGGCGGCGGCCTTCTTAGCGGCGATCTTGGCAGCTTCATCTTCTTTCTTCTTGCGGTCTGCCTGCGATCCACCGAACATCTCACGCCACTCCTCGGCCTTCTTAGGGTCAATGCGCGAGAAGAGATACTGGGCCTTGCCGATCTTGTGGCCGGCTTTGAGGGCGGCGGGCTTCCAGCCGTCCTTGAGTTCTTCAAGGGTGGGGATGTACTGGAAGGGTGCGTCGAGCTGCTCCAGGATCGACTTGGAGGTTGCCGGCATGTAGGGCGAGAACACACTGGAGAGCAGGTAGATAAGGTTCAGGACTGTGCCGACAACTGCGGCGGCGCGCTCGGGCTCGTTGGCGATGAGAGCGTTGTCTAGACGGTTGGCTTGGATTAGGCCATTTCCTGCTTCGGCGATCTTCATAGCGGTTTGGACACCAGCGCGCAGGTGAGCGCCTTCCATCTCATCGATGTATTGGCGGAGGAGGGTGGTGACTTCTTCCTGGAAGGGAGCGAAGCTCTCGGGGACGGTAAATTCGGGAATGACGGAGCCGTAGGAGGCAGCGACGAGCTTGATGACTCGGTTGACGAGGTTACCCAACTTGGCGAGGAGCTCGCTGTTGTTGCTCTCCACGAAGGGACGCCACTCGAACTGGGTGTCACCAGTCTCAGGACGGTTCTTCAGCAGGAAGTATCGCCACACATCGGCGGAGACACCAGTCTCTTTGGCGTTTGTGCCGAAGACACCGACACCGCGGGACTTGCTGAACTTGCCGCCCTCGTAGTTGAGGTACTCTGTCGTGCTCAAGTGGTGCAGCATAGTCCACTTGTCCTTGGTACCGATCTGAGTACCAGGGAAGATGACGCTGTGGAAGGGCACGTTGTCCTTGCCCAGGAACTGCCACAGCTGGACATCCTCCGGGTTGCGCCACCAGAGCTCCCAGTCGGGAGTGTAGTTGGCTGTAATGGAGGGGTATCCAATACAAGCCTCGAACCATACGTAGAGCACCTTGTTCTCGTAACCGTCCAGAGGGACGGGGACACCCCATTTCAGATCACGGGTGATACCACGATCCTTCAGACCCTCCTTCAACCAAGACTCAGTAATGATGCGCGAGTTCTTGGGCCAGTCACCCTTCTCAATGGCGGGGTGGACCCACTTCTCGATCTCAGGTTGGAGCTTGTCGAGAAGGATGTGAATGTGTTTCGTCTCACGGCGGACGGGGGCAGCTCCATCGAGCTTGCAGCGCGGGTTGATCAGGTCAAAGGGATCGAGGAGATGACCGCACTTGTCGCACTGATCTCCACGGGCATCGTCGTAGTGGCAGCGGGGGCATTCGCCCTCAACGTAACGATCAGCCAGGAACGAGCCATGCTTTTCGCAGAAGGGCTGCTCAGCGGTGCGCTCGCCGAGGAAGCCATTCTCGTGCAGGCGCTTGAAGATCGACTGCGAGATCTCGGTGTGCTTTTCTGTGGGTGTGCGACCGAAGTGGTCGAAGCCGATGTTGAACCATTCGTACACTTCCTGGTGGATCTTGTTGTACTTGGCGCACAGGTCCTCTGGCGACAGCTTCTCCTCCAGCGCCTTGGTTTCCGTTGCTGTTCCGTATTCATCGGTACCGCAGATGTACAGTGTAGGCCGTCCGCAGGCCTTGTGGTATCTAAATTGCGCGTGTCTGTCAGCTTCGTGGCTCAATGCCAGTTGAAGGTGGGGTTGAGTCATACCTAGCAAAGACATCGGCGCTCAGCACGGAGCCCACGACGTTGCCCAGATGAGGCACATTGTTGACATATGGCAGAGCGCTAGTTATAAGGATATTGCGCTCGCCCTTCTTGGGCAAGATCGGATTCGACATAATTGTGGTTGAAGGTAAAAAACGGTGGAGGGGCAAAGGCGGGAAAATCGAAAAGTGGGCTATCTCGTGACATATCGCCGGGAAAAAAAGTGGTCGGTCGGCTTTGAGATATCTTTTTGACTTCTTTGTATTCCTTGAATATCACTCACAATGGATTGCAATCTCTTGGATAGTCTTCTGGGTCTGGAGGAGGAGTTCTACAACGAAGGCTATGAGCTGGGCACCGCGGACGGAGCGGAATCGGGGTATACCGAAGGCAGTGTTTTCGCCGTGGAGAAAGGATTCGAGAAGTTCGTTGAGGTGGGACGTCTGTATGGCAAAGCTCTGGTCTGGGCGCAACGACTTGATTTGAAACAATCCGGCGCAAAGCCTTCATCTCAAACAGCCAATGCGGACAGTCTTTCTCTTGATCCGTCAATCTGCAAAGACATGCCCAGTCTTCCACCACACAGTACTCGGCTGGCCAGGAATCTTCAAACACTCCTTGAGCTCGTCGACCCGGCTACGTTGGATATGAGCAACACCGAAGAAGCTGTCAACGATGTGGATGAACGCCTGAAGGGCGCCGCTACCAAGGCGAAACTCATTCAGCGCGCCATGGGTGAACGCGAGGACTCAGGCGCACAGGCTGAGCCTAAGGATATGCAAGCTTCCGGAGATGGTTCCGGCAGCATTGAAGATATCAGCGCATTGAACATCCGTCATTGAGGATGACCATGCTATCTTGGATACCAATTTCCGCATCAGCTCACTCGATGGTCAAGCTCCATCGAGACATTCGCTGTTGGTGTCCAACAGTCGGCTCTTTTGCCATGATTGCGCACTCAGTTCAATTGGCTTATGTCTTCAGGGATCGCAATCGCAGCAACACATGAAGCTTGTGAAGAGCCGTTGGACCATGAGAAGATCCATCCACTTCTCTCATGCTGGCTCCGTGTCAACAAGCTCGCCGATCATCGTCGCTTCTCCAAACTCCCTTGCTTCTGAATAGCAGGTAAGATTCGAATTCCACGGTCAACTGTGTTTGGCGAGACAGACATCAAGAATCAAATACGATATCTTGGATGCTGAAGTACACGCCAAAACCATTGGAAGCTCCAAACTTTGCTTAAAGAGAATCTTGTCCAGTGTTCTCTACAATATAAGATTAAAGGCCATACCAATACAAAGAGTGAAGGCAATAGTCTAAATATATCTTTCATGTCAGATAAATCATGAACTTCCTTTAAGTCATCATAAGAACATTTCATTAAAATTCAAACTTTTTGCCCATTTACAGTCCAAGACTACGCTCGGCCATACCCATAGCACCCTCTTTAGTCTTGTGACCCCCAATGAAACCAGAGGCATGGACGAAGACGGCACCCTCAGGCAGCTTGCTCTGGCCATTCTTCTCAGCCTCGGCAGCCATAACACCATCAAGGTCCTGGTCACGCACACCTCGCCATGACTCGGGCAGAGGCTTGCGCGACTCAAAGCTACCCTCGGAAACAGACACGCACTGCACGCGCCACTTTGCGTCCGCGTTGGCGTTCTCTGGGTACAGGACGTAGTAGACCTGGTTGGCCGGGTCAATTTCCTTGCTGCCGGAGGCCTCAGCCTCGAAGTTGTACAGGTGCTCCTTCCAGGGCACGCCGCCCTGGGGCAAGATGAGGATGCGGCCGGAGGGGTGAGCTTCCTTGCGCGAGGCATACGCGGCACCGACGGTTGTGCGGGCGGGCATCCAAGAGGTGCATGCATGGTGCAGCTTGCGAGCGAAAGCATTGCCGATGAGGGTGCTGGCGCGGCCGAACAGGCTGTCCTCGTCCTGGGGTTCGCCGGGAGCGCTGGTGGGGTCTGGGTTGTTCATGTCGCCGACCATGGACATGAGAGTGACACCACCCTCCTTGAAGCGCTTCTCCAGGTTGGCGGTGGAAATGGCGGCGGGGTCGTAGGCGGAAATGCCGTTGTCGTTGGCGTCAATGGCCTCGATGAAATCAGTGTAGAGCTTCTCGTACAGAAGGTCCACGTCGGCATGGTCTACGGGCAGTGACAGCTTCTGTGCAATAATGGCCTTGCCGAAGTGCATGTACACCAGACCGGCGGAGGAAAGCTTGGTGTTGCGCTGGGGGAAGGTCGTTGAGAAGGTCCGCTGGTGGTGATCATACCGGTGGATGGTGGGGTCGTAGACGCCGCCCACGTCCACGACGGTGTGGCATTTCTCCAGCTCAGCGGGGTCACGGGTGCGGACGAGAGGGGAGGAGTCGTAGGTGGGTAGAAGGCGGAGAAGGTAGACGGCCAGGGCTTCATCGGCGTGGAAGTGGCCGCTATTATAGGTCAGTATATCGTGTGCAAATTTCCAAGCTCAAGCTCACCTGTGAGTCCCGATCAAGGGGGACGAGGTCTTGAGCTTCTTAGTAGCAGTTTCGGCCATTTTGAACCAGGTGTTCGTTCTGAACATAAAGTATTCAGAGTCTGAGATGGATTACATATATAAATTGGCGGGCTCTGGCTGGCTGCGGCTTATCAGAGCTGGCCATATCGGGTAGTTAGGGCAGAACATCAGGGCAAGCAGCTAGCATGTGACTGGAGCTCTCAACCGTGGAATTGCTGCAGTTCCCTGTCTTCGGAAAGGAAGTCCTGAGGCATCACGCGTTATCACAACATGGAGTAGGAGAGGGTTATAGTCTAATAATTTGTTATTTGCAATTTGCGTAAGGTCTAGACTCTCTACCTCTTTAGTGTCTTTGGAGGTTTTTATTTCTGGTGAAACCCTGCAAACCTCCCTTCCCCTTCCACGTGAAGACGATAAGCTCGAAAAAAGGAAATCACCGTCCCCTCTTTGACTTATCCACATCTCCATCTTCAACCTTTGACACTCTCACCTCTTTCACGTTCTCTCTCTTCGCGTATCTTCGCGTGCCAAGTTCCTTCGGCGGTCCGATGTGGCTCTTTCGAGTCTTTTCGTCGGCCTTGTTCCTCGCCGTCACGGTCTCGTCCATCCCACTAGCTTTCGATGTGGGCGGCAAGACATGCGGTCTGGCCTTTTCGCTGTCCCTGGCAACGTTCTACTTTCTCATCTCGCTGTTGAAACTCAGTACCCCTGACCGCTCGTGGTTCCGTTCATCGGTGATCGCAGTCCTCCGTGGCACCCAATGGATTGTGATCTGTGTGCTCCTCATTTGGTCGCTGAACAGATTCTCAGTTGAAACCGAAAATACAAGTGGATGGGTGGAGCGCACTTTCAGCGGAAAGAGGGCGCAGGATGTCTCTATTCAAGAATGGCTCTTTGGCCGCGACGGTTTGGTGGAAACCGTGTCCTTGGGCAACTGGGATAGACTTTTGAGATGGTCGACACCTGTTTTCCAGCTGGCAGAAGGATTCTGCAGTTTGCTGGTTATTCAAGCCGCTGGTCAAGTTACCCGCTGGCTCGTGAATCGCGGTGGGCGCAGCGATAGCTGGATGGTATGTTTTGATCCCGATCTGTCACTACACGAGCTCACCTGTTTTAGATTGGCCTCCTGGTCCTGTCCGCGACTATCATCTCCAGCTCCGTCTACTTTCTCTGGCGAGTTCTGCAATTCCCCGAAATCTCCAACGTTGATGCGGCTTTAATCGGTGTGTCGATCACCTGCGCCGTTATTCTGTGTGCTTGGGGCATTGGCAGTGGACGCGGCAACCCGGTCGAGAGCTCTCTACTCTTCGCCTATATCGTCTTGTGCATCTACCAGATATTCACCGACTATAAGCCATCGCACCCCGTGGAACAAATTCCCTCGCCTTCGCAGGCCGGAGACTTCCCTCCGCTCCCTCCCATTTTCATGGCCTCGTACACAACCCTCATGCATGCGCTGTCTCTCCTACCGTCGATCATTCACGCGGCCTTCAATGTGATTACCGCGGTATTCAGTGCGGTCACACCATCTGTCCTTATCTCGCTCGCCTATCGCCTTCTGGTGCTGTATGCTTCCACCCGCATCATCCCAGCTGTCCGTGAGGCTGGCTCTCGCGCTCTCTATCAGGAAGCCTCTATCGACGATTCCGACGCAGCAGGCCAAGTCCTAGGCTTCCTGAGCTATTTCGCCCCGACCATCCTCATCTCCGTCTACACCAGTCTCCTTATGCAGCATTTCGCATCAACATCACAAGCAATGGGCGGCAGCGGCGAATGGTGGAGCAGCCAGGGCGGTGGTGGAGGAAACCCGTGGCGATGGATCAACCTGGCCTGTACGATAGGTCTGTACGCAGTTGAACTCTGGCTCGGCGAGCACAACGACATCGACAATGGACTTGCAGGACACTGGAAAACCGACTGAGTGACCGAATCAACATGCCTGCGCTTTGCTTCTTATCGCTACAACTCGCATGGGCAGGGTTGATTTGAAGACGGCTCACCGTTCATGTCTCACGGATCACAACCCAATTCGCTGTATCTTGCTGCATGAGCCTGGCCGAGAATCGGCCAACCAAGCGACCCCTCTCGCGGCCACCATTCACACGATAGTGCCACATTAGCTGTGATTTTTTGGGGGTCGCTCACCGGCATCACGTCGCTACGGCCGCAGAACGAGTCCCTCTTCAAAATAGCTTCCGTTCTGCTGATGCCGTGTATTTCTGTCCTGTTTCACGGGTGTCTTCCAGTCACGCGCCCTCTCTCCTTGCTTTCTCTTCAAACATACTCCGCATTTGGCCTATGTATAACCCTCGCATCTGCAAGAGATAGGTCAACCCTGTCTCATGGCCTCGCAATAGGCTGTGTTTCAAGCCTTGATTCCCTTGTCACATTACGCCTACGTTTCGGAGTTGACACTACCAAGTCCTCCAACCCCACCCCTTTTCATGACCCGACGATACCAGATAAACGTATGTTGCGTCTTTTGCTCTCGTTCTTTTTTTCTGTATGTCTTCTCCTTTTGCCCTGATCACTGTTCAACCCGTTCCGTTTGGCAATTATACCCTCTTCTGTCCCGCTTAGGCTCTTTTTTTTTCCGCTTTGCTTTCACCCCTTTAATTGAGTCTTGCTTCATTCGTAGCCCTCCGAGGTGTATCTGACGGCTTGCTTTTCCAGCCATTTTTGTACATAAGATAGGATACGTGAATTTTTTTTCCTCCTTATCTCTTGTACTTTTTGCCTAGCGCTAGGGTGCTTTATACATATCTTGATTATACTTGCTTCGGTCCAATCCCTCAATATAGAAGTATTAGTGGAGTATCGATCCAACATTGGAGCAATTCATGGCCGATCTACTTTTGCTACAATGCAAGATCTATCGGACTCCATATGCCAAGGGATATTCATGCCATGATCTTTAGTAGATTTGAACAAATTGGATGGCTGATACAATCGCACCACAGGATCAAATCAAAGTACAAAAGGCATAGAACCAGCATAGAAGACACAGAAGACAGTGAAGAACCGGAACCCTCGGATCCATTCCATACCTACACGTATTTTCGCATAGCAGTAGAAGAATACAGTAGACAAAATGTAAAGCAAAAGTCCCCATCGCATCTGAATCGCGAGAACAGAAACCGAATCTCAGAATCTCAGAATCTCAGAATAGCAGAACTAACACAAGAGTCTTGTCGCGTGCACTAGATATAGACAAGCAGAATCGAGGATGAATCGAGACGTAAATCCATGCCAGAAATTGCTGATGATAAATGATGATAGGCATAAAATAGAAAGAGAAAAAGACAAGTCACTGAGAGCAAGTAGAGTGCGAGTTGAGCCGAGGTTGATGACATGCCCCGATGCCATGCCAAGTGCACGCCACGATCTAAACACCGAGTGATCAAGATATCTCAACCCTTCTCAGCTTAGCTCAAGCTCTCACTTGCTCCGTCCCGCAGTGCATCCCATTCCTTTCCCATCCTCCTTCCATCCCTCGCAAAGAAAATAAGACAAATCGAAAGATCCCATAGCGCCGAGCTCTTGAAAAGAAATCACAGACCCCTTCTTCAAAAGATATGCATGCAGATATCACCCATCCCCAATATCTCAGTATCTCGTATCTCAATATTCATGCTCCTACCGGCGGATGGGAACACCCTCCCTAGCCGGCGGGGGACTAACACTAAGATCATCCTCCTTACCCGCCTGAGCATGAGCAAGACCGGAGCCAGCCTCGCCCTCGCTGAGACTAGAGCCGCGGTGCAGGAAGCTGCCACCCTCCTTAACGGGACTGCGGCTTTGGAACCCGACCGAGCCCGGGTGGCCACTGAAGCTGCCGGGGGCTTGTTGGCCCTGACCGCTAACGCTGCCACTGACGCTGCCGTTGTGGGGGGCGGGGTTGCTGGTGCCCGGCGAGGTTGCTGTCAGGTGGGGGATATTCTCGGGCACTGGGTGGCGGGACCCGATGTTGGTCACGCCTACGTCGGAGGCTTTGCCCGCTTTGCTGAGAGCGTAGTCGCCTGAGTCGAAGTATTTGCGTTCCTGTTAAGGGTGGTGTTAGTATTGGGTTTGGGTTGGGTGGTGGTGAGCTAATGGTGTTGGGAGCACAGGGGAAGGGAGGGGTATGTAGGGTAAGTAGGTAGGCAGTGTCAGATAGAGTTGGGCGTCGACTTACCTTGAGCTTGTTCTGGAGAACGTCCTTCTTGGTGGGCATCTTGCCGTAGAGGCGCAGCAGGCGCTGCTCCTCTGGGCTCAGCGACTGGAATGCTGTTAGGGAGATTCTGAGATAGATGGGAGGTCACTGACGTTCAGGTCCACTTTGTTTTGTTGATGGGGATTCATGATGATGGTTGAAGAAGTTGAGAGCGGGAGGGGAGAAGAGAGAGTTATAAAGTGTGACAGTCAAGAAGGTTAAGTGGAGAGAGAGAGCATTATTCATACATAGATGACGCCAATGGCAATTAACTGATGTAGGTTATTTTCTCTTATTCTACTTAGTTTTATACTTGGTTTATGTCGATTTCTCTCTCCTCTATGTCGGTTTACTATTGTAGTTCGTAACCCTCGCATATATTTCATTCCCTCAAGTGGAACCTCAACGTCTTCTTCTGTGACGTCTCTTACACCCACCTCATCATGGAAAAGACATTCGTGGTCGAACACTTGGATCCTGAGCTGGGCCCCTGGTCCACACTGGAATATGCCTGTATCGCTCGCGAGTCTCACGCCCGCGGCGCTCGATTCCTGCTCAGTTCTGTGCCCGCCGAGCTGCAGATGCCCGCTGATCTGGCCGCCACCAAGGGTCTCGAGGTCGAGCAGCGCAGCGTAGAGGAAATCTTTGCAGACCGCAAGGATAAGGTCTGTCTGTTGGATCCTTCTGCACAGACTGAGTTGAGTCCTCAGGATGGTGACCACTTCGAGGTCTTTCTTTTCGGTGGTATTCTCGGTATGTGACTTTTTTTTCTCGCTAACTTTAACGTTATAAATCGCTATGTTTTATGATATACGTTTTATGTTCTATGCAATTGAAAGCTGACATTTTTACTAGGCGATGACCCGCCTAGAGGTATGACTCGATATTAATATATCTGGTTGCCACTGACAATTTCCCAGATCGCACCTCGGAATTGAGGAAAAAGGGCTATGTCGGTCGCCGATTGGGGCCTAAGCAGATGACAACTGACACTGCAGTGCGAGTCACTCGCATGGTGGTCCATGAGAAGGGTAAGTCAGGCACTGGCTTCATATTGACCAGAGACTTACTGTGGCAGTGCCCCTCGAGGAAATCCCCTACGTCGACTATCCGGAACTGCAGATCAACGAGCATGAGCGCACTGAGATGCCCTTCCGCTATGTCAAGGATGCTGAGGAGAAGCCCATCATGCCCGATGTAAGTCCCACGCATGCCCTTTGAAAGAGGAGACTTAACAATTGCAGGGAATGGTGGCTCTTATCAACAAGGACGCCGACAAGTCTCTGGATGACTTGTTCTGATGTTTCAGTGTTTCAGCTGTTTCACCTCGAATATATAAAAGTGCACATTCAATACCATATGCGCCAGTCTCCAACACCAAGTGAAGCTTTATACGTAGATCAATAAGCTTATAGAGCGACGAATTCGGCCATGGCGCATTTCTGTATTTCCATTACATGTAATTAACCTTACCCACAATACAGATGGCGGTGGACTGATGGTAATTACCGTATCAGTACTGCCACGCATCCTGTCTCCATCCCTCGTCATCTCCTTTCTTTACCTTAATGTTCTCTTCTCTCATTCTCTCTCATTCATCTTTGCCCTCGAAGCGACTACCTTCCTTCTCTCGAACTGTCCCCTCCAAATTAAATGACCTGGTGATCAACGATTATCCCTTCGGGACCGCTCGTAACAAGTGTCCCAATCCTCGACCTCGACTTTACTTCTTATGATTCCTACGGCCATTAGATGTTCTCGATTCCATTCCTCCCTTCTGCCAAGAAGGGTGGTGCTGTCGCGATGCTATTGTCCGCGTTAACGCTTCTGCTGAGCCCGGCGCTGGTGTCAGCCAGCTCTTCTGCTGATTACTATGTACACTCGTTACCAGGAGCCCCGGAGGGTCCTTTCTTGAAGATGCATGCTGGGTGAGTGACCCGGAAGGCTGTGGAGTAGAAGGATATCGGGATTCTATCAAGGAGCTTGTCTAACACCCTTTCCAGCCACATTGAAGTCAACCCGGAGACCAACGGTAACCTGTTCTTCTGGCACTTCCAGAACCGCCACATCGCGAATCGCCAGCGGACCGTTATTTGGCTGAATGGAGGACCTGGATGCAGCTCTATGGATGGCGCATTAATGGAGGTTGGGCCGTATCGACTCAAGGATGACCAGACGCTCGAGTATAACCCGGGCCGCTGGGATGAGTTTGCAAATTTGCTCTTCGTTGACCAGCCGGTTGGTACCGGATTCAGCTATGTCAACACAGATAGCTATCTCCATGAGCTCGATGAGATGTCTTCTCAGTTTATGGTCTTTTTGAGCAAGTTCTTTGAAATGTTCCCCGAGTACGAGAACGATGACGTACGTTTTGACCTATTCTTTTGTCTTGGATTTAACGCTGACTGTCTCGCAGTTGTATCTCGCAGGTGAATCATACGCTGGACAACATATCCCCTACATTGCAAAGGCTATCCAAGAGCGCAACAAGGCCGCGCCGGCAAACGGCGGGAGGAAGTGGCCCTTGAAGGGTATGCTGATCGGCAACGGTTGGATTTCTCCTGCAGACCAATACCCTTCATATCTTCCTTTCATGGAGAGGGAAGGCCTCGTCAAGCAAGGATCCCAGACCTATAAGAAGTTGGATGCTCTAAACTCGGTCTGTCTTTCCAGGCTTGAAACCCCCGGCGCAAAGAACAAGTTGGAAGTCGACTCATGCGAGAATGTCTTGAGAGAAGTCCTCTCGCTCACATCCAAGGACGGAAAATGCTACAACATGTACGATGTCCGCCTCCAAGACGAATACCCCTCGTGTGGCATGAACTGGCCCCCGGATCTCAAATACATGACGCCTTATCTCCAGCGCCCGGATGTGGTCAAGGCCTTGAACATCAACCCAGCCAAGAAGACCGGCTGGCAAGAATGCTCTGGTATGGTCAGCGGTGCATTCAGCGCAAGGAAGTCCCTCCCCGCAATCACCCTGCTCCCCGGATTGATTGAATCCGGTCTCAATATCTTACTGTTCAGCGGTGATAAAGACCTCATCTGCAACCACCTCGGAACAGAGACTCTGATCCACAACATGAAATGGAAGGACGGCACCGGTTTCGAGACGTCGCCTGGTGTCTGGGCTCCTCGTCATGACTGGTCCTTTGAGGGCGAGCCTGCTGGTATCTACCAGCACGCCCGTAACCTCACCTACGTGCTCTTTTACAACGCCAGCCACATGGTGCCATTCGACATGCCCCGCCAGAGCCGTGATATGCTCGACCGCTTCATGAACGTCGACATCGGTAGCATTGGCGGTAAGCCAACTGACTCCCGTATCGATGGCGAGAAGCTGCCTCAGACTTCTGTTGGTGGTCATCCCAACAGCACCGCTGCCGAGCAAAACGAGAAGGAGAAGCTGAAGCAGACCGAGATGCACGCCTATACCAAGTCTGGTGAGGCTATCCTCGTCATTGTTATTATTGGCGTTACGGTCTGGGGCTTCTTCATCTGGCGCAGTCGCCGCGCGCACAAGGGCTACAAGGGCGTTTCCAATAATGAGATGATGGGTAGTTCTTCGATTCTCAACAGGTTCCAGAACAGGCGTTCTGGTGGAGATGTTGAGGCTGGCGACTTTGACGAGTCAGAGCTTGATCAGCTTCATTCCCCTGGTCTTGACCGGGAACATTATGCTGTCGGCGAGGCGAGTGATGATGACGATGAGCACCATGATGCATCTCATCCAGCACCGGGAACTAGTGAAACTCGCCCATCTTCATGACGAATCTGATCGTGTCTGTTTAGTTGGTTTTGGCTGCATTTGTACAAAGTAGACGGTGTCAACTGGGTCTGCATCTCATTTGATATTTACATATATGAATGAAATTTTAGAATATTGATATTGATATGCGTTCTGCATATTCTTCTAGCTTCCTAGTTACATCGTCACATCGGTTTTTGATATCTATAATGTAGTCAGGATGGCCAAGGATTTACCTCTGCACCGTCCAAATCTTGACACTTCCATCATCGGCCGTCGTAACAAGCACCTCCTCGCCAGATTCAGACCCACGATCTGCTCTCTTCGCCCAGGCACAATGATTGATTTCGTAAATGCCATGCGCCCCATCATGGACAGCAATAAGCACCCACTCGGTCTTCAAAACTCCCTCTCCAGACCCAATATCCATAGCATCCGGATCCTGGTTCTCAGCAACGAACCGCTCTTCATAAAGCGCAATCCGCCCATCAGCTCCAGTAGATGCAACAAGCCCACTCCGCTTACTCCACGCAACAGCATAAACAGCCAGCTCGTGCGCATGCGGGAGAACAGCATCCTCTTCCCACATCTCGTCTGTACCAGTGGGTCGAATGATACTCGGGATCCCGGTCACCGCAGAAGACGACTGAGACGCCATCTGGCTTTCCTTCGGCTGGCGACGCCAGACCCGCACACTGCGGTCGTCCGAGCAAGAGAGAAGACGCGGACCTGAAAGGGCCGTCTGGGTACGCCATTGTGATGCCAGCGCAGTATCAACATGAGCAGAGGACGAGGACGGCACATTCTCAGCACCCTCCCAATCCAAGAACCACACCGTCCCCGAATGGCCCTTGATACAAGCGACCTGGCCCCAATCATCCAAATCCTCCCGCCACAATCGGATCGTGTCGTCGTAGCTCCCGCTCGCGAGACACTCTTCCACCGGATGCCATGCTACACACTTCACATCGCCGCCATGCTCCTGCATCACAGCTACCGTTTCAAAGTTGTTATCGCCGTCATCGAGATCCTCCCAGATCCAGATTGATTTGTCGCGCGAGCACGTCGCCAGTAACATGCCTGACGGCGACCACGAGACGGATTTGACTTCGCTGTCGTGGCCGTCGAGGAGGACGGCGAAGCGCCATTCTTCTTCGTCTTCTTCCGCGTTGCCATCTGACTTGTCGTCATCGTGGTTGGTTGTGCCGGCTGCTTTCAGTCCGCTGCCATCTTCCCGTCCGTAGCTATCCCATCGTCGCCAGATTCCCACTGTTGCGTCGAAACTGCCTGTTGCTAGGACGGATTCGCCTGTAATGTGTGGTTTCCAGGCTGCTGTGCGGACGCTGCGCTTGTGTCCACCTGTTATTGCTGAGAGGAGGGTGAAGTTTGTTAGCGAGTATACTCGCACGGTCTTGTCCGAGCTGCAGGTTGCGACTATTGGGAGGGTTGGGTGGGGGGCTGTGAGCCAGGTTCGTTCTAGGGATGGGGGCGTAAGGTCTGAGAGGTGGGTTATTTGCGCCATTTTGAATTGGCGTAGGTGAAGGTGAAAGTGAAGGTGAAGGTGAAGGTGAGTGAATTTTGGTGTGGGGTTGGAGATAAGATAGCAATGGGGGGTTCCAAGCTTATGAGTAATTGTCTTCTACAACTACCTCCTTTTGGACATCATCAGTGTGAAGTGGCATATCTCATCGCGAAAGGACTGATATGCGTTGTCCTGCCTGCTTTTACACACTCACCATGTCCGTTTAGCAGGTGTTGATACACAAGTTATCATGTTGATAACTAGAAACCATAACCAACGTCTCCTCACAACTGCATTCGCCTCCCACTGCCGCCATATATCTAGTTTCTCGGGCTGCAGTTTTTCACGGTTTCTTACCTGCTGCATTGGGCTGATCCATTATACTATCATTATACTATCGGCCCCAGCTGCCTCCAGAAGGACAGCAACCATCTCATCCATCCTCTTATTCTATCAGCAAGAGTGGGCATTGAGGACTCGTTGCTCGTCTGCCTTGGCAGGATAGCTCCCATAACCATGTACTCGTGCAAACCTGTTGCCGTTGGAATTGGTGAGACAAATATCAGCACCTCGAATAACCAGGATCGTGGCGTGGGTTTCTGGTCATGAGATGCAATGCTGTGTTGCCGTTGTTATCTTGTCGGTTGATTTTTACATCGTGCGAGAGGAGAATGTCTATCAGAGCCCTGCCGATGGGTTCGCCGTCCATGTAGCGGGCTGCGAGTTGGTGTAGCACGGTTCGATTATTGATACCGCCCACGGCTGCGTCCCCTCCAATCTCCAGTAAGAACTTCACTACGGCATCAAAGTGGTTGCTTATTGCGTAATGTAAGGGAGTCGCGCCCTGATTGTCCCGAGCATTGATATCGTTGTCAGGACGGCCAGCCAAGAGCAGCTTCAATGTATTGATAATCCGATTCCTGATCTCCTCATCGGGAAGCCAGCATTCGAATGATACGGGGCCCGCAGCTGCCCAGTGAAGTGTGGTCACGGCCCAATGGATCTCCATCTCTGACCAGGACACGCATGAAGGTTGATGCTCGTACTGCTGCTCAGCATGTACGTTTCCTTCTTTGTCAATGGGCCGTATCATCAACGCGTAACTGGCTCGGGAGGAAACTAGACCGAGGACTGTGCCGAAGGGCTATGGTTGGTCTTCGTCGTCATATTTGTCTGCAGAACCCCAGGAGAGTATCATGGTCGTCTGTTCGACTTCTGTGGTAGGGATGTCAACCGCTTGAGCAGAAGCACCCCTATCGAGAAGCAAGTTGATCAATTTCTCACCACGGGTGATGCGGTCGCTCATCCAGTCGCGGAGATCACTCAAAGTGTCTTTCATAATATCTTGTAGGAGCAAAGAAGCCAATGACCTCACAGCTGCCAGTAGCGCTTCGTCGCCGTACGAACACGCGACATGGACTGAATTGAGCGTAAGTTGACTGCCCAGGATAAACCGCACCGTGTCGAGCTGCGCTTCCCTACATGCCGCAGTCAACAATGAACATGTTTGCTGATGGAGTGTGGTACTATCGTTTGGTGAGTGCTGTAGTAATCCACGAGAAGGGCGGATCAATATGTTCTTTGTCCTCGGTTTCCAAATTCGGGGGAGAAGCAAAGAGACTTCAGCCTTGGAATATCATTGGTTTGGATTGTTTTGTGTAGAACGTCCTCCGTCGGTCTCGTAGACTCTGGCGCATTCTGTGTTGTGAAGAGCAGTCTCTGGTGATTCCCGGGGGCCCTGGACCCAAAGGGTGTCAAACTCGCTATAAGACATGATTCACTCGGGAGGATGTAGTGAGCTGAGAAGAAAGAGAAGCTGGTCCTTGAACAGCCCTAGTTCATAAGTGCCACACCATGAAGGGACTTACACGTAAGTTACTACGTAGTTGATCAAGTTAGGATTATATGTTAATTGAATAGAATTGAATTTCAAGCAAATCTTGACATTATCTAAATCCAAGTATAATTATGCCCTGCCAATTTGCCAATTCCAAGTCCAAGTAAAACCCAAGACCACAAACAAACCACAATCATTATATGTATATGCCCTCTAAAACGCCATCACTGCGGTAGAACGCCTTCTTCGTATAAACCTTGATATACCGCCCCGTGGCAAAGCCAATCTACCTCGCGGACCTTCTCTAACTCCTCCACCACCTGTCCAACTTCATTGACAAACTCCGGCATACCGGCAGCAGCCAGGTTCTGACTGGCCGTTGTGGTGGCTCGAACTCGCTCCGAGGCACTTGATGCACTCAGTCGGGACAGAACATGACTCCGGAGACGTGAGAGCATAAGTCGCGCTACTGGGTCTGAGAAGCTGGGCGCATTTGCCTGTGAGTCCGTTGAGGGCATTTCGGATGCAGAGACATTGGAAGATACCACGGCTAGCTGGGGTGCAGCTGCAATACATGCTGTGGCGACGGGTCCAAGCACTCGCTTGATGGTTGCTGCAAGTTGGGCACTTGCGGCGGGTGGCATTGGATGCGTCGATTCCAGAATCGACTGCACGCGTTCTGCGCTGATCTCGTTAAAGTCCAGTGAAAGGATGCGGTCTGCCTCCGGCTTCCATTGAGACCGGACATCCCGCTTGAGTAGGTTCTTCGCCGTCAACAAGATTGAGGCTGTTGCCACGATTTGGAATGCTCTGGCATGTAACCGCTCAAGTCGTTGACGGTCAAGGCTCAATGTTTCTGGAATCAGGTCCTCAGACACAATTGCATTACTCAAAACAGTATCAGCAAGACCCTGGGCGTAAACTCGTGCCGAATGTGGACGCGGTTCACCATGGATTTTCTCCGGGTCTCGCTTCTTCATCTCGTCAACAATGATCTTGTGATGAGTGCGCCAGAATCGCCGGGTCTTTCTGACGCTGATTGTCCCATCTGCGATGCCTCGATCGAATGTCCGCTGCTCGTATCCCGGAGCTTCTTCAATGAGCTGAGGCGCGGCCAATTGGATCATGAAATTCGTCTGATCGAGCGATAGCAGATCGATGATGCTCATTAAACGGGCCAACCGGTCAATTTCATCCCCCGAAGTATCTTCGATGAACGCCTTGACCACAGGGTCTCGATAGGGAGCACACAGGCGAGGTAAGATGTTGTTCATAAACTCGAAGAAATTGTCATAAGAGAAGGTGCCAGCTTCGCACTGTCCTTGAACCAGCTTCGGATCCAAGACTTCACTTATTATCACGTAGAGCGAATTGCCACGCTGAAGCGAGCGTAGCAAGCGATCTTGGATCACCGTGGCCATGGCGACAATCCAGTTAGTAGCCTGTCCAGCCTCGACCCCTTGTCTCATCGTTTCGCACATTTGCTTCATGATCTCTCGGCGAGGCTCAGTGTAAGGCGCCTCTTCGATCTTGAACTCTTTGTTGATAAGAAGTTCATGTACCAACTCCCGGTTTTCAGGGAGAGGAGTGAGGATCTTGGTAAATCGCTCATGAGGCGATGTCCGCTGCTTGTCCAGTTCATGGAGCACCGCAAAATCGAGGTTGTTGAAGGACTCACTGATTGGCGAGGTGACACTCTCTGTCAGAACATCCGCAGATGGAGGTACAGCCTCGGCAGATCGAGGAATAGCTTGTTTAGAAGCTGCACGCTTCTTTTCCCGCTTAGCTTTCTTTAGTGAATCTCGAATCAGCTCCATGTGTCGGTCTGGGCCGGCAAGTCGCTTCAGGCGGGCGAGGAGCAGAATCTGGTTCTGTCTGATGCCCTGTCTGTAGTCCTCTGCAGCACCGCCAGCCTGGTCATTCTTGACCGTTTGCCAAATTAGTTCCAGTTCGACAAACTGGGCAATCATGATCTCAATCAAGACGCTGGAGTCGTGGGATTTCCAGGCATGGAAGGCCGAGAAAAAGACATTATGCCTTTCACACAAGGTCTGGAGATCCGCGGTGATCACAGAAGGAGAGCAACAGCCTGACGATAGCAGCGCCGTGACCTGATCAAAGGCAGCCAGCAATTCTCCAGCTTTGTCAATCAAGTCTTGTTCCTGTTCTCCATTGCTGCTGCTCAAAACTTCGGTAGGATGTGTAACGATCAGATAACTGCTGAGAAAAGTGCGCACTGCACCTCTCTCACCCATCGTCCCGCCTTCCATATCTTGCAACCCACAAAGTCGGAGAACCTTGGTCATGGTCTCTAACAGTTCCTTGTTGGAAAGCAGCCTACCCACTTGCTCAAAAGTCTCGTTGCGAACTCGGTTCACAGAGAGGTTCAACGACTGGAACTGCTTCATGACCATTTTAGCATTATGGGTTTTCCATACGCGCTGGATCTTGCGCGCAGCCGCATCCTGTGTGAAAGACTTGGTGATCTCTCGAGACATCTTTTTCTCCGCGGCAACTGGCAAGCTGCTCGTGCGTTGGCGTCGGTGCGTTTGCTGGTACAACGTGCGTCGCTTCTCCGCTTCAGCAAACTTCTCCGCCATTTCCACGCGCAGCCGGGCCTCTTCAGCAGCCTTCTTGTCCCGCTGGTCCTCGGCCTTCTTCTTGGCTCGTTTGACCTGATCTTCGCACTTGGCCGTGATGTCCGCAAGCAGGCGCTCACGAGCTTGCTGGGCAGCCAGTGCTCTCTCTTCTATTTGAAGGTTCCTTGTGGCTGCTTTAGCCAAGGCGGCTCGCAACCTTACTTTCTCCCCATGCAATGCCCGATCAGCGAGCCTGGCCTTTCGGTTCTCCAAGATAGATGTGCGTCGAAGATGTTGGGCAATGTGATCCGGAGTCGGCGATCCATTCGACGACGCGGAATTATGCGAGTGCAGGGAGGAGACCGAGTTTCGGCGAGACGACGCGGCCGAGGAGCGACGGAAGATGCTGCTTTTGCGGTAGAATCGGGCAGCGATGTGTGGCGGGAGGCTCAAGGGTGGTGCCTGCTCCTCCGCCAGCATCTCCACATCGGATTCGGTCACAGACTCGGGGGAAAGAGGAGTCGGCCCGGCATCCGGCAGCTGGATTTCGATGTCGGAGTTGCGACGGATCATGGTATTGAGGTGAGAGAGGGCACGGAGCCAGGGAGAGGAACGCGGTGGGGCAGGAGAACCACTGATAAGAGATCGGAGGAGGCTGTTGCGACTATTCACGTGGTTCTTTTGTGCTAACTATGCCACAGGATACTGATCCTGTGAATCCGCACCTCAGGGGAGCTCAGGGGAGGAGAAAATGGTAATCTGGGGGTCCTGAAATGAAGGAGAGTATGCGCACTGGTGCGGAAGGATCCGTGCTTCGTTTCAGGATATGACGAAAGAAAAGATCATGATGCAAAAGGAGAGATCAACGTCAACATCATGAAAACAGACAGTTACAGGCAGTTAAGCTGGCTTACAGATCGTGAGTCTCCAACTATGGAATCCGATGGCCGCATGCAGAATAACGTCAACGCGTTAGATAAGCCAAGCATTTAGTAATCAAGGTCTATTTTTAACGTTATATACTTCCCATCTCTTGCTTCAACGCTTTGTCAGTATAGACAGTTGACAAGAAGAGAAAGAGAGGTAGGGAAGTTGAATTTGATGATCATATAAATCACAGGCGTGTGCCGAACTATATAGAGCGACCCAAGGCAATGTAGCAGACAAAGTTCAACCATGGTGACGCCTATAAAATATTGAACAAAGCACCAAGATGGAGATTTGTGTCTAACTATTCATTTTGAAACTATTCTTCAAATTGCTTCTTAGATTATTTCAAACCTCAAAGTCCCAAGGCAAGGTCTTACGCCAACTCTACTATTATTCAACGCGTAGTCCCACCCTCATATGTCCTCGTCCACCCCTGTTTGCCCGTAGGTAATACGGCACATAGCACAGGTCCCTCTTCTCTCCAGTAGCAGCAGTCCCCGCCTCTGCCACGATCCGTTTATCCCAAGGTGACATGTCAAGCTCGCCTTTGGCTCCATTCTCAGCAATGATGGCCACGTACTGATCGGGCTCGGATCGAGGCTCTTCCCGTAAATTGGCATGGGGGTCGAATAAGGTCGTCTAAATTGTGTTGTTAGATTTCTGGTTCGGTTGAGTTTGTTTTGTGCCATACCTTGAAATGATGCTCTTCCCATAGGTGATCGAAATCCTCCACGCAGTATACGATCGGCCCTCGTGTGATGTATGCCACTGGCTGCATGGCTAGTGGATGGGGCCTGGTTACTTGTGGTTTCATTGGACATGAAAATCGGAATTGAGAATGTTGTTGTAGCCATTTAGCATTTAGATATAGGTATCCTTTTTGGATATCTAGGTTTTCGGGACTCGGGTTAATCTGATGATCTGGTTAGTATGGGTGGTGACTATAGACGTGATTTATCAACTTGCCTGCCATGATCCTGCCCAACCAGGGATCCTCAGTCTCACTTGGAGATCAATAGGGGGTCCATTTGTCTGGATGCTGAAATCCACGTCCCCATTCCAAGGCCAGTCGGTCTTCTGGGTGATTTCAACTACCGATTCTGAAACAGGAACGCGTAGAGTGGCCGAGGTATATAGGTGCACATTGATGATGGCGCTAGTCTCTGTCGCATTGTGACTCCAGATATACCCACCCATGTAACCTAAGGTGCGTGTAACATTTGGTGGACAACAAGCACATTCGAACCATTCGTGGCGCTCGGAAATGTCATTGTCCGAGGAAGCCAGCTGATTCACATAGGTGAATGCCTTCCCATCCAGACTCATACCAGTCAATACTGCGTTGTAAAGACACAGCTCCATGATGTCAGCGTAATGGCTGCCGAGATCAATCTATGAGTTGTTCATGTAAGTGCCCAAAATGCTCAAATACACATAAAACGAATAAAGAAACCCTACCTGTAGCAGCCTCTCAGAAAGCATCATGACTCCAATCGCAGCACAAGTCTCTGCATAGCAGCCGCCCTCATCAGTTCCATGAGGTAAGAAGTAGTCAATACCAAAGCCCTCCCATTGCTTTATAGCTCCAATCCCGCCGGTTACATAGGACTTCCGCTCAACCATGTTCGACCAGAGCCGGTTGACAGCAGGCAAGAAAGTGGTTCCCACTTTACTGTCAGGTCGGAATATCCGAACGAGGTCTGTAACTGCTGTGAGCAGGTACATGGCTCGAACTGAGTGTCCTTCAATTGTTTCTTGCTCAACAATCGGCACATGTGCTTGTTGGTAACTAATTTATTCCCCTTGTTAGCAACAATCACCCACAAAAAGCACATATACTTATAGTGAGACATACGAGTAGCTCCTGGAGGCGGGGAAGTATGCAGGTCGTTCATGCTCTTTCTCGCCTCTTGCTTCAGCTTCGATGTCGTAGTAGTGCCTTTTTGTTTTTCCACTCGAAGGATTACCTCGTTCTTCAATGAAGAATTGGGCTAGCTTGAGATGCTTTTCATCTCCTGTGACTTTGAACAGCCGCAGGAGAGCAAGCTCAATCTCAGGGTGCCCAGGATATCCGGGAATTTGAGCATCCTGGTCTCCGAAGTTTGCTGCAAGAAGGTCCACATACTTTAGTATGGGAGATAGCATGTCATCATTCTTAAAAAAGAGACGATGGGCAAGTGCACCTTCAATGAGATGACCAGCGTTGTATCTAGAGACCGTGTTAGCCATCTGCGGCTTGCTAGGGGACATATTTCTTTTGAACATATAGCCTTACAGCTCGTGCATATCTCGCAAATTTGTGAAACGCTTGCCGGGTTCTACAACTGTATAGTGGATGTTAAGGTATCCATCAGGGTGCTGGGCACTCTGAATCATTTGCACCAGCTCCTTCACAGCTGCGTCTATCTCGGCATCGTAATGGTCTATCAATAAATAGCAGGCTCCTTCAATCCACTTGGCCACATCGGAATCCCAGAACTGGTGGTTTGGAATGGGATACACCGTGGGAGGATCTCCATAGCTCGGGTGCCACTTCAACTTGAAAGCATCATATCTTCCAGTGGTTTTGAGCATGTTAAGTTGATGCCGCAGAGTCTGAGTCCGAACCACTTCGCGACGACGAGCCCAGAAAGATCCTGGAGCGAAGGTCGTCGCGACAAAGCTTTCTTGTGGGTAATCCATGATTCAGGTATAGATGAGCAACCGAAGGACACAGGTTGTCTTTAGGTATTCCTTATATTTACGGGGTATCGGCTAGCCCCTCCGGGATTGAAGTCGGAGAGAAAGCGAGACCGTGACATCGTCGTATTTCCCGAGTCGGGCCTCCGGCGGTATTTAGGGCTTGAGTGGGAGGCTCCGGCTCCGGCGGAGACTCCGGCGGGGCGCAAATCCAACCTGAAGCCGTCGAGGTGCTTGATTGCTTGATTCTCTTCCCCGCAGGCTTAGGCTTAGTCTTTTCTGGGGAATTTGAGTCTCGCCTTTCCGGATGTGGGGTCCCGGGCTAAGTTGCTTTATATGTGTGCCGGTCGTCACAATGCCCCTGTATGCGAATTCGGGCTTGTTTATATCTCAAAATGGGTCTAGTGGAAAGATTTCTCTCTAAGGATGACCGGTAGGCACTTTTTCGTATTTGTGATTGGATTGGCGTTGAATGGCGCTCTGCTAATGCTTCTTTAGCTTCGCGGCGTTTCTGTTGTATGGTATGGTCTTTTCGACCTGCTTCAACGGGTACGATGCCGGGATCATGACAGTCATTCTGGCCGATAAGCAATTTATTGAATACTATAACATCGACGATAACAGGTCCGGTCTAGTGGCAACGATACCTTGGGCAATGACAGGTAATATTGGGCTCTCCGGCTACTTTGGGCTTACGACAAGACGACTGACAGGGGACTTATCTTAGGGCTGGCCCAGCTTTGCCTTGGAGGCTCTCTTGCTGCATGGCTTGGACGCCTTTGGGCTCTACGGATCTCTATTTGCATCATGATTGTTGGAGTGTAAGAGCAAACTCGAAGTGATTATGGGAGATTACTGTTGCTGACACAGCTAAAGAGTCGTCGAGGTTGTCCCAAACAACTTTGGAGTCTTAATCCTAGGACGACTCCTAACGTAAGTCTATTGATCATGATATGTATCCTTATGTACAAATACTGAACAACTCCCAGAGGTCTAGGCTTCGGATGTGTCTATATTGCCACGAACCTCTACGTCGCCGAATGTGCACCCACCAAACTGCGAGGCAGCTTCGTCGGAACAGTCTCACAGTTCGGTTACCAACTAGGTAGTTTAATTGCCTTCTGGGCTGGATACGGAATGTCCTTCCATAAGTCACCCTATAACATTGCCTGGCGTGTATCAAACATCGTCCAGATCCCTATTGGTCTGGCCTTTGTCGTGGTCTCGTTCTGGTATCCTGAAAGCCCGCGATATGTTCTGGAGAGATACCCCGAGACCCCTGAGCGGGCTCTCAACGTTCTCAGTCGGCTTAGATCTGGAGCACCAACGGATGAACGTATTCGTACCGAGTTCCATGAATTGGTGGCCTCGTATGAACTTCGCCGTTGCTATGAGACGGGCTATGTTGGCCTTCTCAAGGATAAGACTATGCGTAAGCGGCTGTGGTATGGTATTTATGCCGCAGGTCTCCAGCAGGTATGTAGATCCACATAAAACTTCAATTGACAACAACACTAACAGCTCTCATCTAGTGTGGAGGCATTGCTTCACTGACCATGTATGCCACATTGATTTATCAGAGTCTTGGATGGGATTCTGGCTCGCAGGCTTTGCCAATCAATGGAATCCAGTCTGTTCTCCAGCTGCTTATAGTGTTTGTTAATACATTCACGGTTGAAAGATTTGGTCGTCGGGGTCTCCTACTTGCTGGATTCGCTATCCAGTCACTGGCTCTCTTGGTCATGTCTTGTTTAACCACTGCTTTCCCGTCAAACGGCAACAGGGCTGCTGCTATTGTAGAGGTTGCAATGCTTTTCATTGTTGGCTTGACCTATTGTTGGTCCAATGGCCCTATTGCACCAACAGTGGTTACGGAGATCTTTCCTCAGCATGTAAGAGACAAGGTTGGTTGAACCAAGGTGAAATGTTCACAGAACAATATATAACTGATGGCATCCCCAGGGATTCGGTCTTTCAATGCTTGGTCAGACATGCTGGCTGATGCTACTCACGCAATCTTGGCCATCTTTCAATAATGAGGTCGGTGGACACAGTTATTGGCTACTGTTTGGTTTGAATTTAGCTGCTGGCGTGAGTTGATGATCTTCTATCTATATTCTCAAGTAGTTGGCCAATTCTTGTACTTTACAGATGTCTGTTTACTTCATTCTTCCCGAGACCAAAGGCGTGTCCCTCGAAAGAATGGACAAGATCTTTGGAGGGCTTGATAATGTTGAGGCCGGGGAATGCGAAGGGACTTCCGAGAAGCGTGGAGCCATGGCCGTCATGAACGAAAGAGACAAGGCTCCAACCGCTCATGTTGAGGATGCTTTTCGATCCCATTCGTTTCACACTGTTTGATTCAAGATGATAAACTTTGCGTGGAATCATGGAACTACAGGTCTTCATAGACATGTTACATGGAACTTATACTTTGGGTGTATTCAAATTGCTATCTTAGCGTCATGATGTCCATGTATTTGGAATCCGAAAAAAGTGAGCGCTATGCTGCAGCAAATCCAGCTGCTTATGTATGCAGAATCAACATGGTCCAAATGCACGGGTCGTGTCAATCCGTGTGTTATGTTGATCCAAAATCATGGACAAGGCCTCGCAGGGGATGAGGCTGGAACATGTCAGGGGTGGCGATTTTGACCCTCTCCCAAATTTTAGGCAGAATCATTGCTTTGATGCCAGTGTAGAGTGTATCCAGGGGGCAACTTCTAGCCAGGTACGGGTTCAGACTTGAGTTGTCGTCTAGGACGGTGTTGTGCCCGCCACACAACTCACCTGTAACTGCGTAACCAAAGGCATTAAGAAACTACCCGGTTGGCGTAATTCCGAAGTGTTGACCCAAACGCCAAACAGCCGACCAGAGAACAAGTTTCTTGAGCAATAATTGTGTGTGCGGCCACTGCCGGTCTGACCTGCGCAAATTGAATCGCATGAGCTTATCACCGATGGCCAAAAATATCGAGATGATCCTCGTCCTCGTCATCTTCATTGCAATGGGAGCCAGCCGATTCAGCGGAGTCTGATGACTCCGCATCGTCTTCCTCTTCCTCACCCCCTTCTGATATGTTATCTGTCGCCTTTGTCTCGCCACCAAATAGCCCATAGGGGTAGGTGAGCTTCTTGCTCAAGAAGTTCAATGCACCATAGTCCGTCTCGTTGACACTGCGCGATGACGGGCTTCCAAAAAAGGGCAATGACGAGGGTTTCTCAGATTCACGCTCAGTCGGAAGTCCAAAGTAGTTGCTTACGACCGGCGAGACAGCACGACCGCGAGTGATGTTATATGATGCAGATTGTCTCTCGGGTTCCACTGATGGTACACTGAGCCGTGAACGAGGAGCCGAGCCGGGATTAACATTTAGTCCTGCCAGCGAAGATGACATGGAGTCATCGTTTTCCATGACTGAAGACGACCGAGGTCGAGAAGGAAGATGCTCAGCATCATCTTCCTCGGGCTGATCTGACATGTCTCCATGCAAAATGCGAAGTTGAGCTGTATTATACGACTCGCATCTGGACAGAATTAGCAAGCTTTCATTGCTTATCAAGTCTAATACTCACAGTTCACATCTCAAGCCCAACCAGTGGTACTTAACAACTGATTTTGAACCGCAATCGTTGCAATAAACAAGACCTTTCGTATCCTTGAATTCTGCGGGCATAGGTTGACTTTCAATGGTGCGATCCAGGTTTCGAAAAGTTGCTTCCATGTTGGTGATCGTCTTGCTGCAGATCGGACAACGGAAAGAGCTTTTGGAATACTCTGATAAGCACTTGTGGTGAATGCTGTGGCCACATCGCATAACAACGACAGTCTCGGGAGATGTGAACATATAGTCTCCACAGATAGGGCAATCGCACTGGGTAGATCGTTCAATGCAGCGATGCGTGTTTTCAATTGACATTGGCAGACAAACACAGCAAGTCTAAAGTATCATAAGCATCGTTGAATATGAATACAAGGGGTGTCCTTACCAGGCAATGGAAGAAATCCTTTCCTAGACCCTGTCCGATTCGACAGATCCCGCAGTCGTTACAGTGGTAGATGCTCTTCTTGCTGTCGTTGTCCCAGAGCTTGCATATTTCGCAATAGTACTGCGCTGTCTGCTTACCGCATTTTCTACAGTCCTGTGCTGCAGGTTGGGGGTGTCCACATAGCATGCACAGCATATGCTGTGTGTCTCGGCGAATGAGAGCGTGGTCTTCCACTTCATCGTGACAAAACCGGCAAGTGTACCACTTCTTGCAAGTATGGCATTCCAGCTTCACATTGCGGTGATAATGCACACAGCCGAGAGTGTCCTCTGCTAACTCTTCCGTATCCGAATCTTCATCGCCCATCTCACATTCGTGCGGTTCGGGCTCCGTCTTGGGAACGAAAGTGGGTTGCAAATCTTCAGGTTTGAGATTGAATGAGCTCTCATACCGAGCAATGCTATCCGGGTTTGCTTGATCCAATTCAGACGTATCACTCCGCGACATAGTCTTTGGACTTGTGGGTAGTCTCGAGCCCGCTGGGCTCGAGGGCGGGGATAACAACCTCGTGGAAGAAATCTTCAAAGGCTCTCGCGATGAGTTGTAGCTTTCCGTCATCAAGTCATGGACCTTCCGCGCTTTCTGAACATTGGTAAGTTCCAGGTTTCTAACAGCAATGATCTTGCTTCGTAGAACACCCATCCCATCGTCCGCCGGAAGCGAAGACTGGCCCTGTCCATCTAGATCAGACGCGTTGCTCAATGACCGCCTGGACCCTTCAATTGCTACCGCGGTGGTCATATCTTGTGGTGCGTTTTGCGCATTCACTGCATCGAGGCGCGAAGGTTGGGTGTGCCCAGCAGGGGCTTGCAGTATATTGACGCCCGCTTCATGTGCATGATCAGGCGATTCATCTGTAGCAGCAGCTATGTTTCGAATGAATCCAGATGTGTTCTGGGAGGCTGCTCGAGTGCTCTCCGACTGCAGATTTCGTCCATCCATGTCTTTGGGTAAGGTTGCGAAGAAGGGAGGGCTATGCAGGGACCCCGCATCTCCGCAGTTTAATTTATGTCTGCAAACTTGGCCTGGTCGAAAAGCTAAGCTCTCCTTTTCGCGTTCGCTTATTGTGGCCTCTGACGGTTCGTTCAGGCGAGACTCAGCTTGGTCGTCATGTGGCTGGCTAAACGGCGGGGATGGCAGAGGGTGAGATCGTAATCCAAGTTCAATCAGTAGCGACTCAAGAGGACCACTCATGAAGGGCTGTAAGATCTCATTAAATCATGGATGCTAAAGACCAAAAGTCCAAACGCAAACCCAGAGTTGTAGCTGAAACAAGCCATCGTGAGTGGCATGTGACGTCTCCGGGCACCGCCTCCAGGGCTCCTCCGATCTCCGGGTGCTGAATCATCAATGTCCTGGTCTCCCCTGGGCTGCTTTATTATAAATTCATGTAGTGGTTTATTTATTTGTTTTATAGTCGAACTGTGGAAGGGAGAAATGTCTCTCAGTTATTTCTCAAGCTTCGTTCTACTACCCTCTCTGCCCAATCCCAATTTTTATTCTCATGTCTCAGAATAAACTAATACTGTATAGTAGGCGGAGATCAGGTTGGACTCTACTGGACTCCATGGCATAAACATATAAAACGCATCGGAAATGGTACATCCTCCGCCATATATTGCCCGGTCTTCCTGCCGTGAGGGATACTGATGACCCTAGGGTCAGCACGCGCTCCGTGGCCTCCGGTATCTCGTGGTTGGAAGGTATGCCGGCGTTCTGGCCGTATTAATATCCGGGGGCTGCAATCCATATTGGGCGGGTTGCCTTGCCTCAAGTTGGGTTCATGCCCAAAGGAAGCAATGAGGCCTAACGATGCACGGTTTGGTACACCGTACAGCGGGTCGGATCGGCGCGAAGTAGAAGTCGAGAACCGCAGAGAGCCCAATCACCTGAGACACGTCCCTAGACTTTCATTCAAACGGTCAAGCGTCAGATTTAAATGGTCAGAGGCACTTGTCCGCAACTGGTTCTCTACATGGCCGAGTCCCAAGCTCCGTAGACTAAAGCAAGGTCAGCAGCATTCTTCTCCACTGTGGGCGATGGCACTCACCGGGAATCCTTTGTGAGATGATCCTGCTCCCAATACCTAGCCATCAAAATGTTCCTCAATATCTTATGTTCCATGCCTGCTACCTCGGTGGCTCGTTCGAGAAATTGAAGCGTCTTAGCAACCTTTGCAGGGTCAAATTTCTCGGATGGGGAACGATAGGATGTGCGTAATGTCTTGAGGACCATATAGCGGCCAGGTGTCGAATATTGGATCGCTTTCAACCCCTGTCGGTAGAGGTGACGGTATGCGTGGACCACAGCTCGTCGATCCACCATAGTCTGGATGGGAGTGTTCATGTCCAATCTGGGTTCAAACTCCAATAATGCAAAGGGATAAACGGGAAGGCTGGAATACAAATGTTGAAATAGTATTGGAGGGAAGTTCGCAAAAGACGGTGGAGGAGTTGTAGCCTCAGGCACTAACCTGATCGGGAGAGGTCAACTTTGGGCCGCAACAATCTTATCACTCCAACTCTCTCCATCTTTCCCCTCATCTTTCCTTTCTCTTTCAACCTCTCAAGGTTCTTTATCTGTTTGCTTGTTCCGTCTTTCGGACTTGCGCAGATCTCACTAAGTGTTTGTCCCTGAACTTGGGGCAACCGCCGGCCCAGAACACGTGCATCTACAGTTTGCCCTGTACATTCTGGACCCATACACACCACTCAACACAAATATCCCTTTTCCCTCTATGGTGAGCCATGCTTTGAGATCCTCCTTCCAGTAAGGTTCACCGGAGAACCGAACCAGAAAAATGGCCCGTGTGATGGGAAGAGCGGGCTCGGCCTTGGCCGCAGCTAGACGTGCTCCCAGTCGGGCTGTTCAACGGAGAGCTCGCAAACACAAAGTGATCATGGAGTCTGTGACCCAAGAAAAGAAGAAGCTTCGAAGTGTTGTATGTATCTTCTCTATACTTGGTTACTTGGAGGGTCTCTAACCAACTATACAGATCTGTTTCGAGGCCAAAGCACCAAGTGGCTACACCTTCATTCCAGCAGGAAATCCTCAGCTCACCACCTCATGCAAGGAGCGGTGTCGAAAGGAGAATCTCCAAATCTACGCAGTCTCGGTGAGAATGTCTTTTGACTGATCCCATTTCTTAACACCGCTTATAGTTTCTAGACTACCCCTCATGCCCGCACTCACAATCTTTCTCAGCATGTGCACCGGATAGGCTATCATTTTCCGAGCACCGTGGTGGCTGCTGTTTGTTCAGAGTTGGGTCTCTACCTCACAAGCACTGGAAAGACGTTGCCCATCTACGCTATGAGCATGAGAGAGAACCATTCTCGGGCTGGGTCTGAAGTCTCCCAAGTAACTCTGAACACAGATGCTAGAGACGCAATCAGGGATCTATTTCCCAACATCCCAGATAAAGATCTCAACCAGATTATCAAAACTGCATTTCAAAAGGTCAGTATACCCATTTGAGTCGAGAAAAACGGATGTGGGAAACCTGATATTTGCAAAACTCAGGGCCAAAAGAAAGTCGGAACTGCCACCGAATTGCCCATGGCTCGGAGGGCACAGCTGGCAGTGGTTGCACACATTCGTCATACTAAAACTGACTACGATAGCCTCTTGAAAAAATTGTCCTTCCATGAGGCACGACACAGTGTTGAGCATATGACTCTGAAAACAGTCATTGAATGGCGAGGGGATGATGAGAATGGCCAGACAGTCCTTGAGGATGTCTTCCGCGAGGTGATCGTCATCTCTGATGACGAAGACAGTGAGTCAGAAGAAGATGCGATACCTGGCGCAGGCCATCAGAGCACCAGGGTGGAGATACTCCCCAGTGACACTCGGGCTCATGAAATTCGAACTCCGCTCATCGGCAATGCGAACCGTTCGGGCCAGGGAACTCCCCGGGAGCTATCCGAGGAAGCACCGCCTGGATTCAGGTTTGTCCCAAGAATGGCGGCGGCAAAAAATATTGTCGACCGTCGAGGATTCAGCAGGTACCAGGCATGGAACCGTGCTATTAAGGAATACAGAGAGGGCATGCAAGATACCCAGAAAACCAGATTTGCTGGTACCACTGCTGAAAACAAAAGTCCGCGGTATGCCACGCAACGTATTGCCGCTCAAGAAGTCCCTGTTTCTAGGCACCAGGACGTCGTCACCCATGCTGAGGCTCAGCAACGACTCATTCCAGGCTCAGCCAGTATGGAGAATCAGGTGCAACGATCTACTTTACCACTAATGGACCGGCAGGTGGCCAAGGGGAATGTAGGCGTCCAGGGGATTTACGTTCCCTCGGACTCCCAACAGAAAGCCTCAAACTATGAGCTCAACGCTAGGCCAATGGGACTAACCAACCAGGAATCACCTGAACTGCAGATATTGGAAGAACTCTCCGGACCCAGAGGTGTGAAAATGGCCTCGGGTATTCCTCCCACTAGAATGGACTCCAGGTTCCGGTACAAAAGACTGCCTCCTGAGTCGGAGGACAGAGCAAATGCACCTGTGTTTGTGAGCGGACCCAAGGACATCGCCCAGAGTAGCGAGGTCCCCCCTAGACGTCGTCCTGACCCCATCAGTTCCCTTTACTCTTTACCAGGTTCAAAGCAACCAGAGCGCATTTTGCCATCCATTGAAAATCCCTGGTCGCTAGAGAGCCGGCGAATTGACGGTTCACATCCTTTGGTCAACATGGCTAAAAGGATGTCGCTCCGCTCGGTCACGCCAGGCCGTCCCCAAGGGGACATGATGCATTACGACCAGGACACCGAACAGGATGGCAACAATGACAAAGCCAGCAAAAGAAGGCGTTTGTACCATGAGGGTTCTCGACCTGAAACCCTACCCGGACCAAGGCCCATCGGGATTCCCGTTTCCGAAGGGTTTGGGCCACGAGAATCCTATCGCCGCATCGACCTAGCTCCAGAACACCGACCCCAGGATCAAGTTCACCTTCGTCGAGACTATATGCCAATGGAGCAACCCGTTGTAGGACGCCAGAGGAGCCCCGTTTCTTTTGTCAATCCCCCACATGGCAACCTCGATGCAAGACCATTGGACCGGCAGCATATCGATGGACCACATCATCATCGCTCTCAACCTGAACATTTATCCAGTGTTCTTGTTTCGGAGGGCGATCGCACCTTCCGAGCTGCACCAGCCGTCTCCAATCCTGGAGCTTGGCACCAATACGGTGATCGTAGTCTCCGCATGCCAAAAGAATCGCGCGCGCGAAATCGCATTACTGGCGACCGCCTTTTACCAGAAGAGTTTCACCAGGACAGGAACTTGTATGCCGATGGCTTCGTTCGCCACGTTGACATCCGGGAACCCCCTCCACTTGAATACGTCTCCCGGCGCCCAGGACCTGAGGCTAAGCCGACTGGAGATTCTTCTCTGCCTGTTAGGACAAGGATCACTGATTACCCTGGCACCAAACCTTTTTCTTACGCCCAGATTTCCCCGGACCAACGCGGACCATTGCCCATGGGGTCACGAATGGCCCCCGTTTCCCACAACCACGTCCGCACACTATCTGAATCTTCCCCGGGGAAAAGCCAGCCTCATGTGTCCCCTTCCCAAATTCACAGACCACTCAGTGGCGGGTTTATCTCCTCGCGGTAAGCCTTCATCGGGGAAGCCAATCATTTCACCAATAGAGATCCCCTTGCCCCTGATAGGCTTCTGCTAACACAAACACAGACGACCACCGCCTGGCCTCCCTCCATCTTCCCTAGCTATGGAGCAAAACCGGCCCGTCTACGTCCAGCGAGTTGATCCGAGGCCATCCTACTATCCCGTCCCAGACGGCAGACCTATTGTCATCGTTGATTAAGCGAATCTCGTCTACTTCCCAATCCTGTCCGCTTTCTTTCTTTCTTTCCGGCGCGAGGATTTGATGTTTCGGGTATTTGTCTATTCGCATGCATTGCATTGCCTTGTTCATGATACCCTCCATATTATTAGAACTCTCTCATGGGTTTTCAATTTGAATCGGAACGACATGTTCCCCGTTGTCTATTTCATTCAAGACTTATCACGGTTCCATAGAATCATGTAGTTCAAACAAGAGACATTCTGGCAGTATGTTTCACTACCAAGGTCCTCTACTTCAGTCTTAGTCGTCAGCCCTTGATGGATTCCAGCATTTCGATTTTCCAGCCAGCGCGCAAGCAGAATGTAGACCGCGGCCCTCGTGTACGGACATATATGTATTGTAGACATCTAAACGCTCATAGTTTGGCCATCCGCCTCTCCCCCAGTCACAGCCTTGCCGGTCTTCTTGATCGTTGCCAGAACGGTATCGTAGGAAAGCGTCGGTTCGGTGGTGACATTGGCAGTCTGGGACTCGAGGTTGACGTCGAAGTTCTTAACGCCTAAGAGAGAGAAGCAGTGTGTCAGTATATGGCATGCGCTTGGTCTTGTTCTTGTTCTCGTGAGACAACAAAATCAACAGAACCCCGCATATTCGGGGAGAGTCGCTTACCCTCGAGCTTCTTGAGTACGCGCTCTACGGCGCCTGAGCAACCGCCGCAGGTCATGGTCACGTTGAACTTGTACTGGTGGTCAGACATGGTGGAAGGTTGGAGGAGGAAAGTTGGCGGGGCTGCGGGGAGGTGAGTGGGATGGGATGCGACGGCAGCGGCTTGGGAGATGAATGGGAGTTTCTAACTCTTGGAGGGAAATCTATCGAATGAAAAATTGTATATGTTTCAAGGGAGACCTGGAAATTATTCTAGGGGCTTGCATTTGTCATACGTGTTCCATCCCTTTGAGAGATATTCGCGATTGGTTACTTCACGGGAATTCGGCAATAGTCCAAGATTATATAGGGTATAGCATTATGATATTCATGATATTCGTGTTTTCGTTATATTGGTTTGTTTTAAAATCCTGCTGCCCGCTTCTTTTTCCTAAGTTTGGGCTTCTTGAAGGGATCGCGGGCTCCGAAGACTCCTCGCTCTGTTTGGGTCATTGAGACACCTTCCATGGGTTGGCTGCTAGTGAGGTTGATGCGTGGAGGACCATCTGGCTGACTGCCCCATGCTCGGACCGTGGGCACAGCCGGGGTTGGGGGAAGGGATAAGTCGCGAGTCCGAGAGCGTCTCTTTCGTCTGTTTCTGGGCGTGTTTGCCCTTGAAGCACGCCGTGTCTCTTCGTCTTCAATTCTCTCCCAGGCATATCGAGAAGGATTGTTTCCCACTGACCAGTGCGAGAGTAGATTTGTCACGTTCCGCGGGATTGCACGAGGAGTCTTGAAGGTAGTAAATGCTGAGAGGCCGCTCAGAGGTGGTGCTGCAGCGTACTTGGATTGAGTGACCGGTCCCGGGTTCCGT